GGGATGCCCGGTCCGCGGAGCTCAAAGTCGACCTGATAGTCCCGGCCAGTGCATCGGCTCCCGCGGGGTCCTGCAGACGGGCAAGCTGACTGAGGAACGCGCTTGCTGCCGCGTCCTGGTCTATTTATGAAGCACGGCTTGCGAACTTCGAAGTCGTCGAAGTCGTAGTAGCATCCCATTCGATCAGCCGAAGGGTTCTTTCTGCAGAGCGGCGTTTCTGGCTGCCAGCGGGTTTGATCGAGGCTTCGGCCTCGCGCGCACCGGGGCGTACCGGGGCTGCGTCTAGTTGCTCGTCGATCACCTCTAGGGGTGGTCCTCGAGCCGCTGGCGCAGCTTCTTGGCCTTCAGAGCGTTCTCCCGGGCACGGACCTGCTTCTCCTCAAGGTCAGCGACCTCGCTGGACACGTCGGGCCCCGTTGGCCGAGCCGCGCAGTGCGCGTCCCAGGAAGCCTTTTGGATCGATTGCGGTCAGCGAGCAGGACGCGCCGCGCCGCCAGCGGCGGTGGCGGGGCGCCCCCAGAGACCCTGCAGGCCCCCGTGCGCCCGCGAGGGGCGCGGCGGGCCGCCCTCGCCGCGTGCGCGAGCTGGCCGATGGCGCCGACGAGACGGTCGCCGGCGGCCCCGGGCGGCCGGGCCCGGGCTGCCGCCGCGGCGCGCGGCACTCCCCTCGCCAGCTCAGCTGGGGCCTCTCCCACGGGCACTGCCGAGTCTCTCGCACCGGGGCTCGAGGCGGCCGCGCGAGGGCGCTCCTCCTACACTTCCGCACGTGCGAACCTCGTCCTCGCTTCCGACGGAGGCGATGCACCAGGTCAGAACCGCGCGCCCCCGCCCACACCTGCTTGATGCGACATGAACCCCATCCGCCCCCTCCGTCGGGGCTTCCCGGCCAGCCAGCGCCCTCTCCCGTCCCTCACCGCGTTCTCCGTGCCATCACGATGCGATCGGGTCGAGCTACGCCGCCCGCGCGTCGCCGCGCGCGCGCCCCGGGCACGTCGAAGGCACGGGCGCTGCATGAGCGGCCTACCTCTCCCCGCCGAGGCCCGTCTCCGCGCCCCCTATCACCACCCGGCGCGCACCGCCGCGATGCTTCACGCTCACACAGGTCCCATCGCGCGACGCAGGCGGGCGGAAGTACCGGGAAGCGCGCGCGCACCGACGGGGGCGGTGCGCACAACCAGGTGAGCCGCGCGCCGCCCCTCCCGGCGCGCCGATGCCCGCTCCGCAGCGTTCTCCGCGTCGAACGCAGGACGATCCATGCCTAGCGGCGGTCGTCGGCCTCGGTCTCCGCCGTCGGTGGCCGCGCCGCGGCGGATCGTGATTTGACTAGCTGTGCCAGCTCGGTCGCCACCGAGCAGCGTCCCCGCAGCTCTTGCCGCGCCCCGCGCAGGCGTTTGGTGCAGCCTCCACTTACACGCGCCTTCGTCCGCGAACCTTTGTACGTCTCCGAGCCCCCGTAGGTGGCCGCGGGCGCGACCAAGCACGCCTGCGCACCACCACTGGGGACGCTGGCCGAGGCGGCCGCGCGCAGCAAGCTGCTGCAGCCAAGCTCGGATTCTACTGCCCCTAGTGAACGCAGGGATTCGGCGCCGGCCAGGCTGCGCTGATGCAGCGGAGCACGAACCCCTGGGACCAGGAACGCTACTGGAACGCCGCCATAGAACAACAAATGAAGAAAGACGCAGAAGATCTTCTGATCCTGCGCGGCGTACACAAGAACGTCGCCCATTCCGTGGTCCACGACGACCCTTCTCTGTCTCCGCGCGCCCTGCACGCCAAGGTAAACAAGTGCCTGGAAAAGACCCCGATTCCGGAGGCTCAGGTACCGGTGGGGCTCACCCCTTCCCTGAAGGAAGACTACAAGCAGGCGCCGGAGAGCTACCCCGCGCTCAAGGTGCCCGTCAATCTCAAGCAATGGAGGTGAGCACCTTCCATTCCATGCCGGGGGCTGACATTCCACCCTCCTCTCCACGCGCGCCCTCCAACCCGCCCGCAGAGCGGCGCACACCTCGCGGTGCCTCCTTCCCGCCATCGCAGTTTCATGCGCTGGCTGGATGCCGATAAGCACGTGGAAAGGGCGAGACGTGTCAGACCGAATGCAGCGGCGCTCATGCTCCCCGTGTACGACGAAGCCGTCGAGTTCCTCAAGGGCGAACACGAGGATGGAACGTGCTGCCTTGTCCCGCAAGATCTTTTCAGTCGCGCGATCAAAGTCGTCGACGAGGTGAAGAAGAGGCCCGATGCAGGCCCTTGCTGGATGAAGGGCTTTATCGCCGACGTACGCGCCCACGCCCGTGTCCTGTGTCCGACTGCATGCGCGACTCCGTGCGATATCCTGGCCGACCGTCCTGTGCCGCTGACCCTGTCCCCTTCACCGCAGGCCGGGTACGCGGGGGAGGTTCCCGGGACCAAGGCAGGGATGGAGGAACTCTTCGACGCTCACATCGCGTCGCTGGATCAGTGGCCGGCTCCGGGCGCCTCCAACCCCGGGGAGGGGCAGTGACGGGACATGACGGCTGCACGCGTGCAACAGTATGACGCTGCGGTCAGGTCACTGTTGTCGGGCCTTGGTGGCCGAGCTGCGCGCTCATGTCGGGAGCGTGCGCGCTCCAACTGCAACTCTACTGGCTTACGGTACAGGCTCTGCATCATCTGCGGGGCTCAGCTCGGGTCCCAGTGCTTACAACGCGCCTCCGTCGACGCCGCGGTTTTTTTGGCGGATCCGGACGTGCCGCTGGACCGAGGCGCATAGGACCGTCGTCCAGAGACTCACACAGCACGCTGTGCGCTTCATGAACGAACCCCGCATTGTCTCGCCGTCGTGCAGGGGTGTGACTGACTCACATTGTCTACCCTGTCTGCTGTGTGAGTCTCGCCTGCCGTACCATTTCGATCGCTCAAGCATCCTCGCGGTGAGGGTGCTTGTAGGTCAGCCATCCGCAAACCAGAGCGTCTGCGACTTGGCCGAAAAAAGAGCGGCGCGAGCAGGTAGTGCTGGCGTGGGGCAAAACTCAACCTCGCAGCCCAGCTGCGCGCGCCGACGGAGCGACCGCTCCCGCGCTGTAACGGGCAAGTGGTCAAGGGCATGCGTGGCGCGACGGGTGCGGCCGCCGTGCCGCGCAGGGGGGCTGGGGGGGCGTCGGGATTCACGCCGACACAAAGACAAAGACCGACATCAAGGCAGTCTGCGAGGACAAGGACTCGCAGGGACAAGGCTTTGCAGCGCCAGAATAGCGTGACGGCATCCCTGGCCCCGGGAGTGCCGGCCCAAGTGCGACGCCTCCAGGCTGACAGAGGCCACATCTCCCCCCCCCTCGCCCAAACAGTCAACAGGATCGGCGGCGACATTGGTGTGCGGTGATACCGCTCCGTCACTTCCGTTGCATTCATGACCATGAAAGCGGTCCGCTTGGCGCGGGCGTGGCGCCACCCGCGAAGGTGGGGGTGGCAGTCCCACCGGCAGGCGGGCGCAGCAGGCGCGCGCAGGGCCTGCGTGCCGCGCGTGATCCCAGCCCCGCGCGGGCAGGAACCGCCGCCGGGATCATTGCCCGCAACAGCGCCCCGCCGTCGCGCTCGCGCCGCTGCCCTGCCATCGCACGTCCCACCCCCCCGCGCAGCGGCGCTGGCGCGTGCGCGCAGCCCCGTGCAGCGGTGCGGGTCGAAGCAGGCCCCGCACATGTCGCAGATGCCGGGCCCGTGCCAGGCGATCCCTCCCCCGGCGAGCTCAGCTGCAGCAGGCGACCGCGATGGCCGCGTGTGTCTGTAGGCGTCCACCGCGGCTGGCCGAGAGCCCCACCCTCGACGGTTCCTACAGGACATCATTCATGTACTGTTCGTGACTTGCCCGCAGGCAGGGAACGCGCCGTACGCCCGCGCCCACGCCCCGCAGCGGCGCCTTGTTGCAGCCCCTCTGCTGCTTGACGGCCCCCGGCGCGAACAGGGCGCACGACCGCGCACGTCCCCACCGAACTCCTTCGTGATCTGGACGAGGGCGGCAGCGAGCCCGGAAGGGGACGCAGTGCAACATGTGGAGCGCCGACGTCACTGATGATCAGGCCCCCTTGTCTGGCTGACTCCGGGGCGCGCCAGCGGCCGTGCGGCTCGCGGGGCGGCGAGAGCGCGCCGCCACGTCAGTCTTCGCACGTCCTCTCGCCCTCTCGCAACCGCGGCACCGCCCGTCGTTGCGTCTGGGGCCGGCGGCACTCGGTTCACACCTGAAGTGCCACTTATCCGCGATTCCTCCTTCTCTGGACGGGCGCGAAGTGCGCTGCACCGCCAGTTCTGAAGAGCTGGGTTGAAGCTTGGCGCGTCAAGCCACGACAGCCTCGCGAAAGCCTTCCTCGGACCGAGGTGCGCTTCCGACCGTTCGCTGCTACGACTTCAATCGGTTCGTATTCCGCGCAGCTGGGCGGCTATGGACGCTGTGCTTGACCCTCGACGGCATTTCTGAGAATATTCACGACGAGCTGTTGCGCTACACCCGCGTTTCATGGCGTGCTTACGGGGCTCTCGCCGACCAGCACTGCATGGCCAGCTGCCGAGCACCCGCAGCGAGAGAGGCGCGCGAGCGCGCGAAAAACAAAAACCGGCCGAGAGGCATCGATCGCGCGTGCCGCCGACCAACCGCCGACCGACCGACCGACGGCCCCGCCCGCTCCACCACCGACGCAGGTGCCGAGTGACGGACTCGCACGATGCAGTCCGGCGACGTGTCTATGGAAGGCTCCGAGCCCGACGCCCACACGAAGAACGACAGCGCCACCCCTCCCCCGTCGAAGACCGCGACGGAAACGGACATGGACGTCAGCTCCACGCCCGCCGGGGAGACTGCTGCAAAGTCGGCGACAAGGCGGCGAGCTGGCGCGCCGCGCGGGAGCTCCCGCGCCTCGAGGCGGGGGTGGGGCGGCCGCGGCGACAATGTCAAGCACAAGGACTGGCCCGAGCCGTCGACGCGGTGGCGTCCAGGGACACAAGAGGCCAAGCTCGCGCGTCGGCTACACAGAATGGCGGCCGGTCGCGACGCCTCGGGGGGCTCCTCGACCGACGGCGACCTCCTCGACCTCGACGGCGACCTCATCGACGGCGACCTCCACGACCTCGAGCGCGACCTCGACGACGGCGACCTCATCGACGGCGACCTCCACGACCTCGAGCGCGACCTCGACGACCTCGAGCTCGGCGAGGAGATCAAGGTAACAGAGGACTCGCCCGGGCGGCGGGAGGCGCGGAAACAGTGGGAGGAGAAGCGGGCGGCCGAGGGGTACAACACTGACTTGCTGCGGCGCTTCTCGAGGTTCGCGCATTTTTTCTTCAGGAAGTGCGTCAAGCTTGACGCCAGCATGAAGCTGGCCGACCCGCTTCAGGGATGCCACTACGGCGCGCTGTTCGGCAAGCTTGCGGACCTGCTTCTGCGGCAGTTTGTGCGCCGCAGCAAGGACGCGGACCCTTGCCTGGTGGACTTCTGGACGCGCGCTCCGCTGCTTCTGCCGAACGGCCCCGGCGGCATCTCGGCGTTACAGCTTGCGACACCGGACCGCCTGACGACGGCGTCTCACAAGGTCGCCATCGAGCAGGGCGACCTCGCCTTCACGGCGCACGCCGTCAACGTTTTTTTCGGTTCGAACCCGGACCTGTTCGCGCGCGACGCCTCCTCCTTCAAGGAGATGGCGCTGCGAGCGCAGGACGAGAAGCTCAAGGAGATCCTGAAGATCCTGCCCAACCCGTACGCGGTGCTGCTCAAGAAGCGACCCGAGACGCGCGGCCTCCTCCTGTGCGCACCCCGCCCACTTGTGTTGTACAACGCAGCACGTCTGACAGCTGCCCGCGGAATCACTCGCGCGCGACGTGCTCGCCGCCCCCCGTGGCGCAGATACTGACGCAAGTGTTTTGACTGACAAGGTCGCGTTCGCCCCGCCGGTCGCTCCGCAGGCACTACGTGTGGAATCGGCTGAGTTCTTGCGACCGTGGCGACCGGCGGCAGCTCGCCAACGCGGGGACGAACCGCGCCAAGAAGGCGAAACAGGAGGAGAATGCCAAGGAGGCGAAACAGGAGGAGGACGCCAAGGAGGCGAAACAGGAGGAGAACGCCAAGGAGGCGAAACAGGAGGAGAACGTGGAGCCGGTAGCGCCGTGGGCCGCAGACGTCCGTGCCTGGGTGGACGCGCTCGTGGCCGGCAACGACACCTGGGTGGACGACACGATCGCCAACGCGCCGATGATCGTCGGGCGCTTCGGGGCGGTGGGCGACCGCCGCGCTGGTGGGCTCTACGCGCTCAGCTTCGACGCTCGCGACTGCCGGAAGTTGCACTCGGAGCGCGACAACCTGCGCAAGTGCACCTATGGGTACAACGCGTTGAAGTTCACGGCGGACGAGGCCGAGGCCGAGCTGCGCATTCCACAGATGCTGCAGAGCCTCGCGGAGCACGTCACGTCCGGCGACGAGCTGGACCCGCGGCTGGCGAAGCGCATGGATCCGCCCGGCGCGGGCGCACCGTACCTGCGCGCCGCTGGCGACAGGGCCCGGGCGCGTGACGCGCAGGGCTCCACCACCGTTACAACCGTCAATCTGCAGGGCTCCACCACCGTTACAACCGTCGACGCGCAGGGCTCCACCACCGTCACAACCGTCGACGCGCAGGGCTCCACCACCGTCACAACCGTTCACGGCGAGTCGCTCCGTGGCTGGATGTGGGACGAGGCAGCCGTCGCGGAGGCCGTCGCGGAGGCCGTCGCGCAGGGGATCTTGGACCCGCACGAGAAGGAGGAGTTGGTACAGAAGTACCGCGACATGGTCGCCGCCTGCGAGGAGGAGCTGGAGGCGTACGACCTCTACACGAACTTGGGCGGTACGAAGAGGGCTGAGCGGCTGTCGCAGTCGCTGGGTCCCGGCTGGTGCGGGTGCCCGCACGACGGGCGGTGCATCAAGCGCCACGGCAATGCCCACCTCATGCCGAACGGGCGGCGGGCTCCCGGCCACAGCCAATGCCTGCCGCTGGCCGGCGAGCCCGAGTCCGCAACAGAAACGGCACTCAAGGCAGCCATCGAGGCGGAGCTGATGTGCTGGAGGTGCCTGAGGAAGCGCAAGTACGTGCCGAAGAGCAAGGCTGGCGCCGCTGCCGGTGGTGCGTCCAGCGGCGATGGAGACGGCGACGGCGACGGCGGAGGCGGTGGAGGCGGCTGCGGCGGGGGCGGTGGAGATGGCTGCGGCGACGACGGCGCGCCGGGCACAGAGCGCGCGAGCCCGATCCGTGGCGACGACGGCAGCGGCGAAGGGCCCGAGAACAAGGTGTTGATTGACGGCGAGAAGGCGCAGCTGGACGGTGCTTTCGGGCTCTGCCGCAACTGCTACTACCGTTGGAGACAGCGGGGTAGCAACCCAGAAACGGAGACACCTACGGTACAGACACAGCTCGGAGAAAATGACATGAAGACAAGGGAGGGCCCCTGTCCGCTCCACGCCACGTGCGACGGAACGCGCGGGAATCACGGGTGGTGCCAGATCAGCGGCCCCCCCCTGCGTACCGAGGAGGTGCAGCAACAGCTGCGCGCGACCGTCGTCTGCGCCAACCCCGAGTGCCCGTACCACGAGTTCGCTGCGGCCTGGCCACTAGCGCACATCGGCATCGCGAGCTGCGCCCACGGGGCCAAGTACTTCAAGCCGTGCTCGGACAAGAAATACAGGTGCAACCTTTGCGAAGAATGGTTCGAGCAGCACAAGACGCCGCCGGCGAAGCCCGGCGAGTTCTGGGACCCGTCCCCGGAGAGGCCCTGCCACTGGCAGGGCTGTCCCAACTTCGGCGACTGCTCGAAGCCGACGCCGCCGAGGAGGACGCACCCGGGGAAGTGCGCACGCAGGGACTGTCATGTGCACGCGGATCCGGCTGAGCTTGCCAAGAGGCGCGCTGCTGCCTTCGTGCAGTATTGCTCTTGCGACAAGACCAAGACCGATTGCCGCTCGAACCCGGACCCCGAGAAGTGCAAGTGGGCCAGGGCTGCCGCGGTTCGCCAGGCTAAGGAGCGGGAGCGGGCGCAGGCGGCGAAGGGCGAGACCAGCGCATCCCCCCTGCGTACCGAGGAGGTGCAGCAACAGCTGCGCGCGACCGTCGTCTGCGCCAACCGCGAGTGCCCGTACCACGAGGTCGCCGCGGCCTACGCCCATCAGCGCCGTGGCCACGGGGCCAAGTGCTTCAAGCCGTGCTCGGACAAGAAATACAGGTGCAACCTTTGCGAAGAATGGTTCGAGGAGCACAAGACGCCACCGGCGAAGCCCGGCGAGTTCTGGGACCCGTCCCCGGAGAGGCCCTGCCACTGGCAGGGCTGTCCCAACTTCGACAACTGCTCGACGCTGACGCCGCCGAGGAGGACGCACCCGGGGAAGTGTACGCTCAGGGACTGTCATGTGCGCGCGGATCCGGCTGAGCTTGCCAAGAGGCGCGATGCTTCCTTCGCGATTTATTGCACTGATTGCGGTGAGACCAAGACCGATTGCCGCTCGAACCCGGACCCCGAGAAGTGCGAGTGGGCCAGGGCTGCCGCGGATCGCAAGGCTAGGGAGCTGGAGCAGGCGCCGGCAGCAAAGGGCGGCAAGAAAAAGAAGAGGAAGGCGGAGGAGGCCGGCAGCGGAGGTGCGAACGGACATCTGCGCCGCCGTCGCCACAAGAATGACGGCCAGGCGGGTCAAGCCTGAGGGGGGGGGGGGCACCGTGCGCACCAAAACGGGGCTGCGTCGACGGTCGCGTGTGAACCAAATCTAGACCCACCACGGTGGCTCACATCGCGAAAGACCTCGCGCAGGTGGCGCTTATGATCTGCCTCAGAGTTGCTGAACACAAGGATGTCGTCAAGGTAGACAACCACGCTCTTGGTCAGCAGGTCGGCAAACATCTCCACCAACATGGTCTGGAACTGCGCGACAGCATTGCGCCGACCAAACGGCATGACTAAAAACTCGTACGCACTAGTGCGGATTGCAGTCTTCTGCACAGAGTCGGGATGCATGCAAAGCTGATGGTACGCTTCCTTGAGGTCGATGCTGGAGTAGTATCGGTGTCCTGCAACAACATCGAGGATCTCATCAGTGCGCGGCGCGCACGCCTGTGGAATGGTCATCTCGTTCAGTCGACGATAGTCGAAGCACAAGCGCATCTTACCATTCTTCGTAGGCACAAACACAATAGCAGCGCCATACGGGCTGCTGGACGGCCGAAAGATCCCACGTCGTTGCCAGTCCGTCAACTGCTCCTGCAGTTCCTCAAGCTCCAGCTTGGACATGCGGCGAGGGGATTGACAAGGCGGCGCAGCGCCTGGGATCGTCTCGATCCGCATATCCCGCTTCCTCCGCGGCGGCAACCCATCAGGTTCCGCAAACACAGCTGGGCACTCAGACCGCAACTCCTCCACGTACGCAACGTGGGCATCAGGACAGTCCACCTTCGTGTCAGGGGGATCGCTGTCTTCCTCGCTACCACATGTAGCTGCACACAAGTGCACAATGTACAAACAGTCCAAGTCATCGGTCTGGTGCAGGCAATCATGCCGCATCTCTTGCTGTTGTACCATCACGAAACATTGCCCGGTGTCCTGTTGGCTAGGATAACCGCGGTCAATGACAGGGATTACGTGGGTCTCTCGCCCACGCCTGACAGTTATTTTGCGAGTGCGGAACGATATGGCGGGATCATAGCGTGTCAACCAAGGCATTCCCAATATCGCATCATAAACTGCCAGCGGCAGCACCTGGGCGACCACGTCGCACTCCAGGGCTCCGAATCGAATGCGGGCCTCGAGGCGTCCCTTACTGGGGCACGTCGAGCCATCTCCAAGGCGCACAATCGCGTTGGACTTGGATATAAGGGGCAAGCGCGAGTCTCTGGCACAAGGCCTCGTCCAGAAACACCTCTGACGCTCCCGAATCCACCAGACATCTAATAGGCTGCTCCACGTAGCGGTTCGATGCTGATCTACGGCGTTGTCGGCCGTTACTATTTTTCTGCGTACTCGCGACACCAAACTGACCGGCTTGCTGGCTCAGCACGCTGTACAGGGACGCCGAAACGACCATGGGAGCGTGTTGGGACAGCGGGCTCGGCATTGGTGACGTCGGGACGGCCGCACCCTTCATCGGGGTCGACCTAGATGCAATGCGTAGATGTTGATTGTTTGAGTTGGCATAGGGACGGGTGTGGGAGTCGGCGAATGCGGCGCGCATATCGCCGTTGGCGCAAGCTTAGTACTTGCGACCGCCTGGGCCTGCGGGCCCCGGCTTTCCGTTCTTCTTCAGCGGGCAAGACCCGGAAAGGTGACCAATTGCACGGCAAATGCAACACTGGTCGCGACGGAAAATCTCGCCGTTGATGCGGACGTAGTCCTTGTCCACGTTCTCGATCTTCCAGTTCGATTTGCGCTGTGCCTGCTGCTGATGCTGCACTGCGTTGAGTGCTGCCATGACAGGGCCTCCTCCCCCATCAGCAAGATCGATGCACTCATCATCCGCGGCAACAAACGGAGTGTCGACGTCGGCGGCGGGCACGTCGGAGCGGACATGAGGGGGCTCAATACCCAGTTCCATGTACGTCGCCCCATACGATGCCGTCGTCGGCGTCGGGCGGGCGCGGCCCTGCCTGTTCTGAGGCGGGTAGCGCTGCGGGCGCTGAGCATACCGCGGTGTGTCGGCCGCCTGGCCACGGTAGTTCATGCCCAGCTCGATGACGCGCTGCTTGAGCGCCGTCACGTCGCTGTACGACTTTGAGTACAACTTTGATCGAATGTCACGCGGCAGGAACTGGCACAGGAAGTACTGCTCCATGATGTCCAGCTTGGACGTGACAGAGCGTTTGGCACGAGGCAGGCGGTCCAGTTTCATGTGCAAGCGGAACGCGAAGTCCTGCACGGGGTCAGCGCGCGACGTCGCCGACTGGGCCATGGCGCTCATCTCGCGCACAACGTTGTGAAACGACGTGAGCTCGGTCATCTGCTTGCCAAAGTGGTCCTGCAGGTTCTGCTCCAGCACGTGCCAGTCGGGGGTGAACTCGTATTTCGCCTCGAAAGTGGCAATACCTGACTGAACGTACTCGTGCGCGGCGCCGTCCAGGCAGCCCAAGAGCACAGCCACGACCTGGACCTTCAGCCTCTCATCATTGCTCTTCTCGTCGGTCGGGTTCGACACCCAGCCGTTCATACCATAGAGGCTCGCAGGTACTTGGTCATCGACATCAGGAAGTCATCGATTGGATAGTCGATGGTCCCATGCGAATAGGGTTTCGGGGATGTCACGCCGCTGTGGACCCGGGTACTGCAGTTGGATGAACTTGTAGTACTCCGTAGGAGGCGTGAAACCCTCGTCCGGAAGCGACGTCGGCCGCAGGTCTGGAATCAGCACTGCGACCACGAGGTCGCCATTCCGCCTCCCGGGGGGGCGCTCGGCGCAGGCGAGCCGAAAACGTTCGACATCCCGCCCACAAGCAATGCGATGCGCGCGAGAACTGCGAAAGCAAGCGCCTCGGCGCGCCCAAACCGGACAGCTGTCTCAGCAGCCGGCGGCTGTGGGGGATCGTTGACGCGCCTCAACGTGTCACGTATATGGCTCACAAGCCGTCGTAGCCGAAACCTCGCAAGGCTGGCTAACGAAATCACGCACACGCGGCCTCAGCCACGCGTCGGAATCGCCGCAGCGCGGACCGCAGTCCACACTCGCCAGCGCTTTGGCCAACGAGTCGCAGCTCCGTGTTCCCGGTGCCGCTCACGGCTTAACGCGTACGCCGGCGCGTTCCTAGGTCTCCGAAGCCGCCCTTGTGCACCTCTCCACGCGGCACAAGCCAGGCCTACGCTGGTGCAGCTCCCAAAATAAATAAATAAAATTAGATGATGCGGGACTAGCTCTCTCTGGAGACCAGGCTCACACACGAACAACACTTTCAGCTGTCTCTGTCTACTGTCTTGCTGCCGCTCGTCCAGAGGCAGCCCTATCTAGGCTGTGAGCTCCAAGCTGCACTGGTCTATCTAGTCAGTCCAATGTCTGACAGGCATCAGTTGCATTGCCGAGACAACGGCCTCCGCTTGCGCTCCGGCCGTGGAATGGGGGGAATAAGCAGGGCGGTGAACGTGGTGTTGCGAGATGAAGTTGATATGGCGGGTGACGTGGAATTTGACGGCGTTTTTCTGCCGGGTGTGTGCGGGGGTGGGGTGTTGTGTCGTTTCGTGGGTTGTGTGCGGCATGTCGGCGTGCGCGCGGAGGTGGTGCGGCAGGTCGCGATGAGGCGGGGTTGATGGTTGGGTTGGAGTTGAGTTGGTGTTGTTGGCGTCGGGCGGGTGGTTGTGGGAGCGTGCGTGGCAGCATGGGTTGTGTGTGAGGCGAGGTTGACTGTGCGGCCGGAAGGTTCACATCAGTGCCGGCAACTCGCGGTGTACGGGCTGCGGCGGCGGGACGACAGTAACGTTAACAGCAACAGTTACACTGCTCGGCTTACAGCACGTTGTTTTTGTGGGACGCGCACAGGGACCGGGAGGTGGGACGCGCACAGGGATCGGGAGGGGGCGTTGGGTCTACAAGCGGAAGACGCCAAAGATCGTCGTCTGTGTCCCTCCAAATGGATACGGGGATTCGTACTACTTCTTCTATCTCGCGATATCGGTACGTAATGAAATCGCCGCATTTCCATGTGTCAAGTTGCTACCGACATCGTGGTGGATGGACGGGACTCGTGTAGTGGGTGCAGGCACCGTTTCATGACGAGGAGTCCATGATGTTGGGGACGCCCCAGTACATTGACGCTTGTCTCGCGCACGGGGTCTTCGACGCCACGGACGACGTGTTCGACAGCGTCATGAAGTCCGTCGCGATGACCGGATTGAAGGGACAAGCGGCGCTGGACGAGGTGGAGAAGGTGTTGGGACAATATCGAGAACAGGAAGTGTTGAGAACAGGAAGGCAGTGCGGGAGGCGCTGTCGCGTATGGGCGCCAGCGACGACGCGCTGCAGGAGCGCCCGGATGTCCGCGACATCGTGGGTTTCGAGAACATGGCCATGGCTGTCAGACCCCCCTTGCCGCAAGATGCCGTGTTTGCGCAGCTCACGGCGGGCCAAAGAGTGGTCATGCAGGAGATGGTGGGCATCTTGGAGAAGCCCGAGCGACAGGTGTTGATGGTGGTGCACGGTCCTGGCGAAGACTTTCTTGTACCGGGAGGCCATGTCCATGTTTGCGCACGGCGACGTGTAAGCACTTGCGACCGCGACGACAGGGCGGGTGGCGTGCAATCTGCGCGTCGGCGCGACGACCTCACACACGGCACTGGGAACGAACGTGTCTTTGAAGTCCAACTTGTCGGATTGCAACTACAATGGTCTGCGGGCTGCAAACGCCGACGTCATCCTCGTGGACGAATTCAGTCTAATGAAGTCGGAGATGCTGGACGCGATGAGTGACCTACTGAGCAAGGTGCCAGGTGCGAAGAAGCAGAAGATTGGAATCGCGCCGATCATAACGGCTGTTATGTTCGATTGCACGGTTGCTTGTATTCATACGGCCGTTGGCGATACATATCGTGCGCGAAGGTCGACCTGAACAGAGTGTTTCATACGCACACTTGTACAGGAAACCACGCGGACTTCGGGGGCAAGAGCATCATCTTGTTTGGCGATCTGTTGCAACTGCCGCCGGTTGTTCGGAAGGTTGCGGGCAAGCACGGCAGCAAGGAGGAAGCGTCCATGATTTATAGCAGCCCTGCGTGGCATTTGTTCGACTTCTACGAGCTGACTGAGTCGGTACGGCACAGCGGCGATGCCGATCTCTGCTGCGAGTTGAATCAGCTTCGAACGTTGCAGCGCGATGACGAGAACGGCATACAGCTCATGCTGGACTTCATGGAGTCGCTCGCGGCAGCGGCAGAAGACGGCATGGGCGACGACGGCGCGGTGACGTTGGCGATGAAGAACAACTTCGTGGATCTCATGAACAGCACAGCACTGCGGGAGCCCTCCGGTGACGCCGTGCACGTGCACAGCGTCGATACGACCCGCGTGGGATGTGGAGAGCGCGTCCGACGCGTGGAGAGGGACGACCCAGAGTGGGCGGAGAACTGTGTTGACCGGGACAAGGTGCGTGTACGTCACATGCGATGGACCATGGCAGCACACGTGGGCGGCGGCTACAGACATGCATATACTGTGTCCGCGCGCAGATCACGCAGAACATCGATGTGGCCGCTGGCATCGTGAATGGGTGCGTGGGCACGGTGACAGAGATCTGCTTCAAGAAGGACGACGCGAAGCACGTGACAGCGGTGAAGGTTCGCATACCGAGGGTGGATCCGAAGCCGGGCGAGGACGCCACCTTCGAGTTCGTCGTCCAGCGGAAGTCAACTGCATTCCTGCACAGCAAGTATGGACTGTGCTCACGCAGCCAGTTCCCGTTGCGAGTAGCGTACGCTTTCACCGTGCACAAGCAGCAGGGATTCACCGTGGAATCGCCGCAGGTCATGCGTTTGTATCTGCGCGATGCGTTCTGTCCAGGGCACATCTATGTCGCTCTATCGCGCGCACAGCGGAAAGAGCAGCTGCGCATCATGGACTGGGATCGTGACGCGTACAGAGTAGCACTGATGAGGAGCCTTCCGAGCAAGCGCACGTTGCAAAAAATCCAGGAAGCTATTGCGCGCACGCGCGAGCGTGGCAAGGGGCGAGGATCGACGGAAGTGTGACACGGTCATGCGGTGCATTCCATGTCCGTCATCGAGGCCACCACATGCCGTTCGTTCCTTCGCGGCAATGTGGACCTCGGACAAACGCACGTGGAGGCATGGGAAGGTGCTCGGCGCCGCCGTAATGCACGCTAAAGCACCCGCGCTTCGTTCGTATCTCAAATCCGCACGAGAGGACGCTCCACTTACGAGAGAATATGTTCCGCGCCAAATCCTGCACTGAACGTCAGCACAAGCAGTGAACTGATACTCCAAGTCTGGAAAGCTTCAGCATGACCGAAGTTTTCCATTCTGGCCCGCACAAAGGGAAAAGCATCCCAATATGCTCAGCAACCTCCCGCACTTGCGAAAAGGATACCGCGAGGACCGCAGCGCACCCGCGCGGCGGAGAGAGGTGCTCGCCGAAGGCCTCAGCAGTGCGGGCGTCGCACCCGCGCTTCGTTCGTATCTCAAATCCGCACGAGAGGACGCTCCACTTACGAGAGAATATGTTCCGCGCCAAATCCTGCACTGAACGTCAGCACAAGCAGTGAACTGATACTCCAAGTCTGGAAAGCTTCAGCATGACCGAAGTTTTCCATTCTGGCCCGCACAAAGGGAAAAGCATCCCAATATGCTCAGCAACCTCCCGCACTTGCGAAAAGGATACCGCGAGGACCGCAGCGCACCCGCGCGGCGGAGAGAGGTGCTCGCCGAAGGCCTCAGCAGTGCGGGCGTCGCACCCGCGCTTCGTTCGTATCTCAAATCCGCACGAGAGGACGCTCCACTTACGAGAGAATATGTTCCGCGCCAAATCCTGCACTGAACGTCAGCACAAGCAGTGAACTCTTACGAGAAGTCTGGCCAGGCATCATGAAAAAGAAAATGTTCCTGCTCCGTCTGGGCCCGCAGAAAGGGAGAAGTATCCCAATATCTCTATATCTACAGCAACCTGCCAAACATGCCACAAGTAAGCGCACGGCGAAGGTTGCCCCACTTGCAGACAAGCTCGGCGGACGCGCGACGGGGAGTGCGAGCACTTGCCTCCCGCGGGACTTCAGATGCCTCTTGGCGCGCGGACCCACGCCGAGACGGCGACCCTCGGCCACTCGGCGGACGTGGCTGGGGGCTCGCCTGGTGCCCAGCATTGCGCACGATCCCGTAGCGCCAGGCGGGGGACAGGTTGAGCCCGCCGCGAATTCGCGAAGAGAAGACCTCACAGGAGGTAATTCTGGCCGCCGCCTGGCCCCGCGCGGCCCGACCAGGGGCCGGCAGTCGTCGTCGGGTGGCAGACACCCTTGGCTTTTTACCCACAAGTCGCCGCACGCGCAGGCCACTCCAATATGGCGCCCGCCAACCCCCCCGTCCAGCTGACCTGGCTCCTCGCCGCGGGCTCGCCGCACCGCGTGCGCCGCCCGGTTCGTGTGCGTAGTCGGCACAAGTCCTTGCACCTGTCTGGCTTCAGAGGTGGTGCAACTCCGGCCAAACGATGAACATAAGACGAATCGAATGGCTCGTGCAGGGTTCGAACCTGCGCCCTCCCGGACTGGAACCTCATTCCAGCGCCTTAGACCGCTCGGCCAACGAACCGGTGAACTTGCCACCCATTTGGACATTTTACAGCCCCGGCACTTCACATGAGAGCAACTGCGAATACCTAATATTCCTAGACAGCATTTGTACTTCCATACAGGCACTATGCGGTTGTCTAGGGGTAAAACTGTCAGAACCTGCCCGGGAGACATGAGCGACGACAACGTCCTGGTTCTCTTGGCGTCAACAGCCTTGGAACACGAAGGGCTCTCACACGAGGCGACGTCCGGGGAAAACCCTGCACCAGCACGCCCGCGGGATGGACGAACAGGTGCCAGGAACCGGGCGCCTCGGAAACATCTTTCAAGCGCTGGAAAGAACACAAAGGTAGGCCAGCACGATCCCCATATATCTGGAGATACCTGTGCGGTGGTTCACATTCCTCCTTGCGCCATTTCTCCGGGACCCGGCCCATCATGGGAGTGTCCAGCAACCATGGCCGCACTCACCGCCCGTGACGCCGTTTCGCGCCCGGACTTTGGTCGCGGCAGCTGCCTCCGAAATTCAACTTTGCGATGAGCGTCAGTTCGTCGGTCATCACCGGCATCACTGCCCTCTCGAGCCCGTTGACGAACGCGAGTGCCTTTTCCGTGGAAATGACGAGGCAAACCCCCAGGTATTGCGAACAACCAGACGCTTGTGTTTTTCACCATGGATGTCCGCGCAAGAACGGGGCCGTAGATGCCAGTTCGCGTCGGGAAACGGACATAGACTACGTCGAAGTGGCTTTTCCGCACGCCTCGCGCGTTACTTGCACGAATTCACTGCCTCTGTCGCATCTCAAGAAAATGCACAATGCTTTCGGCGACAATTCGACCCCGTGACGTGTCGGACTGCGATCACTCGACCTTGGTTGCATCGCCTGCACCTTTTCCGGCCGGCGCACTGCTTGTGTGTGCCAAACAACGCGCCCAGTAATCGCCTTACCTGACAGACATCCGGACCCGGCCCGTCAGCCCGCTCCAACACCCCACCTTTTGCGTTCCCGGCGAGGTTGCTCACCCTGCAAGCATCTTGGCACACCCGGCGGCCTGCCGATCCGCGATCGACGCACCAGACGCTCCGACGCATCCATCTGCTGTGCCGCGAGCGCCGGGACCGAACCAACCGCGCACCATCGCACAATGCAGCCTTGCAACCCTCTGTTCATGCCTGAGTCCACCGCCACACCCACCTGCCCGCGTCACGCCCCGCTGACGTGCCCGCAGGCGCGACAAGGCGGGCCCCGGCAGGCCAGGAGTGCCACATCTACACCTCGCGATGCGACGCGACGAACAATACACAAGGGTACGTCCTGCTGCCTCTTTGTGTGCCCTCACCTGTGTGCCCTCTCCGGTCATGTCCACAGCGCTGGCTCCCTGTGGCGAGTGCGGGGCAGTCCGTGCAGCCACCGTTTCCGCCCGTCGCATGCCCGCGGGTCGAGACGACCGTTCGCCGCCGCGTGCACCCCATGTTTGCAGGGCGATTGCAGAAGCCCCCGCCCGTCCACAAGAGCACGGGAAACGTCCATGCCGGTGCGCCGAACTTCAAAGCGCTGGCAGGAAGGGACCCGAACCAGCGCAAGGTGACGGACTTGTTCGGAGGACGCCCCAAGGCGGCCCCCCCTGTCCAAAATCCCAATGGCGGGACCGCGGCCGGCGCGCAACGCCCGTCTCGTGCGACTCGCGCACGAGCCGCCGAGAAGGACGCGCATCAGACGGGTCCGCCGCCGGTGGCGAACAGCCCGCCACCGCCGGAGGGCCCCCAAGAGCCAGCCCCCGCGCCGCCCGCGCAGCAGCCGCAGCCGCCTGCGGGCCACGAAGACCCGGCGGTCGGCCACGTTCCTGCCGGCGACTGGGATCCCGACTGGGAGGTGCGCACCACGCAGCGAACCCCCGCGTCCGCCTCGACGACGACGCTGCCGCTCGCCACGCCCTGCACCTCCATGCATGGACGCACCGCGACCCCCAAACCTCCGCAACCGCTCCTCCACTCGCCCCCCCTCTCCCGGGACGCCCGCTCGCAGATCCTGGGCTCGCGGGAGACGTGGAACCGGGTGGGAACGCACATCAACTACCCCACGTGGTGGGTTCTCAACTGGGGCAACTGGCTGCTGCGGAACGTCCTCAAAGACGGCGTCATCACGCGCGACGTGCACATGGAGTACTTCAGCGTCTGGCAAGGCGTGCCCGGAGTTCTCAAGGGGCCCGAGGTCCAGCACAGCTTCATGACACACTCCAGCCTCAACTGGCGGGACTGCCCCACGGGGGATCCGGCCAGGCCCTTCGTCAGGTTCCCGCCGCTGTCGAGGAGGCAGATGCTGCACATCCACCCCGTGATCTTCCTGGAGCCTGCGATCTTCTTCTCCAAGCTCACGGGTGCGCCCAACCATATCGATGCGCGCGCGCCCCGCTGTGTTGGCGCCCACGTGACGCACAGCCCTCACCCCGCCGCCTTCCATTCCGTCGACCGATCGCAGACGCCAGGCACGTGAAATGTCCGCTGTGCGGATGCCGCGCCAACGCCGACGGGCAAAACTACGGCAACAGGAAGGTGGTCATAGACATGGAGCGCGAGCTGCTGACGACCTCGCGTCAGTGGGTGTGCCGGGAGCGCTACCTGGACGGCTCGAAGTGCCGCCGCGAGGGCGGCTGCGGGCTCAAGTTCTCCCTCGCGCATCCGGGCTACATCGCGCAGTTGCCCAGGGTTGTGGCCCGCATCTACGACAGCCTCGTGGTCCGCGGCAAGCAGAGCATCACGCGCCCCGTCCAGGACCTCATCACGCGCCTCGGAACACGCCTGAGCTTCGCGCGGATCCACGGCTTCCTCGAGGACGCGCGCCACACGCGGTACGTCAGCCCGGCATCAGTCGCACCGCTGCCGTTGCCCCCGCCCACGCTCCCCTATGCCCGGGACGTCGCCGTGAACGCATCAACGTCCTCGCGATGCACGCAGGTACGTCCGATCTCGCGAGCTCCACCTGCTCGCGACCCTGGCGGACGCGACGAACGCAGGCCGCACCGCCGACAACAACCCGGCGATCAAGGCCCTCAAGGACTGCCAGAAGACCATGACGGCGCTCCAGGGGCGGGCGCAGTTCGCGAAGGACACCGTCGACAAGGCGCGGCGGCAGAAGAGAGCCGCGCGCGACGCCCAGGACGCGGCGGAGGCGGCGGTCCCGCAGGACCCATACGTGCCGCTCCCTCGCAAGCGCAAGGAGGCGCCCGACGGCATCGACGGCCGTGACCTACCCGTCAGCGTCCGCGAACATCTCGCGCGAACCCCTGGGCGATCGCCACAGGACAGCCAGCCTCCTGGAGCCATTTGCGCAACACCTCCTCGACGACCTCTCGGCGGTGCAGGCGCCGCTCGACGAGCACGAGCGGCGCGCTGAGGAGCTTCTCTCCAGTATACCTCGCGACCCTGCGCTGTCTCAGGTGCCGCTCTTCAAGATCCCCGGGAACGATACTGGCACGGGGTATTACGACGATCACCGCTTCTCTGTGCTTCCGAGCGACTTGAGTCGCATGGCGGCGAACGACTGCGTGTGGGTCTCAGACAAGCTGCTCGACACGACCATGCTGCAGCTGCAGCGGGAAAGGATCGCCTGGCACCGCGAGTGAGGTCCCTGCGCGCTCCTAACCTGACGAAGGCCCTGTACCTCGTGCTGAACGAGATCGGCCAGCCGGTGGCGTACAACTTCCTGTCCAGTGAAGGTGCGAGCCCCCCCCGCCCAGGCCATGCGGGAGCTGCAGACGTGAGCGCGACGCCGTGTTTGAAATGATCGGTCCTTGCCCGCTGCTCTGTCGTCTCGCAGGTGACGTGCCGATCCGGCCCGTGCTGGTCTCGCTCAGGGAGCGCCTGGTGTACTTCCGTCACAAGGCCACCGGCGAGGACCGCGACGGCATCGAGGCGTTCTTCGACGACACATGCTGCACGAAGGGATACAAGCCTATCCTGGATGTCTTCAAGACGCTGCGTCTCGGCAAAGTCTCGCTCGACCTGTTCCACGCGATGGACCGCGTGAACAGGCACGTCAGGCACAAGTTCAAGGGACGGTTCGCTGTCGATCTCAGTCTGTGCTTCCTGGAGTTCGACCGGGGGGACCTGGAGAAGTACCGGCAGTTCCTGCAGTCGGAATACGAGCTCGGGAACCGTCGGAGCACGTCGACCACCTCGCCCTTGGCGGACTTCAGCCAGCTCGTCCGGGACCGGCGGTGCCGCGAGGTCTGCCGCGCCAAGGTCCGCCGGCCCGACGACATCGAACGACGGCTCGACGACCTCGTCGTGAGCACGAACGTGGCTTGCGCAGCGGACGACCTCCCAGTGCTCGTCGATGACGTCGTGAAGCACGAGATCGAGAAGCTCAAGAGCAACCATCTCGAGTGCGTCCAAGATTGGTCCCCGAATATCGCGGACATGTACTCTCGCGACCCGGGGCCGGACAAGTGCGGCGTGCCCCCGTATCATGGGATGCGGGGCTCGGGCTTCAACGAGTCGCTGCACCATCGGCTCAACAGCGCCTTCAAAGCTTCACACCACAACAGCATGATCCTCACGCACGCGAAGGTCCTGACCAACCTCGTGCTCTGGGGGATCGAGGTCCACGGCCGGCACACCGAGGCGAAGCCGCTGTTGACGACGGACCTCACGACCGTGCACGTGAGCACTCCCTCCCACACCAGCTCGCGTTGCTCGCGCACGCTTCCTGGCGGCACGCGAACGATCGCGTCCACGCACGCGCACTGACGACCCGCCCGATCCGCCGTGCAGGACGTCAACTTCCTCGAGAGCTGCATCTACGGCGAAGTCCCGTTCCCCAGCGCTCCTTGCGCGGACCCAAACGTGCCGCGCGGGAAGCACGGCTTCGGCAGCAATTGGGAGGTGCTCTCGGCCGTCAAGGCGAGCGACAATCGCGATGTGGTTGAGGACGGCCTCACCTCTTTTCAGGTGCTCTGCCAGCAGGAGGCAACCGCGATCATGGAGGACGTCGAGCAAGGCACCGCACGGCACACCGCGATGTCCCTCTCTGTCTCGCACGTCACGGACCCCGAGGTGCGTTCCTGGTCGCGCCTGCCAGCTCCCCCTTGTCGACACCCCCCCCCCCCAGGGGGGAGGTGCGTGTGGCCAGACGGTCGCTGTTCCCCCCCCCTCCGCCGCCCCGCCCGACCTGGGCGTCTGGGCAGTCGACGACTCACTGTGCGTCGATCGATGCGTACCGCAGCCGAGCATGGAGCACAGCGGAGTGGGCTTCTACGACCCGGCGTATAGGCCGGTCCGCAACAAGTTCAAGCAGGACATGTCGGAGGCCGCTCGTGCGTACCAGGACCAGACGGGCCCGGTGGACGGAACCACCTGTGTGGCCGGCCGCCTGAAGTGTCCGGTGCTGGGCTGCACGACGGACCACGCGGGCAGCAAGCGGCCCCGCTCGCCGTGCACACCGTCCAACAACGATGGCGGTGCGGCCGCGAAGCGACGAGCCGGGCCGCCTCTGCGCACTTCCCTCCGCATCAAGGGCAAGCCCCAACCCAAGGCCCTCGTCGGTGCGCGCACTCGTCCCTCGTGCTGCACGAGCATGTCACGACGCGCTGCAGTGTCATGCCCCGAGTTTGTTTGCATCCCCGCGTAACGACACACCCCGCCGCGTCCTGCAGGTCGACCGAAGAAGAATGCTCCCGAGAAGACGGGCCTCGGCAGCAAGAAGGCCCAGGAGGCGCGCGCAGGGCACAGCATGAGTCGTCGCACGATGTTCCCCTCTGCCGACTCGTGGCTGAGGGACATCATGGCCGGCGGCGCGGGAATGCCGCCGGGCTCGTCGCGGTTCAAGGCCCTCGCGAAGATGCCGTACGTGTGGCGACAGTTCTACGACCCGCGCACCGACGATAAAACGAAGTATCTGGAAGCTGCGCTGGCACGGCGCTGCCTGCAAAAGCACCGAGGTGACGTTGTCAAGGCGTTGCAAGAGTACAACGGGAGTGTGCTCCTCGCCTGGGAGAAGGGCGACGGCGGCGGCGGTCTCATGCTGAAGTTTCTTGGAGACTTGACCAAGTTCAAGAAGAAATGGTGAGTTCTCGCGGCGCCATGCGTCGGCGCGCTGAGGAGGCGAACCAGCCGCGCGCGCTTCTCCGCATTCGCACCGCGCTCGTGGCTCCGCCTCTGCCTACGTGCGCCTCCCCCGGTCGACGTCGACGCGCAGAGTCGATCGACCCATCTGCTGTCTGATGAGCGCGCAGGCTGAACAAGACGGCGCGCTCCGACGGTGAAAATCGCGCACAACAGCTCCTGGAGGATCTGGAGCGCCGGCTGGGCATGAGCGCCCTGCGGGGCGAGGAGTCCAAGTCGCTGCCCGGGCGCGGCATCGGCGACGCGATCGGGCCGCACGAGGCGCTCGTGCACCCCACTGGCGTCCCGCTGGATGCGTTGTGGTACCACGGCGTCATGCAGGACGACATCGTCGCGGCCATCACCAAGGCACCACAGGTAATGGTCAAGAAAGGAAACAACTGCATGTGGTGCAAGCAGCCGAAACGCGGGGTGGACCATACAGCATGCCTCAGCGACATGGCATTGGGGCACGAGGACATCATAAACAAGACCGGCAACGCGCGCGAGACCGCGATCAAGGCTCTGAAGCTTCGGATCGTGCAATGCATGAGGCGCGTCCAGGGAGCCCGGGAGCAGCAGCAAGCCGCGGCCGAGCGGCTTGAGCGGCACCCCACAGCGAACCCGTCAGCGCACGCTCGCGACCTCGCTGGCGGGCCACCGGAGGTCTGCGTGAAGCAGGAGATGTGATGAAATAGTCGTCCATGAGGAGATTGCAGCAAGCCATGCCGCCTGCGCCATCGCGTGGTACGACGGTGCGCGTCGTTCGGTGTCCGCAGGGATGAGTTGCGGGCCCGTGCGAGTCCACCGTACATGCCAACAGACAGCTGTTGTGCTGCACAGGTGCTAGCGGGCCATACGTCGCGGCACCTGTGCAACTGTCTCGGCTGGAAGGGCACTCTGCGAACACGTGTGCGTCCGAGTCGAGCGCGGCATTGCAAAAGCGCGCTCACCTGCGCCCCGTGCATCGTGAGGAGCGCATGATTGTGAAGTCTCGCGGCTGTCCGTCACAGACAGACGGTCAGGTGCGCGAACGGAGGAATCGCAGCGCGGCAGGTGCACCTTGCTGGGCGCTGCGTGCCAGGGGTGCCCGGGGTGCCAGCATCGGGTTCGTCGCATGTGCAGGTTGCTGGTCAGGCATGTCGGGCCGTGCCTGGCGCTAAACTGGCTTCAGTGACCCCAATGGCGCGCGACTGGCGTCACGATGATCCCGATCTCACAGCGGCGCGAGCAAGGGCCACCACTCGCCGCTGCTGACGGCCGGCAGCGACGAGCAGCAGGGCTAGCAGGCACCAAGTGGGGCCGCGCCTCCCCGGTGACGCTCCGAGCCGACCCTGCTGACCGTACTCGCCCTCGCCGGTCCTACCGGGACCCATGCAGGCGTCGTAGGGACGCGAGCTCCACATCAGCCTGAGTTCCGTCCGCTCACCTGGCTGCAAGCATGGCCTGAAGACAAAACGGCGCTCAAGCCCGACGCGTGCGTGACGAAACTGACCTCTGCGCACTGCGCTGCCGTGTACATGCATGTCATCGTCCGCTCGCGGGCCGTCAGGCGTGACCCATCGCGGGAGCGGGCCCCCGCGGCGGTGGTGCATGGTGCCCTGCGCAGTGCACCCGTGCGCCCGAGCGGCAGTGCAGCCCAACCGTGGCACACAGCCTGACGCGCCTGCATGATTGTGTGACGCATCGCTCGATTCTCGAGCAGAAAGCGTGCCTGGCTCGCTCAGGGCGCCGCCCCGTGGCCTGCGCTGGCATTGGTGGCCCCCCTCAACTGCCGCCGCGCGCAGCGCCTCACACGCAGCAAGAATCGATCGCGACAGCGGCGGAAAGGAAACTTCTGAGGAAGTTAGCGCAGGTGCTGCGGGCAGAATCGTTCCCGCGGGGCGAGAATCGCGGCCCGCCGCGGCCGAATCGGTACTGGCAGGTGGGCAGGCAAGCGCCGCTCGCGGGCCTGCGGCCCGCTCGCGGCGCGCCCGCTAATTCGCCGGCGTCGCCCCCACCCCTAAACAGCGTAATTTTGCCCACACAGACTGCGCCGGAATGTCGGCAACTCAAAGCTCGGGGTCCTCCCTGACACAAGAAACCAAACGGCACTTCCCGAGACACGAAACGACGTGTGCGTGTACGCAACTTACAGCGCAGCAGAGGCAACCACGTTGCCCCAGCCCGCAACGCCGCGGCGCGCGCGCGGCGGCCGCGCGCACCGCCGCGCTGCCGCGTGCGCACCCCGTTGCCGCGCCGCCCGCCGCGCCGCCCACCGACTGCGCACTTCTGCGGGGCGCACCCCACAGAGGTGCTTACATAAACAGACCTCCCCGCCTCACGCGCGCGCTGGTGCGTCGAGCGGCCCCTGGAGCTCCGCGTCGGGTCCGCAGAACTTCCGGAACCGCTGCCACTGGCTCCACTGCATCCCCGCGGCCACGACGCCCCGCAGCCCCCAGCGCCACGCAACGTCCACCAGGGGCGCCGCCTCCGCCCCCCCGCACGCCCGCCACGCCTCCAGGTCGCCGCCCGACCCGACCATCGCCTGCCCGAGCCTGCACAGCGCCACCGCGTCGAGCCCGCCCGCCGCGGCGCCCCGCGCCAGGAACGCCGGCCCCACGACGGCGGCGTCGCACGCGTCCTCGGGCGCCGGCGGCGCGCCCTCGCCACGCGCCGCGAGGCCGCGCAGCACGGCCCCGACGCGCGCGTCCTCCGGGTCGAGCTGCCCGAGCGCCGCGAGGCCCCACAGCCCGTCCGCGACCACCCCCGCCGGGGACCGCAGGGGCCCGCCAACGAGGACGCGCGCCGCCAGCTCCGGCCCCGCGCCGCCCTCGCGCGCGTACAGCTCGCTGCAGCGAGCAGCCGCCGGCGCCCAGCGCGCCGCGCGCAGCCGCCGGCGCCCCGGGTTGGCCTCGTAGCGCGGCATCTGCATGGACAGCGCGCCCAGCGCCCAGGCCAGGCGCGGCGCGGCGTCGGGGCGGGAGCGGGCCGTCGTCGCGGCCCAGGCCGCCCGCGGCGCGCCGCCAGAGCGGGCCGGCGACGGCCTCGGGCGGGAGCGGGCCGTCGTGCACCGCGGCCCAGCCGACGAGGGCGCGCGCCGCGGTGCGCGCGTCGGCCGCGTCGACGCGCGCGAGCAGCGCGAGGCGGGCGGCGGCGACGTCGCCGATGCGGTCCGCGGCGTCGTGGCTGGCGCCGCGCGGGTCCGCCGCCAGCCGCGCGCAGCGCGAGATCACGGCCTCCCAGTGCTCCGCGGAGGCGTGGTGCCCGTTGGCGGCCATCAGCCTGGCGAGCCGGACCATGTCCGGCGCCGCCTCGATGCGGCGCAGGAGCGCGAGCGTCGCCCAGTCGACGTCCCGCAGCGCCCGTGCCTCGGCCTGCAGCGGGGCGGGGGCTTGCGCCGCCGCGCTTCTGGGTGCATTGCGACGGGGCTCGTGCGCACGGAGCGCATCGGGGTCATCGGGCGGGGCATGCAGCGCGCCCCCAAGGTGCGCGCCACGCACCTTGCGCTCCAGCTCCGCTCGCGCGGGCATCTCGCGCCTCCACGGCGCCTCCCGCGTCAGGCCGTTCCACTCGACCTCGGTCGTGCCCGCGACCATCGACACGCCGCGTGCACGCCCCCGCGCGCCCGCACGGGGCGCCCCACCCTCTGCGGGAGCGAGGGCGGGCCCGCCGGGGCACGACGCCCGCACGAGAGGGGCGCGCATGGGCGCCTGTCGCAAGTTCACGCGCAGGACACGCCGCCACATCTCAGAAGCGCCGGAGACGGCCGCCCCAAGCGGCGCGGCGCGCCTGGGTAGTGAAGAGCCACACACCGCCCGCCGCGCTCCGCCGCGCGCCGACAACTGGCCGGTCCTGCAGCGCGTCAAGTTGTCACGCGGGTCGCGCGCGGTCGCCCCCGAACGGCCACGGTGACACCGGGTGTCTGGCCAGACGGCGACCGCGCCACACCCCCCATACCCCTCCGCTTGGAACAAACAACGGAAAGGCCCCAACACCTTCGGCCATGCTCGATGCTCGGTGCCCACTTCCCGACCGTTCCGTCCGTGCTGTTTCGTTCTCTTTCACAGGGGAGGGGAGGGCGAGACCTGTGTCTGCCCTGAGGTTGCAGCGGCGCCGGGCGCGCGCGGCGGTCCGCCTCGCCCGGCCAGCTGGCGGCCGGACGGACGGCGCTGCACGTACGTGCGGCGCGACACGGCGGTGCGCGTCCGCCTCGTGCTCTATGCACGAGGGCAGGCTCCAGTGCGCCACGAGGCGAGTCTATGGGTGGGTCGGGTAGGACAGAGAGCGACAGATGAAGGTTGAATGCTTGTGGGTTGAAGGGAGAGAGGGAGGAAGGAAGGAAGGGAGGAAGGAGGGGGTGGGTGACCGGGAGCGTTCGGGAAGGTATGGTACGACGCGGATTCGACGGCCGCGAAGACTCGCGGCGACCGAGTCGGTGCCTCGCATCATCATCGCTGCCTCGCGACGTCCGACCCGAGCTCCATCTCGGAGCCGGCGCTGGCCTTGGAGCGCCCGCCGGCGCCCCAGCGGCTCCCGCTGCTGCCGCTGCCGCCGGCGCTGCGGCGCAGGTGCCCCGCGAGCTTCGCCGCCATGGGGTTGCGCGACAACAGCGCGCCCAGCGGCGGCGGCGGCGACGCGCCGCCGCCCAGCCCCACGCCGACGACGCCCTGCACGTGCGGCGCGCCCCCGCCGTGCGCACTGTCGACCGACATCGTCGAGCCCTCGTGGTGCGGCTGCGCGGCCGCGCCGACGGCGGCGACCCCCGCGGCCGCCGGGGCGGTCGGCTCGAGCGACATGTTGCTCAGGTCGGGCAGGATGCGGTGCAGCGAGGCGTCCGAGAGGTCCATGGCGTTGCTGCCGCCGGAGCGCCGGTGCGAGACCATCGAGGACGGCGCGCGCGACAGCGGCGGCGCGGGCGGGCGCGCGGCGGCCGCGGCCGGCGGCGCCTGCAGCGCGGCGGCGGCGCGGGACGCCAGGACCCGGAATGCTGGGGACTCGGCGGGCTCGGGCGCGGGGGGGCTGTCTGCGTCGCCCTCGGCCGCGCGCGTGCGCACGTCCGTGAGCAAGGACGTCGTCGCCGAGCGCTCGAGGTGGCGCCCGCGGCCGCTGACGCTGGGCGTGGCGGCGGCGCTGGGGGCCTGCGAGGTCGGCGGCGCGGGGCGGTACCCGCGCGAGCTGTCCGGCCCGGCCGCGCCCATGATCTGCGTCTTCGCGCGCCGCAGCCCCTGCCGCGGGCTCTCCTGGGCGCGCGGACTGCCGCTGTACTCGACCGACGCGCGTTGGATGCCCGCCCAGGTGCCGCCGCCGCCCGCGGGCGCCTGGTCCCCGCGCGGCGACGGCGCGGTCGGCCCGGACGCCGTGCGCGGTGCCGCGTGCGCGGAGTCGGCCCCGGAGGACGACGTGTGCCACACGCCGCGCGACGACGGCCCGGCGCCCCCCGCGCCCGCCGCCGTCGCCGAGCGCATCCCCGTCGGGGTCGTGCCGTCCGCGTTCCACTGCGTGTAGATCCGCGTCGCGACGCGCAGCGATCGCCGCGCCTGCAGCGCCGACGGCGGCGAACCCCCCGGCCGCCCCGCGCCCGCGCCCGCGCCGGCCTCCTCCTCCTCGCCGCGGCTGCTCGGCGGGGACACGACGACCTGGCCGTCGCGCCCGATCGCCGCGTGCTCCGGAATCGACGTCGGGTTGTACACCGCGCTCGGGACGTTCTCGCCGATCGCGCCGCGCTGCGAGGGCGCGCCGACGTGGAGCGTGCGCGACGAGTCGGGCCAGTTGGCCTTCCCGGACGCCGTGCGCGCGGGCATCGCGAACCCGCGCGTCCGCCCGCGCCCCGCTGCCTCCCCCGGCCCGCCCTCGGACATGTCCGTGCCGTCGCTCTCCGTCCGCGACGCGTACGACCGGTCCGAGCCCTGCGGCGACGCGGGCGTCCGCGGGCCCCCGCGCGCCCAGCTCGCCCGCGCCGCCTCCGGGATCGACGCCCGCTGGTCCGGCGAGGGCTCGCCCATGGTCACCGCGTCGCGCTCGGCCGGGTCGGCCACGAACACGTCCGACAGGTCGTCGCCCCCGAGCGACAGCGTCTGGCGGTGCTTCCCGGGGCCCGCCGCGACCACGGCTTCCTGCGGCGGCCCGGAGTAGTGCTGCTGGAGGCGCTCGACGATGCACTGGAACGACGGGCGGTCCTTCGGGTCGACCTTGAGGCAGTCGCGGCACAGCTGCGCCAGGAAGGCGTCGGCGTGCGGGCCGTCGGGGAGCTCGAGCGTGCGGCCCTCGACGCCGACCGCCGCGATCAGCTGCATCGCGTTGTACCCCTCCCACGGGATCTTCCCCGTCAGGAGCTCCCAGAGCACCACGCCGTACGAGTACACGTCGGCCTTGCCGTCAAAGTCGCCCCACGACAAAATCTCCGGCGCCGTCCACTGCGGCGTGCCGACGCCGGACCCGATCGACCCGATCCCGCCGTGCGGGCCCATCACCTTGCTCAGCCCGAAGTCGGCCACCTTGACCCGCCACCGCTCGTCCACGAGGATGTTGGGCGACTTGAGGTCGAGGTGCAGCACGGGCGAGGGCCGCGTGTGCAGGTACGCCATCGCCTTGGCCACGGCGAACGCCACCGCGAGCTGCAGCCGCGGGTGCAGCGGCTGCCCGCGCGTCCGCTCGATCTGCGCGTGCAGCGTCCCGCGCCGCATGTACTCCGTCACGATGGCCATCCGCGGCTTCGTGCAGTACCCCATGAAGAGCACGAGGTTCGGGTGCCGCAGCCGCATCAGGATCTCGACCTCGCGGCGGAACTTGGGCGCGAGGGAGGGGTCCGCGAGGCTGCCCATGAGCTGCTTCACCGCGACGAGGGTGCCGTTCCAGCGCCCGACGTTGACCTCCGCGGACGCGCCCACGCCGATGCGCTCGCCGAGCTCGACCTCGCTCAGGTCGATCTCGAGGTCCGCGCCCGACAGCGCGCCAGACCCCCCCGCCTCGGTGTCCGTCCCGCCGCCGCCCGACCTCGCGCCGTCCGCGGAGCCCCGCATCGGGCGCCCCGACGCGCGCCGCAGCGGCGGCGGACGCGCGGGCTCCAGCGGCGCCTGGTTCGGCGGCGCCGACGACGCCGTCGCGAGCTCGGCGTCGGACGCGACGCTCGGGCCGCGCTCCACCAGGACCGCGCCGCCGGAGCCGTCCCGCGACGCCGTGAGCCCGCGCGCGCTCGACGTGCTCGTCTCGCGCGACGTCGCCTTCCGAATCAGCCCCGACGCCGCGACCGGGATCCGCCGCAGGTGCTTCATCGGGCTCGCGCCCCCGCCGCCGCCGCCGTCGCCCTCCGCGTGCGACCCCGTCGCGTTGCGGCGCGCGGCGCGCGCGAGCAGCGCGGCGCCGGAGCCCGTGCGCCTCGGCGCGGCCTGCTGCGCGCCGCCCTGCTGCCACCTCGGCTCGATGCGCAGCGCGGAGAGCTGCGAGTGGATCCAGCCGGGCGTGGCGCCGTGCTGCTGGCCCATGGAGCGGTGCTTGGCGATCCTCGGGTGCCTGGAGTCGTGGCCGGAGACGACGCTGCGCGGCGTGGCGTCCGAGACGCCGCGGACGCCGCGCAGGGCGGCCGCGACGACGCCGATCTTGGGCGGAGGGCCGGGCTTGGCGGCGGGCGTGATGGAGGGCCGCACGCGCTCGCGGGAGGTCCGCGGGCTGATGTTCGCGAGCGGGAGCGGGTCCTTGGGCATGCCGCGAGGCGTGTGCGGCTGGCTGTCGGACTGGGCGCCCGGGGCGTGTCTGCGGCCGGGACAGAAGGCGAGGCGAGGCGTGAGGAGCGGCGCAGAGGCTCATGGGAGGGTGGGGCGGCGAGTGCGGCGCGCTGGCCTGGCGGGGGCGCGCGCGGTCGGGCGGCGCGGGGCGCAGGCGGGCTGCGCGAGCCGGCGCTCGGCGGGTCCGTCCGGGGCACGCGGGGCGGCCGCGCAGCGCGGCCGCGGTCCCACGCAGCGGCCCGTGCGGGGTGGCGCGGGGCGCGGTCGGGCTGCAGGGGCGGTGGCGGGGGCGCTCGGCGGGTGGCGGACCTGACGGACGGCATGGACTCATTGCTCGGGAGAGCCTCGACGCCGCGGGAGTGCCCCATGGCGCGGGGAGGACCTGCGGCGAGGGAGAGGGCGGGGCGGATCGGGCGCGGGGGGTGTCCTGCGGGCTGTGCGGCGTCCTGCCGCCTCCGCGGCGTGGCACAGGGCGGATCCGGCGCCCCGAGGGGTCTCGATGAGCCCCTGGGGCGGCACGTCGCGTCGAATCGAGAGAGCAGGAGCAACATCGGCGTGCGGCGCGGGGTGGAGGGAATCCTCGCGAAAGCGACGTGCATTCCGACGAGGATAATGGCTGTGCGCGGTTCGGCGGGCGCGGGGGCCGCAGCGCGTCCTCTGCGTGCCGTGCGGGCCCGTGGCGAAATCGATGGAGGGTCGAGCGAGCCTCACCTCTGCGAGTCTACGCCCCTCCGAACGAGATTCGCTGACAAATTTGCATGGGTCGTCCGAGCAGACCGACGCGCGTGGTCGCGGAGGACGGTGAGGGTCGGGAGGCGACCGCTGGCGCAGCTGCCGAACACAAGGGGCACAGGTCCCGAGCCCCGCTCCGCTGCAGTGACAAACAGTCTCGAGCGTGTCCGAAAAGGATCAGTGCTGCAGGCACATGCTGTGCGCGGCCCATCAGCCGTCGGCGGGCCCACGCTGGCCCCACGGTCCGCCCGACAGTCGCCCGGGGCAGGAGTCTGTGACAAGTGGCACGGTCACTGCGCGTCACACAGCGAGTCTTGCCTCGTATCGACCCGCCCCTGCTGTCAGACATGCCACAAGCGACCCTACGGCAGCTTCGAGCGCCGGACCCGCCGCGCGAACCGCCCGCACGGCGCGTCCGGCCAACCGCTGCTCCGCGCAACGCGCTGCCGACCCGGGCAGAGGCCGCCGCACCCCCGCGCGCACCACCGCGGCGCCCGCCGCCGCACCGAGCGACGACGCGCTGTGCTCGGCGCGGCCCGCACCCGACCAACACACAATTCCCCCTGCCCCAGCCAGTGCGTTGATCGGCGGCCGGTGCGTCACACGCGGCTGCGTCAGCTCGCGCCGTCCTTCATCTGCTGCTCCGCGACCCCGTCGGCGTCGCCGCCGCCCCCGACTCCCCCCCTGCGGCCCCGCGCCGCCCGCCGACGTCCCCGCCGCGCCCGCCGCCCGCGCGCCCCCGCCCCCGCGCGCGGCCCCCGCCCCGTCCCCTATCCGCTCCGGCGCCTTGTCGCCCAGCAACGCCGCCTTGGACGTGGCGTGGATGCGGAACCCAAACACCCGCGGGACGTACGCGTCCACGGGCGGTGGCGGGTACAGCAGCGGGTAGGTCATCAAAAACAAGTGCGGGAACGTCGTGCCGAAGTACGCGCCGTCGACGTTGCCCTGGTACTTGGACCGCGGGTAGTAAATGTCCTCGCAGCGCGGGCAGTAGAGCTTCACCGTCGACGTGCGCGGGATGTCCGACTGCCCGACGGGCAGGCAGCCCTGCCCCTGGCACATCACGCGCGGGCACCGCCCGAACTCGACGGCCTTGTACTTCTCCAGCATCGCCGCGAGGCCGCGCGTCGTGATGATGAAGCGCGCGTGGATGAGGCCGTACAGCATCTCCGCCGCGGACTCCACGACCTCGTGCTGGTCCTGCGCGCACCGCGGCGGCCGCGGCGGCCAGCTCCTGAGTGCGGGGCCCGCGGCGCGGGGGCGGGGGCGTGTGCGTGTGCGTGGGCGTGGGCGTGCGGGGAGGGGCCGCACGTTGGTGAGCTGCTCGGCGTGCGGGCTCTCGAGGTCGAGGATGAGGTCGAGGGCGAGCTCGTAGTACGGGACGAGGCCGGACAGCCCCGAGAGGTTGAAGTCGTCCTGCACGTAGTCCTCGTCGACCTCGCAGAACAGCTCGTTGCCGCGCAGGCCACAGAACCACTGGATCCACGACAGGCCCTCCTCCTCCTCGTCGCCGCCTGCGCGAGGGCGGTGCGGCGGGGGTGGTGGGCGTGGCGGAATGTGGAGGGGGGTGTTGAGGCGTGTGGGTGCGGACGGCGGGCGGGGTGCGTGCAGGGCTGGCGTGCGTGCAGGGCGGTGGCGCGGCGGTGGCGGTGGCGAGGTCGGGCGTGGGCTGGCGTCGGTGGGGGGGGGTGTCGTCACTCACCGTCCGACCCGTTCTCAGTGTCGTCCTCCGTGTCGCTTCCGCTCACGTCGTCGGGGTCCCAGCGGTTCGCCGCCGGCTCGGGGTTCGGCCGGGATGGCCCCTGCGCGCGCGGGGGCCCGTCCAAAGCGGCGCCAGTGAGCCACGGCCACCCGTGCGGTGCCGCTCCTGCCCGCAGCGCCGCGCGGGCGTGCGCGGGGCGCGGCTCGTGGGCGATGCATCCTACGCAAGCGCCGCTCGGGGCTCGAGAGCGGCGCTGGCGGTCAGAACGGGGCCAGGCAGCTGTGGCCGGCCTCGGGAGCAGGCCCCGCGCGCGAGCGCCGGCGGGCCCGCACGGCGCGTCCAGGCGGCGGGGCTGGCGGCGGGAGTTCCGGGGCCGCGTTCCGGCGCAGGGAGCGTTGGAGGGATGCGCGGCGGGCGGCGTGCGCGCGGGCGAGACGGCGAGCAAGCTGCCCAGACCGGTTGAGGTGCGCGCACGGCCGGCGTGGGGAAGATCACGGTGCTTCCGGTGGTGCAGCGCAGCGCGCAGTCGATGCTCCGCCCCGTCCGGGCACGGCGCGCCCGGGAGGGCCGCGTCGCGCGCGGAGCGGGCCGCATCGTGGCCAGCTACAGCTCAACCGAGCGCCCCAGGATGGGTTTCCGAGGAGTTTTTGGGGCGGGACTGCTGCAGGGAACACGCAGCACGTCCGGCGTGCGGCGCCGGGCACCCGGGCCGCTGCGAGCCGCGAGCGCGTGCCGTGCACGGGCCACACCTGCATCGTGGCGGCAGAAGACTGCCGCAAGAGCCTCCTTAGCCCGGTCCTGCGCCCCGCTCGGCCGCCGAATCGACGGCCCGGCCTCCCCTGCGTCACGTGCTATGCGCTCGCTGCCACCCCCGGCTCCCAGCGTCCTCCCGCGGCCCTGCGGCAACTGAGCGGGCCAGTTCCAACCTCGGTCCCGTGGCACCTACGCTGCGCCTAAAACACGCAGCACGGATCTCGTGTGGCTCAAACGAATTCGCTCCTCGTCGCTCCGCGCGCCGAGGCGGCACGTTGTGGCCGGACGGGCCCGTCCGGCCGCCCCCCTCCAGTCGCACAAACACGCAGGCCAGTATGAGCCCAAGTCCCGGCGTGGCGACCCGCACGGCCACTCGGGGCGCGCACGCCACAGGCCCCGCCATCGCTGCGCGCCACTATCTGGGTCGGACTCCGTCGCGCGCCCGCCGACACGGCCAACAGAAGCACCGCGGGGCGTGGGCGCGGACCGCGGCAGCGCAGGGCCCGTCGCGCGGCAGTGCAGCGCCCGCGGGGTCGCCGAGCGACAGGATGCCGCCCGGCGGGGGCATGCCCCCGCCCCCGCCGCGGCCGCCCGCAGGGGGGCCCACTGCGCACAAGAGCAGCGGCGCCCAGGCGCCCCTGCACCCGTCCGAAGGTGCGCTGGGAGCTAGCCCCGCGACACGAGCGGTGAATTTCATGCTGTGCAGCGCGCGGCCCGGTTTGGTGGCCACGGTGCGCGCAGCCCGCGCTCGCTTTGCCACCGTGCTCCTCCCCGGGCGCCGCGCGGGTCGCTCCCCGCGCGATCTCTTCCCCGCGGCGAACGACGCGACGATCTCCGTCGACGCAGAATACCTCGGCGCGATCGACGAGGGCGGCGGCGACGCGGACGCGCCGGCGCAGCCTCGCTCCAGCAACCACCACGGCGTCGACATGTCCCCGCAGCCCTGGGACGAGTTCTGGGACAAGAGCGAGGACGTCCACATACCCGAGCGCGGCACCACCTTCCGCGTCTACCGGTACGCGCCCCGCGCCGCGCCCCGACACCCCCTGCAACCCCCCCCCCCTTCCACCTCCACCACCACAGCACGTTCCCGGCGCGACCCGCGCGGCGCCGGCCCCGTCGCGCCGCAGGGCGGGAGACGAGGGCGCCGTGCTGTTCTGTCTGCACGGCGGCGGCTACACCGGCCTGTCGTGGTCCCTCTTGGCTCGAGAATTGAAGACTGACGTTCAAGTCGTTGCGTACGACATGCGCGGCCACGGCGAGTCGCGCTCCGACGCCCCCGCGGACCTCTCGGCCGCGACGCTCGTCGCCGACGCGGTCGCGGTCTGGCAGCGGCTCTTCCCCGCCGCCCCCGGCCGCGCGCCCCCACAGACCATCGTCGCGGGCCACAGCATGGGCGGCGCCGTCGCGGTGAAGGCGTGCCTGACGGGGAGGATCGCGACGCTCGCGGGGCTCCTCGTCGTCGACGTCGTGGAGGGCACGGCGGTCGCGTCGCTCCCGCACATGCGGTCCGTGCTCGCCAAGCGCCCGCAGCGGTTCGAGTCGCTGTCGGCGGCGGCGGAGTGGGGTCTGTCGACGGGGATGACGCACAGCCGCGCGGCGGCGCGCGTGTCGCTGCCGTCGTGCCTCGTGCGGGAGGAGGGGGGGTCTGGGTGGGTGTGGCGCACGCCGCTGGTGGACAGCGAGGGGTACTGGGAGGGGTGGTACGTGGGGCTGTCGGGGGAGTTCCTGCAGACCAAGTGCCCGAAGGTGCTCGTGCTCGCCGGGACGGACAGGCTCGACAAGACGCTCATGATCGGACAGGTGTGCGCGCGCAAGAGAGGCGCGCGTGCACGCGGCGGGGCGCGGCGCGCGCCTCCCCAGGTCGCGGCGCCGCGAGGCTCGCGCAGGGACCGAAGCGCAGGGGCCGTTCTACCGCCCCGGAGATCTCAACGGACCAACCGCGCGGTCAGGAGTGCCTGTCGGGAACAACTCCGGAACGCGGTTGGTCGGTGAAGATCTCCGGGACGGTAGAACGGCGTCGGCCGCGCATGGCTTCGCCGGTGCAGCGCCGCGACCTGGGGAGGCGCGCCGTGCAATCGTGCTGCGTGTGCGCGCCAACCGTGACTGCGCCCTCGACCCACCACGCCCGCCAGGCCGGCCGCGCTCGCAGCTGCGCGGGTTGCGTTCCGGCGGCGCGCCTGGTGGTCTGAGGCGACTCCCCCCCTGACGTCTGTGCAGATGCAGGGCAAGTTCCAGATGGTGGTGGTGCCTGACGCAGGCCACGCGGTGCAAGAGGACTCCCCCGGGCGGATGGCCGAGGTCCTGCGGGAGTTCATCGCGCGGTACCGCATCGGGCAGGAAGCGGTCGTGATCCCGACGGGGGCGGCGGCGGCGGCAGCACGCGCCGCCGCGAGCAAGGGCGCGCGGGTCGACACGCCCTCGGCGACGCGCCCACCGCACTAGCAAGAACGACGGCCCGCGAGCGAGCGTGCGGTCGAGAAGCCCTCAGCGCGGCCGTCCGCGCCACCGGGGAGGGCACACACACAGAGCAACAGTCGTGTCCCGTCCCTTCACGTTTCGGGGCTCGAAAGCAGATAGAACGCGACCTCCTCCGCGAACGCCGCGTGTTACGCGAACCTGCCTCGAGCGGCTCACACCCCCCCCCCGCTGCTGCCAGCCTACGCCGTCGCTGCACACGCGCTACCAGGTCCCAGGCGCCATGGCGGTCGGGTTGTGGTACGCCTGGTAGTCCCACTTGACGTCGAGCGCGAACGGCTCCGAGATCTTCACCCCCGCCGCCGTCGCCGTCGCCACCTGGAACTTGTTGATGCTCTGTTTGTCGCGGTAGTAGCACACCCGCAGCGCGCTCTTCAGCAGCGCGACGGCCTCCTCCTCGGACATGTCCGGGCGGTGCGCCTCCCGGAAGAGCGGCACCGCGAGGTGCCCGCCGAAGCCCGTGGCCACGTGCGGCGACTGGTAGTGCGTGCCGTTCATGGCCACGCAGCCGAGGAAGGGCTCGCCCTGCTTGGACACGCCCGCGACGACGAGGGAGTTCCAGAGCGGGTTCATCTTGCTGCGGCGGTTGTACATGACGCGCGTCAGGTAGGAGAAGACCTCGGAGGGCTGCAGCGTGATGCCGTCGTCCTGGCAGAAGTCGGCCGTGGAGAGCTCGTCGAGGTACCGCTGGATCTGCTGGAAGTCGCTGACCTCGCCGGACGCGCCCACGACGCAGTTCGGGTTCACCTGCGCGCGAGGGGAAGGACCGAAATCTATCATCGCGCGCGCGCGCCCGCGTGGCGTGGGTTGCCTGCTGTGCGGGGCCGGCCGGGGGCCGCGCGCCGTCTTGCGCGCGGCGCGGGAGGCTCTGGGAGGTCGGCAGCCGCCGGGGGAGGTGGCGGGGCCGCACCTCGATCATGCGCTGCAGGCCCTTGTAGCGCTTCGTGGACCCGTACGAGCCGAGCATGTCCGCGGCCATCGCCACTCCGTCCTTGTACCTGACGGCGAGGATGGACGTCCCAGTCACGTACGGCGATCTGCATGCGTCGGAGCGGGCGCTCTGGGGGCTCGGCCGCGCGCCGCGGGGCTGTGTGCGAGCACCGGAGGTTGATCGAGGGGTGGCGCGGCGCCCCGCGGCTGGCATGCGGAGCGGAGCGGGCGGAGCGCGGAGATCTGAGATGAGCGAGGGCCTCGAGCAGGGCGGTCGTCGGAAACCGGGCTGGGGGGACACAAGGCGCCGGTTGCTGGTGCGCTTTGGAGGGCCGCTCCACGGCCCGCCTGCGCGCCCTGGCAGCGGTTAGCCCGCCCCGGGCCGGAGCTGATGTGCTGGAGCGGCCTTCCGGCGCGCTGCCGGGCGATGATGGCCAGCGTGGGGAGCGTCCGAGCAATGCGACGGAAGAAGTCAGAGAACGTCCTCGCCCGTGCCACGGATTGCGAGCCGCCTCGCGAGACGTCGCGTTGAATGCGAGGCAATGTAGATACTGGCTGCCAAATGACGCTGTCGACGTGCACGATCCTGCCATGCACAGGCTGGGCGAGCAAGACTCGGAGCGAGCACGGAGTTGGGGACGTACAGGGTGTGCTTGATCGGGTCATCCGCCTCCTTCAATATCGCAGGGTCCACAGCACATGCTGGGGCGCCGGACGTGGGCTTGTGGTCCACGGGCCGCTGCAGGGACGCGTGGTGCTCGGCCGCGCCCGGGGGCAGCATGAACTGGGGCCCCGCACATCCTGGCCCGAGCGCCGTCGAGTGACTAGTGGGCCGAGGATACATCCTGGCCTCCTACTGCGGTCTCGCGGTCCGAAGCCGACCCGGCACGCCGGCAGCGGCGCTACGAACGACTGCCCCTGTGCTGTTTCACGCGCGTCTGTGCGGAGGAACGACGTGCCCCTATCTCCGCCGCAGCCTTCGTCCTCCAATGCGCGCGTGACGCGTGCACGGCCCGGCCATCCAGCCCCGGCGCGCCCCGGCGCGCCCCCTGACCACCACACCGTCACACCTCACGGGGCCTGTCGCGCGCCTCCTTCGCACGATGGCGCCAAGGGCGCGCCCCAGAGCGCCGCACCGAGCGTTCCTATCGCTACGAGGTACATATACCAGGACGTGTGCAAGCGAAGACGAGCAGCGCAGTCTCTGGAGATCAGAGTGCCGAGGCCTCGCGCTGCCTGGGAACGTGGCTGGAAGGAATGCTGAGGCACTGCGGGCGTGTATTGCTCAGTGATGCTGTCCAGGGCGGACTCGCCGGCTGCGGGCGCGGGCTGACGACCGTGAGCGAGTCCCTCCCATCAGCTCAGGGTGAAGGGCCGGCGCTGGCACAGCGCAGCGACGCAGCCAGGCCCGCATGCGCGTGGGGGCACCACGCGTTCCACTCTTGCCCTTCGCGACCGCTGTGGACGCGCTGGCAGCACGGCGGGAGGCTCGTGCACAGCACTCAGGCCACGCGACAGGCAGCGCGCAAGGATGGCCGCCAACGCCCTGAAACCGCACAGTCAGGTGCGCCGCGCAGACGACACCTCCGCGCACAGCCTGCAACCGCGGAGCTCGCGTGCCGCCCGACACCCCCGCCCCGGAATTCCACCGTCAAGCCCCCGCCGCGCATCACCCTGTCGCGGCCCCGCCCGCACGCCCGCGACGTCCGCTCCCGCGCCCCACCCGGCGGCCCCCCTCTCCTCACTCTCCGCGCGCACGCGCCCGCCGTCCCCCCGCAGGCGACCCCAAGGAGGCGCCGTCCGACGGATCGACACCACGCGGGCGCACCGGCGACGCCGGCGGGCCCGCCGACGGCCGCTCCGAGCCGGGCGGCACGGGCGGCGACGGCGGCGACCGGCCGATGGAGCAGCTGCGTGCAGAATGGGCCCGCGACGCGTTCCCGATGTTTTTCAACCGCTGGGTGTGCGACGCGTGGTTCGGCGCGCTGCGGCACGCGTGCTCCGAGTCCGGCCCGAACCCGCGCCTGCACGACAAGTGAGGGCCCGTACGCCTGCGCACGCGCGCGCTGGCCGTGCCCGACACCGGCCGTCGCGTCTTGACGTTGTCTCGTGCGTTGCAGGGTACGTCGGCGCGTGCGGCGTGCGTCCGAGGCGCGCTCACCGCCGCTGTCCCTCGGCCGCCGCGCAGGTTCGAGGAGATCGAGGAGAAGGCCTCGGAGCGCATGGTCGAGGTGACGGAGCGGCACTTCGACAGCGTGCGGTCGCCGCGCGACGTGACGCACCTGCTCTTCTGCGCCCTGCACCTCGGGACGTACCACGCGCTCACCACGACGGGCGTTCCGCAGCGCGAGGCGCTCGACGTCCTCGACGGGCTCTCCGGCGGCGCGGGCGAGCGCGCCACCACCTTTGCCAGCCAGTTCTCCACGTGGATGGCCAGCTGGCTGTCAGACTCCTACACGCACGTGTCGCGGCAGCTCGCGCGGATGGCGACGGACTACGGGGAGGGCATGGGCTGCGAGATCGAGTCCAGCGACGCCGCGCCGGGGCGGGGGGAGTCGACCACGCTCCGGGTGGGGTCCTGTTTCTACCGGAGGGTGTTTTCCGAATGGGACGCCGAGCTCCTACTGCAGTTCGTGTGCTGCCGGAGGGACAGCTCGTACTACCAGGGGCTCGAGCGCTTCGGCGTGGGGTTCGAGCGCACCTCCGGGGGTGTGGGCGCAGGGAGCTGCTGCATGCGAGTGTTCCGGAAGGCCGGTGCGCCGCCGGACCGCGGCGAGGGAGAGTGATGTGAGAGACGGAGCGCAGCGGTCTGCGTCCCGGGCCGGCGTCGCCGTGGCTCCGGGGGGCGTTATTGTGTCGTGGGAGGGGGAGGTCTTCTCGATCACCGCGCGGTCTGTCGAGGGCGCCGTGGGCGCCGCGTGCGGGCCAGTGTGTCCCCGAGCGTCGCTCGGCGTGGCGCAGGAAGCCGGAGGTCGCCGTTGCACAGGGGCGGGAGAGAGCTCTGTTGCTTTGTAGCGAGGCACCATGCTGCGCGCGAGCCGAGGCGCCGTGCTGCGCAGCGCATCGGCTGCCACTGCGTCACAGCTTGGGGCCGGTGTGTGCGGCGGGTCGCTCGCGGCGGTGGCCAGCCTCGTGCGGTCGTGGAGCTGCGCTGCTGCCAACAGGGGGCCGGGGGGTGCGTCGCGGGGCTGTCCAGGGACGAGCGGCGATGCACGTGGATGGCACTTCACCACGGGAAGGTGTCCTTCCAGGAGGACTGCGCGGACAGACTCGGGGGCGTCCGGGGCACGCGCTATCTGCAGCTCTCGGCCCTGTGCGGGCGAGGGACCGGAAAGAGACGACAATAGGGGGAAGCCTTCTTCCAACATAGACAAGGACGGTACGAACGTCTCGCACAGACGACAGTCAACACTCCGCTTGCTTCGCGCAGACGCGGGACATGCGCCCTGAGAGCAGGCAGCACAGCACGTGGTCGTTGGCTCGCCACGTCGGCCCGATGTCGCGACCGGCGCCCCTCCGCGCTGAACACCTCTCGCGCAGGACGCCAGGGGAAGCGCGCCGCGAAGCCCCAGGACGGAGAGCAGGCCGCGTCCGCGGGGGAGAGGCGCGACGCAGAGCGAACGTCCGCACGGGGCGCACCGAAGGACGCGTACGAGCAGCTGGCGGAGGCGCGGCGGTCGTGGGCGACGTCGTTGCTGCGGAACCAGAACCGGCAGGAGGCGCCGTGGCGCGCGGTGTTCAACCTGTCGTTTTACTTGCTGCGGGAGTACTGCCGGGACCAGCTCGGGCTGCAGGACAGGCGCGCTCCCCGCACACACGAGCCGCTTCAGCGGCGCCGGGGGCGTGATGAGGCCGCCGTTGCAAGGCGCGCGTCGGCGTTGGGTGTGTTGTTGACCTTCTAGGCCGCGTGCGTGGTGGTGCAGGGCGGACGAGGTGGAGGAGAAGGCGCTGGAGCGCGTGACGGAGATCTCGGAGCGGTACTACGACCGCGTGATGTCGCGCGAGGACCTGACACACCTCCTGCTGTGTTGTTTGTACCTGGGGGCCTACGACGGACTCATCCTGGGGGGGCGGCTGTCGCACAGCGACGCCCTCGCGACCCTCAACACGCTCGACTTCTCCCGGCACGCCCTCCGTGCGCTGGCAGTCGTGAACTACTATTTCCTGATGACTGCGACCCTTGTGGCAGATGCCCCCACAACCGCCGCGGGGCAGCTGCGCAACATGGCCGTGAACCACTACGGCCCGGGCATGGGCGTGCACTTCGAGGCGGCCCTCGACGAGCGCCGCCGCGTGCGCAGCTTCACTCTCCAGGTGCATGACTGCTTCTATCGAAAGGTCATGAGCGCGGAGCACGCGCCAGACCTGCTCGACTTCGTGTGCTGCCGCCGCGACAGCGTGATGCACAAGGGCATGGAGCGCCTGGGCGTCGGGCTGGAGCACAAGGTTGCCGGCGACGGCATCACGGACCCGCGGTGCTGCTCGCTGCGCGTGTACCGCCGGCCGCCCGTGTCGACCGACGGCGGCGAGTCCGACTGAGCGTTGCCGCGGCGCGAGGGCCCAGCGGCGACGCACGCCGACCTGTCCGGTGTCGATGTGAGCGTGGTCGCGAGCGTCACAAAACCTCAACGCGCCGCCGTGCCGACTTCACCCAGACGCGCCCTGCGCGACAGCGACGAGCTTGTCGAGCTGGCTCTGCGCGCGGAACCTCTCCCGGACCTTCTCCACCTCCGCGAGCACCACGCCCGGGTGCGCGCGCGCCGCCTCCGCCAGCGCCTCGCCCACAGCCCGCTGCACGCCCGCGTCCTGGTCGTCCAGATGCACGAGGATCCCCGCAACGAAGTACCCCGCGTTCGTCTTGTCGAACGCCGCGCGCGTCGTGCGGAAGAACGCGCCCACCGCCGCCGCCGCCGCGCACCGCACGCCGTCGTTCGAGTCGTCCATGCGCTTCATCAGCTCGGGATAGATCGCGCGGAGCTGCTCGTAGGTGAGCTCGGCGCCGCACGACTCGAGGAGGTGCAGCATGAGGTGGCACGCGGTGTGGCGCGTGTCCTGGTAATAGTCCTCCTCCATCACGCCGTGCATCATGGTCAGGACGTTGGGCACGGCGAGGACTTCTATGAGCTGCGCGGCCGTGGCGAGGCGGCGGCGCAGGAAGGTCGCGACGCACACGACGGCGGCGTAGCGCACCGCCGCGGCGACCTTCCCGACCTTCCAGAGCATCGGCGGGAGGAGGAGTCTCAAGAGAACCCCGGGGGCGTTGCGGCCCCCGAAGGCCGGCGCGGTCGCCTCGGCGTCGATGAGCTCCTCGAGGAGCTGCAGGAGCGCGAGCCGCATCGCGGGGTCGCGCTCCTCGTTCGTCGGGTCGAGCAGCGGCCCCGCCGTGGCCGCGATGCCTGGCATGAGATCGGATAGCGTCTGGCTCGGGCACAGGCGCAGGAGCGCGCAGAACCCGAGGAAGTCCGGGCTGGATTTCGTCCAGGTGTCATCGGACTTGCACACGTCGCGCAGGAGCCCCGGCGCGTGCAGCGACGCCACCGCGTCGGCGCCGGGCAGCTCGCAGGCCCGCGCCAGGGCCTCCGTGGCTGCGCCGGCGACCTCGACGAGCCGCGGGTCCGACGCGCTGCCGGACGCGCGCATCTGCAGGAGGACGTGGAAGAGCTCGCGGCTGACCTCCTTGCAACCAGCGCCGATGGCGGCGATGGCGTTGTGCGTGGCGGCGACGAGCTGGTGCCGCACGGCGCCGTCCTCGCACCCGCGGACGTCCTCCGCGCACAGCCCGGACACGAGCGTGCGCGTGAGGTCCGCGTCGAGCGCGCGCCCTGCGCGGTGCGCGGCGTGGAGGTGCCCGGAGAGGACCGCGAGGCCGCTCGCGCGCTGCCCGGGTACGAGGCGCGCGCCGGAGACGGCGTCGAGGCAGATGGGGAGCCAGTGCTTGGGCTGCGGGAGGGCGGGGGGAGCGGACGGCGTGTGAGCGCGCAGGGAGGCTGCGTGCGTACACGAGGCGAGCGTGAACGTGACTCAGGAATCTCTCCTGCCGCACGAAGGAGGCGTCAGTGAAGCGACCAGCACAAGCGTGCAGTGCGGGTCTCACGCCGCCCCAGCGCGACCGATGCCGCGCAGCAAGGCGTCGCACCTGCACCATCGCCCCGACAACGTGCGACGCCTTGATCGCGATCTGCGCGACCTCCTCGTCCACGTCGCCCGCGGCCGTCGCCAGCCCGGACTCCAGCGCCGCCAGGTGCCGCACGAGCCCCCCGCGCGCGAACGTGCACGTCGCCAGCAGCTTCCGCGCCGCTCCCGCCCGCAGGTCCGCGGTCCACTCCCTCATCTGCCGCAGCGTCGACGGCAGCACCGCGTCCAGCACCGCCCGCACCGTCCTCTCCGCGTCCCGCCCCGGCAGCCCCGTGAACGGCGCCGGCAAGAGCGGCGCCGCCGCTGCCGCGTCCAGCCCCGCCGCCTCGCGCTCCGCCTCCTCCTCGACGTCCGCGACGCCGCCCTCGCTCTCGCTCGCCAGCACGCGCGCGCAGTACACCGCGCCGACGCCCTCGACGGCCGCCAGCGCCGCCGACGCCACCTCCGGCGCTGCGGTGTCCGTCACGAGGAGGAGCACGTACGGCAGCAGGAGCGGCATGCGCGCCCTGAGTACGTCGGGCGCGATGTCTGGGGGCGCTGCGCCGGGGGCGTCGACGAAGCCGAGCCACCCCGACAGCGCGCGGAGGGCCCTCAGTCGGACCGACGCGGTGTGGTCCGACAGGAGGGGCTCCATGCCCGGCGCGATGACCTCGCGCAGGGCGTCGATGGGGCAGGACGCGCAGACGAGCGCGTCGAGGGCGTCGACCGCGCGCGAGCGCACGCGGTGGTGCTGGTGCCCGACGCACGTCAGGACCGACTTGGCGAGGTCAGACCGGAGCGGAGACACCCCCTCGGCGCCGACCGCGTCCACGAGGAGGCGCACGGCGGCGCAGGCGGCCTTCTTCGACTCGTGGAAGGCGTCCTCCGCGCCCCGGCACAGCAGGCTCGCCCACTGGGACGCGAACCCTGACATGTGTTGCGGACCCCCCCCGCGCGGCAGCAGCTCGGCGACGAGGGTCAGGATCGTCAGCCGCAGCTCCTCGGAGGGCTCGCGCACGGGAACGTCGCCCGCGCGCCGCGCCAGCGCCGGCACCAGCGGCGCCAGGAGGGCGGGCACATCGGGGGCGTTACGCGCACACTCCAGGAACACCTCCAGGGCCAACGACCTGCGGGCACACGCGCGGCGGAGCGTCGCGCGTCGCTCGCCGCGCCCTGGCGACCGCGGCGACAGCGGCGCGTCGGGAATAGAGGATTCAGGTCTGTTGCGCCGCCGCACAACCAAGGACGCACCTGCACTTCTCCGCCGGGTCCTCGAGGAGCCGAACGAGCGGCTTGAGCAGCGGGCCGCACACGAGCGCCTGCAGGAGCGCCGGCGAGGGCTTCCCCGCCGCCGTGTCGCGGCCCAGGAGGCGGGCCGCGACGCGCAGCGCCCCGCCAGTGCGCGTCGCCCTGTCCGGGTCCGACATGCAGTTCACGTCGCGCTGCATCGACGCCACGTACTTGTCGCGCTCCTCCTCGGAGCTCCCGGCCGTCGAGGGGTCCCAGGACACGACCGGCACGGCCGCGTCGGACGGTTCAGCCATCGCAGTATCGCTCGCCGCGGGCTGCGCCGCGGACCCGGCGGGGGGCGCGCGCGGGGCGATGTGGGGCGCTTCTGCGGAGCGAGAATTTCGAATGGCGCCGGTGTGTGAGGCCCGGGGGGTCGCCGGCGCGCCGGCGCGCGGGGAGGGCAGGTGCGCTGGGTGCGCCGACACGCTGCCGCGCGGGCGCGCCCCGGCGTTCGCGGGATCCGCGCGGGCGCCGCCGCGCGATGTGGCGCGGGAGCACGCCCAGGCCGCGCGTCGAGCAGGGCGGTCTGGGCCCGGGACCGGCGATTCCCGATGGGAGCCTGACCTTGCCAATAAGGAAACCGACGCACAGCGACACGCAGAGAAGTGATTGGGGGCGGTTTTCCGGCGTACACGTGAGATGTGGTATTGCGTGCACTGGAAGTCGCATCGTTGCGGTTCGTGCGGCCCGGAGCCGGCCAGGGCGGGAGTGCTTGGCGGGTGCTTGCGCTGGCCCGACACGCGGCCCGGTCGCAGCGCGGCGTGTGGGCCGCATCGGGAGAGCGCACCAGTCGGAATCGCGGGGTTCGCCTCTCTTCTGGCCTTGGGCGCCGCGGACTTCTGGAGCTGCGCCCAAATGGCATTGATATCGGCCTTCTTCCCAGACATGTTGGCAGCGTGCTAGGACTGGTCGGCGCCACGCCACCCGGGAGGGCCGGGGCCTCGTGTGGACGTCCGAGAGCGCTGCTGGTGCTTCGGAGGGCAGGCCGGCGTCGCGAACCAGACGCGAGGACCGCTGCGTTGCGGCTGGGTGCGATCGCAGTGTCCGGGAGTCGCGCTACAGGGACAGCGATCGCGCGGTCGCGCCCGATGTACCTGGAGAGCGCGCGGTGGCGCGGCTGGTCTGGGGAGGCCGCGGGACGTCGCGGACGCAAGTGCCGCCGCCCGGCATGCGCGGCGGGGGGGCCCTGGTGGGTAGAAACTACCACTGACGTCAGGTTGGCGTGGGCGGGGCGCCGCCGCTTGCCACACACGACACAGCTCACAGGGCGCCGCGCATTCCGGCAACGTGCACCCCCGTCACTCCGCGTCCCGCCGCGACCCCGCGCACACCACGCGCGCCCCCCTGCCCCCCCCCTGCTGCCCGCTCCGCCCGCCCACGCCCCCGCCGCCGCCCTCCGCCCTCATGATCCGCTTCACCAGCAGCTGCAGCACCCGCGTGCTGTTGAACCCGTCCGGCTCCCGCACCGGCGCCGCCTGCCCCTTGCGGTACCCACGGCCCATATACAACGTCGTCGCCGCCACGTTCCCGGGGTCGCAGTGCAGCGCCACGGACCGGCAGCCCCACCGCGCCGCCAGCTGCTCGGCCGCGTCCGCGACCGCCGTCGCCACGCCCTTCCGCCGCCCCTGCGGCGCCACCGCGAGGTTGCTGATGTAGGCCACCTCCTTGCGCGGCTGCACGCGGCGGCCGGTGCGGCGCGGGGGCACGTGCGCGCCGAGGGTGTCGAGGACGACGGCGGCGACGATCTCCTCCGCGCCGTGGAGCGACGCCACGCGCGCGGTCACGGCGCCGGAGACGTTGCGGAACATCGGGCCGGGGGCGAGGGGGTGCTGCGGACACCCCGAGGGGTGTTTCTTCGTCGTGGGGACCGCCGTGGCGAGGCCCGCGCGCCCCGGGACCGTCGCCACCAGGCACACGAACCGCCCGTGCCCCGCCGACTCCAAGTAGTCGCCTGCGCAGCGGCCACACACCACTTCCATCCGTCACAAAGAAGACCGATCGAATGAGGAAATAGTAATCAATCAATCAATCAATATATAGATGTCGCCTTCAAACATCATCCGCTCGGGCTCGCAGGCGGGCCGGAACACGTGCGTTGCGGCGCAGGCGGGGAGCGGCGCCGCTGCGGCCGCGTGGCGCGCGCACCTGTGAGGAGCGCGTAGACGCGGTCGAGGCGCCGCAGGGGCGCGGAGAGGGCTCCGGCGTCGGGGTTGAAAGTGTCCACGTGGACGCGCGCGATGGCCCAGTAGTCGTCCGGCTGCGCGAGCCGCACGCACACGCGCGTGCCGTCGCGCGTCTCGACGAAGACCGGGTCTACGGGGACCTGCGCGCGTTGTTGAGGCGGTGGGGTGTGCGCGTGGTCTCGGGGCGGGCGGCGTGACGCAGAGGCGCGCGGACGTCGTGGCGGGGCGACGGCGGTGCCCGCACCTGCTCGTCGAAGGGCACGAGCCTGCGGGGCGCCGCGTCTGCGGCGCGCGCACGCACTTCGCGGCCCCGCGCAGGCGCGTGGTCGAAGCGAGGCGGCGTGGGCCGCCGGAGCGAGGTCGCCCGCGGCTGAGCGAGCCTGCACCCGGGGAACATCGCGTGGGATCGGGCGGCCGCGTGGCTCCGCGTAGACAGCGTCGCGGCGGGCCGGGACGCGCCCGAACCCGTGGAGCGCTGCTGCACGTGTGGCATCCTTGGCGCGCCCGTTCCCGCGCGGGCCACGGACGCCCTCGCGCCGCGGCGGCGCCGCTGAACCGTGCCCGGTCGCGCGAGCTCGAGCGCGCGGGCGCCCTGGCGACCCGGGTCCGCGGCGGGAAGCACCGGAGGCCCGGAGCGGCGACGCGCGGGCCACTCAGCGGGCGATCGAGGGTCCAATCGGTCGCCCCTGCGATCACCGGACCGATCGGCATCGTCGGGGTGGGAGCGACGCATGACAGCGTCGCCCGCGGAGCGTCAGCCCGGGGAAGAGGCACGGCGCGCTTCGCCAGGTGCGATCTTCCCGCAGCAGCCGCCACGGCGCTTCTCGCGGCGGGGCTCGCCGCGCGGTCGCCGGGGTCACACCAGGGGTGCCGGGGGCGAGGCGGGGGGGCCCGGATGGCCCCCTCGGGTGCAGCTTTGCGCACTTGGACCTACCTGGGAAGTAGGGCTTGCTGCTCCGGCGCTGTCTGGCGGTCGCTGCGCGCGGAGGGATGTCGCCGCGGCGGTGGCGGTCGTGTGTGGCGCCGCGGTGCGCCGCGGCGAGCCGACGGTGGCGGGTAGGGGCCGCGGAGCGGTCGGACGGGGCATTGCTCAGCCGGTCAGCGCCCGGGGGGGCGCCGCGGTGGGCTTCCCGGGGCCAAGGGCGCGCGCGGGCGGGGCATGAGTTCATAGATTCGTCGTCGCGGAGCCTCTGAGGATCCGCACGCAGCTGTAGTGGACGGGGGCTCGCATCGGCAGGCCCCAGCGCGAAAGCTATCACGATCCGCGGCGCTAGTCGCCGCCGCCGCCTCTTGGTGCGCCGTTCATAGTCAGGTATAGGGCCGCGATCGCCGAGAACCCGCGACAGCGCGTTCAGCGAGAGGTGACAGGTGAGGAGACTGCCTGGCCTGGCCGAGCCTGCGTTCTTGCGTGCGCCCGCCGCTTTCTGCCGCCGCGGCGGGCTGCGGCCGCGCGCGTTCGGCTTACACGCTCGCGGCGCCGGCGCGGCTGTCCCGGTTTTCGCGGCCCGCGGGGAAACTTCCGCAGCAGCAGGGCTTTCCCGCCAGGGCGCCCACCGCAGCCGCACGGCGGAGCGCTCGCGACTACGCGGAAGTCCGCAATTATACATACCCGTGGGCGCGCGAATGGGCTGCGTCGGCGGCGCACAGTGGAGGCGCCTGCCAGCCCTGCCTGCGCTGCGGGCGCGATTGCATGCGCGGCCGCGGACGTGTCCCCGTGCGCGCGTCGACGCGGATCGGTTGACAAGGCGCGCCACGGTGACCCATTGACGCGGCGCAGGATGGGCGACGCTCCCCTTTCGGGCAAGTTCCGCACCGATGCCAAGGTGCGCGACTTGTACAAGCTGGGCAAGACCCTGGGCACGGGCGGATTCTCCGTGGTGAAGCTCGCCGTGGATCGCAGCACTGGTGAGTGTCTGGCCCCCGCCGCCCTCATCGCGCAACCGCCTAGCACGGAGGTTGGCATCGACCTGCGCGAACGCCGCCTTCCCCGGCGCCCTCGGGCCTCGCCGCGCACGATCGCGCACCCCTGCATTTCGCCTCCCGGCAGCGGTCGCGCGACTGCGCGTGCAGGCCGCCCAGGGCGCGGGAAGCGAGTGCCCTTGCACACGGCACCTAGTGGCTGCGCTGTGCGCCCCGGCAGCGCCCCTCCGCGCACCCCGCCCCGGCCAGCGCCCTCCCGCCACCCCACGCCGCCGCCGCCCGCCCGGCCCCCCCACCCGGACCCCGCGCGCCGCCCTCCCCGGGTCAACTGCCAGCCCCCCGCACCCGCCCGCCCCCCGCCCGCCCACCCCGCCCCGCCCCCGCGCCCGCGCTCCGCAGAGAAGCAGTACGCGTGCAAGATCATGTCGCTGCCCGACCCGGCCAAGGGCAAGAAGGCCAACGACCCGAGCATATCGTCGCGCGCCGACATCATCAAGGAGATCGACATCCTGGCGCAGTGCGACCACCCGAACGTGATGTACCTGAAGGAGTACTTCGAGGAGAACAACAAGGTCTACCTGCTCACCGAGCTCCTCACGGGCGGCGAGCTCCTGGACGCAGTGCTGGAGAAGGGGCACTATAGCGAGGCCGACGCGCGCGTGTGCTTCCAGAAGCTGTGCGAGGGCCTGGCGTACCTCCACCAGCGCAAGATCGCGCACCGCGACCTCAAGCTCGAGAACCTCCTGCTCCAGGACAAGAACGACATCTCGACGGTGAAGATTGCCGACTTTGGCCTGGCCAAGCGCGCGGCCGAGTCGACGATGGAGACGATCTGCGGCACCCCGCAGTACGTCGCGCCGGAGGTCATCCTGGGCATCCCGGGGAACAAGTACACGTTCACGGTCGACCTGTGGAGCGCGGGCGTGATCCTCTTCATCCTCCTCGGCGGGTACCCGCCCTTCTACGACGAGCACGAGCCGCGGCTGTTCATGAAGATCCGCCGCGGGCAGTACAGCTTCGACGACCCGGTGTGGAACAAGGTGTCGGACACGGCCAAGGACCTGATCAAGAAGCTGCTCACCACGGACCCGGACAAGCGGCTCACGGCCGAGGAGGCGCTCAAACACGACTGGTTCAAGGAGGGCGGCGGCACGAACGACCTCGGCGGCACGCTCGCGAACTTCAAGAGCCACGCCGAGGGGCGCAGCAAGGACCCGCAGGTGACGGCGGTCGGGGACGAGGAGGTGGCCAAGCGCCTCGAGGAGTGGTCGATCGAGAACCGGAAGAAGCTCGACGTGCGCGAGGGCGACGACGAGTGAGGCGCCGCGCAAGGGCGCGCGGACGACCCGCGCGGCGCGCCGGTGCCACGCAGCGCACGCGGGGGCAGGGGCGCGGCCGCGAGGGACGCGCTCGCCGCCCTGGCGCCACATGCGGCGCAGAGAACTTGTGACCCGCACAAACGAAACGAAACGAAACGAAACGAAACTGACGCGAGCAACGGACGCGCCCCACGGAGACCGCGGGGCCTCGTCACGCAGCGCCCCTCCCTGACTCACCACCACTGCCGGGACGGAACGAGCGAGTAGTCATATCGACTGAAGACGCCGCCAGTGCCCCCTGTCGCAGCTGTGCTGGCCCGGGCTGCATGCGTCAAAAGTTGCGCCGCACAAGCCCCTCGTCACTTGTAACTTGACACCCGTCACATGATGCACCCACTGCCTCTCTCTCTCCTCACGCAAGAACGCGTCCTAGTGGTCGCTCACGCCCCTGATACCCCGCAGTCATCGCGCTTCGAGATCACGTGTTCCGCCACGCAGGATGAGTCCTTGCACCCCTCGTCCCGCCACAACTAGGTAGTTGCAGCACGGCCCGGTGCCCCGCGAGGCACCCGCCAGCGGCACACGCCCGCGCCCGTTCGCCTCTCGCGCGCCGCCTGGCGCCCGTCAGCCCCCGACGGAGCCATCGGGCCGCAGGTTGCGCAGCCAGCTTTTCAAAATCTCGAGCCGCTGGTTGCGCGGCTCCGTCCCGAAGATCACTGCGGGGGCGCGGCGCGTGCTGGACGTCGGCGGTGGAATGCGGCGGCGCGGGCCTCGATGGGCGCGGGGACGGCGCACGTGCGTGTGCGCGGCGGCAGGGGGCGCTCACCGAGGAGGTCTTGCTTCACGAGCACGCGCCCGCCGGCCTCGGCGACGAGCATCGGCAGCGCATCGATGCGCAGTTTCTCCAGCTGGTTCTGCACGCCCTGCACAGCACCACAACGCAACGCACACCAGGGCTCGGCCCGTGCCGCCCGCCCCCGCGCTCGCACGGCCAGCCCTCCGCGTCCGGGGGCGCGCACGCACCTTGCCGCGGGCGTTCAGCGCCACCGCGCCGAACACAGCTCCCGGGATCTCCTCCTGCGTCGTGACCCAGTCTGCAAACTCCGCCCACACCGAGGACGCCGACGGGACGCGCATCTTCCGCTGCCCGTGCTCGCGGATCTCGCACGCGCCCGTGCTGCCGCCGACGGCCATCAGGCTCGCGGGCGACATGCAGTCGTAGAACAGCTTCAGCACCACGTGGGTCCCGGGGGGCCAGTCGCCGCTCGTGGCGGCGCGCGGCGCCTGCGGGGCCTCCGTGAACGCCTCGCGCGCCGCTGCCTGCCCCTGATGCGACTGCCCACGCTGCTCCTGCTGCTGCTTTGAAGACGGCTCCTGGTGTTGCTGCTGCTGCTGCTGCTGCTGCTGCTGTTGTTGTTGCTGCTGCTGCTGTTGTTGTTGCTGCTGCTGCTGCTGTTGTCTGCTGCTGCTGCTGCTGCTGTTGTTGCTGCTGCTGCTGTTGTTGCTGCTGCTGCTGCTGCTGCTGTTGCTTCTGCTGCTGCTGCTGCTGCTGCTGTTGTTGCTTTTGCTGCTGCTTCGCCTCTTGATCCCGCGCCGAGTCCAACAGGTCGGCCCGCACGAACCCCCCCCTGCCCGGCCCTGCCCCCGCATTCCCTCCCGAAACACCCTGCATGCCCCCACGCGGCCCCGTGCTTCCCTGGCGGTGCGCCGGCTTCGCCTCCCCGTCCAGCACCAGCTCCACATGCACCGCCGACGCCCCCCTGCGCTCGTCCTCGGCCGGCGCCTGCCTCGCGTCGCCCCTGACGAAGCTGGCGTCATACTCGTCGAAATCGCCGTGCCCGCCGCCGCCCCGGGCCGCCCCCGCGGCGACGCGGAAATCGATGTCGCCGGCGTCGATCACGTCGTCGAGGTCGTCGTCCTCGCCGCCGAAGTCGTCGCCGCCGTGCCGATGCCGCGCCTCGTGGTGCGCCGCACTGGGCCCGCCGCCGCCGCCGTCGGGGCCGTGGTGCAGGAACTCGTCGAGGATGTGCTCGCCGGACGCGATGATGTCCGCGATGAGCCCGTGGTGACTGCCGTCGTCGGATTCGTCGGGTCCGGCGGGCTCCTGGTCCGCCACGTCATCGCCCACTGGCCGCAGGCTGTGGCGGTGTTTCGCGCCGTGGGCGCGGACGTGCCCGTCGCCGAAGCTGAGCTTATGCTTCCCGTGCAGGTGCGAGTGCGTTCCGTGGCGCCCGTGCGAGCCGTGGTGCGGCCCGGTGAGCTCTGCAACACACACGCGGCGTTGGAGACTCGCAGTCTACGCGGGGCTCGAACAAGGAGCGCTCCGTGCGGCTGCGCGCGGTCGCGGCGGTGTGCGTGCGTGGCGACACTCGGGGCAGTAAATGCCGCCGCGCTGTGCCGCCGGTGGCCCAGCCGCCCTCTGCCAGGGTGGCGACAAAGCCAGCGTGGCGCCGGCAGCGTGCCGGGACGACTTCCCCCTCGAAGGGGCGCGGCGCGCAGCGTCGCTGTATCTGGTACGAGGAGCGCTGGCAAGCTGGCGCGGCGGCGCGGCTCGCGTGTGCGGAGTGACGACGTCTGTTGGTAGGGCTCGGCGTCCCTGGGGTTGCCTGTCGCGCCACCATCGCGAAACGCAGGGTCGACGGGAGGCGGTGCGCGGCAAGGGTCGCTGACCGAGTACGGGCTGCGCGGGTGGGCGTACCTGGGAGGGATGACGTCGTCATGAAGAGGAATACGACGGGCACTGCCATGAGGAGTCCGAGCCGCCAGCGCACCGACCAGCAGCGTCCTGACCTGGACGCGCGCGGACCGGGCACGTGATGCGACCGCGGTATCATCGCGCGCCCGTGCCAGTCGAGGTGTCCCGCTGCTGGGGAGGTGGCGGCCGGGGGCTCGGCGGGCGGCTGGTTGCGGAGCGCTGCGTCGAATTTCGCGCGCTGGCGCTCAACGCATGGCACTTGGACGGGATCTACGGATATATGCGAATCATCTCGTAGTCATACGGCGGGAATTACGGCTACACGCGACCGCGCGCGTGCAGGAAGGTGACAGATACACTCTGAAGGCGTCGCGTCGATGCGCCGAACGCAGCGCAGCGATGCTCTCCAGCCTAATTCGGTAGCACAGGCGGCGTGACGCAGCCCGGCGCTATGACACGCGGCCTGAGCAAGCCACACGTACGCCAGTGAGAGCACATCTCGGGGGGGTGGGGTGTTCCGGGTGGGAGACGACGCAGGCGCCGGCAGTCGTTCACAAAGAGCATCATCCCCTCAGGATGCGCTGCGTGAAGGCCCTGTCCACGCTGGTGGCGTCGGCGGCCGCCGTGGACGGCAGCCGCGTGCGCGGCGCGCCGTCCGCGCCCTCGCTCGCCGCCTCCTCGACCTCCCCGTCCTTGGACCACTCCCGCGCCAGCTCCAGACTCTGCCTCGCGATCACCGCGATCTGCACGCATCGGCACTCCCCACGCGTCAAACAAACACCCCCCCAGCACACCCCCACGCCGTGCGCAAGCCGCCGGACCGCAGCGAGCGAGCGCGACGCGCGCCACGCACCTTGTACGTGAAGAAGCCCGCCAGCATCGGCAACAGCTCGAGGTGGATGCCCAGCTCGTCGGCCTTGAGTTGGTTGAAGCGGTTGAGGCCCAGCACGAAGATCACGGGGATCAGCAGGCGGTTGCCGCCGAGCCCGCCGCCGACGGGGACGCCGCCCACGCCTCCGACTGCGCGAAGCGGGCGGGGCAGGAGGGTTTGCGCTGCGCGGCAGGGGGCGGCGGGCCGAGCGCGGGGGCGGGGGCGCGGCGGGCGTGCCTGAGTCGACGGATTTGTTGAGCAGGCGGAGGTAGATCGTGCCGCCGAGCGCGCCGATGAGGTAGCTCGCCGAGACGTCGCGCGAGTAGAAGGCCAGAGTGAGGACGGTCCCGACGACCGTCGCGCCGAGGTTCCACGCCTGCGTCTCCGCCTTGAGCTGCTCGTACCGGACGCGGGCCCTCTCGGCCTCCTCCGCGGCGATCTCGGCCTCCTCGCTCGCCGCAGCGATCGGCTGCCCCTTGCCGCTGCCCTGCCCCTCAAACTTCGACGACCGCGTCCACCGCCGCGACTCGCCCTGCGACGGAATCGTGCCGTACCCCTCGCCCGCAGACGGCTTCACGGGGCGCATCTGGATCGTGTTCGCGCTCGCCGCCGCCCCCGCTCCTGCCCGCTCCTCCTTCTTCCTCCCGGCCTCGGCGAGCTGCGCGGACAGGTCCACGCTCAGGTCGTTCAGCGCATTCACGCGCCCGAAGCCGATCGTGCCGGGCGCGGCCTCGGCCTCGCGGGGCGGCCCGGCCTCCTGCTGTGCCAGGTACTCCTCGCGCTGCCTCTTCTTGTCGGCCTCGAAGTCCAGCGCGTCCTCCCACTTCGTGTTCCAAATGAACTCCTCGTCCCACCTCCCGCCCTGCACCGCAGCGCGCGACGTCCGGCCGGTCGCCACAGCGCGTCGCCACCGCCGCGACGCCGGCGTGCGTGCGTTTGATGGTATGTTTGCTTGGCAGTCATGCCCGCCGCGGAACGCGTCGCGCGCACCTTCTTGAGAGGGTCTGCGCTGCCGCGGGGCTTCGGCGTGTACACGGGGAGGTTGGGGTCCACGGGCGCGAAGTAGCCGTTGTCCGGCCGCTTCAGCTTGGGCAGACGCCCCGGACGCGCGCGCTCCGCTGGCTTCCGCGGTCCTGCACCGCGGGGCGGTGATTGAGGAGTGGTGTTGCGGGCTGGCGCTCTTTCGGAGCGGACGGAGCTCGGGAGCGGCCCGCACAGCGCCGGGGGAGGCTGCAGGAGCGCGCGGTGTCTCGCGTGCGCTGGAGCAGCGGTCCGGACGCGCTGCGGCGGTCCGCTCGCGTGCCCGGCCGCAGCGGGACGTTGTGCGAGTCAGTGGCGCGCTGCACCGCTGAACGTGCGCGCGGCCAGCGCACCTTGTCCCCGGCTCCGCCCTCCCACGGCCTGGCACCGCAGAGCACGGCGAACGGGGCTCATCGCCTCGCGCCCAACAGCGGCCTCGGGTCCTAGCTCACTGCCTCGCCGCAGAACAGCCGCGCGCGGGGCCCGTCCCAGCAACTGGAGCGCACAAGAGGCCCAAAGGCGACCTCCGCGCACCGGGACTGACTGTTGAAACAGATCTCCGATGCAACGGCGCGAGCACGGAGGTGCGAGCGCAGCGGACGTGTGCGGGGTGCGCGGCGCCGGCCGGGGGCCTTGAGCGCCGCTGCGGGGCGTCGACTCCCCCAGTCCTGTGGATTGGCGCACCGCCCGACTGAGTGCGTCCGCCTGGGCCTTCCGCGGCTCCAAGGGCCGCGGGGCGGGCGCGGGCGCGTCGAACCACCGAGGGGGATTCCGGCTCCGTCGTCGAAAGCGAGAATGATTGCCACGGGTGCGCGCACGCCGCATTGTTCGCCCTGCCTCCTCCTCGCTCTCGTCGCGGCTTTTTGCGGACATGGGTGCGCGACGAAGGCCCCGGGCCAGGCCCATTGGCGGACAACGTGACTGTCCACGCGGTCGGCAGCGCGTTCAGGGCTCGGAGTCGCTCGTGCGCGCACGGCGCGCCGTGGATCAGAGTGGGCCCAACAGTCGCCTCGCGCGCGCGCACTTGCCCCCTGCAGGCGCCAAGACCGGCCTGCGGGCCCCGCAGATCGCGCACAAGAACGCCCAGAAGGCTGCCATGGCGGGTGCGCGCCCACGACGCAACATGCTGCCCCCTGTGCCTGGATCGGCATAATGTATGACGCCACTCCAGGCGGCGAATGGACAAGTGACATCTGCCACGAAATTGGCGCACTTCTTTTATATGTCCTCCCGATTCTCCCGCGCGCCCGGCGAAATGCGCCGCCTGCGAGCCGTCGCGCGACGATGCCACCACCAGCCTGGCCGATTGGGCGCCGCGTCTCCACCGTCCAGGCCCGCACTGGGCCAATCGTCCCCACTCACGCATACACCGCCACACCCCCCTCGAACTCCGTGCAATGCTCCTCGCCATCGTGCAAGAACGCCCCCCTCGACACCCTCCCCCCGCGCAGGCACCTCCAGGCCGTGCGCTCCCACCCTGCAGGTCTGATCCCGATCCAAACGCACCCGCGCCGCATCCATCCGGCCCTCGCCCCCCCCCTGCAGCGCGCGCCGCGCTCGGCCGACCCTCAACCTCGCGGCGACCCCCTGCTGACAGCACTTCTGCATGCCCGGCAACCGCACCCCGCGCCGCCCCGCCGCGCCCGCAGGCCCACCAGCCAGCTGCCCGCCCGGCGCCCCGCTCCGCGCGCCTCGCGCCCTGCTCCGCCGCCGCGGCCCCCTCGGCGCCCTCGCAGTCGGCGTCCTCAGGCGGCGCGGGCCAGCGCGTCATGATCATCGGCGGCGACGGCTACTGCGGCTGGGCCACCGCGCTGCACCTCTCCCAGCGCGGCTACCGCGTCTGCATCGTCGACAACCTCGCGCGCCGCGGCTACGACCTCCAGCTTGGCATGGACACCCTGACGCCGATCGCGTCGATCCACGAACGGTGCGCGCCGGCCCCCCGCGCGCGCTCCACGCGCACACGCACGTGCGGCGCGCGTGAGCCTCAGCCTCCGCGGCGCCCCGTTCCGCGCGCAGGGTGCGGACGTGGCGGGAGGTGTCGGGGAAGGACGTGGAGCTGTTCATCGGCGACATTTGCGACTGGGAGTTCTTCAGTGACGCGTTCCGGACGTTCAACCCGGAGGCGGTGGTGCACTTCGGGGAGCAGCGGTCGGCGCCGTACTCGATGATTGACCGGCAGCGCGCGGTGTACACTCAGACGAACAACGTGGTCGGGACGATCAACGTGATGTACGCGATCAAGGAGATCAACCCGGACTGCCACCTGGTGAAGCTCGGCACGATGGGCGAGTACGGCACGCCGAACATCGACATCGAGGAGGGGTTCATTACCATTACGCACAAGGGGCGCACCGACACGCTGCCGTACCCGAAGCAGGGCGGGTCGTTCTACCACCTGAGCAAGGTGCACGACAGCCACAACATCCACTTCGCGACCAAGGCCTGGAAGCTCGCGGCGACGGACCTGAACCAGGGCGTGGTCTACGGCGTCAAGACCGACGAGACCATGGCGCACCCGAAGCTCATCAACCGCTTCGACTACGACGGGATCTTCGGCACCGCCCTGAACCGCTTCGTCATCCAGGCCGCCGTCGGCCACCCGCTGACCGTCTACGGCAAGGGCGGTCAGACGCGCGGCTACCTGGACATCCGCGACACGGTGCAGTGCATCCAGATCGCCATCGACAACCCGGCCGCCAAGGGCGAGATGCGCGTGATGAACCAGTTCACGCAGCAGTTCGCCGTGAACGAGCTCGCGCAGCTCGTCACCACCGCGGGCGCCAAGCTGGGCCTCGACGTCGAGGTGAAGACGTACCCGAACCCGCGCGTGGAGGCCGAGGAGCACTACTACAACGCGATGAACACCAACCTGAAGAACCTCGGCCTCCAGCCGCACCTGATGGAGGACAGCATGATCGACTCGATGCTCAGCTTTGCCATCGAACACAAGGACCGCTGCCAGCTCGACCTCATCAAGCCCGCGGTCAAGTGGACCGAGTCCGACTCCAAGGTCCGGACCATGACGGCCGCCCGCGGCTGAGCTGCGCCCGCCCGCGCGCCTGTGAGCCTCCCACACGACACGCACAGCACTGCACTGGCAGCATCACAGCCCGGCGCGGGGCGCGCGCAGCTAGACGTTGAACTTGATGAGCTCGGCGCAGTACTTCTCCGGCACCCCAGCTGCGCGCAGCTCCGCGATCTTGCGGTCCTTGATCAGCTTCAGATGCGACTTCTCGCGCTCCGACTCCTCCACCGTCCGCCGGCCCTCCTCGAGGTACTCCTGGCGCGACTTCTTCCGCGTCTCCTCCGCGGTGTAGATCTGCTGCAGCAGCTGCTCCTGGTGCTTCCGCCGGATCGTCTCCCGCGCCTCCGCGGCGTCCCTCTCCTCCGCCTCGCGCTGCAGGTTGGCGCGGATGATCCGCTCGAAGTCCTTGCGCTCCGCCTCGAGCTCCGCGGCCTTCGCCTGCAGCTGCGCGTCGCGCTGCACCTGCCGCGAGCGGTGCAGCTCGTCCTGCTGCACCCGGCGCCGCTCCGCCGCCGTGCGCTCCTTGTTGCGCCACTGCCGCTCCGACTCCTCCTGGTACCGCCGCGCGCGCAGCTCGTCCAGCTCGGCCTGCCGGTCCGCCTGCTTCTCCTGCTGCGCCCGCAGCCGCGCCGTCTCCAGCTCCTTCTCGCGCTTGATGGCCTCCTTGCGCTCGGCCTCCTCCTGCTCCTTCTCGGCCTTCAGGCGGTTCCACTCCGCGATGCGCAGGTCCTCCTCGAGCTCCTCCTGCTTCGCGACCTCCTTGCGCTTGATCTGCTCCTCGTTCGCGGCCATGATCGTCGAGATGAGCTCCCGCCCCTGCTGCCGCCGCTCCTCCGCGGCCTGCTCCTCCTCGACGCGCAGCCGCTCGATCTCCGCGAGCATCGCCGCGCTCTCCTGCTCCTTGATCTCCGCCATCTTCATGCGCTCCGCCGCCCGCGACCGGATCTGCTCCTGGATCACCTGCGCGCCGCGCCGCTGGTCCACCTGCCGCCGCGCCTCCCGCTCCGCGTACTCCTGGATCGCGCGCTGCCGGTCCAGCTCCATCACCTCGTCCAGCCGGCGCTGCTCCTCGGCCTCCTCGTCCAGCTTCTGCTGGTGCTCCTGCCGCTGCACGTCGCGCACCGTCACGCACTTGGCGTACAGCATCATCTGGTTCATCCGCTTGACCTCGTCGCGCTGCTCGTCGAGCTGGAACCGCGCCTTCGCGAGCACGCCCTCGTCGTGCTCCGCCTTGAGCACCTCCGTCTCCGTCGGCGGCACCGCCGCGCGCCGCTCCGCCTCCTTCTCCTCCATGCGACGCCGGCGCTCGTTCGCAATCGCGCGGTTCTTCTCGCGCTTCGCCTCGGCCTCGCGCTTCGCGCGCGCGATCTCCTCGGGCGTCATGATCGAGCTCGGGCCCTTCATGCGCCCCAGGTCGTTCTCCGTGACTGCCACCAGACCCGGGGCCACCACGCGGGAGCCCTGCGCGGGGGGCGAGGGCGGGCGGCGTGAGGTGCGGCGCGGGGCGCGGCGGGTGGGCGAGGGAGGCCGCGGCGGGGGGGAGGAGCGCGAGATCGCGCGTGCACGGGCGAGCGGGGGGCGGTGGCAGCGGCCCGGCAGGTGGGGCGCGCCGTGGCGCCCCGGAGCGCCGCAGCGCGGCCCGGGGCGCGCCGGGCGGACGATGCGTCGGGCGGACCGCCGTGGGCGGCGAGCGGGGCGGGTTGCGGCGCGGCAGCGGCGCGTTTCGGGCAGCACATGTGGAGGCCGGAGGGCGATGCGAGCGGCCGCGGCGGCGCACCTGCTGCGTCTGGAGCGCGGCGGAGTTGGTGAGCGCCATGGCGGAGGACTTGGCTCCCATGAGGGAGTCCAGGCGCGCCGACTTCTTCATGTCCTTGGGCGAACCGTTGCCTTTGGTGTTTGCCTTGTTGCCGAACAGCGCGTCGTCAACGTACGACCTGGGGGCCACCGCGCGGTACGTGGACCGCGCCTGGGACTTGCGCCCCGAGCTGGCCACGGAGCCCTGGCTCTGGGTGTCCATGGCTGCGCGTCCGGGGGCCGGGTGGAGCGTCCTTGGCAGGCGTCGCCACTCGCCCGGCTCTCAAGCTCGCTTCGGGCCGCAACCTGGCACGCGGTGCCCGGCGGCAGAGACGTGCGGTTGTTGTTCAGCCCGGGGGGGCCTGCAGGTCGCGGGGGGGGGGCGGGGGGCGCGCTGAGCCGTGGTGCATCGAACGCAGGTGAGCGGACCGTCGAGGAAAGCGGGGCGCCGCGGCGCGAGGGGCCCGTCCGTCAGCGCGAGGGGGCCGCGGCGGTGCGGTACGATGCGGTGGGCGCGGCTCGCGACCAGCCGGGGCCGTCGCGGGCCGCCGTGCGGCCCGAATGTGGGCGCTGGAAATGCACAGGCGAGTACGGTTCGCGGACCCGGGCAGTCCGCTGGACCGGGCCCGAATGCGACGCGCTGGGCGAGCGGTGCACAATGATTCGTGCGAGACTTGGACGGACGCGGCTGCCGAGGCGCCGGTTCCAGGGCGCACAGGGCAGGCAGCCATGTCGAACACTTGCTCGGCGAAATCGCACAGTTCCAGGCCATACAAATCGGTACCGCGCGACGTGTCGCCCCAGTGCATTCGCTTCCACGGCGTGGGCCGCCGCTGCGGGCGCGCACCTTCTCCGCGGTCGAGCCCGGCAGCGTTTTCAATGCGAGAGCAGCAGCAGCCTCGCGCAGGCGTCGCACGCGCGCCAACGCTCCTTCGCAGCGACGTTCGCGCTCCTCGCAATACACCGCGCCGCTCGCGCCGCGCCCCCTCGTCCCCCGCCCGCCCCCAGCCCACCTTGGGTCCAGGCTCAACACTCCTCCCGCGCCCGCAGCGGCGCCCGCGCCCCCCGCCGATGCCCCGGCGCCGCGCCGCGCCAGCCCAGTTCGCGAGCCCCGCGCTGACTCCATCCAACGGTCGAAATGCTGGCCCGCAGAGCTCTCCGCCTGCTCGCCCCAGGTGCTCGTGAGCTGGTGAGTGCAGCCCCCGCCACCGCCGCGCCCGGCGGCCCCGACGCCGCCCCGCCGCGCCCGCGCCACGCGACGCCAGCGAGCACGCCCCGAGACCGCGCAATGCGCCGTTTCAGCGCCGCACCGCGGAGTAGCGCGCTGGCCTAGGCTGCACGCTGGGCCAACCTGACGCCGCGATGCGGCGCGCCGGCGCTCCGCACCGGCCCCGCGGCATAGCCACGGAGGCGGCTTGGTCCTCGGAGGTGCTGGGGAGCGCGGTTCGCGGCGTGTCCGCCCCCGCGTGTGGCCGCGGAGGCGGCAGCTACTACGTGCGAGGGAGGCAACGGCAGAGTCGACGATCCTCCGCGTGCGCACGTTCGCGGGCCCGACGGCCCGTTTGGATCGGCAGTCTGCGGTTCCCCGAATTACGTCCGCCGCCTCGCGCGGTCGCACCGCGCCTATTCGCGCCCACGGCGCGCCGCGGGCCGGCCCCAGCGCCAGTGGTGCATAGCAGCGCGCCCGCGCGCTCCCTCGCGCGCCCCTCGCGGCATTCTGCGCCCCGGCACCCTACCGTGCCGCACGCATTAGCCACACGCGTCCAGCCCGCGCCCCTCGCGCGCGCGACGCAGCGTGCCCCGACCCTCCACCCACCCACCCGCCTCAACGCCCGTCCCGCGCGCCCCGCAGGCCACCGGCTCGCGCCTGTACGCGGCCGTCCCGGCCCGCACCAACGACGAGGAGTACTCCAAGTTCTCCAAGGACGCCGAGCGCCAGCACGTCACCTGGCCCAAGGTCCTCAACCAATCGCTCGAGGATGTCGACCCCGAGATCAACGACATCATCGAGAAGGAGAAGAACAGGCACGCTGCCCGCACACCGCGCCGCCCCCGCCTCCCGCGCGCGCCCCCACCGCCCCTACCGCCCGCGCGCGCACCGCACACCCCGTGGCCCTCTCCCGCGCCCACGCGGCCGCACCGCGCCGGCCCGGCCCGCGCCCGCGCCCGGACACGCCCCTGCTCGCCCCCTGCCCCCCCGCGCGGCCCTGACGCGCGTCGCGGCCCCGCTGCGCCGCGCAGGCAGTACAAGGGCTTGGAGCTGATCCCGTCGGAGAACTTCACGTCGCGGTCGGTCCTCGAGGCGGTGGGGTCGGTGATGATCAACAAGTACAGCGAGGGCTACCCCGGCGCGCGGTACTACGGCGGCAACGAGTTCATCGACATGGCGGAGTCGCTGTGCCAGAAGCGCGCGCTCGAGGCCTTCCGCCTGGACCCGGACGAGTGGGGCGTGAACGTGCAGCCGCTCTCGGGCTCGCCCGCGAACTTCCAGGTGTACACCGCGCTGCTGCAGCCGCACGACCGCATCATGGGCCTGGACCTGCCGCACGGCGGGCACCTCTCGCACGGCTTCCAGACCGACACGAAGAAGATCTCGGCGACGTCGATCTACTTCGAGACCATGCCGTACCGGCTGAACGAGGAGACGGGCCTGATCGACTACGACAAGCTCGCGGAGACGGCCGCGCTGTTCCGCCCGAAGCTGATCGTGGCGGGCGCGTCGGCCTACACGCGGCACTACGACTACCCGCGGATGAGGGCGATCGCGGACAACCACAACGCGTGGCTCCTCGCGGACATGGCGCACATCTCCGGCCTCGTCGCCGCGGGCCTCGTGCCGAGCCCGTTCCAGTACGCCGACGTGGTGACCACCACCACGCACAAGTCGCTCCGCGGCCCGCGCGCGGGCATGATCTTCTACCGCAAGGGCGTGCGGAAGTACGACAAGAAGGGCAACCCGATCAAGTACGACATCGAGGACAAGATCAACTTCTCGGTCTTCCCGGGCCTGCAGGGCGGCCCGCACAACCACACCATCACCGGGCTCGCCGTGGCGCTCAAGCAGGCCGCGTCGCCGGAGTTCCGCGCGTACCAGGAGCAGGTGATGAAGAACGCCAAGTCGCTCGCGGACGGCATGGCCCGCCGCGGGTACTCGCTCGTGTCGGGCGGCACCGACAACCACATTGTCCTGGTCGACCTCAAGCCCCAGGGCGTGGACGGCGCGCGCGTCGAGCGCGTGCTCGAGCTGTGCCACATCGCCGCGAACAAGAACACGGTCCCCGGCGACAAGTCCGCGATGGTCCCCGGCGGCCTGCGCATGGGCACGCCCGCGCTCACCTCGCGCGGGATGGTCGAGGCGGACTTCGACGTCGTCGCGGACATCGTCGACAAGGCGATCAAGATCACGGCCGACATCAAGAAGTCCGGCCAGGCCGGCACCAAGGTGAAGGAGTTCCACGCGTACCTCGAGCAGAACGACGTGCCCGAGATCAAGGCGCTCAAGGCCGAGGTCGAGCAGTTCGCGATGAACTTCCCCACCATCGCGTTCGAGAAGTCCGAGATGCGGTACCAGCAGTAGCGGGCTCGGGCGCGCCGGCGGGGGCGTGGGACGCAGACGAGAGGTTGGGGGGGAGTTGGAGGTCGCAGTCGGGCGTGGGGCCGCGCCGCAACCCCGCATGAGGCCCCGCATGCGGTTTTTGCACACGAATAGTCGACGGCTGTGACGCTCACTTCTGCGCCGGAACCGACTCGCCGCGTCCACACGGTGACGCGCCGCTGCCGCTCAGTTGCTCTTGTGCCGCTCCGGGGCCGCCGTCTGGCACCGCGCGGCGCTTCGCCGACCTTGCTGCATGCCTGGGAGCCTGGCCACGCGCCCAGCTGTGCGCCAGGCGTCGCGCGAGGGCAGTTGGCATGGAACACCCCCGGCGGGGTGTTTGTTTGTAGGGGGGCCTTGAGGTCGACGGCGGGCCTCGAGAGCCGCGCGCCTCGGTGCCGTCGCGCACTTCCGAGCGTGCAGTGGGCGGTGCGGCGACACCCACAGGTCAGACTCGGAGGGGCGTCCCCTGAGTTGAGTGGGTCAGTGCACAGCGGGTGGGTGCTGTCTGAGGCCGCGGGCTGCGAGCGGGCGTGGCGCCGGGGGGCGGCGATGGGCAAGAAGGGCGGGAAGGGCGCGAAGGGGGGCGTCGACTGGGACGCCCTCCCTTGGAAGGCAAGTCCACTGCGCTGCATGCTTCGTAGCGCGCGTGCGGAGAGCTGTGCGACGTTCTTGCGGCGCAGGGGACGAATTTGAGACGCGCGTGAACGAAACTGCCGCGCGCGTCGCGGTAGGGCCCCGGTGGTGCGGTGGGTGTGGCTTGCGGCGCGCGCGAACTGTGCTGGAGAGCCGCCAAGCGCCGAGGCGGCGTCTTGAGCTGATTGCGGCGGACACTGTGCGGCTGGGTGGCGCAGGAGATCGACGTTGGCGAGAACTTCCTCGTGGGGTGCAAGGAGTCGGGGTTCATGGGTCTCGAAGCCATCGAGGGACTCTCGATCCCTGAGTTGCAACTAGGAGGCCCTACGGAAGAGCCGCCGAGCACTGAGACCGCGGCCACGGGCGAGAAGAAGAAGAGGAAGAAGAGGGACAAGGAGAGGGCGGCTGCGGAGCCCCCAGGAGCCGGCGAGCAGGCGCCTGGGCAGGACGGAGGGCGCGGCGACGCGCCGGGGGAGACGGCCGAGGAGCGCATCGCGAGGCTGGAGGCAGAGAACGCGAAGCTGAAGAAGCGGCTTCGCGACGACAAGAAGGACAAGCAGAAGGCGAAGAAGAAGCGCAAGACCGACGAGGGCGCCGCGGGCGCGCCCGGGCCTGCAACGGCAACCAACGTGGCCGACGACGCGCCACTGGCGGACACGTCCGCGTGGAAGCCCTTCCTCCTGCACCCGCTCATCGAGACGGCGATCGCGCGGCTCGGATTCGAGAAGCCGACGCGCATCCAGGAGATGTGTCTGCCCGTGGCGTGCACGCAACGCAAGGACGTCGTCGGCGCCGCGGAGACCGGGTCCGGCAAGACGCTCGCGTTCGGGCTGCCCATCATGCAGCAGCTCCTCGAGGAGCGCGAGGCGCGCGCCGCCGAGGCCGCCGAGGACGGGCATCCGGACCCCGAGATCGTGCGCACGTCGAGCAACCGCCTGCGCGCTCTGATCCTCGCCCCGACGCGCGAGCTCGCCATCCAGGTGCGTGGGCGGCTCGTTCTGCGTCGTGCGCGCCCGCGCGGACGAGGGGCGTCGGTGTGCGTGGGAAAGGAACTGCTGTGCATCCGTAGACTTGGTTTGAAGGTTGTCGCCGCGCCCGCAGGTGTCGGAGCACCTCAAGGCGATCGGGAAGGTGTGCCGCGTGCGCGTGGAGCCCATCGTGGGCGGCATCGCGCCGCAGAAGCAGGAGCGGCTCCTCCGCGGGCGCCCGGAGGTGGTCGTGGCCACCCCGGGACGCCTCTGGGAGCTCATGAGCCAGGGCGACACACACCTCCTCGACACGGGCGCGCTGAACTTCCTCGTCCTCGACGAAGCCGACCGCATGGTCCAGAAGGGGCACTTTGCCGAGCTCGAGTCCATCCTTGCAAAACTCCCCCTCCCTGGCAACACGGCGGACCGCGTGGTGGACGTCACGGTGGACCCGAACGCGGAGGACGCGGACGAGGAGGCGGGCGCGCGGAGGAAGAAGAAGGAGAAGAAGGACCCGCCGCCGCGCGTGCAGACGATGGTGTTCTCCGCGACGCTGACGCTGCCCGAGTCGATGCGCAAGCGGCTCAAGGGGGGCGTCGGGCGCGGGGGCGGCGCGGGCGGCGGCAGCCCGACGCTCGAGAAGCTACTGGGGAAGATGTCGTTCCGCGGCGCGCCCGCGATCCTCGACGCGACCGCGGACGCGGGGCACAAGGGCGTGGCTGCTGCGGTCACGCAGGCGTACGCCGAGTGCCTGGACGCCGACCGCGACGCGTGCCTGTACTACCTCCTCTCCGCGCACTCTGGCCGCACGATCGTCTTCGCGAACGCGGTCTCCGCGGTGCGCCGCGCGGCCGCCGTCCTGAAGCACCTGGGCATTCCCGCGGCCGCCTTGCACGCGCAGCAGCAGCAGCGGCAGCGGCTCAAGAACCTCGACCGGTTCCGGAAGAACGACGACGGCGTGCTGGTGTGCACGGACGTCGCGGCGCGTGGGATCGACATTCCCGACGTGCGCTGCGTCGTTCACTACCAGGTGCCCGCGTCGCCGGACGTGTACGTGCACCGCGCGGGCCGGACGGGCCGCGCGGGCGCGGAGGGCGCGTCCGTGGCGATCGTGGTGCCGAGGGAGCGGCCGCGGTTCCTGTCGCTGGCGCGCGCCCTCAAGGGGCAAGACGCGCCGCGCGCCTTCCCGATCGACGCGGCTGTGATGCCGCAGGTGCGGGAGCGCGTGGCGCTGGCGCTGCGCATCGATGAGTACGAGCGGCAGGAGAAGAAGGTCCGGGCGCGCGACGACTGGGAGGGTCGGAACGCCGCGCAGGTGGGCGTGGCCGGCGACGAGGGCGACGCGGAGGACGAGGGGCGCAACGTGAGGCGCCGGAAGGCCGCGGAGGCGCGGGAGGTCGCGGAGGCGCGCGTGCGGCTGTCGCAGCTGCTTGCCGAGCCGCTGGGGGCCACGTTCAGCGGGCGGTACTTCACGGGCGGCGGGGCGGCCGGGATCGCGGCGCAAGCGGCCGCGAAGAGGGCGGACGGCGACGGCGGCGTGACGGGGCTCGTGCGGTCGGCGGTGCAGGCCGCGGACGAGCTGTTGCGGTCGCGGCGCGCCGCGCAGGCCGCGGTCGATCGCAAGGCCGGGAAGGTGGCTGGGGGGAGTGGGAACGGGCAGCGGGGGGGTGTCGAGAAGATGAGCTTGGAGGAGAGGCGGGCGGCGGCGCTGCAGCGCGCGGTGGAGAAGAAGGTGGGCAAGACCATGGCGAAGAAGGCGCGGAAGGCTGCGCAGGGTGCAGGGCACGTAGGGCGTGCCGTGCAGGTGCGCAGCAAACGCGGGCTCGCGGTGGTGCCTCCGGCGCTCGGCCGCGCCGGGAGCGGGCCGGACGCGCTGGCTGCCATGCGGCTCCGCGCGGGCGAGGCCTCGTGAGCGGTGGTCTTGTGACACGAGTGGGTGGAAAACGTCCAGCAGAGCAAACGAGCTTGCTGAGGGCCGTAGGAAATGTCCGAGATCGGATGGCCGAGAGCAGCGGTGGAGTACCCGCACGCATTGGCATGAGGGCATGCTCACATGGCAGTTCGCGCGAGTACTCCTAGCACGCTGCCGCCTTGATCAGGACGATCCCACACCCGCATTTCGTTTCTTGCGCGGGTGGTCAATTATTTTACGCATGAGGGACGAGGCAAGTGCAGATGTCAATGGTCCAACACACCTGCGCGAACAGCTCGAGGATGAGACGCACCATGCGAACGAGTGCGTGTGGACGACCTTTCAGCTCCAAGGTGGAATGGATTGGTGCCCAAGTTACAATATGCGAGCCTGCTGCGTCGATACGGCGTCCGGAACACCCCTGTCGAACCACATTGTTGGGGCAGCTCTGGCCCGCGAAAAAAATGTCCGCCGCCAGCCTCACGCGGCCGCCGGGCCAGCAGCCGCCGCAGTTGCCGGCGCGGGCGCATCCTCGCCGCCGCGGCCTCCCCCGCGCCCGCCACCGCCGCCACGGCGCCCCGCGCCCGCGCCCCCCCGCGGCCCCCCCTGCCGCCCTCGCCCGCAGCACCCTCGCCGCCCGCGTCACCGCCGGCCTCGCCGTCCTCCCGGCGCTCCTTCTCCCGCCGTGACGGACGCTCGCGCTTCTCCCTCTTCTCCCCCCCGGCCCTCGCGTCCCCCGCGTGATCCCGCGACCCCCCGTTGGCGTCCGGGCTCGCCGCAGCCTCCGTCGCCGACGCGCCGTCGCGCGGACCCCGCTCCTTATCCTTGTTCTTCCCGCCGCGCCCGCGCCCACTCCTCTTCTTGCTGCCACCCTCGGCACCAGAACCTCCCTCGCCCGTCGCGGCCTGCTCGCCCGGCGGGGTCGCAGCGGCGGCCTTGCCCGGCTTCTCCGCAGCCTTCTCGCGCTTCCCGCCCGCCCGCGGGACGGCGACGATGCGGCGGCCCGAGTCGGAGGCGCTGCCCTGCGATGCCGTGCTGGGCAGCACAGGCACCGGCACGGGCACCGGCGCAGGCGCCGCGGCGCTGCCGCCGTCTTCCCGCGCGGAGCTCCCGGCACGCCGGCCCTTGCCGCGCTTCCCGCCGCTGCCAGCGGCGTCGCCGCGAAGGCTGCCCACACTGCCCGCCGGTGCCGGGCCTCCCGCGTTGCCGGCGCCCCTGCGCTGGCTCTCGCGCATCGCCGCGATCGCGGCTGCGTCCGCTGCGGACACGACCGTCACCGAAGGGCCCTGCGCCTTCCCGCCCTTGCCGCCCCCGCGCTCCTTGCGCCCCCCGCGGCCCGACCCACCCTCCGCTGTGCCCGGCCGCGCGTCGCCGCCCGGCTTCCCGGGGAAGAGCCGGCCCAGGGTCTCGCGCGCGACGCCGGCGAGGGTGTCGTCGCCCGCCGCGGCGCCCGCAGGCGGCTGCTTCTGTTGCCTGGCCGGAGGCTGCTGCTGCTGCTGCTGCTGCTGCTGCTGCTCGCGGGACGGCGCCGGCGCCCTCTGCGCCTTTTGCGCGTGCTTCGGGTGCTGGTCTCGCGCCGCGTTCTTCCGCGGCGGCGGCGGCGGCGGCGGCGGCACGTGCGGCGCTGGGCCAGCACCCACCGCCGTTCGGGGCACTGGCGGCTGCTGCTGCTCAGGCGAGTCCGCGGGCTGCGGCCCGCGAGCCGCGCGCGTCCGGACGGCGCAGGCGGCTGCCGTGGCGCGGCGCGGGCATGCCCGCGTCCAGCGGCGCCGGCGGGGCGGTCTGCGCCACGCTGCCGTCCAACCCAAGGAGCGGCTGTGCGCTGATCACCGCCTGTGCGCTCGCCAGCGGATGCGAGTGGTCGTGCACGGGCGCCGTGCGCGGCGGCGGCGGCGGCGGCGTGCGCGCGGCGGCGGCGGCGGTGGCGGGTGTGCGTGCGGGTGCGCGTGCGGCGGGTGCATGCGGTGCCCCGCATGAACGCCCCCCGGGTAGCCGACGTCCCACACCTCCCCCTCCGCGCCCGGAAGCTGCACGATGTGCTGCTGCGGCATGCTCGGCGGCAGGGCCCCGCCGTCGGCCAGTCCGCGCGCAGGGGGGGGGTTCCCGCCGTTCCCCGGAACGCCCCCGTCTCCCGGCGCCGCGTTCGGCCGCTGCAGGATCTTCGGAGGCGCGTGCACGAGCCCCGCGGCCAGCGAGGCCTCGTGCGGGCTGCGCACCGTGCTCGGCATCCCGGGCCCCACCGGGTCCGTCCACCCCGGCGGGCCGCCGCCGTCGTGCGGGCTCAGCGGGGGGGGCTCGGCCGCTGCTGGGCCGGGCGGGGGTGGCGGCGCGCCGGGGGCGCTTGCGCTGGGGCGGGGCGGCGGCGGGGCTGGAACCCGCCCGGTCCGGCGTCCGCGGCGCGCGCCCCCCTCCCCGACGCGGGCCCATGTGCATGCGCGGCGCCTCGCCCGGGGCGCCCGAGGCCGTCGTTGTGGCCGGGCGGCACGCCCAGGCTCCGCCGCTGCGGTGCGCGGCGCCGCTGGTGCCCGCGGTCGCGCTCGTTGTACCCGCCCGGGTACCCCCGTCGACGCCCACGACTGCTCCGGCGGCGGCGGAGGGCCGTTCGGCGCCCGCTCGTACGGCCGCGGCCCGTCGTGCGGCCCGCGCGGCGCGTCGTGCGGCCCGCGCGGCCCGCTCGGCATGTCGCGGTACCCGTGCTCGCGCTCGGGCGTCTGCCGGCTGCCGCGCGCGCCCGCCGAGGTGCGCTCTACGTTAGCGGCCGTCGCGAGGTCGGGGAAGTCGTTCTCGCGGTCCATCGGGCCCGGGCGGCGCGGCGGCCAGGCGCCCGCGGCGGCGTGGTACGCCGGCGGGTAGCCGCCGAAGTGGCGGTCGGGCGTGTGGTGCCGCTCACGCGAGTGGGCGTACGGCGGGGTGGCGTCCGTCGTCGCGGGGCGCGACGGGGGCGCGGGCGGCTGCTGGGCGGGCGCGTCGCCGTGCCCGGACGTGTTGTCCGACGCGGGGCCCGGGGACGTGCCCCACGCGTTCGAGTTGGCGCCCCATGCGGCGCTGCTGGCGACAGCCGGGCCCCTGCGGGTGGCGGCGGGGCGCGGCGGGCGTTGCGGCACGGCGGGGAGCCTGGAAGGTTGTGGCGCGGGCGGGGCGGGGGGGCGGGGGCGCGGCGCGGCGCGCGGGGCGCGTGTTGGGGGCGCGGAGAGGGAGGGGCGCACCTGCTAGGCAGGAGGTTCACGTTGGGATCCTGACCATTGTGCTCCTTCTTCAAGCTCGGAAGATTGACTGGCTTCGGAGCTGTGAGCTTGCCCAGGGACACGAAGCGACCCATCCCACCTGCACCATCAGACACCTCGACCGTCAGAACGCGCGCGTGGGGCAGGACGTGGGCGGGAAGCAATCGCACCGCGCCGGGCGCGGTGGGCGTGAACGGAGATTGCTCGCGGAAACGCGGTTGCGCGCGTGCGCGCGACGATTTCGCGCGTCGCGTGCGCGGAGGACTGGAAAGCTCCACGGGCGCGCGAGCGGGCCGCAGGTGCGCGCCGCCGCCGCGAGGGCAGCGTCATTCAAACGAGCGGATCGCCCGCTCGGGGCGCGGCGGCGCACGCCCCACGCACGAGCGACGGCCGCGCGTCTCCTCGAAAATTGGGCTCCGCCGTGCCGCGCCTGCGCGACCTGTTTTGTGCATTTTACGCACCAGGGCGCTCCGGCAAGCCGCCAGGCGCCCTTCCTCGCTGCGAGGGCGGCGCGGCAAGCAGCCGCCCGACGCGCACGGCAGCCAGGATGCCCCGCTGCTGCGCCGCTAGCACCCGCGGCTTACGCCGCCGGTGTCGGCGGAGGATCCGCCCGACAGCAGCCCCGGACGGAGCACACGAAACGGCAATGATGGGGTCGGGCCAGTGGATCCGCTGTGCCCGGGCGCCACACGCCCGGCTGGGCTGCTAGTCCAGGACAGGGGACGGGCCCCGTGTGGCGGAGCGAGGCGACAGAACGGGGCCCGGGCGCGGGAGGCGGCCGCGCGGAGAGCCACGCAGCGGCGGCGCCCCGCGCGGCGGCCCGAGCGGCAGGGGCGTACCTCTAGAGGAAGCTTGCAGGGTGCTTGGTCTCTGGGCTGCGGCAGATGGGCGAAACTCGGCATGGGCGCCCCGGCGGCGTGGGACCGTGCACACTTGTCGCGTGGCGCCGCCGCGGGCCGGCAATCGTGCGCGCGCGGCGCCCGCGCGTCGAGGGGCCTCGCTCGGTGCCGTAAGGCAGAGGTCCCACTGCGGGGGCTCGTTGCCCGGAACCGCCTCGATCCCGGGCGAAATTCGCTGGAATATAGCAGCAGGAGCCGGCCGTGGAGGAGAGCGCCGGCAACGTATCCACTAGGAGCTGCGCGGGCGCACTTCGGCCCGAGGAGGCCGAGCGGCCTTCAGGAATCGGCCACACCGCGCTCGCAGCGGCCCCATGCCCGGATATCGCGCGTGAATCGCACCTTCTACCTCACCGTCCCGCCGAATATCGCAGGTGACGCCCGTCTCGTCCCCCGCAACGCCGGCAAACCGCCTCTGGCTGCCAAACGGGCTTTCAGCGGCGCTCGCGGCCCGCACACGTCGGCCCGGGCCAAGCGACCGCCCGAACGCGCTCCTCCCGCCCGCCCCAAGTCAGTTGGCGCCCACTTGTATCTCGCCCCCCCGACCGCACCTGGTTGACTGTCGCCTCCCTGGCACTGCACCTCCCACCGCGCGCGCCCCCCACCGCGCCCCACCGCGCCGCGCCTATCGCATTCGGCGACTCTCCTCCTCCACATCGCGCAGCCCGCCGCACGCCGCCCCTCGGCGCCCCCAGGCCGCGCCCGCGCTGCCTGCACACTGCTCGAAGCCCCCCTCGAATCCGCCCAGCGCCTCGCCGGCCGTCGAACCGCCCGACGCGCCCCCGCCAGGCGCTCGGTTCCGGCATGTCCATGCACTCGCGGCGACGTGGCCGCTCCCGGGGTCCCGTGCATGAGCGTTCCGAGCGCCCTGCGCATCACATGGCGGTGAAACGCGACATGCCCCCCGCGCCGCGTCGCAGGCGCGGCTCCTTGGGCCGCTGACCGCCTGGGACCGCTCCGAGCGCGATGCCGGGGAGCGACAAGACCGCTGGCGGCTCGGAGGGCGGCGCGACGTCCAGCAAGCGCGGGCGGACGAGGGGCGCGGCGAAGAATGACGGCGCCGACGACGAGTCCCCGCGGCCCGACGAGGACGCCGAACGCCTGCGCCTCTGGGAGCAGGAGAACGAGGTGCGACACCCCCCCAAGACACATGCACGCAGCCCCGCCACTTGCAGCCTCCCGCACGCGCCTGACGCGCCCGCCGCCGCGCCCGCGCAGGTCATCCGGCGCGCCGAGGAGGTCCAGGCCACGCGCGACGCGGCGCAGCAGCAGCCGTACCCGGAGCCCCGGCGCAGGCCCGCCAAGGCCCACTGGGACGCGCTGCTCGAGGAGGCCATCTGGCTGGCCAAGGAGTTCCAGCGCGAGCGCCGGTGGAAGCTCCTGCAGTGCCGGAAGTACGCCAACGCCGCGAAGCGCTCCGGGCGCGACCTGGAGTCGCGCGTGGTGCTGCGCGCGCAGGAGGAGGAGCGGGCGGTGCGCAGGCGCGCCAAGGACGTGTGCGTGGAGGTGCAGCGGTTCTGGAAGAACGCGGAGCGCGTCGTGCTGCACAAGTACCACCGGGAGCTCGAGCGGCGGAAGAAGGAGGTGCTCGACAAGCACCTGGACTTTTTGGTGGGGCAGACGGAGCGGTACTCGCTGATGCTGGCCAAGGGGCTCGAGGAGGAGCAGGCGCGGGAGGGGATGGGGTTCGCGGCGCGCGGAGCGGCGCCGGCGCCGGCTCCGGCTCCGGCGGGGGGGAGTGGCGGTGGCGGTGGCGGTGGCGGTGGTGTGGGTGAGGAAGGGGGGGGTCTTACGGCGCTGGACGAGAAGCACGAGGACGACGCGGACGCCGGCTCCGACGTCGTCCTCGCCGACCACGAGCTGAACGAGGTCGACGACGAGAACACCCTCGAGGAGGAGGAAGCCATGATGGCGGCGGAGCACGGCGGCGACACCAAGGCGATGCACAAGGCGGAGATCAAGGGCCTGGAGGACGAGGCGAACATACCGGTGGAGGAGCTGCTGCGGCGGTACCGGGAGCAGGCGGGCGGCGGCACGCCGTCGGACGACGGCTGGGCGTCGGGCAGCGACGGCGAGGACGACGGGGACGCGGACGCGGGCGGGGCGCCCGCGGCGCCGGCGTCGCCCGAGGTGGCGATCGCGCCGACGACGAAGCGTCGCGCCGCGCAGGCGGCGCGCGCCACGGCCGGGGGCGCGGGACCGTCGCAGCCGCCTGGCGCCGACGCGGGGGCCGAGGACGTGGCCGTGCTGCACGGCGACGACCACGACGACGCGGACGCCGGCTCCGACGTCGTCCTCGCCGACCACGAGCTGAACGAGGTCGACGACGAGAACACCCTCGAGGAGGAGGAAGCCATGATGGCGGCGGAGCACGGCGGCGACACCAAGGCGATGCACAAGGCGGAGATCAAGGGCCTGGAGGACGAGGCGAACATACCGGTGGAGGAGCTGCTGCGGCGGTACCAGCAGCAGGTGGGCCCGTCGGACAGCGAGGGGGAGTGGCCGTCGGACGACGAGGCTGCCGCGGGGATGGTCAACGGCGGCGGGCGGCCCGCGAAGCGCGTGCGCTCGGAGACGCCGCCGGCGGAGCAGAGCAAGCGCGCGCGCGTCGTGTCGCCGGTGAAGGAGGAGGGCGACGACGGCGCCGGCCCGAGCGCCCCGGCGCGGGGTGGCGACGCGGGCAACGCCGCGGCGAAGGACGACGGCGCCGGCCCGAGCGAGGTGCGCCCGGCCAAGGCGCAGGCGGGGCCGGCGCAGGACCGGCCGATCGACGTGCCGTTCCTGGTCCGCGGAGAGCTGCGGCCGTATCAGAAGGTGGGCCTGGACTGGCTGGTGACGCTGTACCGGCGCAAGCTCAACGGGATCCTGGCGGACGAGATGGGGTTGGGGAAGACGTTCATGACGATCGCGGCGCTGGCGTGGCTGGCGGAGGAGCACGGCGTGTGGGGCCCGCACCTGGTGGTGGTGCCCACGAGCGTGATGCTGAATTGGGAGATGGAGTTCAAGAAGTTCGCGCCGGGGTTCCGGCTGCTGACGTACTACGGCAACGTCAAGGACCGGCAGCTCAAGCGGCGCGGGTGGAACAAGCCCGGCACGTTCCACGTGTGCATCACGTCGTACACGCTGGTGCTGCAGGACGCCAAGCTCTTCCGGCGCAAGAAGTGGAAGTACCTGATCCTGGACGAGGCGCACATGATCAAGAACTGGCGCTCGCAGCGCTGGCAGACGCTGCTGAACTTCAACTCGAAGCGGCGCCTGCTCATCACGGGCACCCCGCTCCAGAACAACCTGATGGAGCTCTGGTCGCTCATGCACTTCCTCATGCCGCACGTCTTCACCTCGCACGAGCAGTTCCGCGCGTGGTTCTCCAACCCGCTCACGGGCGTCGTCGAGGGGCAGACGGCGCTCGAGCAGGGCATCGTCGACCGCCTCCACGGCGTCCTGCGCCCCTTCCTCCTCCGCCGCCTCAAGGCCGACGTCGAGAAGAGCCTGCCCCCGAAGCACGAGCACGTCATCTTCTGCCGGCTCTCCAAGCGGCAGCGGCAGCTGTACGAAGACTACATGGCGTCGTCCGACACCCGCAGCGCGCTCTCCTCGGGCGGCTACCTCGGCATCATCAACGTGCTGATGCAGCTGCGCAAGGTCTGCAACCACCCGGACCTGTTCGAGGGGCGCTCGATCGTCTCGTCCTTCGAGTGCCCCGCCGTGCAGCTGCGGGTGCCGTCCGCCGTGCCCGTCGCGCACCGCAACCACCCGTTCGCGCCGGAGACCGTCGCGGGCGTGCACACGCTGACGCTGGGGAACTTCGGGCTGGATCTGCTCGGGCGGTGCGTGGGGGGCGCGGGGCTGGACGACGTGGCGGCGGTGCGCGCGCAGGAGCTCGCGGTGCGGCCCGAGAAGATCCTCGCGGTGCACAAGAAGGCCGTCGACGCGGAGCTGGACGCGAACGCGGCGCTGGAGAACGCGGCGGCGGAGCTGGCCGCGACGGGCCGCGCGCCATCGCCGGCGGCCCTGTCGGCGCTGGCCACGCACGTGCGCGCCGTGATGCTCGCGCGGAGGAGGTGGCGGCAGGCGCAGATGGCGACCAACGTCGCCGTCGCCGCCGAGCGCCTCGCGCACGCCCGCCCGCTGTGCAGCGCGGGCCTGGTGCGCTTCCTGACGGGCGCCCTCGACACCTTCGCGCAGAGCTCCCCGCGGCAGCCGCGCGTGGACGCCAGCGCCGTGCACGTCGTCGCGCGCGACCACACGCGCTGGGCGGACTGGGCGGCCGCGCTCGCCGACCTGGTCGTGCTGCCGGAGCGCCGCGCGCGGGAGTGGGACGTCCTGCTGCGCCAGTTCGTGTTCGTGATCCCGCACGCGCGCGCCAGCGCACCGGAGATGGTCGTCGTGCAGCCCGACGCGTCGGACGTGCTCGCGGCGCGCGTCCGGCGCGAGCGGGCGTGGAAGGAGCTGGCGCCCGCGGCGGGGCTGCTGTGGACGGCCGCGGTGCGCACGCGGCTCTTCTTCCCCGACAAGAAGCTGGTGCAGTACGACTGCGGGAAGCTGCAGGAGCTCGACGCGCTGCTGCGGCGCCTGAAGCCGGGCGGGCACCGCGTGCTGATCTTCACTCAGATGTCGAAGATGCTCGACGTCCTGGAGGTGTTTCTGAACATCCACGCGCACTCCTACCTGCGGCTGGACGGCGCGACGAAGCCGGAGCAGCGGCAGATCCTGATGCAGAAGTTCAACCAGAGCAACAAGTACTTCGCCTTCATTCTGTCGACGCGCTCGGGCGGCGTGGGCATCAACCTGACGGGGGCCGACACGGTGGTGTTCTACGACAGCGACTGGAACCCCGCGATGGACGCGCAGGCGCAGGACCGCTGCCACCGCATCGGGCAGACGCGCCCCGTGCACATTTACCGCCTGGTCAGCCGCGACACCATCGAGGAGAACATTCTGAAGAAGTCCGACCAGAAGCGGCACCTCGACCACCTGGCCATCCAGTCCGGGGGGTTCGACCCGCAGGAGCTGCTCGGGGTCGCCGCGGCGCCGCGGAGCGACGGCGCGGCCGGCGAGGACGGGAAGTACGAGGTGCGCTGGCAAACACCCCCCCCTCCTCCCATGTGTGCGCGCGGGCGATGGATGGTTCTGCCCGTGTTCCGAGCGAGTCGCTTCGTGCCGCACGCAGCGCGTGTGCGGCAGCTAGGGCCTCTATGTTGCTGGCGTAGCTGTGTTGCTGGCGCCGACGCGTAGCCCCGGCCCCCGCGCGTGCCGCAGGACGCGATGGACGAGGAGGACAAGGCGGACATGGCGGCTGGGGCGCGCGAGGCGCAGGAGGACGCCGCGGAGTTCGAGGGCGAGGGTCGCGTGGAGGACGAGGGGGAGGAGGGGGCGGGGGGCAGCGGGGACGACGGGAGCGGGGACGAGGGCGGCAGCGGGGACGAGGGCTGCAGCGACGACGGCGGCTCGAAGGGCGGGCGCGGGCGCGGGCGCGGGCGCGGCGGCAGCGCGCGGCCGCGGGCGCGGGCGGGGTCGCGGGCGCGGCGGCAAGGCCAAGGCCGCCGAGGACGGCGGGGCCGGCGACGCCGCCCCGTCCGCGCCGGAGCCGGCCCTGCAGATGCTCGAGGGCGAGGAGGAGTCGCTCGCGGAGCTCGCGCGCATCCAGGAGGGCGCGGGCGGCGTGCAGGCTCCCCTGGAGGACCAGCTGCGCCCCGTCGAGCGGTACGGCGTGCGGTGGATCGAAGACACGTGCCCGTGGCTGCGGTCCGAGGCGGTGGACCGCGCGGTGGCGGAGTACGAGCAGGAGGAGTTCGACCTGGAGGACCTGGAGGCGCGGAAGCGCGCGATGGAGGCGGAGATGGACGACGACGCGGAGGGGGTGGTGATCGACGACTGGGACAGCGAGGTGGCGCGGCAGCAGTGGGACGGGCGCCTGGAGCACGCGCGGACGGTGTACGCCGAGCACGAGCGGCAGTATCTCGAGTGGGAGGCCAAGCAGAAGGAGGCGGCGGCGGCGGCGCAGCGGGCGGCGGCGGCCAAGGCGGCGCGCACGGCCAAGGCGCAGCAGGCGGCCAAGGCGCAGGCGGTCAAGGTGCAGCAGGCGAAGGGGGCGGGCAAGGGGCGCGCCGGCGGCGCGGGTGCAGCGGCGGGGGGCGCGGGGGGGGCTGCGAGCGAAGCCGCGGAGACGCAGGGGCTGCAGTGGAACGAGCGTGCGTATCTCGAGGGGCTGCAGGCGCCGTGGGAGCCGGCGGAGGACGCGGTGCTGATGTGCACGGTGCTGCAGCGCTGCTCCGCGGGGCAGGTCGCGGCAGCCGAGGCGGCGTGCAGCGGGATCGGGTCGAAGGACGCGGCAGCGGCGGCGATCATCATCGCCGAGTCGCTCCCGGCGGCGGCGTGGGACCTGGCCGCGCTGGTGCTGCGTGCCGGCGCGTCGTCCGTCACGCTCACCGGCACCGTGGCCAGCGCGCTCTCCCAGCGGGACCGCCCCGCCGGCGCGTGCCAGATGCGCTTCGCGCAGCTCGTGGAGGCGTACCTCGTCGCGCATAGCGTCCTGAACGGGCCGAAGGGCGCTGCGGGGTGCACGGTCGCCGTCGCCGGCGTGCTGGAGTCGAACAACGCGCCGATGTACATGCTGGTCGACCGCATGGTGCACCCGATCGCCAGCGCGATCCAGGCGGCGGGCGGCGGGCTCGGGAAGGGCAGCATGCTGATGAAGGACTTCAAGAAGACGCCGCAGCGCATCCCGCTGTTGCCGGCGGCACCGCACTCGCTCGCGGACAAGGCCGCGGGCGCGGCGGCCAAGGGCAAGCAGCCCGCGGCGGCAGCGGGCGGCGCCGCGGGGCAGTCGTGAGGCCGGGCCAGCGCAGCTGCAGTCTGTGCGATTGTACACGTAGCCAGGAATGGTAGGGCTGTTTGTTTGTATGTTTGTTTTGCTTCGTTAGAAGGACATGTCCATATGACCGCGAACGGCGCCGTGTGAGGCTCCCGTGTCATTTCGATCCTCGTGGAATCACAAGGGTCATCGGTGCCGGCCTCGTGGGGCGGCAGCTTGCATGCATGGGTGCGCCCAACGGCAGCGCGCGGCGCGCGTGCGGCTGGGCGGGGGTGCTTCATGCAGCGCTGCGCGGGTGGTGCGGCTCCTCAGCAGCACGACGCGCACAGGCACGAGGCCGCGGAGAAGGCGGACTCGAACGACGACGAGAACTCGACACTGGACGACGCAAACGTCTCGACGGAGGGCCGGGTGCCCTCGAACGCCAGCAGCGTCGACGGAAGCACGAGCTGCGGACAGCGGAGGGGCGCCGAGGCAAGGGTCGGTCAGGCAGTCGCGGCGCGAGGTGCGGGGGAGTGTTGTTTTTACTCTATGCGTCTCCTGACGCGACAGAGCGACGGAGGACGTCTCGGCTCGAGGCACACCGCTCGAGATTGGCGCCGTCAACCACACGAGGTGGTCAACGGGGGCGTGTGGCGACACGTGTGATGTGCGGGGCGGCTGTGGCGTTCGCAGCGCAGTCGCGGACGCGCGCTGCTGCGTGTGCAGGCAGGGTCAGGACGCGGGGCGTGGGCGTGCCTGTCCGGCGTAGGGCGTCGCGGTGGTCTCGATCGTGGACGAGAAGGCGTAGTCGGACGCGAAGGCGGCGTTGGCGAACCACGAGTTGCTGAACGAGATGGAGTCGGGGCTGGAGAAGCCCCCGAGCGTCTGCGCGCCGAGCAGCGACACCCAGCTCTGCGTGCTGGACATCCCGACGCTCTGCTCGAAGTAGCTCTGCACCTGGCTCCCGGACCACGACGGCAGCATGACGAGGGAGGAGAAGTCGTCGGCGACCTCGACGTCGACGCGCCCGAGCGAGATCTGGACGCGCGGGCCGTCGAAGAGCGCGACGGTGTGCGCGGCGGCGACCTGGCACGCGTCGGCGAACGACAGGCTGAGGCCCTGGGTGTCGAGCATGCCCTGCACGCGCCCGAGCACGCTCACGATGGTGGTGAGGCCCAGGCCGTCGCGCTCCTCCGCGAGGCGGATCGACCCGTTGGCGCCGCCGGAGCCCGCCGCCGCGCGGTAGGTGAGGGAGTCGAGGAGCGCCGCGCGCACGAAGTCGGCGCGCAGCCGCGGGCACCGCACAAGCACGGCCTGCACGGCCTGCTGCACGAAGCCGACGCTGGCGCTGATGCCGCCCGCGGTGCAGCGGTCGGCGACGCAGAGCGTCGCGGCGTCGACGCCGTCGAAGCACGCCTCCCACGACGTGACGGAGAGCGTGGCGGACTCCGCGGGCTCGCTGACGGACGCGGCGGCGACGCAGGTGGTGCACTGGGTGGTGGGCGGGGGCTGCGAGATCTGCACGGAGACGGTCTTGACGACGGTGCGCGGCGTCACGGCCGCGTAGTAGCACTGCCCGCAGGCGCCGACGGCGACGGTGGTGACGACGGGCTCCTGGATGGTGACGGTGGAGACCGTGGAGACGAGGCTGTTGGCGACCTCGGTGGTCTGCACGCCGCTCGCGCACACGATGGTGTTGAAGTTGCTGGCCAGGAGCTGCGAGCTCGCGACCTGCTGCGCCGCGACCTGCGTCTGCGCGAGGAGGAGCGAGAACGCCGCGGGGCGCAGCGGGACGAAGGGCACGGCGCTGATCTGCAGCACCGAGGACGCCTGCACGGCCACGGAGGTCGAGGACGACGCCGCCGCGACTCCGCACACGCCGCACGTGAGGATGGACGGGACGTAGGCGACGCCGCTGTACGTGGCGGTGGAGTAGGAAGTCATGGAGACGGTCTGCGTGGACGCGACCTGCGCGGAGCCCTGGTAGAAGCCGCCGCACAGCCACCCGCACTGGTTGACGTAGAAGCCCCCGAAGGCGCTGTTCGCGCCCGCGGCGGTGGCGACCACCGAGGAGGAGGCCGACGAGGAGGCCGTGAAGTTGAACGACGCCGCGAACGACGACTCGAAGCTCGAGCTCGCCTGGAACGAGAAGCCCGCCGACGCCGCGGAGGCGGAGCAGAACCCGCCGAGGTACCCGGGGCAGCCTGGCTGCCCGCCGCCGTTCCCAAGCGTGGTCACCTCGATCGAGCCCGAGGCCGCGCCGGCGCCGGCGCAGTTCGAGGCCACGACGTAGATGCGGTAGAGCTGCCCGCGGTCGAGGCCGTCGATGGTCTGGCACAGGTCGAAGAAGCGCTCGACGAGCGGCGCGACGCGCGCGGAGGGGTCCACGGGCTCGACGTAGACGTCCATGACCACGTCGGCGATGTCGGCGCCGCCGAGGTCGGTGGGGTTGTCGAAGCAGATGCGGATGCTGGTGCCCGTGCGCTGTGAGGCGATGAGCTTGCCCGGGGCGCCCGGGACGCCGGTGGCGCTGCAGCCCGAGGGCGTGGTCGCAGCTGCGGTGGTCGTCGCAGCGGCGGTGGTCGTCGCAGCGGCGGTGGTCGTCGCCGGTGCAGTGGTCGTCGGGACGGGCGTCGTCGTGGGCGCAGCCGTCGTCGTGGGCGCAGCCGTCGTGGTGGGTGCAGCCGTCGTAGTAGGCGCAGCCGTGGTGGTGGGCGCAGCCGTCGTCGTGGGTGCAGCCGTCGTCGTGGGCGCAGCCGTCGTGGTGGGTGCAGCCGTCGTAGTAGGCGCAGCCGTCGTGGTCGGCGCAGCCGTCGTCGTGGGTGCAGCCGTCGTCGTAGGCGCAGCCGTGGTGGTCGGCGCAGCCGTGGTGGTCGGCGCAGCCGTGGTGGTCGGCGCAGCCGTGGTCGTAGCGGCGGCAGTCGTGACGGGCGGGGCCGTTTCCGCGTTCGCCGCTCCCGGTTCGGCAGCAAAGGCAACAGTGTTCACGTCCGCAACTGCGCGGTCCTGACCGTCACCGGCGCTATTCTGCGGCGCATGCAGAGGAATCAATTCGTTCATGGTAGATCGATGGCGGAGCGCGCGTAATACGGCACGTCGCGAAAATGATCGCGTTGCTGGCACTTGGGCCGCAGTGCCGCGAAAAAACGGGCAGTTGGGGTCGGGAACGACGTCGCACCTGGAATCCCGAGAACCCCGATGGTGATCCAGCTTGGTTCGAGGACGGCTGCGCTGAGGACGGGGCCAGGCCGGCCGCCGAAGACACGTCGTTTCCAGAAGGCGGGAAAAGCGGCTGAGACGCCTCCGCGTCCTCAGAGTCCTCCGAATCCTCATCGTCCGCAGGCCTGACGTTGATGAATTGCGAGAGCCGCCTCTCGCTGGAGCGGGGGAGCCTGATGGCGTGCGACGCCGGTAGACCGACGAAGAGCAGGCCAAGCAGCAGGGCCGCGCAAACGGCCACCGCGTGGCTCCGTTTCGCCATCCTTGCGATTCTGTGGTCGCAACGAAAACAGTTCGCGATGTTGGGCGCGTTCAGGAGGCTTGGAAGCGGCCTAGCGCGCACTTCGCGCCGACAGTCGACAAAGTCGTCAGAACGCTAGATCCCGATGCATGACGTCCCAGTCGACGCGCGCAAGTGATTGCCTAGCTCGCGTTCTAGCCGGGACGGAAGGCAGCGGCGCCACGGGTCTCGCGCACGGCCAGCGCGGGCGTGGAGGCGGCGGCTCTCACCTCAAGCACGATACGTTGCTCTTCGTCGAAGCGTTGCAGTTGTCGCGCTCGAGGATCGTCAAGATCTAAAGGGGTCGCACCAAAACCCCGCCGCAATGTGACCGGCGGCCGCCCCAGCGCGCCCTGTTGCGCGCCCGGGCTCTGGACTGACTGTTTCAAGCCCCCGGCACCGCAGCTTCCGCGTCCTCGAACGCCCAGCTGCGCCCGCCCGCGCATCTGCACGAACCGACCTTTGCTCCCGCGATTCATGGCGCGGACCCCGTTCGGGCCTCGTCCTCTCGCGAGAATCGGCGCCCCTGTGTTTTTACCACTTCCCTGGCGGGTGACGTCACCGCGGGAACGCGCCCCCTCCAGGTCTCGTCCAAGGACGTTCCGCACGGGGCTCCTCGTGGCTCTGCTGCGTGGAGACGGGCAGGGGACCGTGGGGCGTGCGCGTGGGCACCACTGCGGCGCAGCGTCACATCCGGGGGGCGTTGAAGCCGCCGAGCTGCGAGGGCAGGACCTCGCCCTCCGTGGCCCAGCCGAGCTCCTCCAACGTCGGCACAACCTTGAGCTTCGCGCGCCCTTTGGCCTTGGCGAACGGAGACAGCAGCTTGATCACCCATCGCAGCGTCCACGACGGCCGGACGAGAACCAGGTGCTGCGCGGCGCCACGAGCGAACGCGTCCACGTGTGGGCAGGGCGTCCGCGGGCGTTGCCAGGCAGGTTCGCATTCCGCGGCGACACGGCGCGTGGCGGTGTTGCTGCACGCACCTTGATGTTCTTGCGGATGGGGCGCGACAGGCTGGTGTACGCGGACAGCGCGTAGGACAGGGGGAGGGAGTGTCCCGGGGACCCGACGATGACGAGCACGTAGTCCCCCGAGTAGGCGAGCGGGGCGATGCGCCGCACGCACTCGGCCATGCCTGACGTGAACAGACTCCCCCTGGGGAACGCCGCGAAGTCGAGCACGACCACGGGGCGCCCGCACGAGTCGATGCCGTCGTCGAACATCAGCCCCGGGAACTCGTGCAGGGAGAAGCTGTCTGGCGAGCCCGCGGGCGCAGCACCTTGGGGGGCCGCGCCGTCGGCGCCGCGCGGCACGACGGGCACCCAGCGCGTGAACGGGGTCTTCTTCTTCTGCTTCTTCGCCGTGTGCTGGCTCGTGCGCGCCGAGGAGTGCCCCGACAGTGCCGCCATGCTCGCCCTGGCAGACGCCGGCGACGGGGCGCGGTGCGCGTCCGACACGGGCACCGGAGTCAGCGACGCCCTGCTCGCCTCTTCCTGCAGAGTGATCGACACGTCCTCGACGCCCGCGCCCCGCGCAGCCGCCGGACTCGCGCCGGCAGACCCCTCCAGGGGACTGCCGGCTGACTCAGTCCCCCTGACGCCATCCGCCTGCCGGTCAGACGGAGCAGGTGGGCGCAACGGATGGTCCACGTCCGTCGCCGCCTCCTTGCTGCCGCCAGGGCCCGCCCCGGCGTTGGCCGGAGGCGGCACTGCAGCCGCCGCGCCGCCGCTTTGCATCAGAGCGCCGCCTGCGGCCAGCACGAGGTCGGCGAGCCCCGCGTCGACCCCTTCCTGCATGTTCCTCTCGACCTGATCCAGCGCGTGCTGCAGCTGATCCTGAACCGGCTCCGGGACCCGCACGTCGCGCCCCTCCGTCGGGGGGGTGTCCCCAGCCGCCTCGTCGACGACCCCGGGCGCCGCCGGTGGCGCAGGCGGCGTGGTCGGAACTGGCGGCAGCGGCATGGGGACGTCGTCGATGTCCGGCGCGTCGATCGAGGACAGGCCCGGGGAGCACGGGTCCCCGTCGTCGTCGCACGCGCCGTCGTCCTGCTGCGCCTCTGGGGCGCGGCCCGCGGGCCCAGGAACGAGCGCGAGGTCGGCGGGCACTGCGAGGGGGTGGAGCTCTGCGCCGCGGACGACCGGCGTGCGGTCGGGCTGCAGCACGAAGTAGCGCGGGTCGCCCTGCATGGGGTGGCCTCTCGCGCCTGCAGAGCCAGCGGGGAACACGGGATGGAATCCAGGTCGTCGAGCCTGGCAACGGGAGTGCTTGGACCAGAGTGGAGCGCGCGGGGGGCGGAGAGGCGGTGCCCAGGAGGAGGAGGCGCCTGTGAGGCTACTGCGACCAGCAGGGGCGCTTCTGCACGGCATCTTGCGACGTTTGGGTCGTTCTCACCTCTCCCCTCGCTACCGATACCGTCCGCGGTCGTGGTGTGGGACTGGTCTGACTCAGGGACCCGGAGCTGGCTCGTGTCTGCAGAGAATCTGTTGCTGGCGAGGCCGCCCGATCCCGTGCCCGTCATCGCCCCGGGCTCCTCCGGGTTGCCCATTGGAGCGCCTGCATTGCGTTTCAATCGCGACCTTACCCATATGCGCCCGTCTCGAATAGCAGGGCGGCAAAGCGCTCTCCAGCCAGGGATTCCGGTGCCCCCGACGGTCACGCCGGCGACAACCAAGGTTTACTTTCCGAGATTCGCGAGGGATTGGAAGAGACGCAGGCCGTGCGTGGCCGGCATTGCGCAAGCGAGCCCGCCAGCGTCGACGTGTGGCCCGGGCTGCAAGCTTCAGGGCCGCGGGAGGCGCACCTCCTCGGCCCGCGTTTCGGGCTCGCGGTCTCGCAGAGCTGAGGAAGTGACCGGGCTTCCCCGTTGGGCCCGCGGGCGGCGTGGCAGCGACGACGGCGCTGAAGCGACCAAACGACGGGAGCGCGATGCCCGAGGACGTGCAACAGGCGTTGCCGGCGCGCAGCGAGCGGACGTGGACCTGCGGCAACGCAGCGAGGCTCTGCGGGCTAGCACGGAGCTCCGGAATGCCCGACCCGCCCACGCGGGCAGCTACAACTCCAGCGTCTCCATCGAGAAGACAACATGACCCCGGGGACCTGTTCCGCCCCTGACGTCGTCGTCGCGACGACGGAGCTCCGCCAGCCCGCAGCGCGGCGTTGCGCCAGCGCAGAGCAGCGCCCCGTCCGACTGCGACCTTCGCCGCCGCTGCGGCGGCCATCACTCGGACATGAGCTGGCAAGGCTGCGCGCAGCACTGAGCAGCTGGCACGTGACACCGCAGGAAACCGCCCCGACGACAGCCGCACGCGCCAGCGGCGCGCCGTTGCGCCGCGTCGGCGTGTCGGCAGCGCGGCGCCGCGCTCGCGCGCGCCCCCGGCGAGACGCACAACGAGCCCCCGTGGCATCACACGGCGCGTAGCGCAGGTGCGTTATGTGTCAACCGGCGCCGCGCGCGTGCTCCGCCACGACATATCATGCGCCACAGCTTAGTAGAAGAAGCCGAGGATCTTGCCTGCACGGACAACGCAGCAACGAGCAGCAGTCGGTCACTGGTAGCACACAAGGGAGGCAACGTGCCGCCGCGAGGGGGTGCTGTCGACGCAGGTGGCCGCGGCTGCGATGTGGCGTGTGCGCTGGCCGCGGGTGCGGGGCGGTGCGGTGCGGTGCGGTGCGTGGGGTGCGGCGCTCACCTCCGATGTGCTTCCGACGGGCCTCCTCGTGGTCCATGATCCCGGCCGACGTGGTCAGCACGATGAACCCGAACAGACGCGAGGGCAGCACCCGAGCCATCCAAGCCTCCATCTCCGTCGCCTGCGCGTGCCGGGGCGGTGCGGGCGCTGAGCGCTGCTCTCGAATTTGCGCGGCGGGAGCTTGCGGGTAGGCGCGCGCGCCGCCCGAGCTCGTGGGGGGAGGTCGTGTAGCGTGCGGCGCGGGGGCCGGCTGGGCGGAGGCGGGGTTGGAGCGGGGCTGGGTGCGGGCGCACGACTTGGGCAAGCACCCTCTCGCTGCCAGGGGCTCCGCGGGGGACGCACGGGCATTCAAGCGAGAGGTGTGGCTTTCGTGGGCAATATCTCTTCGATGGAGCACGTGTTCCTCGCGGCGCTCGCCGTGCGCAGCGAGCAATGTGCAGCGAAGCACCAGAGGGCCGAAACGGCGCGGCCGGGCCCCCAGGCCGGCGGCTGAGCGCTCGGCCTGATCATTACGCGAAGGAGATGAAAGGCTGCGGTGCGCCGTGGATCCGGCGGCGACGCCACAAGACGCACGGAGTGGTCCCACGCAGCGACCCAGGCCCGCGTGCTCGCGCTGCCGCGGCACGGTGCCAGGGACCCGGCGCAAACGTGACGATTCGCCGGGGGCATCCGGCGGGTGCCGCCAGCGGGGGCGCCGAAGCTCACCTTCACGTCGTAACGGGGCGAGATGCAGCCGCACTTGTTCAGCCGCCCGTTGAGCTCCACCACAATTTTCCCGGCCCTGTGGTCATCCACGTATTCGAACTCGCCGATGTACCCGTGCTTCTGCATCACGCGCAGGAACTTGATCACGACCTGCAGGCCAGGGAGGGAGTGGTGCTTGAGCGCCTCGTGGGCGGTGCGAGCGGTTCCGGCGTGCCCCGCGAGAAGCTGCGACCGTGGCACATCCGTGCCGCGCGGTCCCAGGCGCTCTGCCGGGCCTGGGGCGCCCCGGCGGCCCTGCCACTGATGCACTCCAAGCTTGTCCCGCCCGCGCGCTTCGGGGCTGGGCCGCCGGCGCGCGCAACGCGGAGTACACGCGTCCGAGAATAGTCTCGTTCGCCGTGAACCGCAAGCGGGGGCGCTGGGCCTCGCACGCGGCGTGCCGCGACGGGACGGCCAGACGGCTGGGCTCCAGCGCGGCCACCAGGGTCCGCACGAGCATGCCGGCGAGCCGAACGCCTCGAACGTACCTTCGACACGGGCCGGATCAGAACCTGACGCTTGCCGCGCTTCTCGGCATTGTACAGGGTCTTCAGGCAGTCGTGAAGCACGGAGATCTTAACCATTGTCCCACTACTTTCCCGCTGCCGTCCAATGTGAAAAGGAGCGAGGCGCGGGAGCCCGCCGCGCAATGTCTCGCCGCTCCGCGCCCGCCAACCCGCCGGGGCTGTGTTGTGCTCTTTGGAAGACCAGCTCAGTCGGGCTGCGACCGCGCGGGCGCGCCGCGAAATCAGCGCGCGAGCGCGGCCCCGCGAGGCAGACCGCCGGGAGCGCCCAGAACGGCGACGAGCCCTCTCGTTGTCCGCACACGCCGCGAGGACCCCGCGACGCCCCTCGGCCGCTTTCCGTTCCCCGCTGATCGCGGTCGGGCCGCACGGGAGGCCGCACGCGGGCGCAGGGGCCGCACGTAGCCGTCGGCAGCGCCCTGGTGGCGTCCGCTGCGGCGAGGATGTCCGCGCAGGGCGGAGGTGCAGGCCCTTGCCTCTTTGCGCCAAGTTGCCTTTCAACCGCCTGCTGGGCAGACCAGCGATGCGGCCACCCCGCGCCGGCCGCGCCGGAGCGAACGCACACGTCTGCGGACGCGTCGGCGCCGGCCGTGCTGCGCGCGCGCGTCACCAGCGGCGCGGAGGACACGGCTCCTGGGCCCGCGCAGCCGTCTGGGTCGCAAGCGCGAACCGAGGAGCCGGCGCCACTTCCCCGCGCCCGCCTCCTCGCCCGACCTGCCTCGACCCGAACGCCCACCGCCCGCCGCGCCCGTGCCCCGCGGCCCCCCGCAGGCAGCGCGCCCCCCAGCGCCCCACCGAGCCACTCCGGCGACGACAGCAGCGCGAGCGTCGACCTGGGCCCCGACGACACGCACAGCGACGTCGACATGGACGGCGCGGACTCGGACTCCTCCGCGGACGACTCGGACGTCGGCGGGCCCGACATGCTGGACCTGGCGCAGGTGTTTGGCAACGCGGTGCCGCCGCACGCGGTCGAGATGGCCAGCGCGCTCGGGCTGCTCGGCGCGCCGGACGCGGGCGACGCTCTGGAGTTCGGGAGCGAGGAGGACGACAGCGAGTTTGAGGACGACGACCTCGTGGAGGCGCTGCACCCGATTGCCGTGGAGGAGATGCGGGAACACAAGCGCGGGGCGGGGCCCGCGGAGGAGGGGCAGGCGGCGATCGACGCGTGCGCGGAGAACGCGCGGCTCTTCCTGCGGGAGGACCTGGGCGCGGCGCGGGACCGCGCCAGCGGTGCGCCCGGGGCGCGGCCAGCGGCGGGGGCGTGCGTGGAGCTGCCGATCGGGTGCGCGAACGCGCACTTCCAGACCGCGGACTGCCTGTGCGCGCTGCCGGCGGGCGCGCACGGGCGGCCCGCGGGGGTGGATCTGATCCTGACCGTCGCGCACCAGGAGGAGGAGATCGAGGGCGAGCCGGGCGACGTGGCGATGATCCCGGACATGCGGCTGTACGAGGTGGACTGGAGCGCGGCGGCGCACGCGGAGCCGCAGGCGGACCCGGCGTCGCACCTGTACACGTCGCCGCCGGTGTCGCTCAAGTCGTCGCCGCGCGACGGGGACTGCAAGGTGTCGCGGCTGTCGCGGTACGCGCAGCTGCTGTATCCCGACGAGGGCGCGGAGAGCCCCGCGAACGGCAGCCCCGCCGTCGCGTCGGGCGGGAAGGAGCTGCCGCCAGGGGCTGGTGGGGGCGGGCAGCTGCCGGGGCGGCAGTGGTCGAGCAAGATGGCCTGTCGGGAGCTGTCGTCGCGGAACACGAGCATCTTCCCGTACTCCATAGCCACTGACTCGCGAGGTGCGTGCGCTACGTCGGCGGGTATGACCATGCATGCATGACACACACGTGGGAGCGTGCGGACGCGTCTGACGGCGCGCGGGCGCCCACGAGCACGGGAAACGTGTTACTGTCGTCGCAGGAAGCGCCGTCGCGATCGCCGGGGACGACGGCATGGTCGAGGTGCTGTCCATAGTGGCGACGCCAGACCAGGCCGGCGGGCCGCCGAAGCTCGCGTTGCAGGACCTGGCGTTCATCATCCTGGGCCAGAACGTCATGGCCAACTGCGTGCGCTTCGGGAAACGTGAGGGCCCGCACCTCGTGCACCCACTGCGCGCAACAACAACAAAATCAACCGTGCAGGGTCCCGATTGCAACACACGAGCCGCAACGCCCACCGTCGTCGCTGCTGCTCCACCGCTGCGCAGTTCTCGGCAAGGAGCGCATGATCGTCACGGCGCAGGTGCTCGACAGGGGCCTGGTGTACGTATTCGAGGTTCCGGAGCCCGCGGCGCTTGCGGGCGGCCGCGCCCCGACCTTCGGCCAGGCGACGGCGCTCGCGACGGCCATGCGCAGCCGCGTGCACGAGGACGAGCGCTGGGACGCGTCCACGCCGCCGGCGGCCGCGTCGGACCCCGGGAACCAGGGCCGCATGGCCCTTCCTGTGCTGTTCGGCTTCATGGCCAGCAGCCACGTGGGCGCGGAGGTGGAGGCGACGCGCATTCCCATCACCACGAGCGTGATCGGGCAGTTCGGGCGGGAGATCAACGCGGCCGTGCCGTGCCCGGCGGGCCACGAGCTGGCCGTGGTGAGCGACGCGGCGGCCGTGTGGGTGCTGAACGCGACGGACGGGTTCAACCTGCTGGCCCCGCAGAACAGCAACAAGCTCTTTTCCTGGCGCGGCCTCCAGGCGCTCGCGGGCCGCGGCGACCCGAAGTACGCCGGCTGCCAGTACTGCGCGTGGTCGGCGGACGGCGCGCTGCTGGCGCTGTCGCTCGACGGGTACCGCTCGGTGCTCGTGTGGTCCGCGCGGACGCGCCACTTCATCGCCTGCGTGCCGCGGGACTGCCCCGTGCCGACGAGGTGCCTGCCGGTCGCCTGGAGCACGGCAAACCCCAACGTGCTGATCTTCGCAGGTGCGGCCGCTCGCGGCAAAACAACAACAGTTCGTTGAAAGCGCCCGTCTGCATGTGCGCTTACCATGATGCCGTTGGTGGCCGCGCCGGGCGGCTCACTCACTTGCGCTGGTCCCGGCGCTGGTGCAGAGCGCACACACCGGTTGTGGATGGCGGACGTCACGGTTGCCGCGAAGACGCTGGCGCCGCTGCCCCTCGGCGATGCAGAAGGCGGCCTGGAGGGCGGCGCCAGCAACACCGGGTGCACCGTTGCCTGCATCGACCTGCCGGCTGCTACGCGTGGCCACGACCACACCACGGTGCACAGCGTAGGTGAGCCGCCCTGCCGCGGGGCCTTGCACGTCGCGCGTAGCGAGCGCCAGACAAAGCGGCCGAGAGCTCTGTCTCGTTGCCCTGGTGCGCGAAGTCGCTTTTGCTGTGCCGAAATAGAGTCACACGACATGATGCGGCTCGGCAAGTACCCGTCTCGTGCGTCCGCAGTTGCCCGGGCGCTGCAGAACCACTGCCCGCACGTGATCGTGTGCGGCCTGGCAGCGACGCCCAGCGGACACATCCTGGTGGGGTTCCGGGACCGGGCAGTGGGCGTGGCGCCCGTGGAGGTGACGGGCTGGTCGTGCGAGGCGCACCGCCAGTGGCCGCAGAGGTTCAAAGACGTGGCGCGGATGGTCATGGCCGCGCGCCCGACGGACCCGGACGCGCGCGGAGCGGGGATGTGGAGCCTCCCGCGCGACGTGCTCCTGAAGGTCGTCGAGCACGCGGCGGGGAGGGGGCCCCTGGCTTGGACGTCGTAGCGCCGCTACTGCTAGCGGCTTTTCCGCGTGGTACCGGATGCCGTTGTGGTAGTGCGTGTGGCCAGGCCGTGATTAAGGGGGGGGGGTGTTCGCCTGGACGGTCCGAAGGAACAGCAGGAGGGTTGTCTCCGGCTATGTGATGGCTCGTGGAATCATGTCGCGGACATACGACCGCGGCGGGCCCGGTCGACTGCGAGCCGCACGTGATCACCCTCTGCAGGAGAGCGACGGTCATCGTCGCCGTAGATCAGCTGCGACCGCTCTGTCGCGCGCGTGGCGGGGCCCCGAACGACATGACTTCCGAGAGCAGCACGCCATGAAGCACTCTACGAAGCACTCAGCGGCGCTGCTGCTTCTGCTGCTGGTGATGGCCAACGGCCAGCTCTCGCTCTCGCGCCCGGCTCCCGGCCCTCTCTCCCCGGGCCCTTCGACAGATGGGGCCCGGGACAAGCACGACACGGTCGACCTGGGCCTCGGTCGACCGCACGGCGTCGCAGGCCCCAGTTTGCTCCAGCAGCTTGAAACTTTCAGCAAACCTGACCCCATGCTGGCCGCGAACGTCGAGATCCGCGACCCCTCCTTGCCTGGAGCGAGCGTGACGATCCACTCGGACGGTGGCGCCGAGACTGGCCTGGGCCCGAGCGACCAGGGCGGCACCGTCGAGGCGCCAACCCTGGAGACTCTACCAGCAGCGAGCCCCGGCCCTGTGGTCGACGCTCAGGGCGCGTCTCTGGCGCAGGGCACGGTCGAGGTCACGGAGAGCCAGGCTGTCGGTATCCAAGTCACATTGAACGACCCAGCGGCGGCGGTGGTCGGGGAAGGTGCGTTCGAAGGAGACGGCGCCGAACGCGCCCCACGCCGGTCCCTGCAGCGCTTCTTGCGCTCCCGCGGCTGACACGCGTCGTATATCCCTGCAAAACGCTGCACGAAGTTGGGCAGAATGTCGCTGTCGAGGCGGTGCGAGCAGACTCACCTGCATGTCTTAAGCGGCTGTCTCGTACGCACGGTTGACGATCCACGTCCCCGCATCGAATGCAGGCCAGCCTCTGTCGCCTCTGGACGGCGTCGACTTCGCTGACTTCCTCGCGGGCCTCGACCCCGCGCAGACCGGCCCCGCGTCAGCAGCGCAGCCCCAGAACGGGCCGCAGGCGCCGCAGGAGGCCACGACGCCGCCGGCGGACAGCGCCGAGGACCCGCCGTGCGAGGCGAGCCCCGAGTGCAACCCCCTCGCGATCCTCGAGCAGATCTCCAAGTGCGGCCAAACCGCGCAGTTCTCCGTCGACGTGCGCTCCACGTGCTGCACGAGCCTCCTGGGCGCCGAGCCGCAGCATCTGTCCTGTCTGTGCGCGCGCCAGACGTTCTGCGTCGCCGAGCGCGCGACGCCAGGCATCCAGGCTGTACTGCGCCGCTGCGGCATCGAACAGCAGACGTACGGCGGGGCGTGCTGAGCGCGCGCCGACGCCGCGCGGCCTCGCCCAGGCGCGCGCGTCTGCGGGCCCGCGGCCGCCCCCTGCATGCAAAGACCGAACAGCTCTCGCGCGACTCGTGACCGCGCCCCACCGCACAACTGTGATCCGCGAGCGAGCCGCGCGCCGCCGCCGCGTCGTCAGCGCGAGTTACAGCGCGGGCAGGGCGCCGTTGCCCGCCCGTCACGCGGGCAGGGTGAGTTTCTTGTTCTCTTTCCAGGACAAGTAATAATAGTAGAAGAAGTCGCTGTATATGCCCGTCTGGATGAGCCCCGCGATCCAGCTGATCGGGTCCCAGTACCGTCGCTCCGTCGCGAACCGGTAGATCCAGTTGAGGAGGTACAGTGCGCGGTAGGACCCTAGAAGGAATATGTAGTTCCCCGTGAGGTTGTCGATGTTCTTCGTGCGCTGCAGCAGCACGAGCTGCGGCAGGATCGCCAGCGCCTCCAGCCAGATCGAGAACGACCACAGAATCTCAACGAAGCTCCAGTCCCTGCAGCACAGCGCAGCCGAGGCCCAACGCATCGCGCGCCACGCGCCGCTCGCGGGGGCACCGCGGCCCTCGGCGCCGCCGGAGTGCGCGGCCGAGGCGGCAGGGCCGGGCAGAGGGGGAGCGGGGGGTCTCACGTGTGGAAGAGCAGCGCGAGGAGCGCGGCGGGTCCCGCGAGGAACTCGACTTTGAACGAGTCGTGGTCCTTGTCGTACGTCCGCGAGATCTTCTTGTGCTTGGTCATCAGGTACACCTGCGCGCGCGGGGGCGCCGGACAGCGGCGCTGGGAGGTGCGCGTGCGAGGCATTGTGCAGGTCGCGCGCGATTTGGGGCTTGGGCCCGAGGACGAGGCCCACAGGGGGCACCGCGTCGTGGACCCCTCGTCTGAACTGCCCCAGCCGAGCAGGGCGTCGTCGTACCGGAGCTCGGCGAAGCGCCGCAACTGCTCGAAGTTGGTGTCCGTCAGTGTGCGAGTCCCGCTTGTGCCCGCCGCACGGTACGCGCCCCTGTCGGACGCTCGCACCGGCGCGCATCGTGCACCCGAGCGGCGCCTCCCTCAGTGGAGGCGTACCGTGCGACGGGCACAAGCGAGACACCCACACTGACGGACACCAACTTCGAGCAGTTGCGGCGCTTCGCCGAGCTCCGGTACGACGACGCCCTGCTCATTCAGACGAGGGCTCCACGACGAGGTGCCCCCCCTGGGCCTCGTCCTCGTGCAGGTGCAAGCTGCGGCACAGAGTCGTCCCCGCGTCTACGCGGAGGGTTGTTCGGCGCAGAGCTCGGGTCGTGCCGGGGCGGCAGCGACGCCGCGGTGGTGTGGGGATCGCCCCCCCGGGTGCGGCGTGTCGCGCGGGCGGCCGGGCGGCGCGGGGTGACGGTGGGGTTGGTGCGCCAGGCTGGCTGGCGGGCGTTGGTCGGTGCGGGGGGGAGGAGCGCTGGTCCGACAGTGCGACTGGTGGATCGACGCATTTGCTGTCGCTGGAGCGCGCGCAGGAGGGGCCCGGGGGCCGCGGCGCCCCGCGTGGCGCGACGTGGTGGGGCTTGCAGGCGCCGGAACGCTGGAGCCGCTGGCCGCGTCCAGGCAGGCCGTGAGGGCACGAGGTGCTCCTCTGGCGCATGATTCGTGGATCTCGGGCCTCGTTGTCGCGCTCGGGGGGCGGTTGCGGGCGGCACGGGTCCGTGCGAGGCCCGGACCGCGCGCGTTGGTGCCCAGGGCGGAGAACAGGCGCGTTGCTCGCGGTTCTGGGGGCGCACCGTCGCTCCGCTGCAGCCGAGGAAGACCACCTTCATGACGCTGTTGTACAGCGACACGAAGTGCGTGAACAGGTCCAGGTAGCGGGTGCAGAAAACCGCCACGTACATGGCCTGGGTCTTGAGCGACACGCCCGCGCACGACTTGGTCGCGTAGATCTTGAGGAGGAGGACTATCACCGCGAACACATGACTAAGGTCCCCGGCCAACCGGAAGATGTTCATCCTGGTCGACGCACGGGCTACGCGCTGCTACAGCCCCTGCCCCGCTGCTGTGGCGACAGGGTCGCCACTCAGGCTCCCGCAGCGCGGAATACGAGGCCCTCGCGGAGCACCGGCTAGCTCTCCGCGCCCCGGGCGTCCGCGTGCTCGGAGGGACTGGAGCCGGGCTCCCTCCGTGGGGTCAGAAAAACGTCCAGCGCTGTTCCAAGGGGCGGAAGGCTCGCGCAGGTTGCAACAGGATCGAGACGCTCCCTCAACTACACGGCGCGTTCACGAGCGGGGGAACTGGCCGCCGGCGCGCTCTCCGCGGCCGTTGTGCCCGTCAGGGTGGTCGGTCTGGGCCGCGCTGCTGCTCACCTCCCCCCTTGCTCAGCGGCGCAGGGCCATCGATGCGGCATTTGGGGCCGGTGCGGCGCGCACGGGAGCACCTCGTTCGCGGCCAACATGCAGTCGATCAGCAGCACCTTCGCAGCGGGCGCTGTGCAGCGGGCCCCTGTGGCCCAGCGGGCCCGGCGGGCGGTCTGCGCGCGTGGTGAGGATCCCGCGCCGGCAACGCGGGCGAAATCAGTGCTTTCACAGCCCCGGCGAACGGCGCATTTCGCGCGAGTGGCCTCGCGGGCGCTGGGCCGCAGATGAGGCTGCGGCTCGCGCGTGTCATACGAGCCCCGACGAAACCCTCCGCGCCCGCCTCCGCATTCGCGCAGCTGTTCCGGGACCCGTGGAGTCGAAGAAGGTCGACAAGTACGCGGTTGTGGAGATCGGCGGGTCGCAGCTCATCGTCGAGGAGGGGCGCTACTACAGCGTGAACAGGCTGGGGGTCGAGGAGGGCGCGACCATCCAGATGGGGCGGGTTCTCGGTGTCAAGAACAACGGCGACTTCAAGGTGAGCGCCGAGCGCCGCGCACGAACGCGGGGTCGTCCTCATCCACTTGCTCGGCCAGTCAGTCGCGCGGGCCACCGGCGCCGATGCGGCCCCGCGCCGCCCTCCGCCGCGCTCCCCACCGAGTGACGGCCCCGATGCGCGCGGCGGGACCCCGCAGCGGCGCGCCCAGCCGCCACGGGCGCCACACCCTGCCACAGAGCCCGCAGCCACCGCCGCCGTGCACCGCGTGCCGCGCGAATGCGCGCACGTCGCCGGCACACGCGCGCTCCCCCGCCACTCCAGCGTCCGCGCCGCACCGCGGCGCCTCCGTCGGGCGCCCATCGAGCCCGCTGTGGCCCGCGGGGCGCCTCCCGCACGCCTCTGCCCCGCTCACGGGTCGCGTGGGGCCGATCGCGCGGCGCAGGTCGGCCAGCCGTACGTGGAGGGCGCGACGGTGCAGGCGGAGATCCTGGGCGACGAGAAGGGCCCCAAGATCACGGTGTACAAGATGAAGCCCAAGAAGCACACGCGGTCAAAGAACGGCCACCGCCAGCCCCTCACCAAGTTCCTCGTCACCAAGATCGAGGGCTGATTCCATACGTCTCGTCGTCCTGTGAGACCCGCATACGCCCGCCCGCCGCCGCGTCGCACTCGTGCGCCGTGGACTGCCACGTGCAACACATGCCCCGGATCAGCTCCGCGCGACGCCGCCGCGGCCAGCGGGGCACGGGACGGGAGCCGCCCGCGCTGCCGCGCACCGCGCCGGTCCACGTCGGCAGCGAACTCCCTCCGCCCCTCCCCCAGCGCCCGGGGGGTGTCGGCGCAGTTGGGCAGCATTGTTGGACTGCCCTACGTCGACGCGCCACGCGTCACCGCCGCGGCACTTGCGCGCGTTGCCGCCACGAAGCAGCGTTGCGTGCAGGCGTCGCGCTCGGGCTTGCCGTCGCGACGCGCCGCCCCGGCAGCACAGTGTTTTGGTGACGCAACTTCGTTCCACGAGGCCGCCTTCCGAGAGCCTCGACAGGGCGCCGGCCCGCCACCTCGCGCCACGTCCTAGCCGCCGAAGCCCCGCGGCCGCCGCACCGCCGAACGATGTCAGCCGCGGTGCCTAGCAGCGTCCGCGTCCTCGCCTCGAGGTGTGCAACGAGGCGCGTGCTGGGCGCCCGACGACCCCGCGCCCGGCACGATGCGTTCGACCCTGCCGCTCTCGCTCTAGTCCTCGCAGGACGCCGGCGCCGCAGCGGCGCCACGCGGCACAGCGCGGCACCGACGCCGTTGGCTGCAACGACACCCCCACTCGGGGCGTCGGCGGCAGCGATGCGGTGCCCCAGCTCGGAGACTGCGAGGGCGGAGAGTGCTGGGCACCTGAGGCCCTGCACGGCGGCACCGCTGCGTGGTCTCCCGGCGGGACCTACATGGGTGTGTGGGTTGTCGACGATGATGGACACACGACGCTGCTCCCTGTCGCCGGTCACACGGAACACCAGCTCGCAGGCCTCGTACATCCGTCGGGGGCGCCGTACGCGGAGCCGGCCGCGCATGCGCTGGACGTGACGCCCGCAGCGAGCTCCCTTGCGCCATCCCTCATGGTGGGTCCTCGGCACCGAGCGCCGCAGTGACCTGCTCCGCAACGATGTGTCGTGCCGGCATGCTCACAGCGCCTCTTCGCCTCCGCACGTGCATCGTCGCAGAGCATTTTGAACCACGAGATCAGCTCTTGTGCAAGATTCATGCAAAGCGGCATCTCCGTGGCGAGCGCGGGCAAGCACGCGATCCGCGCGCTGATTCCAGGGCTGTCGCCAGCGCGGCCGCCCAGGGACGCTGGTGCCCCGCTCCGTCACCGCAAGGCGTCGTGTCACGTGCCCACACAGAGGCGGGCATGCAGGTGAGGCTTGGCCCGCGACACGACATGGCGGGCGCGTTGTGGCGTTTCGTTGAGCCGGAGCCAACGCGGCCGCTACGTCCGTCGGCACGCGTGGCTGCAGGCACAGACGAGGGAAGTCGGAGGACGGAAACGAAGTCGTGTTTCAAGCACTAATTGTGCCCGAGGTGCAGGTCCGCGAGGACATGCACGCGACGCCGAAACTCGCGCAACCTGCAGATACGGCCCGGTTCGTACTCCAGCACGGGCCGGAGGGGTCCCCGCAGTCGCCGTGGAGCCCCGTGCGCCACCAGGCCATGCTGCGCACCGCCGCGATGGCGCTCGAGGAGACCCCTGTGTTGGCCGGCTGGGGGTCTGCGCCTGACGGGGACAGCGAGGAGGAGGACGAGGACGCCCTCCCGCGCGGGCCGTCCATCGCCCGGCTGCTCGACCGCCTCTTTGGGCCGACAGAAGACACCCCCCCCCACCCTGCGATGCCGCGGGCAGCACCTGCGCAACACCGCCCTCGCGTGATTCTCGCTCCGCGCCCTCCCCGGTCCCCCATGGCGGCGGGTGCGGGCGCGGCGATCCGCCCGCAACGGGCGTCGATGGCGCGACACGAGACGGAGCCTGTCAGCCACGTGGGGCAGCGCGAGGCCCGCAGCGGGGGGGCAGGCACGGAGCCCCGCGCGCGCGCGCAGGTTCCGCCGCGAGCGCGCGACTCAGAGGCCGCGGGGGAACGCCAGCCCCGGCCGCCGGTATACAACAGCAGCAGCTGCGATGGTATGATTGGAGTTGCGCTCTTCAGCGCTTCGCCGTTCGCGTCGCTCGACGGCTGCGGAGATAGCCCTGCCGCCCTGGCATAAAGTGTGAGGCTCGCGTCGCCGTGGCCGTCCTGCTTCTCGACTGCCGCTTCAAAGCACCGCCCTACCAGCAGTGAGGGGCTCCGCCCGGCACAGCACCGCCGCCGGACACGCCGGGACTTGCGCAAGGGTGTTACATGTGCCACGCGCTCTGCGTCCTGCTAGGCCGTCGCTCAGAAGCACAGTGAGAGGCATGGCGGCAAGCAAAGGGGGGGTGTTAGTATTGGGGGACAGTTTGAACGGCAAAGCACTGCTGAGCAGGAATCGCATGCCGGTGGTTGTGGTAGCTGGCGGCGATGTGCAGCGCGGTGGTGTTCGCACCGGCACGCATCGTCGCATCTATGAGCTGCGTGCGGGGCCTGTGGGAGGTGGCGGAGGAGGGGGGCTCTGGGCGTGACGGCGGCGGGAGTCGGTGCGCGCCCGTCGTGCGCCCATGTGCGGGTGGTGGGAGGGGGTCGGCGCCGCGAGCACCGACACGCGTAATGCAAATGCAAGAGGGGGGGTCCGCCCTGGAAGCCGGGTGCCCCGGCTCGACGCCGAACACACCCGACGCTCGAGTCCATCGTGGTCCGTGGCCGAAAGACCGCGTTCGCGCGCGCGTTCACCACGATCCCTGCACGACCGGCCGAACACGCCACCCTGTGAGCGCACGGCGGTCGACGGCGCCGCACGGGCGGCCCGGACGGCGCGGGGCCTCGCGAGGCGCACAGAGCCCCGGGCAGCGCACCTCCTTCATGATTTTCGTCTTCTCGAGGATGAACTTGCCCTCCTTGTACTTTTGCGACGGGTCGTAGGCCATCTCGTAGCGCCACCCGAGCACCTCGTTGCAGCACGCGCAGTGCACGTCGCTCACCGTGTGCAGCCCGGTCATGAGGTTGCGGTCCTCCGGCTTCGCGCACTGCACGTTCACCGCCCGCGCCACCAGAAAGGCGCGCCCGTGCCTGCGGCGGGACGCACAGGTGGCGCGGGGTGTGCGCGCGAGCGGCGGGGGAGCGGCGACGGCGCGCCGGGCGCGTCGGGCGGGCCCGGTGGACGGGGCTGGGCGCGGCGGCGCGCGCGGGCGGTCGCGCAGCGAGGCGCCCCGAGCAGCGGAGGTCGCGGGCGTGGGCTGGGGCGGTTGGCGCCGCGCGCGGCGTACGCGGGCGAATTCTGGGCGCGCGGCGGGGGATTCGCGGGGCCCAGTCGCGGTGTGATGCCGCCGTGCGAAAATACGTGCCTCCGCGCCGCGGAGGGCGGCGGTTGAGGCGGTGTGCAGCTGGATGGGAGGTGCGCGCGCGTCGCACCTGCCCGTGAAGGCCTTGCTGATGATCTCCTCGTGGTCCGCGGTGTGGGAGCGGCACGTCGTGCAGCTGTAGACCTTCCGCCCCGTCAGATGCTGCGGCGCTGCGCCCGCCACGCCTGGTTGACCGCCCCTGCGAGTTGAGCCGAATTTCTGCCCCGTTGGTGCGGTGGGATCGACCGAATCCGATGCATGCGGCGCGCTGGATATTTGTGTCGGCCGTGTCGCGGAAAATATCGCCGGCTCGGCGTTCGAGCGCAGCGTTCGGCAGTCGAGCGCCGGTGTGCATCGCTCAGCCCGTCGCGGACGCGCGCGGACGCGCAATCGCACGCCGGGGGTCGCCGCCCGAATGGAACGGACCTGATTTGTATTGAGGAGGTATCCGCTTTCGGCATCTTGCGCGATGTATTTCGTACGTTCGCTCGCCGCGCGCTTCGTCCCGTCACGGGCCGTACAGCGGTCGACGTGACCTGCTCGGCCCTTCACCAGGGTGACCAATGTGTAGAGTGTCCCGCAGAGACGCTGCGCCGTTGCTTAGACGGCCCATCGGGCCCGGACCCGGCCCATCAGCTACCCGACCCACACCCCCCGGCCCCGTTTTTCCCGATCCCGACGGAGCGCTGCGACGACGGAAGCGCCCGGGCCAGACCATCCATGGGCCGGGGTCGCCGGATGCCGGGAAGTGCGGCGCACGCTCCCGCGTGACGCACAGATGCACACTCAGGGGCAACGTCCTCGCCACGCAGGCCCGCAGCGACGGCCCTCAATCCAACCGTCGAACGTTCCGGCTTGTTCTCCGACTGGGGGGCGAAGTACGCGCGTGTCAGCCGGATTCGCCGCCGGTGCAGCGCGGGAGAGCGCAGTGCATCAGAGTCACGCGGCGCTGCGATCGCTCGTCTTCCTGCCTGCGACGCAAGCGGCGCGCGACAAGGCGACAGCGCGGGCCCGCGGCTCCGTCCCGGCGAACCGAGTGGCAGCGCCGCAGCGGCTCCACGGCGCCGCAGCGTGGGAAACACAACAACGTGACGCCGCATAGCTGCACCAGCGAGCAGCGCCGCGTGCGCGAGGCACACCGCGCCACACGCGCGCTCCCCCCGCAGGCCCTGCCACTCCCTCGCGCGTCCTCGATGCTCCGCGTGCGTCCCGCCAAGTGCAGGGCGGTGCACCGGCACCACGTGCAGCCACGCCAGCGCACGAGCCGGGCGGGGGGCGTCCTGGGGACGCGCCACCGGGTGTCTCGCACAGGGGCGCCACGCTCGCAACGCACCGCGCACCGCGCGGGGGTCCGGCGGCGCCTGCACAGACCCACCCGCAGAGACGCGACGAGAGGTGCCCCAACAACGCGGCGTCGGCGTCGCGGCCGTGAGTTCGAGCGCGGGTCCGGGCGCAGCCACGCTCTCGGCCGCACTGCGCACCCGGCCACGCTCGGCGATCGCTACAGCAGCCAGGTCACATGCGCGCCGGGGGGGCCGACGTGCTAGGGCGCGGTCGCCGCCCCGGGCGGCACCCGCGCAGCACCGCGGCGCGCGCACGTCGTCCTGCTGGTGCGCGTCTAGCCCTGCTTCTTCAGGATTTGGTCGGCCAACCAGTCCAGGCCCTCGTACAGCCCCTCGCCGCTCGTCGCGATCGTGCCCTTGACGCACCACTTGCGGTTGCGCAGCGAGCCCAGGCCCAGCTGGTCCGTGATCTGCGCCGCGTTCATCGCATTTGGCAGGTCCTGCTTGTTGGCGAACACCTGCGGAGAAGAGGCACGACGGCGCCGCGGGGGTCACTGGCACGCGCGAGACCGGTGCGCCGCGGGGGGCGGCGGTGCTCGGGCCGCGCAGGGCGCGCGTCGCCCGCGGTGGGCGCGGCGCGGCTCGCGGGTGGCGCGCGGGGGTGATGTGGGGGTGGGGTGGGCGCGTGTGCAGGCGGGGCGCGCGCGCTCACCAGCAGCACCGCGTCCCGTAGGTCCTCTTCGTTGAGCATCCTGTGGAGCTCTTCGCGCGCCTCGCCGATGCGGTCCCGGTCGTTGGAGTCGACGACGAAGATGAGGCCCTGGGTGTCGGCGAAGTAGTGCCGCCAGAGGGGGCGGATCTGCGCGCGGGGCGGGCGCGGGGGATGCAGTGGGGGCGGAGCGCGGTTCGGGCGGGGCCGCGCGGGGCGGGGGGGCGTGCGGGCCCGCGGGGGCGCGCAGGAGGTGAGCGCGCGCGCAGGTGGGGTGGGGCGGCGCGGCGTGGGCCGCAGAGGTCGTGCGCGCGCGGGAGGGGCATGTTGTGCGCGGTGGGCGCGCGGGTGGCGGGGGCGCCGGGGGGTCGGTGGCCGGGCGCGCTCGGGCGGTGGGCTCGCGTCGAGTGCCAGGGCCCAAGACTCGCGCGCGCGGCTCGGGGAGGGGGGAAAGGGCAGTTCGCGGCGGCCCCGCGCGGTGAGCCGTTCGATTCGTGCGACGCGGTGCCCATCACCGCGTTCGCCGCGGCGGCCCGCGCGCGGGGCGGCAGGGCGGGAGGTAGGACCATCTGTTCGGCCGGGTGCGCACCCTATCCTGGCCTCCGACGTCCCACACGGTGAAGCTGATATTCTTGTAGTCGACCGTCTCCACGTTGAAACCTGCAAGGGCGCGGAGGGCGCAGGTCGAGGTGCCAATCAGCAGGTGCCCGCCCAGGGGGCGCGAAGGCGGCTGTATCGGGCAGCTCGCGACCCCGAGGCCGTGTCAACGCCGCGAGGGTGCCGGCGTGGCGCGTTCGCCGCCCCGCGTCGACGCGGGGGTTCTTCGCAGCGCCCTGGGAGCGAGGGGACGGTGCCTAGGCCGGGCCCAGGTGCGCACCGATGGTTGGGATCGTGGTCACGATCTCGCCCAGCTTCAGCTTGTACAGAATGGTGGTCTTTCCGGCGGCGTCCAGTCCCACCTGCAGCGGCGCGGGGGGCGAGCGCGTAAGTTGACCTGCACAGACGACCACGGCGATGTCGCCGCCCCCACGACCCCCGCGGACTGCCGCGAGGGAACATGGAATCGCGGCAGACGGGCGCGGGGCGGGTCGAACGCCGGGCTTCACGCCACGGGATCGCCGTCCGGGCCGTGTAGCGCAACCTGGGCCGCGGAAAACGGGCCCGAAACGCGCGTACCATCAGCACGCGCATCTCCCGCTTCGACAGCAGGCGCGCGAAAATCTTAGAGAACGTCAGCCCCATGCTCGCGCTCCAAACCGCAACGCTCGCGACGACAGCCGCTTCTTACGCCCGCTCGAGCCAACAGGACCTGCTGCGCGCCTGGGTGCCCAGCCGCCTATTGCTCACTTCCACGGTCGGCCTCGGCGAACGAACTGTGCCGCTCGCCCCCGCGCGCGCGCCCCACTGAGCCGCCCGGCACTCGGGGGGGACTGGGGGGCTGCCGGAATGCCGGCCCGCCCGCGCCACACGGCGCCGCGCGCACCGGCGGGGCGGCCACTGCCACGCGAAGAGCGCCCTCCGCGCCCCCACGTCCTCGCGCACCCTCGCGGCCGGGCTCACGCCATGCCCACGGGCCCAGAGGCGCACGCCTAGCACGCACGGCCCGTCGCCCCGCGCTCGCAGGGACGCATTCTCTCTCACCGGCCGCGCCCGAGCGTCGCAGGCAGCCGAAGTGCTAGTTCGAGCGGGCTGGCGGGATGGAGCGCGCCCGTGCGGGACGCTACGCGGCCGGCCCACAGTACTAGGCTGCCGGGCGTGGCGCCATGGATGGGGCGAACCTCGAACTCGCCAGCGCGCTCGTCAGCAAGGCCTACATCCAGCAGGGGGGCCAGGTGAGGCCGCGCGCCGCGCGCCGCCCCGCCCGTCGCCGCTGGCGCGCTGCGTGGTGCGCAGTGGTTGACGGAGCGGTTGACGGTGCCGCAGCCGTCGCCGCGCGCGTCGCGTCCGCGCGCGCGCGTTCGACGCCGCCCGCGATCCACGCCCCGTGTCCGCGGCCCCTCCGCGCGCTGTTCCCCCGCCCGCGGCGCGCCGGCGGAGGCCTCGTGCCCCCTGGCACTTCCCGCGGCATAGCGCCGCGCAGGCCGCCGCCGCGCCGCGGGCGTGCGTCGCGAACGCGGCCCCTTCATGACGTGGGCGTGACCGTCCGCGGAGCGCGGCTGTTCCGTCGCAGGCGCTGCGCCAGAGGGCGAAGCAGATCCGGTCACTGCTGTCAGAGCGGCGGCTCCCCCCGCGGGGCTGGGACGAGACGTCCATCGAGACCCTCCTCGATGACCTCGCCAAGATGGACTCGAACAACTTCCTCGGGCAGGTGAGGGCGCGCGGCGACGGCGCGCGCGCATTCGCACCCCCGGCCTGCCCCCGCGGCCCCCACCGCCATGTTGCGTCGCTGTTCCGACGACGGTCGGTCCGCAAGTGCCGCCCCGCGCAGTGCGCATGGCATGCGCGACCTGCGGCCCGCGGCGGCGGTCTCGTCACGCGTTCGCCACCGCTGTCACACACCTTCGGCCCCTCCTGTCGCCGCGGCGCGCCCTGGCCCGACCCGGCCCTCGCCCCTCGCCCGCCGTCACGGCGCGCCGTCACTCCGCACTCCCCTTCGCGCCGCCGCAGGTCGGCCTGGGGGAGCGCGAGGGCCGCATTGCCTGCCCGATGGTGGCGCGACGCAACCACGGCATGGGGCACGGAATCGGGCGGTCCGGGAGCGTCTCCGCCGAGCAGCCCAAGGCCGCGGGGTCTTCCCTGATCGTCAAGCTGTGCAACCTCCTCGCCACGGACGCCCTGCGCGAGGCCGGCCTCCGGAGCATCGGCCGCGCCCTGGTGCTGCCGATGGCCACCGGCCTCACGCTGCAGCAGGTCCTCCTGTGCCTCCGCGCGCGCAGACCGCTCGCGCCGTGGGTCATCTGGCCGCGCGTCGACCAGAAGACCTGCGTCAAGTGCGTGGTCAGCGCGGGCCTGGCTATCAGGGTCGTTCCCCTGCGCCAGGACGGCGACCAGCTGCGCTCCGCCGTCGAGGACATCACCGCCGGGATCCACGCAGTCGGCGCCGCGAACGTGCGCGCCCCCCGCCGCCGCGCGCGCGCGCGCCCGCCTTGACCCCGCACGTGCGCGCGCCTGACGCGACGCGCCGGCCGCCCCGCCCCCGCAGGTGCTGTGCGTGATGACGACGACCTCGTGCTTCGCGCCGCGCGCGATGGACCCGGTGTTCGGCGTCGCGCGGCTGTGCGCGGCCATGGACCTCCCCCACGTGGTCAACAACGCGTACGGCGTGCAGAGCTCCGCCATCTGCGCGGAGATCTCGCGCGCGTGGGAGACGGGCCGCGTCGACGCCGTCGTGCAGTCCACGGACAAGAACTTCATGGTGCCCGTCGGCGGCGCCATCGTCGTCGCGGGGAAGAGCGACACCTCGCTGGTCGACGCCGTCTCCGACAGCTTCCCCGGCCGCGCGGCGCTCGCGGCGCACCTCGACCTGCTCACCACGCTGCTGTGGTGGGGCCGCGAGGGCTGGCAGCGCGTGCTCCGGCAGCGCGAGGAGATGTACGGCGTGCTGCACAAGGAGCTCTGCGCCGTCGCGGAGAAGTGGGGCGAGCGCGTGCTGCACACGCCGGGGAACCCGATCTCGATCGCGATCACGCTCGAGTCCCTGGCCGCGGCGCCGGGCGGGCCCACGACGCTCGGCGGGATGGTGTTTGCGCGCGGCGTGTCGGGGACGCGCGTCGCGGGGCGCGCGCGCGGCCAGGACGTCGCCGGCGTCTGGCTGCCCAACTTCGGCGCCCACCACGACCACTACCCGTACTGCTACCTCACGGCCGCCGCCGCGCTGGGCCTCGACGAGCCGCAGATCGAAACGTTCGTGCAGCGCTTCGACGCCGTGTTCCGGAAGCTCAAGCGCGGCCCGTCGGAGACAGGACTGTCCGAGGCGCCGTCGCGCGCCGACTCCGAGGCTCCCTCGCCGCGCACGATCCGCCTGTCCGCTGCGAACCTCATGCCAGGCGCACCGCCGCCTCCTCCGCCCCCCCCTCCGCCCCAGCGCAAGGCCCCGCCGTTCGGATCGGGCAACGAGAGATCGATCAGCGATCCCCCGAGGGGCGCCCGCGCGCATGCAAACCCCACTCCCGTGAGCAGCAGTGCTCATACAAGCACGCACGACCCGCCGCAGGAGAGCACCGACGAGCCCCCGCCTGGGTGGCCCGCCTGAGCAGGCGGACACGCGCCAGGCCCGGCACCCCCCCCGTTGAGCCCGTTCCTAACGACGACGGTGCTCCGACCAATCATGACAAAGATAGCTGCACCCAATTACCCTTGCCCTGCCGCCCCCCGAAGACGAGGCGGCAGCAAGCCTAAGATGCAGACCGCCGTCGCGGCCGCATTCCCTAGCAATGGCGCAACTCATTCCCAAGTCATGTAACAACGATCAGGCCCGGTCCCGCGCCTCTACTGCCCCATGCGCCTCCGGATGCTCCTCGACACAGATCCAGGCCCGCGCCCGAACTGCCGAACCCCCGAGTCGACCCGCATGTCCTGGATTGGCGGGGGCGCATCCACCAGTGCCGCCTGCTGCGCGGCCGCGCCCCCCGGAGCGCTGCCGCCGCCGCGCGGGTAGCTGTCAGCCCAGGGCACGCCCGGAGCGCGCTCCTCGCGCTGCAACGCCTCGGCGCTGCGCGTCTGGACCGACGGCCCCGCTTGCTGCGCAGGCGCGGCAGTCGACGCGAGCCGCTCGGCCCGGGCAGCGCCCGGGGCTTCAAGCGCATCGACAGCGTCCTCCACCTCCTGCAGCAATGTGGGGAACGCACGCGGGAGGTCGCGCGCCGTGATTCGCGGCCTCCTGCGTGCATGCGTGTGTGCGGCAGCACGAGGCGCATGCGCAGTAGGCGCATCCCTGCTCCTCACCTCGAGCACGAGGGCGTTCGACTCCTCGGGCGGCGGTGGAGCGGCACTGGGCGGCGCGGGCTCGGGCAGCGGGGGCGAGGGCGGCAGCTCGATGCTCGAGACCACGCTCTCCGGGTCGGTCGACGCGCGGTGTGTGTCCGACAGCCGGGGCCCGGCCGGGGGGGCCACAGAGGGCTCCGCACGCGCAGGCTCGCTCTGCTGCGGCGTCGCCGGGAGACTCTCGCTGATGCCCGTCGCCGCGCCGAGCGATTCGAACGTGTCCTCGTACTGTACGGACGCCTCCGGGGTATTCGAGGTCGCCACTGTGCGCACCGACGCAACGGAAGGCCCCGCCGTCGGGCCTGCGGCGTGCGGGGACCCCGCTGGCCGCGCGGACGACAGGATGCGCGGCGAGACGCCCAGCTGGGCGTCGCTGCCGCGTGCCTGCGGTGACGCGGGTATGATGTGCAGTGGGCTCGCCGGGGCCGGGGCGGCGCCGCGCGGTCGCGTGGCCGAAGCCAGGCGCGGCGACGTCAGCGCCGCAACGACCGCAGACGCGACCTCGCCGTGGGCGTGGCTGGTGTTGACGCGTGGGGAGAGGCCTGCTTGGCTGCGGACGGCCGGGGCCGCGGAGTGGCCCACGGACGCAGCGGCAGCTCGCGGCGCTGCGTGGGCGGCGTCCGCCACGAGGATTGCGTCCAGAGCTCGCGAGGAGTGCCTGCACGGGGGCGCAGCGGACCGCGTGCGTGGTGTTGACCGCGTGCGGTGCGTGGCGTGCTCGCCGCAAGTGATGCGCGCGTCTCATCGATGTTGGGGGTCTCACGTGTCCCGCGGCCTCAGGCGGTCGGGCGGAGGGGGAGTGTTGGTCGTGTGGAAGCTCTTCGACATCACGTCACTGGAACTGAAGAAGCTCGACTGCACGGGGCACGAGGGCCGAAGAGAGGGAATGAGTCGCCTGCACGCGGAGGATGCTTGCGCTGCGTTCGCGAGCAAACGTCGTGCGCGTCGCCCTCACCCCTGTGGACAGCATCTTGCGCCTGCTTGTTGTAACTCCGCCAGTCGAGCGGTTCTCCTTCAACGACGACGCCTGTGACGCCTCGTGGGCGCCGTGAGCAGTGCGCTCGGCCGCAGGGGGCGTGGGCTCCATGTGCGCCGCGCTGCCGGCGCCAGAGCCTTCCCCGAGGAGCGGCAGCTTCAACGCCCGCACGCGCGACGGCGTCGCGTGCTCCGGGGCCGCACGCGCGCGCCTGAGCTCTGGCGTGCCGAAGTGACGCTCCAGCGCCTTTTCGAGCTCGCGCGAGAAGGACAGGTCGACGTCCGCGCCACGCGCCACCTCGCCCCCGGTCTCGCTCTCGCTCTCCGTGTCCCCGCTCGACGACGACTCCACGCCCGCGAGCGACGGGCTGCGGTCGGCCTCCGCCGCGTCCTCCGCGCTCCTGTCGCACTGCACTCCGCGCTCCTTGGGCTGGCGACACTGCACCCCCCGGTCAACAACGCGGGGGGGGGACTCAGACGCGCCTGTCCGGACCTCGCGCGGACTAGGCGGACTCTCGCGGACGCCCTGGAGCGCGCGCAGGAGCGCAGACGCCACGTCTGGCGCCGCGGCGGCCTGCGGCGCACCGCTTGGGCTGTCAGCAGCCGGCGCCGAGGGTTGCACGACGAGGCTGAACGCTCCCGCGGCTCGTGCTACCGGGGCCGCGATCGGCACCCACGCGAACGTGCAGCCCGGGGGCACCGGCGGCATCGCCGTCGCTGCAGCGGCGGGCTGTGGGCTGGGCGCCGTCGCGGTGCGCCGCGCGGGGGCGGGTTTGGACGGCCGAGCCTGCGACGCGAGGACGCCCTGAAGGGCGAGGGGGAGGTCCTCGCGCAGCCGCTCGCGGGCCGCGGGCCGCGCGGAGGTCCTCCGGGTGCGCACGGAGTCGACGGCGGCGCCTCTCGTGGGCGTGGGGCCGCGCCGTTCGAGAGGGCGGTACGGCGCGGGCGTGGGCTTGGCCGCGAAGTCGGCCCGGGGGGCGGCGCGCACCGGAGTGCGACGGCTCCGTGCCGGATGTGGGCCCGGACCGGTGTTGGATGTGCCCGAGTTGGGGGGGGCTCGTTTCGGCGACTTCCTGCCGTCGCTGGTTCCGACATAGTACAAGACTCGAGGCTCATATCTGTTGAAGCACCCCGCGCAGGAGGCGAGCTCGGCAGCGTACGTCGTCATGCCTGGCGGGGCGACCCAGGTCCTGCGCTGCCCACACGCGACCTCCGCGGCGCTCAGGGCGCCACTACGCGACGAACTGCCAGCGCCTGATCACTACGGACGGAAGATTTCGTAATGGGGCGGTCTCTGGCGGTAATGGTCGGCCCTGGGCGTCCCCGGTGGTGCGTGGTCCTCCACTGACGCGCTCGAGCGGCCCCCGCGTCGCCGACGTGCGCTTGCACCGGCATGCGTGAGGGCGGCCTGGACGAGAATGGTCTGCAGGGTCGCCGCCGAGAACGCATGAGCGCTGCACTCGCGGCCCCAGCCGGGCGCTCTCTCCTGAGTCGAGCAGCAGAGACGGTCTCGAACGTCTCTGCTGCCAATTCGAATATCCTGCTCCTTCAAACCGCGGTGAGCAGGCCCAGCCGCCCCGGCCGCACCCGCCGCCGCGATCCGGCGCCGCCCCCGCCTCCCTCGCACACCGCAAGCGCGGCACCGGCCGCCGCGTGGCACGTTCCCGGGCACCCGCGCAAACAACGACGGCATCATCATTGTCGTTGTGCGACGTGCGGCGCCTCGCGGCCACGCCCGAAGCGCACCCGGGGATAGGCGCGCCGTGGTGTGGCGAGGCGGTCCGCGGACGCCGCGCGACCTGCGTGGCGCGGCCTGCGCGCGTGCGGCGTCCCACGGTGACGGTGCCTGCCCCTCCGTCTCGCGCGCTCGCGACGGCGGCGCAGCGGGAGGTGCGTGGAGAATAGGAGGCCGAACATCGCGGACAAGGCCGTGGCCGCCGGCCTAGCCGGCGTCTGCGCGGCTGCAGGGCGCACGGCACGGATGATGATCACGTGAACGTTCTCCGTGCGCTACTAATGGCAGGTCAGACGGGCTGTGCGTCTGACTGCGGGGCTGCGGGGCGCCGCGGGGCGCCGCGCTGAGCTGGCGCTGCAACGGCCTTGCGCTGTCACTCGCGCATCCGGGGATGGGCTGTGCTGCGTCCGCGCGGCACGAGACCCCAGCCACCCCGCCTGGAGCGCACGCTGCCGAGCCAGCAGCTCAGGGGTCGAACGACGTCGAGACCGGGAAGCAGAGCGCGAACGTCACGATGGCTAAGACTGTCTACATCATTTTCTACTGTTAGCGCCCGTACACCGCCGCCGCGGGACGTGCTGGCCAGATGGACCATGTCGCCGACGTCCCTTGATAGCGCGTTTCGAGCGATGCTCTGCACGAATTCGAATGTGATTGGACCACAAGGTCCCGTTCGTGTGTGCAGCGATGTACGGGCACGTGTACAAGCTCGCCCAGAAGGTGGCTGAGGGGGTGGAAGCGTCGGGCTGCACGGTCAAGTTCTTCCAGGTGAAACGAGCGAGCCGCCCCCTGCGACATCGTATGGTCCTTGTGTCTGCGTGGCGGAGCCTCACCTGCCAAGTCCTCGCCCGTGCAAGCCGGCGCCGGGTGTATCCCTCGCCCACACTGGCCACAGCGGCGCGCGCACCGCTCGCGAGCGTCCACCGTGGTGTCTCCGCCCGCGGATCACCCACATTGCGCGGTGGTGGGTCATCCAGCGACCCCGCCGCCTCGCGGCCCCTCTGTCGACACCTTACCTAATTCATCTGCTTAGGGTCCTTTGCAAGAAACACCCCCCCCCACACGGCCCGGCGCGACGGCACCCACCCGCACGCCTCCCCGCGTCCCCACAGGTCCCCGAGACGCTCCCCGAGGAGGTCCTGGCCAAGATGGGGGCTCCCCCGAAGCCCGATGTGCCCGTGATCACCGCCGAGCAGATGAAGGAGGCCGACGCGTTCCTGTTCGGGCTGCCGACGCGCTTCGGGTCCATCCCCGCGCAGATGCGGTCGTTCCTGGACTCCACGGGCGGCCTGTGGACGGCCGGCGCGCTCGTCGGGAAGCCCGCGGGCGTGTTCTTCTCGACGGGCGCGCAGAACGGCGGCCAGGAGACGACCGCGTACACGATGGTGCCCTTCTTCGTGCACCAGGGCATGCCCTTCGTGCCCCTCGGCTACCAGGCCGGTGAGCGCCCCTGCCTTGGCACAACACACCGTGCCCGCCGCCGCCCGCGCTGGGCGCCGGAACCGCCGCGCACCGCCGCGCCCGCCGCCCACCCGCTTTTCTCTGTTCCGCTACACCCCGCGCGGCGCACCGACTGCGTCCCCCGCAATACCCCCCCCCCCTTGTTTGCAGGGGAGGAGATGTTCAACATGACGGAGGTGCACGGGGCGTCCCCGTACGGCGCGGGCACGATCGCGGGCAAGGACGGCTCGCGGCAGCCCTCGGAGCTCGAGCTCAAGGTCGCGGAGACGCAGGGGCGGACGTTCGGCGCCTTTGTTGCGCGCCTGCAGTGACGGGGGCGGGCGCCGGCGGTGCGCTGGCCCGCGCGGCCCGCTCCGGCCTGCGACGGGTCGCGTCCGGCACCCGCGTGACGCGTGGTGCGCGATATCGCAGCTGTGACCACTAGTCTCTGCGGAGGTGCTGTGTGTGTGGCGCGGAAGCAGCGCCCCTGCTGCCGGCGGGGACCCGTCGCGTGCGGGTCGATGAACCGCTGCCGTGCGGCCGCTGGACGGCGTGGCGCGCCTGCGGGCGCGCGCGCGGCGGGTCCGCGACACTGACTCCCCCCGTCAACCCCCCCCAGCGTTGGCGCGGCGCGGCGCCTTCGCCGTGGTCCTAGGCCGGCGCGGGGAGCCCGCCGCGGCATGTTCGCCGCCCACTGCACTCGCGCGCGCGCACGTCAACAGCAGTCGCGGCCATGGCGTTCCCGACCAAGCCCTCGGGCGCCTCCGCCGCTGCCTACGCGGCCCGCTCGCGGCCGGTGGGGCGCCTGCTGAACGGCGGGCAGCCGCAGGCGTGCAGCCTGTGGAGCACGGTCAAGCAGTTCGCGCTGAGCCGCAGCAAGCAGGCGCGGTTCGTAGCGGAGGCGGAACAGAGCGGTGCACCAGAGCTTCCCGCGCCGCGATCAGTCGTTGCCGCGGCCGGCGCGGGCAGCGAGCCCATCGAGACCGCGGCCTGGGGGACCCCGCCATTCAACACGGCGGCTAAGATCAAGGTGAGCGCCCCAGCGGCCGCGCGCCGTGGTGCCCTGCCGGCTGGTTTTCGTGCCGAGCGGTTCGTCCCTCCTTCTTTCGTTCCACGGCGCCGTCCCCGTGCGAGCGCGCGGTTCGATCGATAGAGGCGCCCTATCGCAATCAGAGGCCACGACTCCGCGCGCGTGGCGCCCGTTTCGGTCGCTCCCCGGCCCGCTACAGCGGTGCGCGGGCTGGGCTCTGCCAACAGAGTTCGTCCATCGGTGCGTTTGCGGCCACCACCTGCGCCAGAGATGGCATTCCCGCCGTCCGCAGCTCCATACGGCCGCCTGCGCCGCGCGCACGCCCGCCGTGGCCGCCGCAGAGCGGCGGACGACGCTCATACCCATGGGAGCCGCTCTGCCTCGGCTCCGCTTCGTCCCGGCCTCCCTTCGGGCACGTACGCGGCGCGACGCGGCAGCGCCAGAACACAGCCGCTCGCTGCCCGCCGCGCGAGAGCCCGCCGGCCCGCGCGGCTGCCGCTGCGGGCCGGAGCGTCCTCGCTGTGTGCAACAGCGAGGGGGCGCCCGCAGCTGCGTCTCAGGGCGACCATTGCCGCGATCGGCGCTGGCTGGTGGCAGACGCGGCGTTGCGCATGTCCCGCGCGGCGGGAGGCGGTCCCGCGAGCCGCTGAGCCCGCCCCCCCCCTGCGCCCTCTGGCTGCAGGTCATCGGCGTCGGGGGCGGGGGGTCCAACGCAGTGAACCGGATGGTCAACACCGACGTGCAGGGCGTCGACTTCTACGTCGTGAACACCGACGCGCAGGTCGGCGCCCCGCGCACACACACGCACACGTGCCCCCGCTGATGCGCACCCGCCGCAACCGCGCAGGCCGCCTCCCCGCGCGCTGCGTCGCCGGCCGAGCGAGAGCGTCTGGCCGCGGTCCCCGCGCTGGCTGTGCAGGCGCTCGCGAACTCGTCCGTGGACTCGCGCAACCGGATTCAGATCGGGGGTCAGCTGACGCGGGGGTTGGGCGCGGGGGGCAACCCGGACGTGGGGGGGCGCGCGGCGCTGGAGAGCAGGGACCTGCTCGAGGACGCGATCGACGACGCGGACATGGTCTTCGTCACGGCGGGCATGGGCGGCGGGACCGGCTCGGGCGCCGCGCCCATTGTCGCCAACACCGCGCGCAGCCGCGGCGTGCTCACGGTCGGCATCGTGACGCTGCCCTTCACCTTCGAGGGCCGCCTGCGCCGCCAGCAGGCCCTCGACGCCATCAACAACCTCCGCGACGAGGTCGACACCCTGATCGTGATCCCGAACGACAAGCTCCTGGAAACCGTCGACGGGAACCTGCCCATCGTGGAGGCGTTCAAGGTCGCGGACGACGTCCTCCGGCAGGGCGTGCGCGGCATCTCGGACATCATCCAGGTCCCGGGGCTGGTCAACGTGGACTTTGCCGACGTCAAGGCCGTCATGTCCAACGCCGGGACCGCGCTGATGGGGCAGGGGCGCGCGTCCGGGAAGGGCCGCGCGCGCGAGGCCGCGCTCGCCGCCGTCGCGAGCCCGCTCCTCGACGTCGACGTCGACAACGCCACGGGCATTGTGTGGAACATCACCGGCCCCGCGGACATGACGCTGTTCGAGGTCAACGAGGCCGCGGAGGTCATCTACGACCTCGTGTCGCCCGAGTGCAACCTCATCTTCGGCGCCGTCGTCGAGGACGGCCGCGCGCAGTCCTCGGAGGTGTCGATCACGCTCATTGCCACGGGCCTCCAGGGCTACAAGGGCGTCGGCGGGGCCGCGCGGGTGGAGCGCGCGCCCGCGCCGCAGCGGCAGGCCGCGCCGCAGCAGCCCGCGCCCGCGCCCGCGCCCGCGCCGCGCGCGCCCCCGAGCGGCGGGGCGGCGTGCAGGTGCCCAGCTTCCTGCGGAAACGGTCGCGGAGGTGAGCGCCGGCGGGGGGGGGAGTCGGGCGCGCCGGGACGACGCGGAGGCGGGGCGGCCGCGTGGCGGGGCGGCGGGGTAGTTGCGGGCGGCGGGGGGCCCGGGGGGCGCGTGTGACCCTGCGGCGTGTGAGCAGCGGCGCGTGGCGCGGGCGGGCGTGCGGGGCGCGGAACGGGGCCGCGGTGCGGGCCGGGGCTCCCTCGCGGCATGCGCGGCGCGGGGCCGCGCGGGGCCGCGCGGGCGGCGCGGGCCGCGGGCCGTGTCGGGCTGGACCTGAGTGCCCCCGCTCGCTGCCAGCCTCATCGGGGCGGGGGCGCGCCGCGGCGTGCGCACATTCGTCGCGGATGATACAGCTGCGTGTCCTGCTTGCATTCGTCGCTGGCTTCCTGACCGGCAAGATCACGATGGGTAACAAGTGCTCGAACAGCGCCGTCTCGACGATGGGCACCGATGAGCTGAAGAAGAAGGAAGCCGAGGTTCTCGCGCTGCTCGAGAAGGCCAAGACCGAGCACCCGGAGAACCGCGCCGCGAAGTTCTTCGACAAGGTGAGCCGCGCAGGCCGCGCAGGGCGCCCCGGGCGCCGCATCCGCGCCCCAGAGGGCCGGGTGCCATCCACCTGGGCGCCCGCGCGCCCCGGACCGTCCGGGCGGCCACCGCGCGCGCGCGCCGGGGCGCGCCACGGGGTGGGAGTGGCGCTCCGGCTCCGGGGCTGTGCGGCAGGAATGGGGCCCCGGGGGCCGCGTGGTCGCGCAGCCATCTTGGGGCAGAGGGAGGGGCCAGGCGGCGCGTTGGGGCCCGCGTGGCGCGCGGACCGGCTGCCCGCGCCGACGAACGCGCAATTCCATACTTTTTCTCACGGGGCGCGCCGGGCAAAGCGGGTCTTGCGGAGCATCCGCGCCGGGTCAGCGATCGACCTCGGGCAACCGCCAGGCCGACCTTCGAGCGCCGCTCCGCGCGCGACGGCTACCTAGTCACAGTAGCTCTCAGCGCCTTCACCAGATTCGCACTCTGAGCATACGGTACCCGGTCTGAAAGCGCGACGACGAGGCCCCGGCGCCGCCATCGCGGCGACCTGCCATGACAGCTTTTTTTTGCACGCGCCCTCCCTCCCCGGCGCCCGCCCCACGGCCCCGCGCCCCGCGCGAGACCCGAGATCCCACGTCGCTCCGCCCTCCGCACCACGCTCCGCAGGCGTACTATGACTCCCTGAGCGACGCGGACAAGGAGGGCCTTCTGCGCTGTGCGGCCTCTGGCGCCTTCAACCCCGACTCCTCCCTGGGGTGCTACGCCATGGCGCCCGGCGACTACGACAAGTACAAGCCGTTCTTCGACAAGGTGCGCCCCGCGACCCCGCGCCCGCGCCCGCCGCGCCGCGCCCGGCCTGGTCTGCCGGCCCCCCCCTTTGCTCCGTCGCGCCCTCCCACGCGACGGAAACCGCGCCCCGTCGCGCGTGCCGCGCGCTCGCCCGCCAGATCCGCCCGCCCGCGCGCCCGCGCCGTGTCGCCGCGCCCCCACGCGCCCCCTGTTCCCCCCCCCGGCCGCGCAGGTCATCCGCGACTACCACAAGATCCCCGGGGAGGTCAACCACATCACGGACTGGTCGCTGGAGGGCGTGGAGGGCCTGCCCGAGGACGGCAAGCTCGACCTCGCCGCGCTGGGCCTCGACGAGGTGTCGATGCGGGTGCGTGTGGGGCGCAACCTGGCCGAGTTCCCGCTGCCGGGCGCGATGACGCAGGAGGACCGCGTGAACCTGGAGAACAAGATGGTGGGCGCGTTCGAGGCGCTGATGGCGGACCCGGCGTACGGCGGGACGTACCACTCGCTGACGCCGGGCAACAAGTACCACATCGACGACGCCAAGTACAACGAGCTGGTCGCGGCGCACATCATGTTCAAGAACATGGCCGCGGACTCGTACCTCCTCACCGCGGGCATCGCGGAGCACTGGCCGCACGGGCGCGGGTGCTACGTCTCGGAGGACAAGGGCTTCATCGTGTGGGTCGGCGAGGAGGACCACCTGCGCATCATGTGCATGAAGAAGGGGTCCGTGCTGAACGACGTGTTCGACCGCCTCAAGGGCGCCGCCGACCAGGTCGAGAAGATCTCGGGCAAGTTCGCGCACTCGCCCTCGTACGGCTACGTGACGTCCTGCCCGTCCAACCTCGGGACCGGCATGCGCGCGTCCGTGCACATCAAGATCCCGAAGCTCACCGCGGACGGCACCGACACCAAGGCCAAGGCCGTCGCCAAGCCCCTCGGGCTCTCGGTGCGCGGCATGGGCGGCGAGCACACCCCCATTGGCAAGGACGGCACCGTCGACATCTCGCCGTCGGCGCGCCTCCAGATCAAGGAGGCCGAGATCATCGTCGCGCTGTACAAGGGCATCAAGCTGCTCCTCGAGGAGGAGGCCAAGGCCTAGGCCCACCGCCCCCGCGACGCACCCGCACGCAATGCACGCCTGTGTCGAATGACCTGCGACGAATGAACTGTGACGCGCTGCGAGGCACACCACAGTCGCGGGCCAGACGGGATCCCGGCCGCCGAACGGCCCGCCCTGCCGCGCGCATGCTGTCGTGGCCTGGGGCGAGGCCAGCTCGTTGTGCGAGGTGGGGGCTGGGCCTCGATGCCGTGCAGCGAACGGGGGGGGTCCCGCAGTGCGCGGGTGCGGCGGGCGCTTCGGTGCGCGGGGGCTCGAGGGGCTGGTGGTTGCGAGGCGTCGCGGGGTGACATGACATAGTGCAATTGCAGGGAGGGGCGGTGCGCGGCAGGGTGCGGCGCACAGTTCACGATTCTCGGCGAAGCATGCGATGTGATAAAAGTTACGGGGCTGCCGCGGTCGGCGCCGGGTCCAGCCGATTGCAGCGTGGCGAGAGCGCGGTTACACCAAATCGTTGCCTTGCGGTCGAGGCGGCCAGAGCGACGACGAAAAACTGCTCCGACGCGCTGCTCGGCACGAAACACACGTGTCGCCACCTCGACCCCCGCGTTGCGGGCGGCGGGGCGCCCCTGCACTGCGTCAGGGGGCTGTGTCGAGCCAGGCGGACTTCGTCCTCGCACGCGCTCGAATGCCGCCGCGCGCGCGTTGCGCTGCGGCGGGCCGCTGCCTCAGTACTTTTCCCGCGTCGGTGCATCGCGCGGCAGTCGGTGAGGCTGCGCACGCCGCCGGGGCCGGCCGTTCCAGCCCGTGGCACGCTGCAGGCTTGTTCCGCGCGCGCGCCTCGCGAGGAGACAACGAGATGTCCGAGACCCGGCGAAAAGTACGAGCGTCGTACTTCTATGACCAGGAGATCGGGGTGCGTGCCTCCCATGCTGCCGCCACCGCGACTGCCGGCCGCTCCCGCCCCGCCGCACTGCACGGCGGGCATCCGCCACGATCCCGGCGCGGAACTCACGCGCCGAGCGCCCCCGCCGCACCCTCGCGCGCAGAACTTCTGCCTCGGAGGCGGGAACCCGATGCGTCCGCACCGGGCGCGCCTCACGCACAACCTGGTGAACCACTACGGACTCTTCGACAAGCTCCACGTCCACCGGCCGCGCAAGCAGACGTACGAGGACATGACAGTCTTCCACGCCGACGGTGAGCTGCCCTGCCCCGCCGCCCCCGCCGCCCCCGCCGGCCCCTGCGCTGCCCGGGAGCGCTGGATGCAGCCACCACCAGGCAGCTCCTCCGCACCGCTGCCGCGGGGGCATTTCTCCGCGGCCGCTGCGCCCGCGGCCTGCAGCGAGCTCCGTCGGATCCGCGCGGGGCCCGCCGCGGCCCTTCCGCGCCCTGGTCGGCGAGTCGCGGCACAGATCCCGCTCCCACTCATCTGGGCTCCCGCGGGGCGTCAGAGCGCCGAACGCGGATCCGTGCACCACGGCCAGGGCACTCGCGTCGCCATGGCACCGCGCACCGCCCGCGCGGGAGCGGCAGCCCCCTGCGACGCTCGCTCGCGCCCATCCCTCCACCAGTCAGAGCGTCGGCCGTTGCGCGCGCCGCGCGCCAAACCAGCGCGCGCGTTCGTTTCCGCCGCGATTCACGGCCTCGAGGCGCCCCGCGCGGCCCGCGTTCACTGAGGCCCGCGCTGCACCGCCACGTGGCGCGGCCGGTTCGTCTCCGCCCACCCCACGCCGCGACGCCGGGCACGCGCCGGCGCGATTCCCCGCGGTGCGGCGCGCGCCCGACCCTCCGGACGCGCCTCCCGCGGCCCGTGCAGAGTACATCGACTTCCTGCGCACGGTCACGCCGGACAACCAGGAGGAGTTCATGGCGCAGCTGCGGCGGTTCAACCTCGGCGCGCCGGGCGAGGCAGACTGTCCCGTCTTCGACGGCATGTACGACTACTTCCAGATCTACGCGGGCGGGTCGGTGGACGCCGCGTGCCTCGTCAACGACGGCACGGTCGACCTGGCCTTCAACTGGATGGGCGGGATGCACCACGCCAAGCGCGCCGAGGCCAGCGGGTTCTGCTACATCAACGACATCGTCCTCGCCATCCTCGAACTCCTCAAGGCACGCACGCGCGACCCCGCCCCTCGCACCAACCCCTGCCCCCTCCACCAACCCGCCTCCCACGCCAACGCGCCCGCGGCCGCCCACGCCTGCCCCCGCGCCCCCGCCCCCGCCCCCCGCGCAGACCCACCAGCGCGTGCTGTACGTGGACATCGACATCCACCACGGCGACGGCGTCGAGGAGGCGTTCTACCTGACGGACCGCGTGATGACGGTGTCCTTCCACAAGTACGGGGACTTCTTCCCGGGCACGGGCGCGCTGGGCGACATCGGCGCGGACGGCGGGCGGTACTACTCGGTGAACGGGCCGCTGCTGGAGGGCGTGGACGACGAGTCGTACCACATGGTGTTTCAGCCGGTGATGCAAAAGGTGATGGACACGTACCAGCCGGGCGCGGTGGTGGTGTGCGGCGGCGCGGACTCGCTCTCGGGCGACCGCCTCGGGTGCTTCAACCTCTCGATCGAGGGCCACTCGAAGGCCGTGGAGTTCCTGCAGTCGTTCGGCGTGCCCATCATCATGCTCGGGGGGGGCGGGTACACGATGCGGAACGTCGCGCGGTGCTGGACGTACGAGACGGGGTCGATGATCGGGCAGGAGCTCCCCGACGAGCTCCCCGAGGCCGCCCTGTCGCAGTACAACTACTACATGGACACGGGCAAGCTGCGGATCCAGACGAGCAACATGAAGAACGCCAACACGCGCGAGTACCTCGAGAAGCTCCGCGTGGAGATGCTCAAGAACCTCAGCAAGATGCCCGCGGCGCCGTCGGTGCAGCTCGCGCGCCAGCCGGAGCCGCTCAAGCCCGAGGAGCCCGACGAGGACGACCCGGACGTGCGCGGGGGCGGGCAGGGCGCCGCGGACCGCCGCGTCGTCAAGGACGGGTACGAGTCGGACGAGGAGAAGGGCGCGCGCGCCCAGTACGACCCCAAGGCGGACCCGGCCTACACAGGGCCGCAGCGCCCCGCGGACCTGGCGGACCGCGCGCAGGAGCAGCAGGCGGGCGCGGCGGCCGCGGCGGAGGGCGCGGCGGTGGCGGCGGGGGCCAGGGCGGCGGAGGCCGCGGGGGCGCCCGGTGGCGGCGGCGGAGGCGGCGGTGGCTGCGGCGGCGGAGGGCGCGGCGAAGGCGGAGCCCGCGGCGGCGGAGGGCGCGGCGAAGGAGCAAGCGCCGCCCGCGGAGGCGCCGGCGCCCGAGGCGGCTGCGCCAGCGCCGGAGGCTGGGGGCGAGGCTCAAGTGGCCAAGGAGGAGGGCGCCGCTCCCGGGCCGCAGTGAGTGCGCGGCGGGCGCGTCCTGGACGTACATGTGTGTATTACCGACCCGCGACATGCGGGGCTGGCGTGTTCGGCCCCGGAGAGCGCATGGGCCGGCGAGGTGCAGGCCAGCGCTTGCACAGGGGCGTGCATGGCAGCACCCCGCCTCTGTAATGAACTTTCAGTCTGACAAACGTGTCAAGCCGGAGGTCACAAAACCCAAGGAAAGGGGTGGCCGAGAGCAACGACGCGGTGGAGTACCCGCACGCAAGATGAGCAGGCGGCGGCAACAGATGTCGGGGTCCCAGCACCTCTGTGACGCAAACGCGTCGACTGGACCACCTGTTCGATCACGTTCCACCTCCAAGAGCGCCGGTCGGCTCGACATTCCCTCTACCGGGGGCAGCACAGAAAAAACAAGCAGTTGCACCTGTCTGGTCTTGCCCGCTTGTCCCGGACAGCCGCTGAGGTCTCCCGTGCATCGCACGCGGCCCCGGACTCACGAGACAGCCGCCGCACGAGCAGCGCGTCTTCGCCACGTCGGTGCGCGAGTCACAGCGCTCCCCCTCCGCCACTACTACTTGCGAATCCCCGCGTCCCGCAACGCGCTCGAAACGAGCCGCCCCGCGCTGCCCCGCCCGCGCGGTGCGTCCCGCTTCGCCTCCTGCCGCGGCGAGGGCTCCTCCTGCGCCGGCGCCGGCCGCCCTCCGCGGCCCCTGTCAACCTCTACCGTCACCACGCGTGCCCGCTTGCTGGCTGCCGGCTCCACAGCCGCCGCGCCCGCCTCGCGCTTGCGGCCGCCGCGGTCCCGCGCAGACCCCCGCTCGTCCTCCCCGCGTCCGCCGCCCTCCCCGTCTCGCGGGCCCTCCTGCGGCTTCTCCCTGTCGCCCTCAGACTCCCCCCCCCTGACACCCCTCCCCCTGTCTTCCCCGCCAGCCCTGTCCCTGTCCTTCCGCCGCTCCCTGTCGTCCTGCTTCGGCCTGCGCGCCGGCGACGGCGACCGGCGCCCCGACCTCCGTGACTTGTCGGGCGCGCCCTCGCCGCGGTCGCGGTGCCGCGGGCGCTCGTCGCGGTGCGAGCGCTCGGAGCGACGCTCGGGGCTGCGGCTGCGGCTCCGCCGGCGCGGGCGGTCCCGCGCGTGGCGGTCGCGGCTGGCGCCGCGGCTGCGGCTCCGGCGGCGATCGCGCGAGCGCGACCGGCTGCGGCGGCGAGACCGAGAGCGCTCAAGGCTCCTGCGGCGGTCGTGCGAGCGCTCGCGGCGGTCGCGGTCGCTGCTGCGCCGCCGGCTGCTGTGGCGCCGCCCGCGGCCCCCCTCCTCGTCGCTGCCGCTGTCCGACGCCTCGTCGTCCGTGGCGTTCGGGCCCGGGTCCGGCCGCGGGGGGAGCCCGAGCAGCTTGCGGAGGTCCGCCTGGAGGCGGTAGAAGTCCGTGCGCGACAGCGGCTGGTGCCCGAAGCAGTGGAACAGCATCGCGCCCTCGCCGCGCGGCAACATCTTGCGCACCGACGAGGGGTAGGAGCGCACGGCCTCCTCGTACATGCGGCGCTCCGAGAGCAGCCGCTGCCACGCCTGCGGGTTCACGCCCGGTGGTGCCGACGGCCCTGGGGGCGCCGCTTGTGTACGCCGCGGCGGGGGCGGTGGCGGGGCGTGGGCCGGCGGCGGGGCGCCCATCATGGCCATCGGCGGGCCGTAGCCCCGGGGCTGGTTGTACGTGTGCATCGGGTCGCTGGACGGGGACGGCCCCGGAGGCCGCGGCCGCGGCGGAGGAGCCTGCGGCGCAGCCCGCTGCTGCCGCTCACCTGCAGGCGAGGGAAACCGCGAGCACGGCTCATGATCCATGCTCGCCGCTGCATGATGAGCGAACGACGCGCGGCGGGCTGGCTCGCCGTGTCGCGCGACACCGCGCCGCGAACAAGCAGCGACGCATCCGCGCATGAGCCACCCGGGCAGGACACCAGCCGCGGTGCCGCATCGACGGCGGGGAGGCGCAGGAGTGCTGCGGCGCGGCGGGCGTGCGTCCGCGCGAGCGCCCGCCGTCTGACGGAGCTGCGCGGCGCGGCACGTGCACCCAGCCGCACGGCACGCGCACGGCGCCACGTCGGTGACTCAGGGCCGCAGGCGCACATCTGTCCCACGCAGCAACGCGCCCCGCCCACGACCTACACGCCCCGCCAGCAGCGCCGCCGCTGCCTCGGCCGCACACGACCGCGCCCCCCCACAAGCGCAGCTCAGCGACGACAAGGGCCGCGCGACGCGTCGACATACCGTGCCCGGCGCCGCCTCGCGCCCGCTCGTCCCGCCGCGCGGGCTGTATGGCCTTGGGGCCCTCCCCGCGCTTCGCCCGCGCCTCGGCCTCCTTCCTCGCCAGCTCCTTCGCGCGGCGCTCCTCCTCCTCGTCGAACACCGCCCTGTCCTCGCGGATGCCGACCACGATCTTGTCGTTGAAGACCATCCCGCCCTCCGTGTCGCGCACGAGCTCCGTCATCGGGATGCCCACGGGGCGCCGCACGCGCCGCACGCTGGGGTCCTGACGCAGGGGGCAGTCCTCCTCCATGTGCTCGCCGACCTTGCTGCACACGGGGCAGATGTAGCTCCGCGGCGGGCCCTGCGAGCGGCGGCGAGCGGCGTTGACGCGCGTTGGCGCACCGCACGAGGCATGGCTCGGGCGTGGCGGCGCGGGGCGAGCTGGCGGGGCGAGCTTGCGGGCGCGCGCTGGCCGGCGTCGCGCCCTGGGGCGGCACGTGCGGGGGCGCAGGCGGGGCGCCGCGCACGCACCTCCCTCTCCTTGCGCGAGCTCTTGTATGCGTGCTGCCCGGCCTGCGCCGCGCGGCCCTTCTCCTGCTCCCAGCTCGCCGCGACGCCCAGGAGACGCGCCTTGAGCGCCTTGGTCTCCGCGTCCTCCTCCTGCGGTGCGCGCGCGCCGGCGGCGGGCTGTTGGTGTTGCCGCGGGCAGGGCAGCTCGTCTGGCGAGGCGGGTCAGGGGGGGCTCGCGCGGCGCCAGGACGGGGCGAGCGGAGCAGGAACGCGGTGCGCGAGGGCTCGGACGTCGTGTGCGGCCCGGGCCGCGGGCCCAGGAGCGTTCGTGTGTACAAGAGAGGGGGCACCTGGTCGGGCGCGGCGAAGACGTCGCCGCCGAAGTCGTCCTCTGCGTGAGGACCTGGCTGCTCATCTGGCTGTTCTTCCTCGGCGGCGGGCTCGGGCTCAGCCTTGACCGCGCGGGCGGGGGCGGCCGAGCCTCCGCCCAGCACGCGGCGCACGACCACGCTGGAGTTCCTCGGGACCTGCTGGCTGTCATCCTTGTACGTGGCGCCAGTCTGTGGGTCGGTGATCTCGAGACCGGCGCTGCTATCGCCGCCAATGCCAGTCTGCTGGGCGATGAGGCGCTTCAGCTCGCTTACAGACAGGAAGGCGCCCGTGAAGGCCACCTTCTTCGTGTCCCGGGCGTTGCGGAACTTGAAGTATATCTCTGACATCGTTGCCGCTCGGTTCAAGGCACAGAGCGCGGCGCGAGCCTCGGCACGAGGGCAACGTCGAGCGGCCGGGTCGAGCACCGACGCGGGCGGGCGCGTCAAGCACGCAGCATGGACGAAGAACTTCGCCGGCGCGCCGACCGATGATTCGCCTCACACAAGGATTCCCCGTGCGGCCCCACGAGCTGCAAGGAAGGCGGGAGCTGCTTCCCGCTCCGAAACCCGCCGTACCCCTTGGCAGTCGAGTGTACAGTCGCCCCTACTGCGTTGAGCTAGGCCTCTCCTCGTGGACACCGCTGGCGGCGCCCCTTGAGACGCAGGCTGCGTCCGGGGGAGGCCGCACTCCTCGCAGGCCCCGGGTGCGTGTCCGACGCGACTGTCCGCGCCAGGCGGCTCCCCGGGGACAACGGCTTCCGGCACTGCCGTGCAGCAGCACTCACGCACCGGCGCGTCTGCTGGAAACTGCGACCCCGCGTGCAGCTACGACCCCGAGGTCGAGCAGGCTCAGCAGCGCCACACGGAGCGCCGCGGGGCGGTTGGGCGCCACGCCGGGCGGCCGTCGGTCGAGCCATCGAACTCGCCGTGCCCCTGCGCGGGAGCGTCGTCGCGATGTCGGCGGGGCTGCTTCAGAACGCGGTCATGCTGGAGGATATGTTGTGCGGCATCAACGAGTGGAGGTGCGCGCCTCTGACGGCCACGCGCCGCGGCGTTCGAACGTCTGCCGCGACGGCAGGCGAGCGGCGCGCGCGGACTGCGCGGCGCCCGTGTCCGGGGCCGCGCGGCCGAGCGAATGGGACCCAGCGCAACAACGGTCGAGAGCACGGGCGCTGCTGCGGGTCCGGGCGCGCACGTGGACGTTCGCCGCGCGGGACCGCATCCTTTTCGTCAGAGCCGTGCTCCGCGACCCCGCCCCCCGCGATTCCAACGTTGTCCGGCCCGTGTGCGGCTCGCCGGGCGTGGAGCTCAACAGCCCATCGCCCACCCGCCGCACCCGGGCCCGCGGCGCGCGCGTTCTCCGCAGGAACATCCAGGACATCGTCAGGCAGAGCTTCAAGTCGTTCCACGACGTGATCCGCGCGCAAGGCGAGGCCATCCGCGTCCTCGAGCAGCAGGTGGAGGACCTGCGCGCCAGCAAGGCCGACAGAACCCGCGTCGAGGAGCTGGTCGCGGAGGCGGCCGAGGCGACCGCCGCGAAGGTCGACGCGGTCGAGAAGAGCACGGCGGCGCAGCTCGAGGCCGCGCAGAAGAGCACGGCTGCGGCGATCGCGGCGGCGCGCGCCGACATCGCGGCGGACGTGACGGCGCAGGTGACGCGCAAGGCCGACCGCGCGCTGGTCGAGAACCACGTGACCGAGCTCTCGCAGGAGATCGAGGGCGTCCGCGCGCAGCAGGCCGCGCTGGCGCGCAACAAGGCGGACGCGCAGGCGACCAAGGTGGCGCTGGCGCAGCTGGAGGACACCAAGGCCGCGGCGGCCGCGGTGGCGGCGGACATCGAGGCGGCGCGCGCGAAGTGCTTCCGGCACGCGGAGACGTGCGCGCGCGAGGCGTCGGAGCCGCTGGAGGAGAGCGTGGCGGCGCTGCAGCGGGGGGCGAAGCAGGTGGCGGAGCGCGTGGCGGCGGACGGGGAGTCGACGGCGCAGGCGCTGCGCGCGGTGAACGCGACGCTGGACTCGCTGGACGGCGCGGTCGTGGGCGTGCGCGAGCGCGTGGGGTCCTGCGAGGCGACGCTGGCGCGGCAGGGCGCGGCGGCGACGGCGTTCGACGACCGGCTGCGGACCGCGGAGGCGGCGCTGGACAGGAAGGCGGACGTCGCGGACGTGGAGCGGCAGGAGGCGGCGCTCGAGAAGCACGCGGCGGCGCTGGCGGGGCGCTGCGACAGGATAGGGGCGGCGACGGAGGACCACGCGATGCGGCTGGACGCGGCGGAGCGGGCGGGCGCGGACGCGGTGAAGCGGCTCGCGGCGGTGGAGGGCGAGCTGCCGCAGGTCGGGCGCGCGGTGCAGGAGGTGGAGGAGATCCGCGTGCAGCTGGGCGAGCGGCCGACGTCGCGGGAGATGTGCACGCTGCTGGACGCCAAGTCGGACGCGGAGGACGTGAACCGCCTCGCGGTGGAGATCGCGCGGGAGCTCGACCAGAAGGTGCGCGCGCGGGGGAGCGGTTGTTGTTTTCATCATGTGTTGTGGTGCGTGTCTGACCGGCGTTGTGCTGCCGGTGCGCGTGGTCGCGGTGCAGGCGTCCGCGCGGCTGTTCGAGGAGGCGCGCCGCGAGCAGCAGGTCGTGAACGCGAGCGTCGTCGGGGAGATGACGGTCGCGCGCTGGCTGTGGAAGTCCGGGCGCCTCGCCAAGGGCGGCGCCGTGCCCTGGTGCGCGCCGCACCCGCCCCGCCCCGCCCCGCCACGCGCCGCCCCCCCGCCCGCACCGCCCTGACCACCGCGCACGTCCCCGCCGGCCCGCCGCCTTGCAGGAACGCCCAGGCGGTCAACACGGACCCGGACAACTTCGTGTGGGAGCGCGACGGCGCGTGCATCGTGGCGGTCGTGCCGGGCCTGTACGAGGTGTCGTTCGGGTTCTACGCGCCGCGGAAGCCCCGCGTGCAGCTGCTGGTGAACGGCGCGCCGGTGCTGGCGGCCGTCAACTCGTCGTCGTACGTCGTGCACCACTCCTCGGGCCGCCTGTCGTCCATCGGGAAGCACCCCGACGGCTGCGTCACGGGCCTCACCATGGTGGACTTCCTGGCACTCCCCGCCAAGGCGCGCCTGACCATCATGTACAAGGGCGACGAACAGGCCGAGGGGTTCTTCGCGCTCCGGAAACTGTAGACGGGGCTCCAGGATGCGGACGGGCGCAGCGCGCGCCAGGGCGGTGGCGGACGCGACGTGTGACGCGAAGCAGGCGGCATTGCTGGTTGTGTGTGCGTGCGTGGAAGGAGCCGCACGGCTGCCTGCGTACGCTGCTCCGGCGTCGCGGGCGCGCCGGTAGCGACGGCTCGCGTGTCGGTGCGGGGTCAGCGGCGTGCGGCGCGGCACTGCCCGGACCAAGCAACACATTCTGGCCCGAGCGAGTGGAGCGTCGTCCGGGGACCTGACCGCTGTCTCGCGATAGCTCACAGTGTTCTGGAACATGCGCCTCCTCGCGCGCGCGTCTGCCTGGCTCAGTCGAGCAGGATGAGCAGGAGGATGAAGAGCGCCGCGGCAAACATGAGGAGCAGGCAGAACAGGCGGTTGCGCGACTTCTTCTGCGTCTTCTCCGCCTTCGCGAGCTGCCGCTGCGCCTCCTGCGTCCGCTCCGCCGTCCCGATCATCGCCGACTCGATGTCGTCCAGCTGCTCGCCCTGCTCCGACACCAGCACGGCCAGGTCCCGGAAGATCTCGTTCACCTCCCCGATCTGCCCCTGGATCTCCGCGACGCCGCGGTCCCGCTCCGCGATGACCGCCTCGTTGAATGCGATCTCGCTGTCCAGCCGCTTCTGGGCCAGCATCTGCTGCCGCTGCTGGAGGTGCATCTGCGGCGCTGGGCGGGGCGGGGCGCGCGTGGACGCGGGCGCGGGGCGGAGAGGCGGGCGTGCGGGAACTCGGCGCGGGCCGGCGGGGCCACGGCGCGGGCGTGGCGCACCTGCACCTGCGCCGAGCCGTCGAGGGCGGGCGTCGCGGCGGCGCCGGCCTCGAGGTCCGTGGCGGCCTTGTCCACCTTCGGCAGGCTCTGGGCCTCGCGCCGCGTGCAGACCTTCTGCGACGCTTGGAAATCTGCGGAGCCGGCCCCGCGGAGACACAGTGAGCGCGCGGTCCTGTGGAGCGTCGTGGTGCGGCCCCGAGCGAGCCGGCACGACGCGGGCGTCGCGCGCCGGGACTGGAGGGCGCGATGCGGCGGGGGGCGTGCGGCCGGAACGATGCGGGCGCGGGCCGCGGCCTCGGACGCCCACCTGAGAGCACGGTCTTGAAGTCGCTGACGAGGCGTTGCCGCGCGGCGACCTCGTGCGAGTCGAAGTCCCCGCTGCGAGATAGGACCTTGATCTCGGACGACAGGTCGCGCGCGGCGCCCGCGACCGCCTCCCCGACCTCCTTGAGCGCCTGCCTGTGGGAGAGGGTGTCTCGACTGCTCCCGAGCTGGTCGACCATCCGCTTGTACTGCGCCACCTTGGTTGTCATCGCGAATATCCTCTTCGCCAGCTCCTTGGCCGTCGCCCCTGCGCGCGTGCACCCCCGCGCGACGGTCGCGCGGTGCTGATGCGACAAGGCTTCCCACGGCCGCGACGCTCGCCTCGCCGCGGGATTTTGCACGCAATCACTCTGTGCGGGACCGTAAGTCTAGGACTGAAGGTCTGGGAACTCCCATACGCGCGTTCCCCGGGCGCCGGTCCCGCGGGACCGCCACGAGCCACGTCGCGGGCCCGCGCAGCCAGCCCGCGCGCCCCCGGAGCGGCGCGCCGTCCACTTACGGCCCTCTCGGGCAGACGCGCGCGATCACACGTACCTTGGCCTGCGTCGGACCCCCCCGGCGCCCCCGCGCGCGCCCCCTTGCGCGCGGCGTCGAGAAACGACATTCCACCTCCACACTGCCCGACACAACCTCAGACGTTCCAGCCGCCTCCACTACGCGGATCCGCTACCTCGACGCCGGCCTCGCGCCCCGGGACGCGTCCGCGTCGCGCCGCGCTCTGGCGCCGCTTGCGTGTGCTCAGGTTGCTCGCGCCCACGGTCAGGGCAGGGGACGCGGTGGCCTGGCAGCGGCGACGGTGCACGCAGCGACTGCCCCTGTTGCGGCCGCGCGCGCGGCCGTGACCGCCGTGCCGCGGCAGCCGGGCGCCGGACAGCCCCCCCGGGGCCCGTGGCTCAACTCCCCCACCGACGTCATCATGATGGCCATATATCGCGGCGACCGCCAACGAACGCGCTGGGCGCCGGCGCACCGCCCAGCCCGCGGTGTCTCCCGCCTCCCCCCGCACGCGGCTTCTCGCTGCGCGGCCGCCTCGTCTGCCGCAGCGGACATGTGACGGTGCGGCTCCGAGTCACGCCTCGACAGAGCTCGCGGTCGAGGCACCGCGCGACAAAACCAGGCGCCGCGCTGGCCGACAGTGTCAGTTGCGTGCGCCTCGGCCGCGAAACACGCTGGAATCGCGGCGCGAGGGCTCCTAGCGGCGTGGGGCATGGGGGGAGGGGGGCGTCCGAGCGGGGCCCGGGCTGCCCGGGGCAGTGGGGCGAGCATTCTCTAGGGCGCAGGGGCGACTGGGGTGGCCATTCGTGCACGTCCCCGTCGGAGTGTCCGCCACTCTTCGCCACAGGCGGAACTCGTGAGGCTCAACACAATGGTGACGCGAGATAGAGCCTGAGCGCTGCTGTGTTGCGACTTGCGGGCGGCCTGTGTGGCGCTCGACACAAAACAATGAAGCCTGGGCGGGCTTCGAGTTCATGGGTGCCCGTCACGAAGCCCAGGAGCGATCACGCCGCTCGGTGGTTCGGCGCCGAGGTGCGCGCGCGAGGGCAAGGAGATTTCGCTCACGCCCCGTCGACGCGCATGAATGCGCTGCCACATTCCGCGGTCGCGCTCGAAGGGCGGCCTCGGTTCCCGCGCGCTGCGTTCCCGCGTAGCCCTCGCAGCTAGGGAGGCAGGCGCGCGCGTGGCCCCCCGTAGAGGGCCTTGCGGTATCTTTTCGCGTCGCACCCGTGCACCGACCCCCCACGCAAGCCCTAGCCCTAGTATATATTCTCCCAGGTGCCGCCGGCCCGCCTTTGCCCCTGCCAGCATTCCTCACCCTGCCGTGGTTTGTCGCCTGCGCAGGTCGTCCGGTCGCCCTGGTGGCTTTCCTTTATCATTCTGCTATGTCTGGTCTCCTTCTTCGCGGAGGCGATCGCCATCGCCGCGGGTCGCGGCGTGCTCAAGTCGGAGGCTGCCACTGCCATGCTCGCCGCCCTGCCGAGCGCCGTGTGGGTCGTGCTCTGCGCCGACACGGCCGCGAACTTCCACGTGTCCCGGACGCAGCGTGAACTCCGAGCACGTGAGGCCCCGCCTCTCCCTGCCTGGCCCGCCTGCCCGCTGCGCGCCCGCGCCGTCGAGCGCGCCCCTCACCCTGCCCCCCGCGCCCACGGCCGCCTGTCCCCCGCGCTGGCGCAGCGTTCGTGCACGCCATGGAGCTCCTGCCGCTCCTGGCCATCCCCGTGGCGACGGCGCTCACGTTCGCGTCCCTGCGGGACAGCGCGCTGGTGGACACCGACGAGGCCCTCTCCTCGGGCGAGTTCGAGCACGCCCGGAAGTCTTTCGTCCAGGTCTTCGTCGTCGTCACGCAAGTGCTCGAGGTGCGTCCCCGCCGCCCGCGCGCGCGCCCCCCCGAGCACGGCGTGTGCTCCGGCCGATGCCCTGCTGCTTGGTTGGTTAGAATCAGTTGGTTAGTATTTCTTTATTAGTAAGGCCTTGCACAACTGACAACAACTAGGACACAGCCACAACTGGAACCACCTCGCCCGCGCCCACGCAGCCGCTGGTGCTCCTCAAGGCCCTGGCGGCCGTCTGGAGGCTCCGCACGTGGCACGACCTCGCCGGGGGGGAGGCGCAGCAGACCCGGGCGCGGTACGCGCACCGAATCCGGGAGCTCATGGTGGTCGTGTCCGCGCTCTCCCTCCTGCTCTTCCTGGGCGTCTCGTGGGGGTACTCGCAGTTCTCCGTGTCGGTCGAGGGCCACGAGATCGGCGGGCTCGTGCACCACCTGTCGGACGTGGCCGACGACGAGGCGGCGCTGCGGCACTACGCGGAGAGCCTGGGGCCGCACATGAACCAGTGGGTGGTGCTGCGCGCGTACATCGGCGACACCGCGATCGACCTCGTCCCGCGCGACGCGTGGCCCGACTCGGTGGTCAGCGTCAGCGCCGCGGACCACATGGGAGGTGGCGGGCACCACGGCGCGGCGGGCGGCGACAGGGGCCTCACGCTGGACAGCGCGCACTTCGTGCGGGAGCTGGCCCGCTGGTCGAGCGCGCGGAAGGCGCTCATGGTCGCGTTCGTCGCCACCTGGTCGGTCGCGTTTGCGTACCTGACGGACGTCCTGGTCCTGGGCCCTCTGTGCGCCCTGCTGGCCAACCTGGCGGGCTTGAGCGGCCGGCTGGACGAGAAGGGCCTGGTGAAGATGGCGAGCCACGTCGAGGGCGACGAGGGGGCCGAGGACGGCGACGGGGGCGGCCTGACGCTGCAGGAGGTGTTGCGGCGCGTGGGCGAGACAGTGCAGCTCGTGATGCGCGCGAGCCGGCGCGGGCAGCTGGTCCTGGACCGGATGGCGCGGGAGGCGGCGGCAGACGGCGGGGTGACGGGCGAGGGCGTGCGCGACTGGGCGCTGATGTACATGCCCGCGCCCGCGGCGGGGCTGGCGGCGGCGCGCTCCATGGGGCAGCAGAGCGCGTACGGCGCGTCCTCGGGCGGGGCAGTGACGATGCACGGCGAGGCGAAGCGGCACACCGTCAGCGGGTACACGAAGCGGTACTCCCTGGCCATGTCGGAGCACCAGCCGTCCTCGGGGGAGCTGGACGACATCCAGTCGCACGCCCTGGGGACGTACGAGTGGAACGCGCTGGAGGTGCCGTTCGAGTCGCTCGAGCGCGCGGTGCTGGCGATGTTCCGGGGCGTGGGCGCGGTGAACGACGGCTCGCGGAGCACGGCGTCGATGCCGCAGCCCGTGACGGTGCTCAACCTGGTGGCGCGGCTGTCGTCGCTGTACGACCAGGCGAACCCGTACCACAACTGGTACCACGCGTGCGAGGTCGCGCACGCCTGCTACCGCATGCTGAAGGAGGCGGATGCCGCCGCGGGGCCGGGGCAGCCGGGGTGGTCGCGCCTCGAGCGGCTGTGCCTGATGGTGGCGGCGATCGCGCACGACGTGGGGCACACGGGCGCGAGCAACGACTTTCTGATCAAGACGCAGCACAGCCTGGCCATCCGGTACAACGACGCGAGCCCGCAGGAGCAGTCGCACGTCGCGCTGCTGTACGAGATCATGCTCGCGCACCCCGACTGCAACGTCTTCGCGCAGCTCCGCCGCGACGCCCAGGCGAGTGCGCGCCGCACCGTCATCGCGTGCATCAAGGCCTCGGACATGAAGGTCCACTTCGACCTCATCGCGACGCTCGAGGAGATCAAGGAGGCCGTCGGCGCGGGGCGGACGTACGGCATCCTGCCCGCGAGCCCGCAGCACCGCGAGGCGCTCCTCGGGGCGATGCTGCACGCCAGCGACATCTCGCACCTCCTCCTCCCGCGGCGCACCATGTTCCAGTGGTCGTTCCGCGTCGTGCAGGAGTTCTTCGCGCAGGGCGACGCCGAGCGGCAGCTCGAGCTCGGGCCCACGATCGCGACGATGGACCGGGCGGCCGAGTACGTGCCCGTCGGGCAGCTCGGCTTCATGGACGCGGTGCTGCGGCCCTTCATGTGCGCGCTCGTGTCGGTGGCGCCGTGGCACGCGCCGCTGCTCCCACGCTTCCGCGAAACGTACCGGGAGTGGCTCGGGCTCGTCGCGTACCACCAGGAGCAGGTGGTCAGGGAGGCGGGCCAGGGGCACAAGGTCCCGCGGCCGCCGCTGGGCCCGACGACGTCGATGCGCGACTGCGTGGCCTCGTCGATGTCGGTGCCGCCGAAGCTGCTCGCGCTGGCGCGCGCGGTCTCCGTGCACAGCGAGACGGTGATGGCGCACCCGTCGACCGAAGACGTGGACGACGAGCACCTGCTGTCGACGGAGGCGCTGGTGTTCATGCCGCTGCACGCCTTGCCCTCGGCCGCCCTGGCGATGGACACGGACGCGCTGCTGCGGACCATGGACAAGCGCCTGACGCCCTACATGCCTCAGCCGCAGATCGAGGCGCAATCGAGCCTCCTGGCGTGACGTACGCGCATGCCCTCCGCGTGCACGCTGGCTCGCGCTGCTGAAAGCGAGAGGCTATGCCGCCACTCGATCAACTTCCCCTCTCCCCCCCCCAAACCTTTGCCTTCACTTTTGCATCCCAGACTCTGCATTTCGCGCTGCCTGCACGGTGCAATCGGCCACAGGGCAGCACCTTTGCAGCAGCGCCGCGCCCGAATCCCTGACCTGTCACAATGCTGATACCTGCGCCGCACCACGCGCGCGAGCACGATGCAAGGGCACCGCTGGCATGGCCGACTTGACCCCGGACGCGTGGGGCGAGGGCGGAGCTGATGCTTTCCGGCGACCGTATGACGACGATGCTGCCACCGAATTGTCCTGAGACCATCGGAGACGAAAATGAAGGATGGCTAATGGATAAGACCCAAGATGGCTTCAAGGCATCAACGATGTTCACGCCCTGATGATGATGATGAGTAAGCTGTTGGCTCAGCCCTCACGAGCCCCGAGATCTGCTACAAGACGTGTGACAAGACCTCACGCCGGGTCCTCGCGTCGCGCCTGCCCCACCAGCCGGTCAGTGACCTCCCCAGGTTCGCGTGGCCACTCGCCGCATGACACGACTCCTCAGTCCGCATTTCGTCGCCCCGCGCCGTCCGTCCTGTGGCGGAGACGTGGCGATGTCCGCCCGCCTAAAGACGCTCGTCCTAAGACGCTCGTCGGCGCACCCTAGCAGAGATAGGGCCGCTGCATGCCACCTGGGTCCGCGCTCAGCCTGGCGACGTGCGTCGGACACGTGTCGCCAACACAGCCCCCCGTGTGCAAGCACAGCATGCCACATGGACTACGCCGGGCACAGTGCGCAAGTGGCCGCCGCCAGGGGCGGACCGGACAGCCACCCGCACAAGTACGCTGCTGGCGCGGTCGTATGGGCTGTCGGGCGTGGCGCCGCACCAAGCGATGTGTCGTGCCCAGCGACGCCCCCGTGCAGCACCACCCCCCCGGGGGAACCAGGCGCGCCCCTCGCGCGACTCTGCGCCGCGGCAGAGGGTGCACGCAACAGAACGATCGAGGACGGCGGCAGGGCCGTGGATTTTTGTGCTTCTCTGAGGCCTGGAGAGAGCCGAGCCGTAGCAGGCTGGTGCGTGCCGTCTCGCGCGTGGTTTCGGGTCAGACGGCCGGGACGGTGCTGCGCGGGCACTGGGCAGTCGCCAAAGATGGTGAAGCTCGTGCGCTTCTTGATGAAGCTGTCGAACGAGGCGGTCCAGGTGGAGCTGAAAAACGGCACGGTGGTGCAGGGCACCATCACAGGCGTCGACCAGGCGATGAACACGCACCTGAAGAAGGTCAAAGTAGTGTACAAGGGGAAGAACGCGATCTCCCTGGATACCATGAGCGTGCGCGGCAACACGATCAGGTGCGCTGCGCACGCCACGAGCCGCTTTGGCCACCGCCCATCCCAGTGCCGGGCTCTCGCGGTGCCCTGCGCGATCCCGCACGAACCTCCGTGCTCCCCTATGCTGCTATCGATAAGCATGCGGTAGGAGCCTCCTGAGTCGTGTTGGCGCCGCGCACGGGCCCCTGCGCGCCATCAACCAGTGGGGCGCCGGCGGCTTTGGCGCGCCCGCGCCGTGTGGGCGAGCGGCCCTTGTGCGCGCCGCTTCCCCACCGTGGAGCCCTTCAGCGTGTCGGACGCTGCGTCAGAGCCGGTCGCGCTCGCCGCCCGCCTCCGCTTCGCGCCCGCACACCGCACAGGTTTTTTCCAGGTCCCGGACAGCGAGCGGACTTTGCGGCGCACATGCGCGGCGCTTTCCCCATGGAACGCACCAGTCATGAAGGCCGCGGACGGCTGCGCCAGGCGCCCCGCGAACGGTCACTGCGTGCGGCCGGTTGACCCACTCTCCTGTCGTCCCATCCCGCAGGTACTTCATACTGCCTGACAGTATCAACCTGGACACACTGCTGGTCGACATCGACCAGCCGAAGCTCCGGCCGAAGAGGCCACCGAGGGTGCAGGCAGCGGGCGGCCGAGGACGCGGGCGGGGCCGGGGCCGTGGCCGCGGCCGTGGGCGGTAATGGCGTTGGCGGGGCTCGCAGCGACCCGCAGCGCGCCTCTCGAGCATGTGACTACGTCGGCAGCAGCCGTGCGTGGCGTCACGCGGCCCCCGCTCGCGCGGGTGACCTCTCCCCCCAAAGGGCTTCCCACGGCGAGCTGCTGCGGTCGCGTTCAAGGCTCGGCGCGCCTGCAGCGCCGTCCGGCTGCCGGCGCCCGCAAGGAAGGACGCTCGCGCAGTGGGAGACAAACTGCGGCCCGCTGAGGCGAGAGTGCGGTGGAAGTGTCCTGCGCGCCACAGAGGCAGCAGCGACCGCGCGACAGACGAAGCGAGGGCGGCAGCGCCGCGCGGCCAGGTCGGGGCTGCCACCTTCCTTCCGAGCCGCGCGGCACCCCTCTCTCGCACCAGCAGCACTTGCAGTTACACGCGCCCGCGCACGGCGCTCCAGTGCTGACGGCCCGGCCGCCCGAGCGAGTACGATTCGTTCACCCTGTCCCGGAGGCGGTCCTCGAAGGACAGGCCCCCCCCCGCTTCTTCCGGTTGTACTCGAACACCCACTGGTGGAAGTCCCGCAGCTGCGCGGCGTAGTGTTGCTTCGCGTCGAGGTCCCGCGAGATGTTGATGTCGTCGTCGTAGTCCATCGTCAGGAACGGGATGCAGTGCAAGCTGCGCGAACAAAAGGGCGGGCGCGAACCGCGGGCAGTGAGGGGTGCGGTGTGGTGTGTTGAATCAGGGTCGGACTGGCGTCGTCGCGGGGGCTGCGTCGGGCGGGGGCGGCGGCACACGCGCGCGCGGTCGTGCGGCACTCACTCTTTGTGGAGGTGCGTGTTCCCGAGGTCGATCTGGTGCCCCGGCGCGACGAGGAGGTTGACGTTGTCACGGATGCTCTCCGGCAGCTCCGGCAGCGCGAGGTCCTTGGCCGACATCGGCCGCGCCTTCATCGCCTCCTTCCCGCTGTCCGCCTCCACGTGCCTCCGCGGCACGCCGACCTTCATGAACTCCCCCCACCGCTCGGCCTCCTCGCGCGACACCCCCCGCAGCGCGCCGCCCTCGCTGTCGACGAGGTGCTTCACCTTGACCTTCTCGAGGAACCACTCCGCGTGCCGGTCGTGCAGCCCCTCGATGTACTCGGCCTTCACCTTGCCCTCCTCGCTGCGGTCCCGCCCGCGCATGCGCTTCACGCACGTCTCCGGCGTGGCCTTGAGGTACACGAACCCGTCCGGGACCAGGTAGCGGTTCTCCTCGAGGATCGGGTCGAACATCTGGTCGTACACGGCCATCTCCACGTCGCGCAGGGTGCGGTCCTGCTCGTAGAGCTGCCGCACAAACACCTGCCGGTCGCTGAACACCGAGCGCTCCGTGAGCATCATCTTGCTCGGGCTCGAGCCCTGCGCCTGCAGGCGGGACCGCGCGTCGCGGATCTTGCGCCACCGCGACACCAGAACGTAGTTCTGGAACAGGTACGCGTAGCGCTCGGGGTCCTTGTAAAACGCCTCCAGGACGTTGTGCCGCCCCGAGGAGTGGTTCAGCGCGATCCACTCGTCCACGGGCTCCGGCACCACCGCCATCTCCCACGGGCCCTGCAGCCCGTAGTTACTGGTGTGCTCCAGCTCCCACCGGAGCTCCCCGACGACGTCGCGGTCGTGCAAAAAGTCCAGGAACGTGGACTTGCCCGCGCCGATGTTGCCCTCCACGGACAGCGTCACGTGCGTCCCGTCGGGGTCCTGCAACGCACCGCCCGACGCGCAACGCACGCTGGGTCGGGCTCCGCGGGCCGCTGCTGCGGCGCGTGGACGTGCGCGGGCGCGGGGGCGCGCGGGGCGACGTGCGGGGCGGCGCGCACCAGCTGGAGGACGATGTCCCACAGGTCGGTGACCACGTCGCGCGCGTGCATGCGCCGAATGCCTACGTGGTCGTGGAGGAAGCCGACCATGTGCTCCCTGAGGTCGACCTCCGTGCTGGCGCCCGCGCGCCGCGCTTCCCACGCAACCGACTGCAGCCGTCGACACAGCGCTGCGCACAGCGGGCGGAAACGGGGGGGGGCGGTTGGGCTGTGTGGTCGCAGAGGGCGCGTGCGGGGGCGCGCGCGGCGCGCGCAACCTGATGGGCGGTACGCGTGGGCGAAGTTCTGACGGTCGGCGGGCTCGGGCCGGTGCGCCAGGCCGCCGACGCGGCGGCACAGGGCCGTCCTGGTCGCCGCTGGCTCCGCGCACCTGACCGCGTCGTGATGTCCACTCCTCTCAGCGCTTGCAGCCCTTTCGGACCGATTCCGCGCACGCTCTTCAGCTGGGGGCAAACGGCCTCTTGGGGGCCGCGTGTCGCCACGCGCGGCCCGTCTCCGTTGCCCTGCAGCTTACGGCACGCCAGCGCGTCACGGCTCAGACCCGCGTCTTGTGCGCAGCCCGACGACGCCCGCGGCACCGTCCATGGCGCGCGCAACCACGAGGGACGCGGAAATGCCGCCCCGAGGCCGCGCCCGGCACCAGGCACGGACGTGCACCAACGGCCGTCAACGCATCGGGCGCACGCGCGTCGCGCCGGCGCTCTTTGCGCCGGGCTGCGTCGACGGCGAACGGCGGTCAGCGCACTCGTGCGTGTGCACGGCGAAGCGTGGTTCCGGGTGCCGCACCGCCCCCGCACGCCGCCCCCTGGTCGCCGCCTCGGCTCCCCGCACCCCCGGGACCGCAGGTCCGTCCACAGATCCCGATGCGGGTCCCTCACGGGGCCCCTCTGTGTCGCTGCCATCGCTCGAGGCGGAGTTCTGGGCAGCAGCTCTGCAGGACAGGCCGGCGCGCCGCTGGTTCCCCCACGCCTGGACGGCCTGCTGCGTCGCGTCTACGTCGCGCCTCAGCCGCGACGACACAGCTCGCGCGAGCAACCGGCACGAGCCCGTCCGCATGTTCGTCTGGCTGTGCCCACGAATCGTCGCGAGGTTGGACGGTGTGGGCACGCCAGAGCGCGCAAGTCCACGCATTCAGCGTGCGACTCGTGATGCCGGGGGGTCCGCTGTCCTAAGGCCCGGAACGAACTCGGCCGACTGCGTCACCGGCCCCGCACCTCGCACCGATGCCTCCGCGTGGACCCAGCGCCTCGTCGAGGGTCGAGTCGACCCGGCGTGGGTCTCGCCGTCTGACCGGCCTGCGTCAGCGTCCCGGCAGCTCCGAGCCGCTGCGCGAGCTGTCAGCCACCGACCGGGCGCTAGCAGCAGTGCGCCGGGCACGCCCCGGCGTCGCGTCTGCGTCGAGGCGGATGTGCCACGCCGCCTCAGTGTTAAACGCTGAGCCTATCGCTCGTTCACCGCTGGCGGCTGATCGGCGCTAGAAGCCCGGTGAACCCGGACACCAGAGAGTGCCAGTGGTGCGAGAGCACGTGAGAGCCAGGTCTCTCTAGAGCCTCTCGCGGCGTCGGGCGGTCTGAACATCTTTCATTGAGATGCATCATTGACATGATGACATGCATGTCGTACACACACGTGCACGACGGTGAGACAATGCGCGGATCGTTCAGGAAGCGCACAGCGTGCTGCGTGAGTCTCTGAGCGACCCCAGGTGACGACCTTCCAGTGCAGAACCCGCGGTGCAGGTTCGAAGTGTGTGTGTGTTGAGCGCTGGCATTTGTGTTGAGCGCTGGTACTTCGCTGACCTACAGGCACCCTCACCGCGAGGATAGTTCTTCGCTGACCTACGAGCACCGAGGATAGTTCTTCGCTGACCTACGAGCACCCTCACCGCGAGGATGCCGGAGCGACCGAAATAGTTCTTCGCTGACCTACGAGCACCCTCACCGCGAGGATAGTTAGTTCTTCGCTGACCTACGAGCACCCTCACCGCGAGGATGCCGGAGCGACCGAAATGGTACGGCAGACAGTGACACAGGTGACACGCCACTGCAGGAACGATGGTCGTCACATGATGGAGCGCGGTGAGGATCGTTAACTGCAACGGGGAAATTGACACTCGCAGCCTTTGCGACTGAGAGGCGTGACCGGCTCGCGGTCACGCTTTAGAGTTGAAGCAGCACTGCGTGTAGGACAGGACATTCCCGAGACAGACATTCGTGATGCGCTCGGGGACCGCGCACGAGCGCGAGGAGCGGCCCGTCGAGGACGAGGGGAGCAGGAGGGGGGGTGAGGGCGGGTGAGGAAGGAATGGGGGGCACTCGGTTGCATACTACGACTACGGAAGAAGGAGGAGGAGGCGGAGAGCAGGGGAGGAGTATCAGGGCCGTTTTGAGCCCTGGTTCGTAGAGGCTTGAACACCCTGCGGAAAAGCGTTGGACGATCGAAAAAGAGGGCTAGCATGCAAGGCGCTCGGGTGCATGAGCAGCCGTGGGGTGTGGGGGGGGCACGCCGGCTGCGGGGTGGTTCTGCGCAGCGCGAGCGCGCCGCCCGCGGACGGGGCGTGGTGAGTTGCACGGGCTTGCGCCCGCTGGGCTGGCTGAATTCGCCGTTCGTGTTCGTAAAGCCCCTGCGCCCGGTTGTGCGCTTCATTCGGTCGCAGCAGCCCGCAAAGGGAGGAGAAGCCGCCGTGGATCGCGGCCGGCTGGGCCTGCTGCATGGACTGCACCAATGAGTTGAGCTGCAGCCAACTGTGCGTGTGGAGTCGAGGGGCCGCGCAAGTTCATCTTCGCACCTCCGCTGGTGCGACTGCAGCGCACATCGCTTGGCGGGGGCGCGGGCGCATCAAGAGGCGCAGCTAGGCGCGGCGCGGGGGGCCGTCGGCCAACCCCGGATAGACAGCAGGTGAGCAGAGGAGCAGCTCTGCGCATGGCTGCCCCGGCGCACTGACGAGCCAGCTACGCGGCCAGGCGCTGACACACCGCCGGCCAGGCCGCACTGGCCTGGCCGGCGGCGCTGCGCGGGCGCAGCGGCAGGTGGGGGGCGGGGGTTAGACAAGGGGGCTTCAGGGGGGCAAACTTAGGGGTGGGGGGGGTTCGTGAGGTCATCTTGAGTCTTCACGTGTGAGACCGCACCGGGAGTCTTGTGATCTCGTCCGGCGGGCGTGTTGATGCGTCAGCTTGGCAGTGCAGCGCGTCTCGCGGTCGGCAAGGAGCCGTTGGGCGCAGATCGCGCCGCTGTACTGAAGCGCCGCGCGAGCAGGGACCACCAGCGGCCTGGTGGTTGGTTGGCATAGGGGGACGCAGCGGCGCAGGCGCCACGTGAGGGTGGAGGCACGGTCCAAGTGCGCCTTGGCGTTGGAGCATGCTGAAGTGAAGGGCGGGGGCGGCGGGGGGAGAGGAGGCGGGCGGCGGGCGTGGTGTGCGTGGTGGGCGTGGTGGGCGTGGTGGGCGTGGTGGACGTGGTGTGCGTGCGTCCTCACGTCCGGCCCGTGGCGCGGCGCGAGGACCTCTTCTTGGCGCGCACGGGCCCGGGGCCGAACAGCGCCGACGCGGCCGCGTCGCACGCCGGGCGCGCGTCCGCCTCGGCCCCGCTCGACGCGCCCGAGCAGCCCTTCCCGTACGACGGCGACGGCGACCCGCTGCTGACCGGCTTGCGGTCGTCGGCGGCCTGGTACTCGAGCGAGATGATGCGCCGCTCGGGCAGCACGTCGCTCTCCAGGCGGGCCGACACGCGCGGCGTGGCGGGCCCGGACCTGGCCGCGGGCGCGGCCTCCTCCGCGGGCGCGTCCTCCTCGGCGGGCGGCGCGGCGCTCGTGTCGAACCGGTCGGCGCCGCAGTGCATGAAGCGCCGGCGGAGGTGCGCGTCGAGCGAGTGGCGGTCCGGGCCGGCGACGGCCTCGCGGACGGCGGTCGCGGAGAGCCCCGGCGCGGAGAGCTCGCACCACGAGTTGGCGAACGAGCGCGCCGCGGCGGAGCGCGCGCTGCGGAGGGACTCGGCGTGCGAGGCGTCGTCGTCCTCCGGGAGGTTCAGGAGGCGGATGGCCTCGTTGAGGTCGCCCGCGGGGACCGCCGGACCCGGCACGAAGGCGCCGCTGCTGCTCACGGGCGCGGTGGGGCGCAGGTTGGAGCTGTTGCCCCCCGAGGTGCGCTTGCGGCCCGGCCACATCGCGTGGCTCTCGCTCGCGCCCCCGACCGTGCCGGTGTCGCTGCCCAGCTGGGCGTACATGGCGGCGAGCCGCTCGCTCGAGTGCTGGTGCCGGCGGTGCGCGTGCGCGTGCGCGAGCGAGCGCTTCCACCCCTGCGGTGGAGCAGCATCACGTAAGAGGGCGCTCAGACGCGGCGCGGGCGCGAACGGCTGCCGAGGGTCGCGGCGGCGCGGCACGGCAACCCGAGGGGACAGGGCGCGCACCGTTGGGGACGAGACGTCGCCCGCGTCGGTGCCGGGAAGCAGCCGTGGCATGAGTCTGTGCGTGGCCACGTCCTCGTGGCCTCCGCTCGCCGAAACGCTCGACCGGAGCCTGCTGTAAACGTAGTTATCAGGGGCTTGCGAGCCGCTCAGGCTCAGTCGGCTCGGCCGCGGCGGATTTGCGGACGGTTGTCTGCGCGGCAATCGCGACCCCGCGCCATTCTTCGTCTCGTACGCGAAACGCGTCGGAACCTGGAGCGCGTCGTCGTCCATGACGTCCCCGAGGAAGACGGCCAAGGTCGCACGCGGCCTGCGCGAAGGGGAACGCGGGAGAGCGGCCGTCGTTGGCGAAATTGGCGACTTGCCGTCGCCGCCCCCGGCCAGCGGCATCGCGTCTCCGGCGCGCGGTGCTCCTGAAGACGCGCAACTAGCACCCTGAGCGCGCGGCGGCCAGCCGTACGGCGCCTACAAGCGCGTAAGCCGACCCCGCGAAGACCAGTCCGGGCAGGCCATTACGCTGCCCCGCGGCCTGGACGCTCGCGCGAGCACCGAGCAGCATGCTGCCTCGGCATCGCGAATACGCTGCCGCGACGCCAGGCGGAGGATCCATGCACACCGTTAGGCCTACCTTTCGTCCCCGCAGTACGGGGTGCGCTCCGTGTGCGGGTGCGCTCCGTGGGGCATGGGGCTGTGGTGGTGTGAACGTGAATGTGCTGGCCTTGCCGAGCGTCGCCAAAAAAGCGCGCGTCTGCCCGAGACGCGCCCGCGGGGTGGTCCCTTCGGCTGATGCAGGCCCCGGTCGTTCCCACGCCGCGCCACGTTCGTCAACGACACGACAGCGCTCGTTCAAGTGTCGCGCGTCCATTCCACGCAAATAGGCCGGGATTGCGCGCGAACACGCGCGCCGAGACGAACGCTGCGCGCAGGTCGTTGCGAACCTCCAAGACGAGACTCAACACGTCACACCGGTCCGCCGCCGCCACGCACCAGCGTTCCGACCCCGCCGCCCCCCTCCCACCGCGCCGCACCCCGCGCGCGCCACGCTCGGCCGTCCGAAGCCCCCCCGCCGCACGACCGACGCGATCTTCCACGCGCTCGTGTGCAACAGCGCGCGCGGCACGCCCCCCGCGCGCGCGCCGCCGCCGGCCTCGCGGCGCCCAGGCCGCGCGCCCCGCCGCCGCCGCGGCCCCTCCGCGCCGCGGCCCCCTACGGGCATGTGGTGCACCGGCTCCTCGAGCGTCACGTCCACACGCGCCGCCCGCATCCCCTTCAAGCGCACTCCACATCAGGGGCGGTACCCCGGGCGCGTGAAGGGCGCCGTCATGTTGGAGTGCGAGGTCGTGTCGCCGAAGTTGAGCCCGCTGCCGCGCAGTTTCCGCTCTATGTGCTTCGGGATGCCGTGCGGGTACTCGGTCACGAGGTCCATCAGCCCGCTGCGCTGCTGCTCCACGTGCTGCACGTGCCGCTGCCGGTCGGCCTGCATCGCGGCCATGCGCTTGTCGTCGAACTCGTTGTCCTCGCGCCGCTTGTCGTCGTACATGTAGCGCGCCGCGTACCGCGCGCTCGTCAGCGGGTGCGCCGTCCGCGGCCGCGGCTTGCTGTGCAGGTACGTGCCGTCCCACGTCTGCAGCCGGTCGTCCACGTCGCCGCCCGGCTCCGGCGACAGGCAGTTGTCCCCGCTCGTGTTGAACAGCCGCCGGTGCTGCGTGTTCTGGCACCGCCGGATGCGCTGCTTGTCGCGCGCGTCCTCGCCCAGCCGCTGCTCGTTGTGCATCTGCAGCTGCGCGTGCGCCGCGCTCAGGTGCCGCCGCCCGCCGGGCTTCGCGAACCACTCGTCGATGTCGCGCGCCGACTGCTTCTGCTTCTCGGCCTCGAACGCCACGCGCAGGACGCGCCGCGCGGGCCGCGCCCGGATGCCGTGCACGTAGCGCCCCTGCTTCGCGTCGTACGTCATCGACGCCTGCTGCGCCGGGTTGTACGCGAAGTCGAACCGGCCCTGCGAGGACGCCCCAGCGCGGCGCGCGCGCGGTCGGCGGGCGCACGGAGGGCGCGCAACGCAGCATCGCGCGTCGGGCGGTGTGATCGAGCGGGCCGCGCTGCTCCGGGCCCGCATCGCGCCGCGGCGGCGCCGTCGCGGCGGGGGCGACTGGCGCTCCTGCGCGACGTGGGTGCAACGGCCGCCCGCGTCCTGCGCGCGCCGCGGAGCGACCCCGACGGTCCGCCGCCGCGGGCTTCGAGCCTCAAGTAGGCCCGGGATCCCGGTGCGAGGGCGCTGGGCGGCACGGGCGCGAGGACTGGCCCGCAGAGGGTTGCGGGGTGCCGAGGGCAAGTCCCATCGGCGGGGGAGCGACGTCCGCGGGATGCACGCGCGGCGCCCGCCGTCGTCGCGGACAGGACATGCTGGAGGGCGGGCGATCGAGCGACGGCGGCGCGCATCGTGGGCGCCCAGGGGCGCACCTGGTCCGCGTTCAGACCCTGCGTGGCGTTGAAGTCCACCGTCCGACTGAACGCCCTCCCGGCATCAGCCCACGACTGGTACCCGGAGCTCATGGTGTCCGCGCGGTCCTCCGACGCGGCGGCGACCTCCCGGGCCCTTCCGGCTCCGCCGACTGCCTGCTCACAGGCTCTCTCGCACTCCTGCGACGGTGCCGCCGGCCTGCGCGCTGAACGTGATCGAAGCGACCTGCCAGGACCCGAAACTGCCGCCCGGCCCCGCCGCCGGCCCCGCATGCCGGCCCTGTGCGGGGCGGTGGCGTGCGCCCATAATAAGGGACCTGTCAGGTCGCTGGTGGCACGCTCGAACGGCGCGCCCGGGCCACGAGGGCGACGCACCGCGCGGGGGCCGCCCACAGAGCATCTGACCGGCCCGTCGGACGATAATCGGGTCCTTCGACGCAGCCTGGCGTGACGCGCGGGGGAGGCAAGAGCCCCAGACCAGGTGGCGTGTCTCTCTGCCCGCCGACCGAGGGAGGGTGGGCGCTTCCGCGGTGCTGCGCCGGATCGTCATAGCTGCACGCTGTCGCCGCGCGCGCGTCGTGGAAACGTCCGTGCGTGCGTCCGTGGCGCGCGGGAGGCCCACCAGCGCCAGGGTGCCACGCTGGCTCGCCCGTCGCAGCAATGAGCGACCAGGAGCACGCGGCGGTTCAGGCTGGCGACGATGAGCCGAGGGAGCAGGAGGGCGGCGCGGGCAGCCCGGAGGCGGGCGCGGCTGCAGGGCAGCAAGGTGCCGGGGCGGAGCATGCGGGCGCCAAGGGCGCGGGAGGGGACCTGGACGGGGCGGGTGCATCGCAGGCCGTGCTGTCGTACAAGGCGAAGTACGCGAACACGAGTCCGAAGATGCGGAGGCAGAGAGGAAGCCCTATGACGGAGAAATACAAGGCCAAGGTGTCTGCGTTGTTCGAGGACCGCGCGGACGACCAGGTGCGCGACGGCACGCGACGCCCCGCGCCCGCGCGCGTCTCCGTGCCGGCGCCGCCTCGCGCTGCGAGATACCGGCCCTGGGCCCGTCCGCGCGGAGAAACCGCGCGGCGTGGCTGCCCAGGCCTTCCGTCGAAGATCGCCGCGCACAGACGCCACGACGCGAGCCGCGGGCCGCGCAAGCGCGAGCGACATACTCCGTGCTGCATCTATCTGGCCACCGCGGGTCGCAGCGTAACACCCCCAGCGCGAGCTGCGGTCAGCCGGGCGAGTGTGGCCGCCTCCAGGGACATGGCCGCGGTGCCGCGCGCCCCGTGCGCACGCCCTCGGCCCTCGGCGTCGCCGCGCGTCCCTCCTCTCTCACGCAACGCCCGCAGCCAGCGGCTCCCGGCCCGCGAACAGCCCGCACCGGCCCCGCACGCCCTGTGCCTCCTCCCCTGCGCACCCGCGCGCCCCGCCAGCCCGGCTCCCTCCCCGCGCTCGCGTCCGCGACCGCCCCCCGACCCCCCGCGCGCCCCCCGGCACCGCGCAGGGCTGCGTCCCGCTCACCGCCGTGCCCGAGATGCTGTCCCAGCTCGAGGTGGACGCGGGGGACGAGAGCGAGTGGAAGGACCTGGCGAGCTCCGTCGCGAGCAACGGCGAGACGATCTCCGAGGCGGAGTTCCTCGCGCTGATCGGGTACCTCGGGCCCGGCGCGCAGACGCAGCGCAGCGCGGCGGCGCGACGCAGCTACCTGGAGACGGGCGTGCTGACCGCGGACCCGGCGGTGCTGCAGTTCATGCGCACGCTCCGCGAGCACCAGTCGCGGTGCGAGGACGAGGGCAAGTACGCCGAGGCGAAGGCGGCGCGCGCGCGCCTGCTGCAGCTGCGGCAGCAGGAGGTGGAGCGGCTGACGGCGGAGATGGCCAAGCGGCACGAGGACGAGCAGCGGGAGGCGGAGGAGGCGTTCCGGGAGGAGAAGAAGGCGCTCGACGAGGCGTGGGCGGTGCGCGTGGAGTCGTGCGCGGCGAACGTCGCCGCGACGCTGCAGCAGCTGCAGCAGCGCCAGCAGGCCGAGCTCGAGGCGGTGCGCGCGGAGGGCGCGTCGGCGCGGACGTTCCGCGCGTCCAAGCAGCTGCTCAACCAGCGCGTGATCGAGCGGAACCTCGCGCGCGCCGGGAAGCACGACGAGGCCATGGCCATGAAGGCCATCGCCGACCGCATGGAGGAGCTCGAGGTGGGGACGCACGCGGCGTCGCAGGAGGGCAACCTCGGGATCCGGGAGGCGAAGCTCGCGGAGAAGCACCAGCTGGAGCGCGAGGCGCTGCAGCAGCGCGGGCAGCGCGTGCGGGCGGAGCTGGAGCTGCGGCGGCGGCGGGAGATGGAGCGCCGGGAGCGGCGCGTGAAGAACGTGCGGCAGGAGCTGGCGAGCCTGCAGAAGCTGGAGCGCGTGCAGCTGGAGGCGTTCCTCGAGCAGCAGGTGATCGCGGGGAAGCGGGCGGCGCCGCCGCCGCGCCCGCCGCCGCTGGGCGAGTCGCAGTCGACGATGAGCGTGCGGAACGCCGGGCTGATCGGGGCGCACCGCGGGAGGCCCGACGCGACGCAGACCGCAGCAGACGTGTACGGGATCGGCGGCAAGCTGAAGGCTGAGCGCAGCGCGGGTGGCATCGCAAGTCTGTCGACGCAGTGGACGTGACGCGACGCGCTGCCGCCCACGTCACTCCGCTGTTGCACCTGCCATGCGCGTTGTGCGCCGTGCGCGGCCTAACGCGCCCCGCCGCGAGCCGTTGTGAGCCCGCGAAAGGCCAGCGGACTCCCAGGGCCTCTCACTCCCCCCCCACCACTGCGTCGATGATGTGCACGTAGCCCGCGCACGTGGCCAGGTCGCCGACGACGACCCGCGCAAAGTCCTCGAACCCGCCCCCCGCGTCCACGACCAGGTCCCCGCGCGGAGTCCGCCCAAACGCAAGACCCTGCAGGCAGACCACGGCGGGCGCCTGCAACGGTGTGCTGACGCCAAGTTGCGCGTGCGTGATCGTGGAGAGGGGCCCGACGGGGGAGCACCTGCCCCGGGGAGAGCGTCGGTGCGCTGCCGCCCCCGGAGAGACCCCCCAGCTGGGCGCTGTCAAGCTTTCCGGGCACGATGTGCCGCTGCAGGACCCGCTTCAAGGTCGCCGCGTCCGACGTCCGCGGCGCGGCAGGCCCGAACGCCGCGTTCGTGGGCACCAGCACCTGCAGGGCGCCGCCCAAGATCGTCGCGGGGGGTGGGGTCAAGCGCGCACGGCGTGGACCAGCATGCGAGGCGGGCGCGTCAGGTGCGCACCGTAAGGGCCTTGGACCTGTCCTGCAGCACGTCGGCAAGCCCGGCTTCGTCCACCAGTCGCAGGAAGGTCGACAGCTGGCTCATGCGTGACGTGAGCTGCCACGGAGACATGCAGAATGCCCGCCCCTCGCCGCCCCCGCCCGCCGCGCCGTCGCTGACGACCGCGGATCGCGGCCTTGCGTCGGATCCGTCGGAGAAGAGCGCCCCCGCCGACGGCGGTCCAGCGTCTTGCCCCGCAGCTTGCACCCCCCCCCCGCACCACCCGCGGCGCTGCCGTTCGTCGGCGGTGCGAACGGCAGCAGCAGCCCGTCCAGGATGTGCAGCGTGGCGTTGCACAGCTCGATGTCCCCGCGCAGGACCGTCGCCGCGCTCCCGACGCCGCGCACCGAGACGAGGTCCGGCGACGCCGCGCTGGCCTCCACGAACACCTTCAGCTCGCCGCCGTCCTCACTCGCCACCAGCGTCGGGACCGCAACGAGACCCTCGTCGGTCCCCGCGGTCAGGTTCGCCAGCGTGCGCCGGCCGCGCGACACGTGGTACGCCTGCACGACGGCCGCGGCGCGCTGGCTGTCGAGGAGGGTGCTCGGCGACACGCCCAGCTTGTCGCGCAGCACGGTCTCGGCGCCTTCGTCCGTCGGCGCGAAGATCGTGAGCGGCGCCGCGGGGTCCAGCAGGTCCCCCCCGTTCCCCGTCACGCGCGCCAACTCCAGGAAGAAGCTCAGCCCCGGAACCTGAGTCAAGAACTCCCCCACCGTCGTGCAGCCCCGCACGGACACCGCGGGCGACGGCGTCTCCCGCGGCGCCTCGGGTGGCGGCCCTGGCGCGGGCGTCACCGGCCCTGGGGTCGGCAGCGCCGCAGGCTGCAGTTGCGCGGAAGTCGGCTGCGGCGCGGTGGCGGGCGGCGGGGCTACGTCCGCGGGGAGAAAGCCGTCGACGATGTGCAGCTCGCCGGAGCACAGGGCCCCCACGTCGGTCGCGAGGACCGTCACGAAGTTCCCTGTCTCGGAGGAGACGAGCGTCCGGCCTGCGGGGGGCGGGGTGGCGCAGTGGCGTGGCGGGCACTGGCGGTGCGACCAGGGTCGGCGGAGCGGGCCACGTCGTCGGGCGGCGTCTTGCCTGGTTGGAGGTACAGCGTGAGGGTGTCGCCCCCAAAGGTGGTGAGCACGAGGCCGTCCCGGAACGACGAGTACCTGCGGACGCCGCCGACGACGTGGGCGGACATGATTCCGCGCAGGATGTCCTCCGTGGCGTCGTCGATGCCCGCCCCTGCCGTCGACGGCTGCAGGACATCCAGCGCTGCCAACAACTGCGCGCAAGGCGGTGCAACGGTGCCCATCACGAGGCGGGCCGCCCGGCGCACCGCGCGGTGCGAAGGCGCACTCGGGGTCGGAGCTGTCGCCGGGAAGGCCGAATCGTCGTGTCAGACGAGCAAGCGCAGTCGTCGCACCTCTGCCACCGCCCGATCCGTCGGCAGGAAGAGCGTCACCGAGGGATCCGCGCTCCGGAGAAGCGGGGCGAAGCCGGCGTTGCGCAGCAGCGGCAGCGCCAGCGTGACGTTCAGGCGAGCGCCGTCGCGCTCCAGCCTCTCCTCGATGGCCTCGTTCGCACACACGTCCGACCGCGCGGGCGGGACGCGGCCCGGGTCGCGCAGGCTTTCGAACGGCAGCAGCACGCGGTCGATGACGTGCATCACGGTGCCGTCGCAGAGCTCCACGTCGCCCTCCTGCACCAGCGCGAGGTTCTCCAGGGCCCCCGCCCTCGCGCCCGGAGGCCCCGCGTCCACGAGCGTGACGCCCGACTGCGTCTTCTGCACGATGAGCTGCGTGAGGCCCAGCTTCGTGTCGACGACGCCTGCGGGGCCACGTGGGACACGGAAAGGGGGGTCCGCGCGACCAGCGAGGTGCACGCGCGCGGTGCGGGGTCGCGTCCACGTGCGCGATGCCGTGGCCATGGCGTGTCTGCGCCGCACGACGTGTACGGCGGATGCATACGGTGTGTAGACATTCTCGCCTTTAATTGCGAGTTGGGTGCTTGTCTGGGCCCCGGGGAGGACGTGGTGCAGTCCGACCGCGCGCGTGACGTTGCGGTTGAGCGTGACCTCTTCGAAGAGGATGTTCTGCGGGCGCGTCTCAGGACGTGTGCCGGAGAGATCTGATCTGTTGTGAACGCAAAAACATGTCGCCCCGCAGGGCTGGCGGTGCGCAGCGACGCGCACTGGCGTGGAACCTGCCTGGTTCCTCAGGGCGGCCGCGAAGGCGTCGTCGGTCGCCGCGAGGATCGTCCGCGAGCGCTGCTCGTCTTGAAACGACCGCGTCCTGATCTCTCGCGCAAGGCCGCCAGCTACCAGCAGGTGGCGCATCTGACGGAGCCCTCCGCGATCGTCCATCCACTGCAGCTCCGTGCGAGCAACACAGCCGGAATCCTTCCCTCCTGCGCGACAGCCAGACTCTCCGCTCTCGGTGAGGCCCCACACAATGTTATCGTCCCCCGCGCCGGCATGACCCGCGCTCGCGGCGTCGACGCATCCGCTCACGTGCGTCTCCGCTCTCGGCGGACCCCGCTGGGCCGCCGTCCGTAGCCCCTGCGACGCGCGCGCGCTCTCCAGGTGCGGCGAAGACCAGGTCCAGGTCGAGCTCCCTCACTTCCTGCGGCGCTGGCGGGCGGAACTGCGGGAACGAGGGCCGCGCGGGCACCACGGGCACGGACACCGTCGTCAGGCGGTTGCTGATGAGGTCCAGGTTCGGCGCCTCCGCGCGATCGTCGCAGGAGCACCGGCCGCAAGTCCTCTCGCAGAAGCGGCCGTCTACCATCCACCCGGCGTCGCACTTGCCTGCGCGGGGGTGGCGGCTCGTACGGGCCGTGAACGTGCGCTGCGTGGAAGGCGAGTGGGCGGCGAGCGCGGCGCTCCTGGCGCGGGATCTCACCCCACTGTTGCTGCTTTGCACACCCGAAAATAGGTTCCCTGTCGCTGCAGTCCGGACAGGGGGCGGCTGCCGCCGACAGGGTCGCGAGGGCCGCTGCGATCACGACGCCACGCAGCGAGCGCAAGACGCCCAGCGCGGGGCTGCGTTTTGTGGGCGCTGTCATGGTGCCCGACACGCACGCACGCATGGAACGTTTCACGTGGAAATGGCACCGCGCGGTGCGTGCTGCTCGGATACGACCGCGAACGTGGCTGGCGCGCCGTGGAGAGTCCCCCACGGGCCGTCAGACGACAGACGGACTGGAATGTTTGTTGGCCGCCTCCGACGTCGTGGCCGCCGTGATCGTGCGAGTCACGAACAGTCTCGCGCTCAGGGCCTTTCCGACAGCGTCCAGCTCGCCAAACCTCAGTCACCACGCGCACGTCCGTGCGTGGCCCAGGCACAGAGACGTCGGTGGTCAACCCAGGGATCGCGCACACCGGGCTTGTGCACGCGCGTCGCCGGCGCCCCTTGGATCCACCACGTTCGTTCATTGATCCGTCAGAGAGGGGGCAGGCTTTCACCGTCGCGGTCGAGCGTGGGCGGCAGGACTCGAGGGGCTGGGCCTCTGCGTGACGCCTGCCTGCAGCGATGGGACTGATCCACCTAGATGATGGCGTCAGGACGTTCGTTCTGCTGCCCATCTTCTTCGCGACCCTGCTTTCGGGGCTCATTCGGGCCTTCCTGGGCCCTGTGATGGACGGTGGGAGCAAGGGGTCGACTGCGGACGTGAAGAAGATCAGGGAGGCGCAGCTGCTGCTGCGAAGCAGCACGCTGCGACGGACAGCGGGCTTCTTCCCGCGGTCGTCGTTTCTGTCCCGCAAGGTGAGCGGAGGGCCAGCGGCGAGCCCCCCTGCACACTGCAAGCCTCGCAGCCAGCCTCTGCACGGGCCAGCCTTTCGACGGGAGAAGAAGCCTTTGCCTGAATCACATGTTGCGGGGCCACATCGCACGGCCCCATGACGTCGCGGCGATTCGCGTCCTGTCCTCGAGCGCGTTCAAGGCAGGCGCAGGCGCTCACAGCCCCGGCGCGCCTCCCCCGGCCAACAACTGCAGTTCTACTTCGCCGCCAAGGACGAGGGCGTCTTCTACGGTCCCGCGGAGGCGGCCCCGAACGCAATGATGGACATGGCGATGGACCCGAACAAGACGATGGGCATGATGCAGCGCTCGCTGGGCGGCTTCCTGCCGAGCATCCTCATGTTCGGCTGGGTGCGCGCGCTCTTCTCCGGGTTCATCATGGCCAAGGTTCCTTTCTCCCTCACGCAGAAGTTCCGCGCCATGCTCCAACAGGCGCGCCCGCACCCACCCCGCCTGCCCGCGCAACACGCGCCGCTCGACGCCCGCGCGCCCGCCTGACGCCGACCCCGCCGCGCCGCCCCCCGCAGGGCATCGACGTCCCCGCGCTCGACGTGACGTACGTGTCGTCGTTCAGCTTCTACATCCTGTGCTACTCCGGGATGCGCGGCCTGAGTCAGCTGCTGCTGCAGTGGGCCGTGGGGGCCGGGCCGGCGTCGCGCGTCGCCGAGGATCCCATGCTGTCGGGGGTGAGCCGCCCCGGGAGACTCGTGCGGCGCGCGCGCGTGCAGGTCGCGTTGTGTGCTGCTGCCGTGTGCGACCCCCCCTGTGGTGGTGCCGCTGCTTGCGCAGGCGATGACGGCGAACAAGGCGTGGAACCAGGGGGTGGAGAAGGTGGACGGCGCGAAGGCCTTCCAGGCGGAGCGCGCCGCGCTGGCGCTGGTGCAGGCGGAGGACATGCTGGGCGGGGCCGAGCGGCGGGCCGCGGACGCGTTGCGGGCCGCGCTCAAGACGTCGCGAGGGAAGCGCGTGTGAGTGCAGTGGCGCCTGGACGCCGGGGCCGTCACACGTCTGGGCGGCGTGTTGATTGATCCTGCGCTGAATTGTTTCTACCCGCCGCGTGCACGGCGGCCGCCGCCTCGCCAACGCTAGCCGTGAGGACAGCCCACGACGGCGCGTCGTCATCGCTCGAGACATCCCCCCAAGCTGCGCTTCGCCCTGCCCGACTTCTTGCCACCCTGCACCGCGCCGTGCACGTGGCCGCCGAGCCGCGCACGCTTCCGGCTCGCCCCCTCCGTCGCCTTCCCGCCCTTCCCCAGCCCCTGCATCTCCGAGATCTGCTCCTCCCTCAGCTGGCGGGCGAAGTGCATGTCCTGGTGCTCCTGCCTGTCTCTGACAGACATGCCCTGCCCGCACTCCGGACACACCCACGCGGGACCGTCCTCGCCGCCCCTCGCCCCCGCCACGCCGCCCCCGCGCGCCCGAGCCAGCATCGCGTCAAGGCGGCGCTGCGTCCCACGTTGCTGCTTCGTCGGCGTCGGCCGCTGCACCGCGCTGTTCCCGCCCGCGCGCCGCTGCGCACCCTCGCCCGCGTCGCTGGCAGCGCCGTTTGCGTACCGGTAGCTGCTGCACACAGCACACCAGTGCTCTCGGCTGCTGTTCTCCGCGAAAGTGCACACGGCGCAGCGCCACGCCGTCTTCACGCGCTCTCCGGGCCCGGCGTCCTCTGTCCCGGCACGACGTGCGTCCTCCGCCACCGCGTCGTCCGTGGCGCGGTTCTGCGCCGCATCCCGAGCTCCGGCCTCCCTGTGAGAGCTGTCCATGCGCCACATCTCTGCGGAGAACTCCCCGTCCGGCTCCCGGTCCGATCCCTCCCCGTCCGAGCATTCGGGGCTTTCGTCAGGCTCCCGACCCCCCTCCTGCGCCGGCGGCCGCCCGTCGGCGTTCCGGCTGCCAAACAGCTGGTCCAGCGTTGGCTGTGCCGCAGACCCGGGCGCCGCGTCCGTGTGAAACTGGCTCACGCGCACTCCCATCAGCCTCAGCCCGTCCGATATGGGCAGCTCTGTACCGCGGCCACATCCGAGCGCGCGTCGGGTGGGACCAAACTCGATCCATGCCTGCTGACGGGTCCAACGGCTGCGGCGCGGGGCGGCGTGGCCCTCACCTGGCGTGAGCAGCCGCAGAGCAGCAGCGAGGAGGTCCTGTTTCTCGTGGATGAACTTGGGCAGCGTCACCGCGCGCGTGCGCACTTGAAACTTCGCCGTCTTCAGTTTCAACGTCAATGTCCGCGCGCGCAGGCCCTCCCGCGCCATGTGCTCCGCGAGCGTCCCCGCCAGCTCGTCGAGCTTCGCCTCCATCTGCGCGGCGGTGTAGATCGCCTTGAACGTGCGCTCCACGCTCATGCCCTGCACACACACTCCAGGTCCCCTCTCGACTCGCTCCGCCGAAACCAACGACCTGTCGAAGCGTGCAGACAGCAGATCGGCCAGGATATTGCACTGTGCGGCCAACGCAGCGACGCGCGGTGGCGGGATCGCACCTTGCGGTTGGGGAGGCCCTCGGGGGCGCGCTCGGAGTGCGTGGTGGAGCCCAGGCCCAGCGACGAGCGGAGGAGCGAGCTCATCGCCACCGGCGTCAGCACGCAAGCCAGCGCGGCGCGGCGGTCGAGGACGTCGCCGCACGTCGTGGCGCCCAGCGACGACAAGATGCGCTCCGTCACCTTGCCCACTCCAGGGATCTGTGATCGGGCGCGACGAGCAGCGGAGACGGTCTCGACGGCGTGTGTGGCGCCCGCGTGCTCGCCAGCAACGCGCGACCCTTCGCACGGGCAGCGCAGCGCGTCACACCTGGCAAGGTGTGACCACTGCGTCATCGGAAACAGTGCGCGCACCTTGCGCAGGGGCAGGTTGCGCGCGAACGCGCGGATCTTCGCGGCGTCCGGCTCGATGATGAACTGTCCGTTCGGCTTGTTGATGTCGCTGGCGATCTTCGCCAGCATCCTGTTCGGCGCCGCGCCCACTGAGCACGTCAGCCCCCCCGTCGCCTCCCGCACCATGTCCCGCAGCTCCGCCATGCCCTCCGCCCACGGCCGCCCGCGCACGAACTCCGTCGCGTCCAGGTACGCCTCGTCCAGGCTGGCGCAGTCGTGCTTCGGGTCCACGCGCGCAAACGCTGCGCGGGCCTTGGCTGACGCCGCCCTGTAGAGCTCGAAGTTCGACTTCACGAAGCGCAGGTGCGGGCACAGGCGGACGGCGATGAAGCCGGGCATCGCGGACCGCACGCCAAACTTGCGGGCCTCGTAGTTGGCCGTCGAAATCATCGACATCCCCCCCACGGCCCTGCACGCGGACGCGCACGCAGCGCGGACGCCGTCAGGGCGCGGACAGTGCTGTCGAGACAGTGTGCTGCCCTGTGTGGCTTCGGTCGGCCGGCGCACGGCGCAGCAACGCACACGACTGCGCCTTTCTGCGGCAGGCGGCCTCGTCCGCGGACACGCAGCACGAAGGCGTCGGCGCGCACGCCGCGTCCAGCCTGTGGGAGCGCGGCTTCTGGAGCTCAGCGCGGTCAGCGCGCGCAGCGGGGGCGAGCGACCTACATGGGGATGCCGCGCAGGGACGGGTCGGCCTGCTCCTCGCACGCGGCGAAGAACGCGTCCATGTCGACGTGGAACCAGCACCGCGTCAGGTCCCGGCTGGCCTCGAGCTCCACAAGGCGCGCGTCCGTCGCGCGCTCGGACGCGGCCAGCGCGGCGGGCGTCAGCGCGTCCAGCTCGGCGCGGAGGCGCGCGGCGCGGGCGTCGGCGTCCCGCTGCTTGCGCTGCTCCTGCGCGAAGTGCGCCGACCCCTTGCTGAGCTCGTACACGACCCGCTTGACCCGCTCCTTGTCCACGCCCCCCATCCCCGCCTTCTCGTTCGTGAAGACCGTGTCGCACTGCTGCCATCCCTCACCTGCGAAGTGAACGCGGAGGGGCGCTGGTCGGCAGGGCCGCGCGTGCGCGGCAGGCGCCCCGCGGCAGACCTCATGGCACCTACCTCGTGCTCCGTCCGGGGCGCCGTGCGCGGCGTCTCGCGCGCCGCGCGGGGGCATCTCGATCCTCTGGATGCGTAGCTATCTGACGCCGCGCTTGAAATCCTCACGGATCGCCCGCACGGTCCGCGGGGGCCGCCCCCGCTCAGGAGCCTTGCATCGCCGGCTGTGGCCCCGCGCACGCCCGGGCCCGAGGGTGTACGCGACCGTGCTGCGCGGGACCGCGAAGTGGATCGAGCGCGCGTGGCCGGGAGCGCTCGCAGGGCCGTGGGGCCGCGCCAGGGAGGCCGTCCGCCCAGTCAGCCGGGCTGCTGGGAGGAGTCGTGCCGCCCGGCGCCGCGTTCGAGGGCCCGCGGCGCCGCGCGAGCGTCGCAAATCGCGGGAAGGACGTTGAGGCAGTTGTTCCGGTGAACGTCTCCCACGGTCGCGTCACACGAGTCGAGCACCATGGTGCGAACCCGGCCCGCTCCCGACCCGCCGCGCACGTCCGCGTGGCGCGCAACCGAGCTCCGCGCTCCGCTCTCCAGCGTGCTCGTCGTGTCCACACGCGCTCTTTCGTGCGCGGGAATCGCGGGCGGCCCGTTCCACGCACCCCTCGGCCCCTTTCGCGCCTCCCTTTCAAAACCCCGCGACGCGGCTGGCGGGTCGGCCGCCGCCGCAGTCGCCGCGTGTGTCCGCCCAGCGCGGTCCTCTCCATTCATGCTGCGCATTCCGCGGGCGCGTCACGCTGGAAAACGCACCGCGGCGTCTCCAGTGCCCGCAAACCGTTGCACGTCTCGGCGGCCGGAGAACGCGGCCCAGCCGGCGGGTGCCGCCGGCCACGCGCGCGCCCCGCCTTCTGCTGCCTGCCAGGACCCGCGTCCGCCCGCGGACCGGCGCAGCACGGCGCCCAACCGAAAAATCCCGCGCCCGCTCTCTTTCCAGCTCCCGCGCGCTTCCCGTGCGCGCACCGCGCCCTGCCTCCGCGCAGACGCGCCCCCCGTGCGCCAGAGCGCTTCTCCCGCGGCCCCCGCGCCCCCGCCCCCGCCCCCGTCCCGTCTGCCGCCTGCAGCGGCGCTCCCGCTCGCACCTGCCAGGCACCTCTGTGCTGCCAGCGCTGCCGCGCCCCCGCGCCCGCGCCGCCCGCCCGCCGCCCCGCGCCCCCCGCCTCGCGCCCCCGGCCGCCCCGGCGCGCCCCCACGCCCCCGCCGCCCCCCGCGCGCGCGCAGAGCTACCGGCGCGTCACAGCTGCCCGCCGCCAGCAGGCGAAGCGCGGGGTCGGTCTCACGGAGGAGCAGAAGCAGGAGATCCGCGAGGCCTTCGACCTCTTCGACACCGACGGCAGCGGGACGATCGATGCCAAGGAGCTGAAGGTCGCGATGCGCGCGCTGGGCTTCGAGCCGAAGAAGGAGGAAATCAAGAAGATGATTGCCGACATCGACAAGGACGGGTCCGGACAGATCGACTTCGAGGAGTTCCTCCAGGTGAACGCCCGCCCGGCGCGGGGGCGCCCCGGGCGCGTGCGGGGCCCCGCGCGGCGCTGGGCGGCCGCGCCCGCGCGGGGCGCGGAGGGGGCACTGCCGGCGCCCGCACGCGCTCCGCGGCGCCCGTTTCCGGGGAGTCTCCTGTCCCCGGGGAGCGTGTGCTTGGCGTGGCTGCGTGTCCGGGCGCTGTGCGTGTGCGGGCGGCGCGGTCGCGCACCGCGGCCGGCGCGTGCTGTGGGAGCGGCCTGGCGCCATGCGAGGGTGCGAGGGTTGCGTCGGTGCTCGCAGATGATGACGGCGAAGATGGGCGAGCGCGACTCCCGCGAGGAGATCATGAAGGCGTTCCGTTTGTTCGACACGAACGACAAGGGCAAGATTGACCTGGAGGACCTCAAGCGCGTGGCCAAGGAGCTGGGGGAGAACATGACCGAGGAGGAGCTGCGGGAGATGATCGAGGAGGCCGACCGGGACGGCGACGGCATGGTCTCGCAGGACGAGTTCATCCGCATCATGAAGAAGACCTCGCTCTTCTGATGCGAGCACAGCGGCATTGTCCTGGTGTCGTCGCCCGTTCGTCATGGTGTGCGCGAGCGCGTGGGCGTGCCGGCGCGCGGGCGTGCGCGAGCGCGTGCGGTGCGCGCCCGCGCGAGAGGGGGCGCGGACGCGTGCCGGTGCGGCGGCGGTGGCGCGCGCTTCCCTGTGTCTGACCCCCTACCTCCCTGAATATAGCTCTGCCTGAGAAGGCAGGCGTGGCGTGATGCGCCGGACGCGGGGCCGCCGAATGGCCCGCGCGCGTCGAGCGGCCCGAGCGGGGCCGCGGCGCGCGCTGGGCCGCTCGCATGTGAAAGCTGGCCTCACCGTCACATCGCAGAGCTTGCCGGGCCCGGCGCGCGCCTGTGCGCGGCCGCAGGTGCCGGACGTGGTCTCCGCGCGAGTGCGCCGTCGCGCTCGCTGTCGAGCCGCGCTACGTGCGGGGGGAGTGTTCGTGTGTGGATGGGGGTGGTGTGTCACGCGGGGGGCACGGCCATGAGGCGCTTGCTGGTGTTCTCCCGCAGCGAGGAGATCTTCTGGTGCAGCCGCCCGTCCTTCCGCCGCTCCTTCACGCGCGCCCACACGTTGTCCTGCACGATCTTGTCCCCCAGCTCCGTCAGCAGCTTGCCGAACCCGGGCTGGTCCACCAGCCGCGCGTGCACGTCCGCGGCCAGCGTGACCTTCTCGAAGTCGTCCGCGACGAGCCGGAGCAGCCCGATCGCCTGCCCGGACGTCACGCGGTGCTGCGCCAGCAGCGCCTTGATGTCGTCCACGCGGTCCTGCGGGGGGCAGGGGGGGTGTCGTGCTCGGCGGCGGGGGTGCGCGGGCGGTGCGTGGGGTCGGCGGTGTGCGCGATGTTTGCTGCGCGCGGGTGCTCACGAGGTCGTTGTCCCTCTTGCGGCACGACTGCACGCAGGCCTCGTAGACGTCGCCGGGGCACTGCTCCGCGACGCGCCCCGACATGAGCAGCGCGATGTAGCGGTCGACCTCCGCGATGAAGCCCGCGAGGTCCGACACCATCAGCTCGTGGCTGACGCACTCGGAGCGCGCATCGCTGCACAGGGGGGTAGAAGGGGGTGTCGGTCCGGACGGCCGCGAGGCCGGATGTGCGTGGACGTGGACGCGGGCGGGTGCGGGGCGGCGCGTGCGCGGTGGCCGCACCTCCAGACGGTGACGGTGAAGCTGTGTGGCTGCTTGGTCTTCCAGTGGGGGATGCGGTCCCAGTCCGCCGTGAGGACCGGCGCGCCGTTCCGGGCGCGGTCGAGGATGCGGATGCCCTGCACGGAGACGATGGCGCCGCGGCAGGCTGGCCGGTCCGCGGGCCGAGGGGTGCCGCGCAGCTGCCACTAGGCACCAGCACGTGCCTGCGTGGGGCGACGACGCGTGCCCACGGCGACGGCGCACGTGCGCGCGCATGAACGAGCGAGTGCGGTTTCGCCCGTCGCGCTGGTCCGAGAAGGCGGGCCGGAAGCCGCCGACGCCCGAGTGGCGCTCCTCTTGGGCTGCGGTGCCGTCCAGCGGCACGGCCACGAGAGGCGCGGTCAGGCGCGCGCCGCACCTGGAGCGAGACTTCCACGTCTGCCTCGATCTCGGTCTCGGCGCCATTCTTGGTCAGCGTGTACAAGCAAGCGGCCCTGGAGTGCTCTGGGTGCACCTCCACAGGCAGCTTGGGGAGGGAGGCCTTGTTGCCCATATTGCCAGCCTCTAGCGTCGATGGACAGACCCTGCGGCACCTACAGATGACACTGGTGCTGGACGCCAGCGGACCACTCGAATGCGGCCGGGACGGCGGTCTGCGGGCCGAGATGCAAAGCACTGAGTTGCAAGGCACTGCGCTTCGTGGCCTAGGTGTGTGGGCGCTGCGTGCCGATGAAACGAGCATGCACTGGATGGCGCTGCGGCGGCGGCCATGGCGCGGGCCCCGTGCCCCGGCTGCAGACCGTCATACTCCTTGAAGGGGCGCGGGACCCTTTGCCGACGCCCGCCACGCCGCAGCGCACTTCCGACGCAGCAGACGGGGCGCGGACCGCGCGTGTCTCCCTGCGTCCCCGCCTGCACGAAGCTCTCACGCCGCGCCGAGTAGCGCGACGCACACACGGTGTTGCCGCAGATGGGGGCGGCAGCGTTGTGACGCGCGCGCGTGCGCGATGCTGAACTGCAGAATAGACAGGGGGGCGATGGCGACGTCGACTGGGCGCTTGCGCGTCGTGCGCGGGCCCAGTGCCCTCCCGAGCGCAAGCAGCCGCCAGGCTCTGCCGCGCGCCCATGGCGGAGGGGGAAAAGGCCTCCGTTGCGCTGCAGCGCGGGACGACGCCCCTGGTCAGCAGCCGCGAACGCGAGCCATGTCTCAGGAGGAGCTGCGTCGCAAGCGAGCTGCGATGGCGGCGCAGAGACGGCGGCGCATTGCCGTGGAGCCACGTGAGCAATACTTGCGGGCCTCTCTCACGCGCGCCGGGGCGCTCCGTTCCCGCGTCTTGATGCTGGGCCGATGAATCATGCCCGTGACGAGTTAGCAGTGATGATGAATCGTGCGAGCGTCGCCGCGCAGGGGACACACCGAAGCTTGCACCCCAGAGCGTTCCGCAGCCCGCGCCGCCCGAGGTCGCGCCGGAGAGCGCGGCGCCGGCGGGCTCGACACAGACGGGCCACTCTCTGCAGGTGCGGTGGCCGGTGCCGCGCGTGCCGTGACGCCCGTTCGACCGCGCCATGCCCCATGAGCTGTCGGCCCCCGCGCGCCCACACGCGTCAGTCTGTTCCTCCTCCGATCGCAGAGCTACCGCGACAGACGGGCCGCCCTTGCCGCTAGCGCCGACGCGCCTCGTTCGAGCCGTCCGGGCGCCGCCCGAGCGCCCAGTGGCGAGCCTCCAGGCAGCCGCACGCAACGCACCCAGTCCCGGCAGGGCGCCCGGGTGGCAGCGCGGCACCAGCCCGAGCAGGCAGCTCCGCGCCCGGACCCTCCGGAGCCCCGCGGCGCCACGCCGTTCGTCGCGGGCACCGTCGCGAGCAGCGCGGAGCTGATGGCAACACAGATGCAGGACGCGCTCGAGGCGCAGGAGCTGGAGGAGGCCAAGGAGCGCGAGCGGCTCCGGCAGCAGGTGCAGGAGGTGGAGGACAGCGTGGACGAGGAGGCCGAGGCGGCGCGGAAGCGCAGCCTCGGAGACGCCGTCTCGGAGTGGCAGACGCGTTTGCGCGCGCAGGTGGAGCTGGAGCGCGCGGAGGAGGTCGCTGCGCTGCAGCAGTCCTTCGAGGGGCCGTCGCTGGGGCGGCTGCAGGCCGACGGGCTGATCCTGGCCGGCTTGGCCGTCGTGGACGGCCCCCGCGCCCTGTTCAGCCAGGAGGTCTTTACGTTCGCGCTGCCCAAGGGCGGGCGGCTGCCGGCGCACCGCCTGCGTGTGCGGGACCCGGTCGCGACGCGGCCGCTGTCCGAGGACGTCCCGGAGGCGCTGGCGGACGTGTGTGGGCAGCTGGACGGGACGGTGGTGCGTTTCACGGCCGAGGAGATCGAGGTGGCGTTCGAGTCCGGGGCGCGGGGTGCCCTCGAGCAGGTCGTCGAGCACCTGCGCGCGCGGCGGTCGAAGGTGGCGTGCTGGTGCATCGCGCCGGGCGCGCAGAGTGGCACGTACGACCGGCAGGTGGAGGCGATCAGGCGGCTCGGGAGCTTCCGGAACCGCAGGGGGACGGACCGCAGGCGCGCGGAGATGACGCTGCGCGCGGCGCTGCTCGGGGCGCTGCGCGGGCAGGACATGCTGGGCGTGGCGGGGCGGGCGCCGCTGTGGGCGGGACACGGGCCGTGGCGCGAGGCCGCGACGCGGGCGTTCCGCGCGGTCGAAGGGCTCAACGACAGCCAGAAGCGCGCGGTGTTCGACGCCCTGTCGCGGTCGCTCGTGCTCTGGCAGGGCCCGCCGGGCACGGGGAAGACGCGGACGCTGCTGTCGCTGCTGGCGGTGATGGTGCAGGCGTCGCGGGCGCAGGCGGCGACCTCGGGCGTGCTGCCGGACGCGGCGGACGTCGGGCCGATCCTCGCCTGCGCGGGCACGAACGCAGGTGGGCGCCCACGCGTGAACACGCCCGTCTCTGCGCGACGCGTCATCCTCGCGCCCGCACGTCGCGCCCTTGTTTGGTTGCCTGATTGCCGTGACCCGCCTGCGCTGGCCGCAGCCGTGGACAACATCGTCGAGGGGCTCCTGAAGCGCGGCGTGCGCGTGGTCCGCATCGGCCAGCCGGCCAAGGTGCGGCCTTCGCTGCACAAGTGCGTGCTGGAGGCCATCGTGCTGGAGGGCACCGCGGCGGGGCGACAGGCGAGCGAGCTGCGCCGGAAGAGCGAGGCGCTGCTCGCACGCATCGCCCTGGCGCGGGAGGGCAAGCACCACGACCCCACGACGGGCCGCCCGCTGCCCCCCGTCGCTACGGACCGGCTGGACCGCGAGGAGCGCCGGGCGAAGGAGTGGGCGAGCCAGGCGCGCACCTTGATCAAGCGCGGCCAAGACGAGGTCCTCGGGCGCGCCGAGGTCGTTGCCGCGACGTGCGCGGGCGCCGCGGACCCGGCCCTGTCGGGGATGTTGTTCCGCATGGTGGTGGTGGACGAGGCGACGCAGATCGTGGAGCCGTCGTGCATCATTCCGCTCGTGCGCGGCGCGGAGTGCGTCGTGATGGCCGGGGACCCGCGGCAGCTGCCGCCGACGGTCGTCAGCGGCGAGGCGGCGAAGCTTGGGCTGGGCGAGACGCTGTTCGAGCGGCTCGGCGACGCCGGTCTGGCGCCGCTGCTGCTGCGCACGCAGTACCGGATGCATCCGCTGATCGTCGAGGCGCCGTCGCGGATGTTCTACGGCGGCCAGCTCGAGGCGGGCGTGGCCGCAGAGGACCGCCCGCTGGTGCCGTGCCTGCCGTGGCCGGACCCGGACGGCAAGGGCGCCCGGCCGGTGATGTTCGTGGACACGAGCGGGAGCAGGGAGGCCAGCGACCGGTCCATGTCGTACCGGAACGCGGAGGAGGCGACGGTGGCCGCGGGCCTCGTCGCGCTCGCCTCGCACGCGTTCGGAGCGCGTGATGGCGGCGCCGTGGGCGCGGCCGAAGCCGACGACGACCACGAACCGGTGTCGAGCGTCGCGGTCCTGGCGCCCTACGCCGCACAGCTGCGCCTGCTCACGCGCTCCCTGCGACGCGCGGGGCTCGCGGTCGACCGCCAAGATCTCGACGTGTCGACCGTCGACGGCTACCAGGGCCGCGAGGCGGACCTCGTCGTCTTCACTGCCGTGCGGTCCAACGACCACGGCAACCTCGGCTTCGTGTCCGACCCGCGCCGGCTCAATGTCGCGGTGACCCGCGCGCGCCGTGGCCTCGTCGTGGTCGGGAGCGCGGACACGCTCTGCTCGGATCGCCACTGGGCGCGCTGGCTCCAGTGGGCGGACCGCAAGGGGCTGTGCGTGGACTCACAGGTGGTGTACGACGCACTGGAGCGGGCGGGCATCGACCCGCCGCGCCCCGGGCCGCGCGGGGATCGGCGGCCGCGAGGGGATCCGGCCGTCGAGTCTCCGGGCCCGAGGTCGCCCGCCCGCTCTGGTCAGCGAGGACCTGCGCGCTGACGTCACGGTGGGGCCATTGTGACTACTTCTTCTTCTCCGCGCTCCAGTCGGACACGGCGACGATCTCCACCCCGATCGCCGCCATGTCCTCCAGGTTCGCCTTCTGCACCTCGTCCGACTTGGACGCGGTGGCGTCGTGCAGCACCGTCACCTGCTCGTAGTCCAGGCTCACCGCGTCGAACGCAGCGGAGCGGATGCAGTTGGGCGTCTGGACGCCGCACAGCACGACTCTGCGCGTGCCGAGGCGCCGCAGCATGACGTCCAGCGGCGTCTGGAAGAACGCGGAGAAGCGTTTTTTGACCACCACGAGCTCCCCGTCAGCGACCGCCAGCGGGGACACCAGCGCCGCGCCGGGCGTACCCTGCGGGGCGCGGACACCGCGGGTGGCTCAGTGCGTGACGCCCGTGATCGGGAGCGACGGCCGCGCGCGTCGCTGGTGCTTCTTGGGTGTGTCACCTTGACCGTCGCTCCAGGGCCGTGGGGGGGGAAGAGATGCGTGCGCGTTCGCTCGACGTCGATTCCGGAGGGCTCGTGCTCGCGAATGACCCAGAACACCGGCGTCCCACGACGGCGCGCCTCCTCGACCGCGGCCACCACCTGCGCGCACGCTCCTCCGTGGTGCGTGGGGCGGACGCGCGCGCACGGCTCGGCACGAAGCCACCGGTGTCAGCGCGATCGTAGGGGCGCTGCGCTCCGGCATCGCGGCGGGGAAGCCGCACCTGGGGCAGGCAGTCCATCGCCCCGTTCACGCGCAAGATGGCGTCGGGCAGGCAGAAGTCGTTCTGCATGTCGATGACGATGAGGGCCTCCCCGGTGGACGCAGGGGCCGCTGCGGCCGCCATGACGACGGAGCCGCGTCGGGTTGCGGGGGAGCGCGCGGAAGAGCGCCTGCGGCAAAGGCAGGAGGACGCACGCGTCTGCACCGGCGCGAAGGCAGGGCGAGTCGACCTGGCTTGTCCCAGTGCCGCGATTTCAGAGCAAGCGTCTGCGACCGCGGTCCGTCATGAGATGTTCGTGCGTCTGGGCACGCGCCTGTCAACGGGGTGCCTGCCCAAACGGCCTGAACCGGGCCTTCTCGTGGTCGACCGAGCCCGAGTCTCCGGGCAGGCTCGCAGAACACGCGGAACTTCCGGGCCAAAACGCAGCGCGGGGTGCAGAGGGGCCGTGCACGGCAGAGAGAGCATCTGTCACTAGCCCCAGCCAAGTCACGATCGCATCGCCGGGCGCGGCGAACAGGCGTGGAGCTGATTGCGACGGCACGCAGTTGCAAAGTACGGGGGCGTTTGAGGCGGCCGCCCGAGATGTCACCGCCCAGGGAGCCCGTCGCAGGTCCACCAGAACAGAGGCCACCCCGACACGACATACAGCGACGCACACCCCCGTGCCCGTCCACACACGGCGCGAACGGCGGGCCTGCGACGACACCATGCCCACGGTCGGTCGCAGGCGGGGGACCTCGCACGGTTGCGTCCGCCGCGCGGCGCCGGAGTGCACGCAGCGCGGCGGGAGGGACCCGCTCCACACACGGGGTGGTGGGTCACACGACGCCGCCGGTGCTTCCAGACGAGTGCGCTCCGTGTCGCGAGCGCGCTGCCGGGAGCGAGCGGGGCCGGTTCACCGGGGGCCGCAGGCTGCAGGCAACCGCCGCCGCCCGGCACACAGGCTGCGGCGACGCGGCGATCGTGTCCGAGGGGCGGGCGGGCTGGGAGACCGGCGAGGGCTGGCCCTCGGGGGCGCCGCTGCGGCGAAGCAGTGCTCGTCACGCCCTGCGCGCGTCTGTCCGGGCGCCCTTTGGCTGTGTCAGTCGCGCCTGCCAAAAGCCCTCCCGCGCGGCGGCAACACGTAGGAGCGCGCCCCCGTGGTGGCTCGGCAGAAGGTCTGACCGGGAGGTGTCGTGCAGGGAAGTTAGTAGCCATGTCTGACAACCAGGTGCGCCGTAACACCGCTGGACCCGTCTCTGTGGCAGGCTTCTGGCGCTCGCTGCCGCGCCTGCGGCCTTTGCGGCCGCCCTGCCGCCACCAGCGTACCACCGAGCGGACGGAAGAGCGTGTGGTCCACGGCGATCCCGCCATCGCTGCCTGGCTGCGGCCGCGGCGCCTCGAGCAGTGTAGGCGCCAACGGGCCCGAGGCTCGTAGGCATGCCCGGGACACCGTGATACAGCGCCCGGCCGCCCTATTTTTCACGAAGCTCCGTGCTCCGTCCGAAACCCGCGCGTGGAGCGCCTGCCCTGCGCCATCCGGGCCAGAGCCGCGCAGGGAGCGCTTTGCGGGCTCCCGCCGCGGCGGTGCCCACCACGGCGACCACTATTTTGGCGGCGGGCGAACGTGTGTCATGCACCCGGCGCGTTGATGGGCGCGCGCGCCGCGTGCGCGGCCATTGATGCGCGCGCCGGGCCACCACAACAGGGCCACAGCACCACCGCGCTCGGCCCGGCTCGGCAGCGCGCGCAGAGCGCACCCCGCGCCCGCACCGGCACGCTGAGTTTCCCGGGGACCCGACCTCGGCCACGCCGCCGCCTCACGCGTCCCCGCCGGGCGCCGGGGCCCGCTCCCGCCCATGCAGTGCGGTGGCTCCCGCGCTCCGCCCCCGACTCGTCCCGGCCCGCGTCGCGCGTCGCAGTTCAACGAGGAGCTCGACTACAATGAGGAGGAGGAGAACCTGGTGGAGGAGGCCGGGGCCGCCGCGGCCAAGGGGGACTTCGACCAGGGCCGCTCGGCGGTGGGGTGGTCCGACATGTCCCTCAAGGACGAGATCGTGAAGGCCATCGCGGAGGCCGGGTGGGAGCACCCCTCCGAGGTGCAGCAGCAGTGCATCCCGCGCGCCATCAACGGCGTGGACGTCATCTGCCAGGCCAAGGCCGGGCGCGGCAAGACGGGCGTGTTCGCCATCTCGGTGCTGCAGCAGCTCGAGGTGCCCGAGGGCGACAAGAACGACCACGTGCAGGTGCGGGCGGGTGCGGGCGGTGCCGCGGGGGGCGCGGCGGCGGTGCGTGGCGGCGTGCGGAGCGCGGTGCGCTGTGCGTTGCGCGGCGGGCTCTGACGGCGCCGGGCTTGCGTTGTTTGGGCGTGCGTTCGCAGTGTCTGGTGATGTGCCACGTGCGCGAGCTGGCGGTTCAGATCCTGGGGGAGTTTGACCGCCTGAAGAAGCACCTGCCGCGCATTACGACCAAGTCGTTCATCGGCGGGCAGACGACGGAGAAGCAGGACCGGGAGTGGATCGAGAAGAACGGGCACCCGAACATCGTGGTGGCGACGCCCGGGCGGCTGAAGGCGCTGGCGTCGAAGAAGACGCTGGACCTGAGCAAGCTGCAGTTCTTCGTCCTGGACGAGTGCGACAAGATGCTGGAGAAGGTGGACATGCGCGGCGACATCCAGCAGATCTTCAAGATGACGCCCCCCGAGAAGCAGGTCATGATGTTCACGGCGACGCTCCCCGCGGAGATGCGCGCGATCTGCAAGCGCTTCATGAAGAGCCAGGAGGTGCTCGAGGTGCTCGTGGACGACGAGCACAAGCTCACGCTGCACGGCCTCGTGCAGCACTACGTCGCGCTGAAGGAGGACGAGAAGAACCGCAAGCTCTTCGACCTCCTCGACTCGCTCGACTTCAAGCAGGTGGTCATCTTCACCAAGACGCCCGCGCGCGCCAAGGCGCTCACGGAGCTCCTCAACGAGGTCAACTTCCCCGCCTCCTGCATCACCTCGTCCATGAAGCAGGAGGAGCGCCTGAAGAACTTCAAGGAGTTCAGGTGCGGGGGGGGGGGGCATGTGTGTGCGTGTTTGTCTGCGTGCGCACGGGCACGGGCGTGCCGCGCGCCGCACGACCCGCGCGCCCCGGGGTCGCGGCGCGGACCCCAGGCCCGCCGCCACCTGTGCGGCACGCAGTCGCGATCGCGGCCTCCGAACATCCTGCGCCCCCCTGGCTGCGTGTGTTCGCGCAGGGAGAACAAGGCGCGCATCCTGGTGGCGACCGACCTGCTGGGGCGCGGGATCGACATCGTGAACATGAACGTGGTGATCAACTACGACATGCCGACGGACGACGAGGAGCGCCACGGGAAGGGCGACGACACGTACCTGCACCGCGTGGGCCGCGCGGGCCGCTACGGCACCAAGGGGCTGGCGATCACGTTCGTGGCGTCGGAGGAGGACCAGCGCGTGCTGCAGAAGGTGCAGGAGCGCTTCCAGGTGGAGATCAAGCCGCTTCCGGACGCCGTGGACCCCTCAGTGTACAAGCACTCGGACAACTTCGCGGACAACGTCGTCGAGCGGTTCTGAGGAACCGCCGCGCAAGTGTGAGCCAGCGAGCGCAAGGCCCGCGCCCCGTCTCAAGCCTGCGGGGGGCGCTCCGCCCGCACGTGCACGTGCTGCGTGCGCAGCTGCTCGACCAGTGGCGCGTGGAGCCGCGGCGCGGGTCGCGCCCAGACCTGCCGCTGCGCCGCGCGGGGGTCGCGGCTGGCGGGCGCGCCGCGGCCTCCGAGGGTGTCTGGGGCGTCGGTGCGCTTGGTGACCACGAGGTGAGCAGCGCTTCGTCACGCAGCTATTGGAAGGCGAACGGCGGAGGTGGGCGCGCCGCTGCGCGCATCGCTCTCTGCGCCGCCGCGGCGGCCGATCTCGTCCGGCCTGTCGAGGACAGGCCGCGTCTGCGGGTGTCGCGCCAGAGTCATGGTGGCCCAGCCCGCGGCCGGTACCTCCGTGCCAACTTGAGGCCGCGCGGTTGCACCTGCCCACGCCCTCTCGCCGGCGTCCTGCGAGCGCGCCCGCGTTCACGTCGAGGCGGGCGGGCGGGCGTATCTGGAACTAGTGTGGTGGGGAGTCCTCTCCACCGCTCGGGCCCCCCCGGCGGTCCGTGGGCCGATGCGCGCGAGAAAAGCGCGCACTTTCGGCGAAGGGGAAAATTCTCACTCCCGCACCAAGGCCTAGGGCCTCACTCGAGGCGCGTACGGCGTGCCCTGCCGGCGCACTGTGTGTTGCGTGCGCCTGCCTGCGCACGCGTACGCGGGCGGGATTCCCCTGCGCGACACGGACCGAGGCTTTCTTTCCTTCCTCGAGAGCTCGGTCGGTCAAGTTTCGCGGGACCCCTACATGCTGATCAGCGAGCCACTCATCTGAGGTGCTCTAGCGGGGGCGATGTTGGGCAGCGCCGCACAAGTCGCTGCCATCGCCACAGGTACGTCGTGCCCCAGCTCCCCGCGGACGGGACAGCACTTTCCCCGCCGGTGCCTGCACCTGGGTGCGGCAGCCCATGTGATGTGCCCTGCTTGGCCGCCGACAGGCGCCGCGGGCGCGACAGAGCCGCGAGTAGCTCGTTCTCCGCAACGCTCTCCCCTGTCCGCGGGGCAGCGTGCCGTTCCTACGCATCCTCCCAGCGCGGAAGCCCACAGCCACTCTCGCGCACTCGGCGAGCGCTCCGCGGAATAACCGCATCGGGCTGTCGAAGGCCGCGTTCCACGCCGTGCCCGCGGATGCTGCGACAGGCGGCTGCTTTTGGGGCCCCGCCGCCCGGCGCGGCGCGGGCAGAGGTTCCTGGGTTCCCGGCCACGAGCGGGCTCCGTTCCCGCGCGTTCCTGGTCGCCCCGCCGTGCGCGGGCCGCTTGACCTCGAAATACCCCGGGGCCCCGCACGGGGCGACTTTCCGCGCGCCCGCGGCGCCGTTCCCGCACCCACTTCCCCGGTTACGCTTTGGTTGAATCCTGCAGCGCTGGAGCGCAAACTCCATGTCTCAGGCGCGGACTTGGCGAAGCTGATATCACTGGTGTCTGCGGCGCGCGCCAAAGGCGAGCTCGAAGCGCCGGCGGTGGCGAACTTGCTGCGCTGGACAGTCAAAGGTTTACAGGAGGTGCGGGGCCCGCCCGCGCTGCTTCCTCGCGCCCCGCGCCCCCGATCACGTTCCATCCACCGGAGCGACGCACTGCCACGCCACCGCGCGCGCTCGCCGTCGCCACGCGACGAGCTCGTGCCGGCCCACTGCTCGATTGCGCCTCGCGCCCGGGGCTCCCGGGGCGGCGGCTGACGGCCGCGACCGCCCCTGCCGCCCCTCCTGCAGTCCGGCGACGACGTGGACGAGGACACGCTCATCAGGAGCTTCGGGGTGATCGACGAGGCCCTCACATACAGCACCGAGTCCAGGACATGGGTGCCAAAGGTTCAGGGGGGCGCCCCGCTGCACGCGGCGCCGCAGCCCGCCTCGTACGCGCCGCACAGTGACCCAGGTGCGCCCACGGCCGCGGAGCGCCCCCCGCGCCGCGCCCCCCCGCCCCCGCCCGCCCCCGCCGCGCCCACCTGCCCTCCCCGCTGCCAGTACGATCAGTAAACGCCCGCGCCCCGCGCCGTTGCCCCCGCAGCCCCGGCGAGCGTCTTCGCGGCCGCGTCCGCCGGCTTCGCGGGCGCCCCCCCCGCGCCAGCCGCGCCCGCCGGGTTCGGCAATTTGTCGCACCTCCTGATGCACGCGCACCCGGGCGCGCCGCACCACCACGCGGGCGGCGTCGCGCCCCTCCGCGTCGCAGCTGCCCGCCGGCGGCGCCCCGGCGAGCGCCCCGCAGCCGCACCTCGCGCCGCCCGCGCCCGCGCCCGCGCCCGTGCCGCACGACGCTCTGGCGGGCCTCCTCCTGCAGCGGCTGGGCATCGACACGATGCAGGGCATCATCGCGGCGCTCTCCGGGCAGCACCCGCGCGTGCGCATCCAGGTGAGCGGCGACGTCGTGGCCGCGGGCGCCGGCGACGACAAGCTGCTGGCGGAGATGCTGGCCCTGGCGCGCGGGCACGCCGAGTCGCAGCAGGCGCTCGCGAGCCCGTCGCGGCCGCGCCCGACGCACGGCCACGGCACGCGCGCGGCGCGGGGCGGCGCGGTGATCCCGCCGAGCACGCTGGACCAGGTGCAGCAGCGGCCCAGCACCAACCGGCGGCACAAGGGCATCACGTACGTGGCGTCCGCGGGCAAGTGGCGCGCGCAGATCAAGGCCGGGGACCGCGCGGTGTACCTCGGGTCGTACGAGCAGCAGAGCAAGGCCGCGGAGGCCTACGACGCCGCGTGCTACGTGCTCGGCCTGCCCGTGGAGAACTTCCCGGGCAAGCGGCCCGACGTGAGCTACATCCGGAACGAGTCCGCGATGGCGCGCCTGCTGGCCGCCAAGAGCAAGACCAGCTCGGGCGCGGCGCTGCCCCCGGGGCTGGGCGCGGCGCCCAAGGGCCGGAAGCGCGGGCGTCCCGTGACGGGCGGCGGCAGCTCCAACGCCCTGGCGCGCGCGGGCGCCTCGGCCACGTCCTCGGAGCCCGAGAACGCGTCGGACCCCGCGGCGGCCGAGGCGCAGAAGAAGTTCCGCACCGAGGACGCCCCCACGGCGTTCGAGTCGACGTTCGACGCCATCCTCTCCGCGGCGCGCTCGCGCATGCGCGGCGAGTCCGGGGACGGGCGCGGAACGGGCACGGACCCCGGCACGGACGGGGAGCGGCGGCAGGGCGACGGGCCAAACTCGGGGCACGGCGGCGACGGCGGCGACGACGGCGGCGACGACGGCGGCGACAATGGCGGCGACAATGGCAGCGACCCCCCGAGCGGCCGGGACAGCAGGCGGAGCCAGGGCAGCGCGGATGGGCGCGGCCAGAAGCCCGCCTCGGACCAGAAGCCCAACGGGGAGCAGCCGCGGCAGGAGGGGGAGTCGAAGCCGCACCCCCGCGACGCGGCCGAGGCGGCCCAGGGGCGGGCGGACAGCGGCTCGTACAACGCCCTGAATTCGTCGTGGTCGTCCGGCCCCGCCACGAAGCGCCCGGGTGCGGGTAACGCCCTGCTGGGCCTCCCCACGGAACACATGGGCGCGGGCACGACCAAGATCGACCCGCAAGACTAGGCCTCCCATGGCGTTCGCACAGGGGGGGGCTTGCACGTCCGCCACGGTCTCGGACCTGCGAGCTGCACCTACATTCCGCCCAGATGACGCGCGCCGGCTGGCGGACTGCCGTGCGCTGACTCGCACCAGCAGCTTCATGAAGCCTGCTGTCAGAAGACCCCCCGTGGCGAAACGGGGCTGCAAGCCCACGGCTACTTCTCGCAGCCAGAAGCATCTCTCGAACTCAACCCGGCGCAACGTCCTTCGTGCCTACTATGGGCGCCGACCGCGCCTGCACACCCACGGCGCCCGACTCACGCACGCGCAGCGTGAAGCGCCCTCCAGCACTCCACAATCACCTCTACTCCCTTCACCGACCCCAAACACGCGGGATGAAGCCGCTCCGAGCGCCGCGAACGTGGCCAGGCTCAAGCGGAAGTTCCCCAGGGCGCAGAAAACAGCGCCGCACGCGGCTCTCCCTGCCAGCCCCGCCAAGCGGTGGGCTGCGCTGCAAGTGCTCGCAGTCTCACGCGGGGTCCAGGCGAGGGCTCGTTCAGCATCCTAGGCGACGGAAGGGCAGGGCTTCGAGCGGTGCATGGCACCCAGCACCCAGCACCCGCCCTTCCAGGGACCACGATCTCCAGACATCAACTCCAACACAGAGATCGCAGCACCCACCCCAAGCGCCTTCCACCCCCTCCCAACGCGCGCCCCCGGTCCCCGATGACGGACAACACCCAGCCTGCTCGGCGGCCTCACAGCCCCGTTCCCTACCTACCACCCACTCGAAGCAGTCTGGTTTCTTCTCTCGCAGCTGCCCGAACATGGGCCTGCCTCCCTCCCTCCCTCCCTCCCTCCCGACCTCCTCAATCGCCTCGAGTCGCCGTCTCGCGCTGTTGAGGGTTCACCGCAGCGGCGCCACCCGAGGATATTGTTTCCGACGCGTCTGACGGCATCGTTCCGCCACGTCGTGCTTAGGAGCATGCACTGCGCAGCCGCACCTGCCCTCCGAGCACGTCTGCTGTGCCGACCTAAGACTGCTAAACAAAGACATGGTGGAACTGTGTGAAGCAACCTACTCTTGGCTGAAACGGGTGACTCCCCGCGGTCCTCCTTTGTTCGTCGCACTGAACCTCGTTCTCATCTACCGGGCCAAGGTCAACATCTCCTTCCCTCTCTGGCGGGCCTGCCTGCCCGTGCGCCGTTGCGTGCTCGCTCCGGACGCCCGCCTTTCCGTGCGGGAAATCACGCGTGCGCGGATGAACGAAGTGCGCAGCATCCAGACATTTGACCGTTCGACACCATCAACAATGTCACATGCAAGCGTGCAGCGCCGCAGAGGTCTGAATTCCTTCGTGGTCCGTCCCCCCTGGTGCCTGGGAGGCCGAGGCCCGAGCAAGCGGAGAGGTGGGCGGTCCGCGTTGACGAGCTGGGGCGCGCAGGGCAGGCACGGGTGGGTGCGCGTTCGCCGCTCTTCAGTTGGTCCGTTCGTCAAGGCGGCAGGTCGCGGGCCGGGAGCAGCCGGCGCCTCCTGCCTCGCGGCTGGTTGGCTGGTTGGTTGGTTGTTCGGTGCGCGAATAACCCGCTCATGGTGCCGGCGGGCCTTCCGGGGCGCCCCCCTCCTCAGCGACGCCCTGCACGGATTCGTCTCGCTTCGTGCCCGCGGGTCCGGTCCCGTTGGTGCTGCCCCCCGCCCCCTCCGCGACAACCTTGCGGACGCGACCGTTGGAGCTGGGGCCCGCCCTGGTCTCGGTGGGGCACCCGAGCGACCTGCAGCACGCGCGGTTGGGGCGATGGGACCAGTGGGCGCGTCAGGCGGCGGTCTCATATGCGGCGGCACGCGCGTCACGTCGTGTCTGCGCGGGGCGGTCGGTGCGCGCACCAGCTCGTGACGCCCTGGACGGCCGTGATGGCGCTGCAGAGGGCGTTGATGTCCGAGGCCACCCCGACGAGCTCGAACTTCATGCTCGCGCGGCCCGTGACGGGGTCCTGCGCGCCCCCCGCGTGGCTCTTGATCATGATCCCGTGCGACGCAATCATCGACGACACCTCCGCCAGCATCCCGTACCGGTCGTTGCAGTCCACCGCCAGCCAGTAGGCGCCCATGCCCTCCGCGCGCGCGAGCAGCTCGTCCTCCTCCTCCGCGCTCGACCCGTCCATCGACGGCGTCATGCCCTCCAGCTCCAGCGCCGCCTCCAGCGCCACGCGGTCGTCGCCCTCGAGCAGCCACGCGTGCTCGCGCAGGAACCGGACGAGCTTGAGGCGCGCCGAGCGCGTGGTCACCACGCCCAGCCACCCGCGGTGGCGCTGCACGCTGTTCCGCGTGACGGGCCCCGAGTACGTCATCACCTCGACCACCTCGGCGTTGTTCAGCACCGTCTCCGGCGGGACCATCTTGCCGCTGACCTTGGCGCCCACCATGGTGTTGCCCACGCCCGTGTGCAGGTGGTACGCGAAGTCCACCACCGTCGACCCCTTGGGCAGGTTCATCACCTGCCCCGCGGGCGTGAACACAAACACCCCCTGCTTGAACAGGTCCCCCGTCACCGTGTCCACGAACTCCTGCGCCGAGATCGACCCCACGAACTCCTGCTGCCACTCCCGGATGCTCTGCAGCCAGTTGATGCGCCGGTCCAGCGCCTCCTTGCTCACGCGCTCAATCAGCGGCTTGGGCCCCCCGGGGCCCGCGCCGTTGGAGCCCTCCGCCGCGCACGCGCCGTTGCCGTTCAGCGACGCCTCCGCGGCCTCCACCGCGGCCTCCGCGGGGTCGCACTGCGCCGCGGAGGTGTGCCCGTTGAGCCGCCCGGCCAGCCCGCCCGCGCCCACGGGCACCCAGTGCTCCGCAGCGATGCCATACTCCGCGAGGCGCTCCATCTCGCGCGTCCGGATCAGGATCTCGAGCGGGAGCACCTCGGTGGTGTTGCGCGCGCCGGGCGTGGCGGGCGCCGCGGGGAAGGGCAGCACGGTGGTGTGCAGCGAGCGGTACCCGTTGGGCTTGCTGGTGGCGATGAAGTCCTTCATGCGCCCCGGGATGGGCGCCCAGCGCGCGTGCACGAGCCCGAGGACGTGGTAGCACAGCTGCGTGTCCGTCGCGCTGCGCCGCTCCTCGTCCCCCGCGGCGCGCGGCTCGATCACCACGCGCAGCTGCGCCACGTCCTTGACCTGGTGGATCATGGGCTTGCGCCCGCGGCTCTGCGCGCGCAGCTTGCTGTACAGCGAGTAGAGCCCCTTCTGCCGGAACACCACCTCGACGCGCTCCACGCGGTCCTGCAGGTACTGGTCGCGCGCCAGGAGGTCCTCCAGCGCCGCCTGGCACTCGCCGACGACGCCCGCCTGCTCCCGCGCGAGGTGGTCCAGGTGCCGCCGCAGGTCCTCCCAGTGCTCGGGGTTGAGGTACCGGAGGCTCAGCTCCTCGAGCTCCTCCTTGACGCAGTAGAGCCCCAGGAGGCGCGCCAGCGGCGCAAACACCTGGAGCGTCTCCTCCGCGATGCGGTACTGCTTGTGCGGCGGCATCGACCCGAGCGTGCGCATGTTGTGCAGCCGGTCCGCCAGCTTGACGATGATGATGCGCACCTCCTCCGTCATGGCCAGGAAGAGCTGCTGCAGGTCGACGGCCTTGAGGTCCTTCTTGACCGTCGTCGAGCGGTCCGCGTGCATCTTGATCTTGGAGAACTTCGTCTCGCCCTCCACGATCGTCCGCACCGCCGCGCCGTACCGCGCCTCCACGCCCTCGAACGTCACCGCGTCCGTGTCCTCCACCGTGTCGTGCAGCAGGCCCGCCGCCAGGCACTCCCACCCGCACCGCAGCTCCGCCAGGATCCGCGTGACCTCCACCGGGTGCGTGATGTACGGCTCGCCGCTCTTCCGCAGCTGCCCGTCGTGCGCCGCGTAGGCCAGCGACAGCGCGTCGCGCACCAGCGCGCGCTCGCGGTTCGGCAGGTACCCCAGCATCGGCTCCAGACGCAGCCAGAGGGCCTCCTCGGTGATGTCCTCGTTCCGCATCTCCAGGTAGAACTGCGCGGGGCGCGCGGCCGTGCGGCGGGTCAGGGCAGAGCGGGGGCCGGCGCGGGGCGGGGGGCGCGGGCGGCCGGCGGCGCAGGGGACTCGCGAGGTATCGCGGGAGGCGCGTTCGCGCGGCGGGAGGCGGCACCGAGGGCGCCCCGCGCCGCCGCGCGCCGGGGGGGAGGGGGCGCACCGAGTAGTCGATTTGCTCCAGCGCGCGGCACGGACGGGCCATGCCGCGGGTCGTGGCGCGGAGCCTGTGGAGGAAGGGTGCCTGCGCCCGGGGTCGCGGGCTCGCGTCGGGCGCGGCGGGGGTGCTGAGCGCCGATGCCGCCCGCAGCACGTTCCCCGGCGGTCTTCGGAGCTCCGCGCCGCTGCTCAGGCGCGCACGGGACGCGCAAACAGCTGCCCCTGCGAGGGAGAGCAGGCGTGGCGCGGTGCGGTCGGTGCTGAGGCGCGCGAGCGTGCGCGGCGCGGCGTCCACCGCCGCGGGGGGCTCGGCACTCGACGTTGCCTCCCGCGCGCGCGCGGCGCCGCCCCGAACGCGGACCGGGCTGCAGGCAGGGCGCCCTTCATGTCGTGGCACGCCCCTCCGGCGACGCGGTGAGGGCGCGTTCGCATCCGCGGGGGCGCAGGTCGCTGCGGAGAGCTGGGCGCGTTGTGGGCAGAAACCTCCACGCGGCCCCGGCGAGGCAGGGTCGACGGGGCCGTGCACAACCGAGAGGCGGAAGGCATCTCCGTCGGCGGGCGGGGCGATCCGTCCGGGACGGCGCTGCGCCTGGCGCGTGGGCTCGGGACCAGCACCAGCAGCGCTCTGCGGCAGGCGTCCCCGTCAAGGCGTGGCCCGGTACATCTGAATGCACCGTGCGCGGGCACCTCGATTCTGGTCCCAATGTGCACACCCGCGTGGTCAGGAGGTCAACGAGCGACCGGGGAGGCCTGCGCGCCCGGCACTCACTCCAGGGGAAACTCAGGCGCGTGCGTGCTCACCGTTCCCGCTGCTGCATCCCGCGGCCTTGACCGGAGAGCAGCCGCCCATCAGTGCCCCCATGCCCGTGCGCGCGGCGGGGCCAGGGCGCGTGCCGAGAACGGTCCAACCCGCTACTTCAGTTCCTTGTGAACGGCCGAGAGGAGCGCCACAGCCATTGCGGCCACCGCGCTGTCGCAGACCGCGTTTTAGTGCCTCAACGTGACCAGGTGGCTCGCTAACCACGCCCGATGCGACTGTGACGACTCCTAACTTCGCGAAAGGGTTCGCGGTCTCGGCGCCTCGCGATCGACTGCTCAAGTTACGAAAGACGGGACGGAGCGGCCTGTATCGTGTTTTCTGCTTGCGCTGCGCTGCGACGCGAGGCAATGCCCTGCTGCGGCCCCTGCTCACGGGGGCCCGACTGCCCCAGACGCACCGTCGATGGCCCGCCCACGCGCCACGCCTCGACACCGGGCCTCGCCCATCCGGGTCGCGCACCCCGACGAGCGCCGCCCGCCCAGCCACGCCGCAGCGGGCGAAGGGGCGTCCCGGCGGGCGCCAAGGCGCCGGGCCCCACACACCCAACGACGTGAGCCGCGCACCGTCCTGCCGGGCGCGGCGACGCGCGCCGTGCGGCCCGCCGGCCGCCGCTGCCTCGCGGGCCGCGTCGCATGCACGTGGCGCGGCGCCGGGCGTCGGGCGACCAGCAGCAGTGCCTCGGATCTCACAGCGTAGGTGTGGGTGGCGCGAGCGGGTCGCGCACCCGCGACGGGGACGTCCGGGGGAGCTCTGCGCTCGAGACGTGGTGCGCGCGCGGCCCCCTCCCTCGCGCGCGCGCGCCCGCCTCGCCGCAGCCATCTCGTGTCATGGGCCGCCGGCGAGCGCGTGCCACGGGCGCGACCAACGCAACAACGCCGCGCGCGCCACCGGGGCGCGAGGGCGACTGTCCTCAGGGGTTCTCGCGCGACTCCTTGAGCTTCAGCGGGCGGTAGTTCGGCATCACCGTGCACCGGTCCTCCGCGGGCAGCCTCACGTACGTTTGCCAGTCCTTCTTGTCCAGGCCGACCACGCGCGACGCCGGCCCCTGCCCCGGCCGCGCAACCACTGGCAGCGGCCTGCCGTTCCGCTCCCCTGCGCGCCGGAAGAGAAACCGCCGGTCGCGCGCACCCCGGGCGACTACAGCAGCAGCAGCAACGAACACCAACACAGCGTGCGTCAATGCAGGGGCGTGGGGCGCCTGGCACGCCCGCGGTCCCCGCGTTGTGCCCGCTGCGCGTACCTGCCATGGCTTTCAGCGTCTCCGCCGTCGGGGGGTGTCCCTGCAGGAGCCCCTGCTGCATGCGCAAGGCAAGCTTCAGGTCGTCGTACGTGACGTCCTTCCGCTCTCGCCGCGCCTGCCCAGCGATCACGGCCGCGCTCTCCACCACGTCCGTGACGTGCCTGCAGCACCGGCGGGGGCAGGGACGGTGCCAGTCACGCACACTCGCGTCGAACGCGAGCGCGGGAGCTGCGCGCCCGGCTGGAGCCGCGCGGCGGGGGATCGTGCAGGCGGACGCGGGCCCGGGACCGCGCCGCTGCCCGTCGTTGGGAGCAACTCGCCTGTACGCGTACTGCAGCAAGGTGTCCACCACGCCCGGCTCGAACTCCTCGACCCCCATGGACTTGAGCACGTTCTTGATCATCGTGATGTCCTCGGGGTCCCCGTCATCCTGCCCCGCCTCCTGCAGCGCACTCCGGCCCCGTCCAGTGCTGATGAGTGCAGAGTGCGACCCGCGAACAGCGCGACGTGCCCTTGCAAGCAGGGCGGGGCCTCTGGCCAACACACGGACAGACAAGGACGAAATACGCATGAATTCGTACGGAGTTCGTCGAGGAGCGCGACGACAGGGCCGAGGACTTGGACACGCACGCAGGAAGCAGCACGCGTTCCTGCCCTGCGAAGTTCGCGGTGACGGCGCTCCCACCTGCTGTTCCGCATCACGATCTGGTCTTCGCTTCCTCGCGTCAGGCGCGGCCATGACCCTCTCAGCGACGCGCCGGCCTGCCCCCCAGGCCTCCTCCGCCAGCTACCGGTGCTCCAGCCCGGCCCCCGGCCGTGCGCGTGCGTGGGAGCTCCGACGACACACAGGAATACCTGCAGTGTCCTACGCCCCGCCGCGCGCAACGCGCAACAGCAGGTCCACCTGGGCAAGGCTATGCCAGGCCGCGTGCGCACTGGGCCCTCGCCGCAGAACCGGGCGCGAACGATGGCCTCTCGCTGAACGGAACGGACCAGCAGCGTGCGGGGTGTGCGCGGGCCTGGCCGCCGCGCGGCCCACGAGCCCTCCAGCGTCAGCACCGGACCGTCTCCCCCGGAACACATCCCAGCCCCTGCACGCGCACACGTGCACTGCGAGCCTCGAGCCACACGCGCGATCGCCGCCCAGGGCGCTGGACTGCGAGGCCTCTCGAGAAATGCGCTGGCAGGGGCATCGCGTGCGATTCCGCGACCCGGCGCGCGCCCCTCGAGCCTGGTGAAATCCAGCACACTTGCGCTGCGTTCGGGGTCGCGGAGCGTGTTCTGATGCTGAGAAACCGCGGAACAAGGGGGAATCTCGGAGACGTACGTGTTTCCGACGCCGAAGCCGGAACGCCCCCTTCACGGGCCGTGCGCGCAAGCGTATGCGGCTGGCAGCCACATGGACACCTCCGAGGCCCTCGCACGGCTGGGGCGTGGGACCGGGGGTGCGCATTTCGCCGCGGGCGGCCGCGGATGCGTGACAATTGATGGTTGCGCCTGTCGTGTCGCGTGCATTCAACCACGCGGGGCGGCGCGCTGCTCCTCCTCGACTGCTGCCCCTCGACTGCCGACGCTGTTGCGCATCCGGGTCGACGATCGCACGCCTTGCGTGGAGTCGTCATCATCATGGTCATTGGTGGCCACGCGGCCGCAGCTACAGCGGCGCAGGGCGCTGCTGGTGCGTCGAGCCGGCCGAGTGGCGAAGCTGCGACGTTGCTCTTCCCCATGAGCCTCGGCGACGGTCGCGGATCACTGCACAGACCACCGTGCGCCTGCGACCCGGCGCCGGCGATCGGCGAACACGCAAGGGAGGCGGCGAAGGAGGACAAGGTGGGCTTGGGCGTGCCCCACCGCACGCGAAGCGCTCGATCGCGCCGTTCCGATCACGCCAGATTCCGACGCCGAATCCCGCTGCCGCTTTGCCGATACGTTCTTGCGCCACGCGTGCCCGACCCGCGCGATGTCCGTTGGAGAGGTTGTCAACGGCCTGGCCGGCCCTCTCCAGCGATCGCGAGCGCGTGTGTTCCTGCGCGAACCCCGGACAATCACGTTCCGGAGCGCAGGTGAGGCCGCGGAAGTGGCGCACAGCGCGCGCCGAGAGCTTCAAGGCGGTCTGTTGCGACGAAGACGGGCTTCGAGACAGCGGCCTGGGGCTCCGAATGCCCGTTCAGGTGCGGCCCACGCCTCGATCTATGCCGGAAACGTCCCGTCTTCGCGATCTCGTTCCGCGTCTGGACGCGGGCGCCACGGGGTGCCGAGCAGCTCGGCGCTGGGCGATGCACGCATCCTGTGCGCTGCCCTCACGTGGGCGCCCCTGCGCGCCCCGGCGCTCGCCGGCTCGGACGGCGCCGCACCGCATGCAGCTGCCCGCGCGCGCCTGCACCGAGGCGGCGGCACGGACCCGCTGGTTCGCAGGAGCCGGTGAGGAGTCAGCGCCCAGGCCTGCTCAGCGCGGCGCTGAGCGCGGAGAGGATCTCTGCGGACGAGCTGGCCAACGAGACGGACCCCTACGTTATCAAGTCCAGCAGGTGCGCAACCACAGCCCCGCCCGCCCCGGGAGCGCGCTGCCGACGCCCACCACGTCGCCCAGCATGCAATGCACGCTCCCAGGCGCCTCGCGCAGCGCGACGTCGCCGGCGCCGGTCCCGGCGCGCGGCCGCGTCCAGCTGCGGCGGGTCGGCGCCATTCCGCGCGCCGCGACGTCGACGCGCCGGCCGCGCTGCGGCACGCGCGGGCGCCCGAGGGCACACGCCGCCTTGTGGCCCGGCGCTGAAGCCCACGCACGCGCGACCGCGCCGCCCCGCACCTGCAGGTCGCCTGCGCAGGCTAACGCGGCGCGCGTGCCGGAGCAGCGCCCTCCCGCGGACGAGTTCGGCGACGCAGCGTGCCGCGCGCACGTCGCGGCGTCGACGGCAAGCACGGCCCCGGGCCTGCGGACTCGAGCATCCGCAGCAGCGATGCGCGCCCCCTGCACGCCAGATCGACGCGAGAGCGCGACACGGAGCAAGGGGGAGCAGGCGCCAGGCCCCTCGCCGCCAGTGACGGTGTGCACCCCGGGGACGGCAGCCCCGGGGGCGTGGCAGGTCCACTCCGAGGCGCCGCGCAGCATCCTCGCGAAGCATCACCGCCACCTGTACGGGCTGCGCTCGTCCGTCGGCTTCCCCACGGCCACCTCGGCCACGCGCACCAGCGAGGAGGGCTCCAACAGGACCGCGTGCAACGACTCCCAGCGCGGCCTGACCCGCGCGAGCGCCCCCGGGCTGTGGCGCGACAAGAGGATCGCGGACGTCCCGTCGCCGGTGCAGCTCACGCAGCGGGCATGGCACGGCCCCAGCACACGCCAGCGCGCGCGCTCGCGCAGCTTCGGGCCCCTGCGCGCCTTCCTGAAGGCCCTCGGGATCGCCCCGAACGACAGCGCCGGTCCCCGCAGCGCTCGGACGGGCACCTTGCACTCGCTCCGCTCCGCCGCCGGTGCGGGCCCGCAGGGTGCGTGGCTCAACCAGGAGGCGCTCATGGCCGCGCAGCGCCGCTCCGTCAAGTGACGGAGGCTGCGGAGACATGATCGATTCGCCGCTCGAGCGCGGAACGGGGGGACCTGACCCCACGTTCCCCCCTCCAGCCCCCTTGCCTTTTGCCCCCCCCCCTCGAGACCCCCCCTACCCCGCAGATGGATCGTGCTGGCTGACAGCATGCATCGCGCGATGCCACGGAACGCCGCTGCTCCCGACGGCAGTCCTGGCTAGAGGAAAGCTCCCAGTTGACGTGCACCGGGTGCTGCGACTGGCCCGCATGAGCGCACCCCGCCCACCTAGGCAGTCCCCGCCACACTGTACTTGAACCTGCTGACGCGAATGATGCACGCCCACACAACGGCGCGCAACTCTCGCCTCCCGCCCTGCTGCGATGTGCACCCCCGAGAGCGCGCAACACACCACCCCACGACCTGCGCCCCAGCCCCTCCCAGAGCCATCCGTTCATGACGTGCTGCGCCGGCAACCCCGCGCCTTTCACCGCTGACTCCGGTCCAGAGACCGACACCAACCACGACAGCGGAGCGTGTTGCCGGCTCGCAAGCACGAGGTGCTGCCATCGCACCCACCCCTGCCAACCTGCACCTATCATCTCATCTCGTGCACGCGTGTGCCGCCCCTTCGGCCCCCCTCCCGCCCCTCACGTCAGTTGCGCACCGCCCGCCGTGCTCCGAGCCTACACCGCCCTCCCCTTCTCCCGCCCTCCCGTTCCTCAGTCCGCGTCGGGGCACAGCGCCGCGACGCGGAGCCTCAGCCACCATTTTCCTCTCGCACGATCCCTGCTCAGCGGCCCCGGCGGAGCCGCAGCCGGCCGCCTGCGACCGCGCATCCTGCGGTAGGCCGCGCGTGTCCGGCTTGTGATTCCGCCTGGGCACTCGCGCCATCGCACCGAGGCAGCCCCGCCGCGCGCGGTCCTGGGGGCGGCAACAGCGGCCGAGGCGCACTTCGTCGAACCATCCGCCGCGCGCCAGGCCTGGCCCCTCCCCTGCATGACATCCCGTAGTCTGGCGCGACCGGGCGGGGGCGGTGCGCCGCTGCTGGGCGCAGGGCGGGACGACGTTGCGGGCTGCACGGTGGGCCAGCGAGCACGCCGTGGTGTGCGTCTCGGATCCGTCCGGAGCGGATCCACCGCCGTTACTGGTTTGCAGCGGCGCGTCATGCCCGACCAGCGGGCGCACTGCCACCCCACAGCGCGAGCGGGCTGGTCATGGACGTAGAGGCGCGCCCGTGGGCCGCGATCGGCGTCCCAGGTCACGGGGGGGGGCTGACGGCCCGCCCGAGGGTCGCAGATTCTGTGCTAGCGGGGAGGACCCGCGCGGCGCGGCGCACGAGGCGTCGGAGCGGACACAGGGCGCGCACGCGGGCCTCTAGGGTGCGAGGATCAGAGGCATCGCGCCAGATGCTCATGCCACCGCGCGTCCGGAGGTTTCTGCCGGCCTTTGTCAGGCCCAGCCCGCCTCTGACTGTGCCCGCGCCCCCGTGCCGCGCCGACGAGGGCGCGGGGCGGCGCGAGAGCCGCCCACAACATCCGTCGGCACATCCGCTCGACACTGGACGGCACGACGCCACACGCAACCTCTGTCACGAGCAGCCGGTTACGAGCGACGCCGTGCCATCCCGGCCGGGCAGTTCGAGGTCCCTGGTAGCGGTCTATCGCGACAACTGTACTCGCACTGCGCGCGTGCTGTTCGCTAGAGCCTCTCCGCACCGGCTCCTCGCCACAGAGACGCGACGAACGAAGGGGTGCGCGGAACTGCCAATTCCGTCGCTCCGGGGCCTCGGCCGGGTGACTTCTCGCGAGCGGAGCGTTGCTCTGTCTCCCTGAATTTCCAGCTCCTAGGCTAGCGATGCAAGAGATGATGCGGCAGGCGCAGTTCGGCTCGGCTGGGTACGTTGGAGGCCACGGCCAGGGCCGCGCCCTGAGGGGCGCTGCCGGGCTCCCGAGGGACGGGCCGCATGCCAGGTGCGAGCGTCGGCACGCGGGCGGCGCCGCGCGCCCCCTGGGCTCCACGCCGCTGCGGCCGCTGGGGGCGGGCCCGAATACAGCACGAAACTCTGCACGCGGGACCCCGCCCCTGGCCGACCTCGCGCGGCCCCGCAGCGCTCCGCACGTGGCCACCGCACAGTGCGGCGTGCCCCGCTCGCATCAGGGCGTCATTATGGTCCACGCCCAGGCCGGCAGCGACACATGTGTGCTTCCAGGCGTGCTTCGCCGCATACCGTCGTATATGCTCGACCCGTCCGCGTGCGGTGCCGCGGAGCTGTGCAGGAGGGTGGCACTGAGGTCCCATGCGCGCGGGCCGGCCGCTGGACCGCCGTTGGCCGCGCCAGGGGCGCGACTGCAGTCAACTGCTTCGGCCCGCTCGCCCCTGCGCGGCGTGCGGCCTACAGGACGGATCGCAGGCTCCGGCGCGCGGTTTTCCGAGGGACGACAGGTGCGTACGGGCGCGCACGGCCGCGCGAGCTGCGTCCGGCCCCTGTCCACGACGCGCGAGCGGCCTGCCCTCGTTGTTTTGGGCAGCCAAGGACACCGCGCAGCGCGCATCGAGGGGGGCGCGCGACATGGGTCGCTCCGCCCCAGAATCGCTCCCCTGTTGCATGGGAGCCGGCACGCGCACCGCAGCCGCGCCTCGGCGGGCCGGAGCCAGCGTCGCGCCCCACGGTAGATGCACGGCGGCTCGGCCCGCGTGCCGGTCCCGGCCGCGCACGGCCGCTCACGTCTCCCGTCCCCCCCGCACCGCCCTCTGCAGGCCCTCGTCGCGCGCCCGCGCACGCGCCTGGCCCTGCGCGCGGAGGGCGGCGACGACGGCGAGCCCATGGCCCCGACGGCCAGCCCGGCCGCGGAGGAGGCGCTGACCGCCGGCGACGACGCCTCCCCGGTGTCCAACTTCGCGTGGGACGCCGCCGCGGACGTCCCCGCGCTCGACAGCTCGCAGATGTCGCTCCTCCCCAGCAACGAGTACGCCGTCGCGCACAGCCCCAACGAGCTGCGCCTCGCGCGCCCCGACGCCGCGCCCGCGGCCCCCGCGCCCGCCGCGGACCCCGCCGCCGCGGCACCCCCCGCGCCCGCGCCCGCGGTCCGCCAGGGCAAGCTCATCCGGGAGATTTTGGCCATCGCGGTGCCGGCGCTGGGCGTGGTGCTCGCGGACCCGCTGATGGGCCTGGTGGACACGGCGTGCGTCGGGCAGGTGTCGGCGACGCACCTCGCGGCGCTGGGCCCGTGCAGCTCGGTGTTCAACATGATCTTCATGGTCTTCACCTTTTTGGGGACCACGACGTGCAACATCCTGGCCAGCAACAGCCCGCGGACCAAGGGGCTGAACGGCGAGGAGGTCGCCGAGCGCGAGGTCATCTGCCGGCGCACGCTCTCGGACGCGCTGTTCATGGCGCTCAGCATGGGCACGCTGGTGGCCGCGGGGCTGCTGGCCTTTGGGCCGCAGCTCCTGACGTCGGCGGGCGCGTCCGGCGCGACGCTCCACGCGGGGCTGCAGTACCTCAACATCCGCGCGCTCGCGGCGCCCGCGGTGCTGTGCATGTTCGTGTTCCAGGGCGCGTGCCTCGGGCAGAAGGACGCGCTGAGCCCGCTCAAGGTGTCGCTGGCGGCGGCGGCGATCAACGTGGTGGGCGACGTGTGGCTGGTGCTCGGCGCCGGCATGGGCGTCGTCGGCGCGGCGGCGGCCACGACGGCGAGCCAGTACGTGGGCGCGGTGGCCTTCGCGGCCTACCTGTACGCGCAGGGGCGCGACGGGAAGAAGGTCCCGATGCGGGTGCGCGGGGTCCCGCAGGCGCGGCACCTGGGGGAGTTCGCGACGGTGGCGGCGGCGGTGATCTCGCGGAACGTGCTGATCATGGCGACGTACTTCGTCATGACGCGCGTCGTGACGGGCATGGGCACCATGTCGCTGGCGGCGCACCAGGTGTCGCTGACGCTCTTCTGGATGATGTGCTACTTCATCGAGCCGCTCTCGCTCGCGGGGCAGGCGCTCGTCGCGCGGAGCCTCGACCGCCCCGAGGTCACGCGGCCCACGGTGACGCTGCTGTTCAAGACGGCCGCCGTCCTGGGCGTCGCGCTCGGGCTGGGCACCGCGGGGATCTTCACGCACCTCCCCTGGCTCTTCACGCGCGACCCGGCGGTGATGGAGATCGTCCGCTCGCTCGCGGGGCAGGTGTTCGCCGCCTTCCCCGTGTGCGGCATCATGATGATGTTTGACGGCATCGCCATCGCCGCCTCGGAGCTCAGCCACGTGCCCGCGACCAACCTCCTCGGCATGGCCGCCACCACCGGGTACCTCTACGCGTGCCAGAAGGTCCAGCTCGGCCTCGGGTCCGTCTGGTGGGCGCTCCTGCTGTTCTACTCTGTGCGCGTGGCGCTCCACGGACTCCACTTCCTGCGCAACTGGCGGAAAACGTGCTTCAGCCTCGAGACGGACAAACACCTGCCCTTCATGGCCCCCGCCTGAGCGCCCCCGCAACGCCGCATGACCCCTGTCCATGAACATCCCCCCTGGCAACGCAACGCAACTGTCTGTGCAGTATGACGCACGTCGCTTGACGACGAGACCCTACAATATGTGACACCCGAACCTCGGAAGAAGCTGCCCGCGCCTCACGTCGGCACGCCCGAGCTGCCCGACGGGGGGGGGGGAGTTCGATCTGCTGACATCGCTGGGCAGTCGGTCGCCACGACGGCTGCGCGTCATTTCGTCTCCCGGGCAGTCGCACCGTGTTCTCCGACGACGTTGCCGCTGCCTTCGGTGCACCGTGCGCTCCACCCCGGCGGCACATTTGCGCCCGGCGAGACGCAGCTTCCGCGAGTGAGGCAATCTGATTCAGAGCCGGCGGGGGGCGAAGGACAGCGCTGCACGGGCCGGGCTCGACGTTTGGCTACTGAAGGAGCTGGGGGAGTAGCGGCTCGAGGATGCGTGCGCTCGCTCACGCGCCGGCGCCCGCCGGGGCCACCCGGGACAGGTTCGGGGCCCCCCACGCCGACAACGTGTCCCAAGCGCGGTGAAGGCCATCGGACGTGACGAACCAGCACGGAATGTTTCAGGTCCCGTGGCGAAACTGCCGCTTGTCCGGCCTCGCGCGCGCTCGGCGGCCCATGCTACCCCTGCCGCCTTCGCTGCCTCGCACGGCCCCTAGCCGGACTGTTCTGTGCGCATGATGGCCGCAGATCGGTGCCCACACCTTCTGCTCCACGGCTACGCCATCGTCACGTCCGCGTGGGGGCGCAAGGCGGCGAGAGCAGACCCAATGTGTCGGTTCCTGACCAGGAGTGGTTCGTGAAGAACGCGCCGGGGGACCCGCGGGACGGCAAGAGCGCGAAGGTGCCCCGGCAGCCCGCACCCCCTGCGCCCGCTGTCTCGGGCATCCCCTGCCGGCGCGCTGCGACACAGCGCCTCGCGCCCCGTCTCCGTCGCAGGAGTTCCTGGGCCCGGCCCCGCCGCCGTCGGCGCCCGAGGAGGTGTTCGAGGTGCTCGGCATGGGTTCCTGGCGGCTGTCGTCGAAGATGGACGCGCCGTTCGCGCGGCTCGTGGGGATGGTCGAGGAGGTGTGGCGGCAGGAGCTCATGGACGACGGCCTCGGGAAGCACCGCGGGGAGGCGGAGACCAAGTTCGAGTTCTTCGACTCCGCGGACCCCGAGGGCCGCCCCTCCGCGTTCGAGGAGCGCGCCAGCCCGTCCAAGGGCGCGCCGGGCTACCCGCGCTTCGTGGTGGAGAACCGCTTCTACCAGTCCGCGTCGTTCCGCAAGCTGCACATCGAGGCGGCGTGGCGGCAGGACGGGCTGCAGGTCGCGCACATCGTGCACTACCCGGCGCTCTCGAAGGACGTGCCCATCCTGTGCCTGGACATGGTGGCCTTCAACGGGACCATCACGCTGGCCATCATCGACGCCGCGCCCGTCACCATGTCGCGCTCGCTCCCGGACCTGTACCGCCAGGTGCGCCCGCGTCGCCGCAGCCCGTCGCGGCGTGCTTGACCGCCGCGGACGTGCGTCGCGACTGGCCAGTGGGCGTTGTCCGCGTTGCAGATGATGGGGTCGCTGCAGGCGCGGCACAAGATCGACATGCAGCGCGCGCTGCCGGAGTGGGGCCGGGAGATCTTTTCGGACCTGTGCGTCGCGGGGCGCCCCGCGGACGACGCGCAGATCGCGGGGTTCCTGCGCTACACCGTGGACCTGGCCAAGTTCCACTGCCTGGCCGCGAAACGCGCGCCGCACCTGGCCGCGACGGACCCGCGCATCGAGGACGCGATGCGGGCGCAGGAGCGGTACTCGCGCATGCAGCTCACGAACGAGAAGACGCGGCGCATCCTGGAGGTGGCCATGGGCGAGGAGGCCGCCGACGCCTACATGCGCGAGGTCATGTTCGACCACGAGTTCGCGGCGAGGGCGCGCGAGTGAGAGGGCTCGCCGCGGGGCGTGACGTGGGCGTCGTGGCCGTCACAGGTCATCGCGTGCCGCCCTGCAGGGCGCGCATGACGCGGCCCACGCGGGACGCGAGGTCGCCGCGGCACGAGCCCTGGAGCTTGCGGGCCGCGTCCAAGATGCCGGCGACGTGCGCCTGCGCCGCCTGCGAGGCCAGGAGGGACTCGTCAGCGCCCCCGTCGCCCCGCTGCAGAAACACCTCCACAAAGTCCTCCAGGGCACACACGGCCACCGCGCGATTCTGCTCCGATATACCTGCAGTGCAGCGAGCACGCGCGCTCCGTGTGAGAGATGCTTCGGGCCGTCCCGGGGGCGCTCGCGGGCCGAGGCTGCGGTGCAGGGCTCGCACAGCGGTGCGGGTGCTCACTCGACAGCCCGGAGAGGAAGGGCACGATCTTCTTGGCCAGCAGGCTCGGCGCGACCTGTGCGAGGATGTTGTTCACGCTCAGCACCTCCCGCCACTGCAGACACGCCCCGAGCACCACCAGCGCGTCGCTGTAGAGCCGCGAGAGGACGCCCATGGCCTCCGGGACGCCCTCGACGGCGCCCATCGGCCAGCTCGGCAGCGCCACCGTCGCGCAGCTCCGGTCGATGCCGTCCCGCACGGCCCCCGCCACGGCCTCGGCGGCCTGCCCGTCCGGCGGCACGTACACCAGCGCGTCCGACACCGCAGCCACCGCTGCGCGCGTCAGCCGCGGCTCCCGCGCGTCCCAGACGTCCCGCAGCAGCGACGACAGCCGCGGCAGCACGATCTGCTCCACCAGGCGCGGCACCAGGTCCTCGTCCTCGTCGCCGTCCTCGCCCCACGGCTCCCCGTAGTGCTCCAGCTTGTCAAACCAGTCGTGCTCGTCCAGCGCCGCCGGCGCCACGCCGCCCGGGCCGTCGGCGCCGCGCAGCGCACCGAGCAGCGGGTCCCAGCGCAGCAGCTCCGTGCGGACGAACGGCGCGAACAGCGCCGGCGCCGACATGGCCAGGTACGCGTCGCGGTACGCCGACGGGAACTCGCGCTTGCACTGCTCGAGGCGCGCCTTCACGGGCGCGATGGACGCGAACTCGTCCGCCGCGTCCGCGAACACCGTGGGTGCCGCCTCGACGACCTCCGTGAGGGCGGCGCCGTACTCGCGCAGCGCGCCGTCGTAGGAGCCCGGCCCCACGTCCTGCTGGTGCGCCCGCGGCACCCACCCGCAGGGCAGCGCGCCGGCCGGCGGGGCAGCGTTGCGCGCCGCCGCGAGGGCCTGCGCCTCGGCCTTCGCGGCAGCCCGCCGCGCCGCGTTCCTGTCGTTGCCGTCCTCGTCGAGCTCCACGGGGACGTCCGCGCCGACGAGCTGCCGCCGCTCGACGGCCTGCCAGCCCTTGCGCGCCGCCTCCGCCGTCTCCGCGGGCCCCGCGCCCCGCGACGCCGCCTGCAGCGCCCCCTGCACCGCGCCCTGCCCCAGCGCGAGCTCGCGGTCCCGCGCGAGCGCCGCCGCCCGCCGACCCTCCGTGCCGCACGCCGACGCCGCGCGCTCGAGGTGTCGCTCCATCTCCGCGATCAGCGGGCACTTCTCCCCCAGGCACGCGCACAGGTCGACCAGGTACTCCTCCAGTGCCTGCATGTGCTCGAACCGCTCCCCGGACGCAGCGAGCTTGCCCTCGAGCGCCTCGATGTGGTCCAGGCTGCTCGTGAGCTGCTCCGTCGTCCGCTCGAGGTGGCTCCGCGCCTGCTGCGCGCGCCGCTCCATGCGCTCCAGCCCGCCAAACACCGCCGCCTCCGCCGCCGCGCCCGCCTCGTCCAGAGCCGCCGCGGTCGCCGCAGGGGAAGCCGACCACGCGTCCTCCTCGACGGACGCGCCCGCGCTCGGCGCTTGGCCCGCCCTCTGCACCACACAACAGCCAACGCAACGCTGCTGTTGTCGGGGGGCGCTGACGCTGCCCCTCGCACGGGCACGCGGGGCCCGCGCGCGCCGCACGCGTCGCGCCGCGTGCGGGGGTCGCGCACCTCGCGCGCGTCCTGCGCCCTCCGGACGCTGGCGCCCATGGCCCGCCGCAGCTGCCCCTTGACGAACTCGTCGTCGTCGTCGTCCGCCTGCGGACCCGCGTCGCCAGCGCCGTCGCGGTCGCCGCCGCCCATCGCTCCGAACACCACCCGCTTCCGCGCGTCTTCGTCCTGCTGCAAGCACCATACATCCGCCATGCAGCTCGGTGAGCAAACGGCGACGCGCGCGCACGACGCGGCGCACGAGCTGTCATCGCGCCGGCGGAGCGCTGCACGCGCGCCGCTGCTGGTCTCGCCCGGCCCGGCCCGCGGCGCCGCACCTCGGAGTCGTCCCCGCTGGCGTCGTGCGCGCCAGTGAGGTCCTCGCGACGCAGCCGCTCGCGCAGGTCGTCCATCGAGTGCCCGGACCCGCCCGGTGCGTAGTCCGTCGACAGCAGCCCGCCCCTCCGCCGCCGCTCCCGCTGCTCCTTGGCGCGCCTGATGGCCTCTGCGTCGGGGAAGTCCCCGTCCTCGCCGCCGGAGTCCTCCATGCCCTCCATGATGATGCCCTGCGAGGAACATGCAGCGATGAATGTGGGCGTGCGGGGATCCAAGCGCCCTTCACCGCCCGCGGTGGCGAGTCCGCAAGACACAGGTGATGATGATAGTGCAGGGCGGTGGGGGTTGTCAGGCCGCCGCTGGCGGCACGCCCGGCGCACCTCGGGCCGGTCGATCTTGGCCAGGTCGATGTCGCGTCCGGCCAGCTTGTGCAGTTCGAACCGCTCCACGTCGTCCTCCGCACCGCCGCCGTTCGAGGGCGCCTCTCTCTGCGGACGCGGCGGCGCACCCGCCGGGGCGCCGCCCTCCGCGGTCGCTGGCTTGAACGCGCCGCGGATCATCGGGGCCTCCATCGCCGCGTCGTCAGCGGGCGGCGGGGCAGCGACGCCCCCCAGATGCTGGTTGCGCAGCTCCGCCAAACGCTCTGCGTGGGGGGCGGGGGGTGCCATTGTCTGGGTGAGGTCTGCTGAGCCACGGTGCCGTCGCGATCGCCGCCGCGTGCCGCCCAGAGCTGCCCGGTGGACGGAGCGACGCACCTTTGCTATACTCCCCCGCGGCACTGCCCCCCCACGCCCCGCGCGACTCCTTGGGCGGGTGCGCTGCATCCGGGTCGACGCCTGCACGGTAGCGCGCCACAGGCGTGCTGGTGTGTTTCGCAGCGGCCCCGAACAAGGCGAGGATCGGGGGGGCTGCGTGTTCTGTGCAGGAAGTCACTGGTCCGAGCGACACCGAGCTGCCCTGGCCCGGTGGCGCAGGTCCACCGCTCTGCTGGGCTGGGCTTCGTCGCGTGGGCGATCGTCTTCCCGACGAGCCGCGCACGGTGCAGCACACACCTGGGAGTTTCAACTGCGCCCGCTTGCGCTCCTTGCGCTCGCTCTTCTTCTTCTGCCGGTCCCGCTTCAGGACAACCTGTGGCTCCTCTTCCTCGTCTTCGAACGACAGCGTGGAAACGCCGGCCTTCCTGGCCCCCGCCCGCAGCCCGCCGCCAGCCTGCACGAAGTGCCCCTCCGGGCCCTGTGTGAGACGAGAAATGCCGATCTGCCGCAACGCACGGCGTGATTCCATTCCAACGCGTCCACGCCAATGCGGGTTGTCCCGCCGCGTGACGGGGGCCACGGTCGCGAGCCAAGGCGTCACTGTGACTCCTTCCTGCCGAAGCCCTCACCTTCTGAGCGCCATTCCCGCCCCCCTCGTCGCCCGCCTGGGTTTTGGCGTCCTCAACCTTCTTTGCGGAGCGCTTGCGGAACATGGCCACCCTAGTCCGGGGCGGCAAACGAACGCCCTCGTGCACAGGCGCCTAGCGCATCTCGCCGGCCACAAACGAGAGAAACGCGCTTGTCTACGGCCCCACGTGCGACACAGGCGGGACGCAAGTGCTGCGGGGAGCAGGTCTCTGCGTGCAACGTGCACGCTGAGCTCAGAGGGGACCTGGTGGAGTGATGGCATCAACAGACGACACTCCTCCATCGCCAGGACGTCATCAATCGGCCCCACACCTACGCACGTGTGAGTCCATCCGTCCGAGCTCGTCCCTCGCTGGTGAACCGGCGATCTGGTGCCGGGATTCCGGCAGTGCATGACGGGCTGTGCAGCTCCATGAACGTCCCACTCCAGCATTGCGCGCACTGCCACGAACCTCGCTGTCTTGCGCACACAGCAGTGATCATCACGTCAGCACAGCTCAGTGAGTGACCTCGTGAATATACGACCAGAGGAGGATGGACTCGGCACCGAAGCCGCTGCCCAAGCAGCAGGCCGTGCAGGCTGCGCGATGCTCCCTGAAACACGCCGGCGCTCGAGTCGATTTGGGCCCCACGTCCATAGCCCGCATCCGCGACGCGGTCTGCCGAGCGAGGTGCGCACATCGCAATCGTGGGGCAATCATGCCAGGCTGTCTCGTGCCTCTCTGTGCCGGTCTCGGGACTCGAACAGTGACCGTTACTCGGCGAAACTCGTACATAAGATGCTAGAAAGCATCGTCTGGCTGCTGCGGTCTGCTCCGTCGCTTGCCCGGGGTCGCACGCGGCACCCACACAACCTTGAGCTGCCAAAGCGTGTTGCAGGTCCCTCATGACCGCGGGCAGCGACGGACTTCGTGGCTGCGCAATGCCGTCGAAGAGCGACGCGAAGGCCGTGATTCAAGACCTCCTTGCGTTCGCGTTCACCGCCGGGCATATCAAGCAATGCCTGCAAGCGCTCACCCTCGGAACGCAACCGGAGACCATCCCGCTCGAGCTCCTGAACGCGACCGAGCCCCCGCGACTGACCACGCAGCTGGCTCTCGACTGGCTCTGCCTCAACGTCGACCGTGCCGAGCTGCCACAGGCGTTTGCCTCCACCGGCGTCATCTCTGGTGCGCACGCACCGCCCGTGGGCCTGCCAGGCCTCTGACGCTCTCCGCTACTTGCCGTGAACGATGGTGCGGCGAGAGCGCCGGCAATGCGCTCCGTCGGGCCCTGCAGGTGACCATGGTGTCGAAGTGGTTGCCACGACCGACAGTGAGCGGGCCGCGGAGAAGCGGCGAGAGGAGGAGGAGAGGATGCGGCAGGCCGCTGCTGGGCGACGGGCCGAGAAGGAGCGTTTGGAGGCGGAGCAGGCGGCCAGGTGCGTCGCGCGAGGTGCCGCGTCGCCGCCCGACCTCTCACGTTGTTATCGCCAGCAGACGCGGCGACGTGAGGCGGTCGGGCCCGGAGTGCGTGCAGGCAGGAAGAGCGCGCGCGGCAAGCGGAAGCGGAAGCGCAGAAACGCAACGCATGGGTGCTGCAGCACGTGTCGAACCTGTCGTCTGAAGAGAGTGAAGGCGGGAGTGCAAGCGGTGGCTCGAGCGAGATCGCGGACTGGGAGCTGTTCGCGGGACTGTCGCCGGTACGTGGTAGATCGTTGGCGCACGCTCCCAACAGCCTCTCGCTTGGAGAGACGGAGGAAGCCTGACCTTGCAAGAGACGCTGGTTCGGTGCAGGACGAGGTGCGGGCGCGGAAGGAGGCGGAGCGAGCTGCCCGCGCGGAGGCAGCACAGCCCCCGGAAGTGCGGAGGGCGAAGCTGGCGTCGGAGTACATGGAGGCGTGGCAAGCGGCAAGCGCAGCCAAGGAAAAGGGCGACAAGGCCGCGCAAGCCGCTGCAGGCGCGTGCACTGGCGGCAAGCGCTTGCATGCATTGCACACAAACGATTCGCGATCTCACGGCGGCCGAGGGGCGCATGCTGGCGCAGGTAGATCGATTGGAAGGCTGAAACAGGAGATGGCGAAAGTGGGTCTGTCGCATGACGAGGCCGAGGCGCTCGCGGGCGCGACCGAGAGCATAACCCCCGACCAAGATGGGCGTGCCGTGGACGGCGGCGAGCGGGCGGAGCCGCCCGAGGAGGGGAAAGAGGATGGAAAGGCGGCGGGGGACACAGACTCGGAGGGCGCGTTCGATCTGGACATGCTCGGGGACGGGATCATGGCCGAGGACGCGGGGCCGCGACGACGACCCCAGGTGCCCCCGTCGGTGATCGGGAGCGCGTCGATGCAGGACGTGCGCCAGGAGGACCTCGAGCGCCGGGGGGAGTCCCGTCCCCTGCAGGTGCTGCAACGGGTCTGCCAGCGGCAGGGCCTGCAGGCGTCGCGGACGAATCACAGCGGCATGGCGGCGACGGTGTCGCTGCGGCTGCAGACCGCGGGGAAGAAGGGGAAGGGCAAGCAGGGGGCGCTGACGACGGTCGGGATCCCACCCGCCGCCGGGATTGACCTCGACGGCGCCGGACGCGAGCTGGCCGGGTCGTCGAGGAACCAGGACGGCGGGCACCAGCTGGCGGCGCTGGCGGCGCTCCGGGAGCACTGGGGGGCGCTGACGCAGGGGCTGGGGACGGCAGAGAAGGTGGTGCTGTGGGCGTCGCTCGGGCACACGGCGCAGGAGGTGAGCGAGTGTCCGAGCGGAGCGCAGCACGGTCCCAGATGGTGCAGGGCGGTGATCCGTGGGCACTCGGATCGTTGGTGTGCAGGTGTGGTGGGTGTGGGATGGGTACGGGCTGGCGGATGGTCAAGACGGGCAGGCAGACGCCCGCGCGGACAGAGATGACTGGGACGCGTGGGTCGGCGAGCTGTTCGAGCAGGCTGCCGCGAAACGGGGGGAGTCCGGAGGGCCCCGTCGACAAGCGCAGGCTGAGCGCACCGGCCACGGGGGACCACGCGCTGGCAAGCGAGGGCCGCGAGGCGACGGTGCTGCCTCTGGCTCAGGTCCACGGCGCCCCGGGGGCAGCGCTGGTGCGCATCACCGCAGCGCGGCGATGCAGGGCGCCCTGCACAACTGGGAGAGTGGTCCTGGCAAGGATTGGGTGGCCGTGCGGCAGCAGCTGCCCATCTCGCAGCTGCGGGAGGAGATAGCGGCGGCGCTGTCGCAGGCCGACGTGGTCGTCGTGTGCGGCGAGACGGGCAGTGGAAAGGTAGGCCCTGTCCCGCCGCTGCAGCGGTGTTGTCGCGAGTGCTGCGCGTACGCCTTGAGGTTGCTCATGGTCGCGGCTGCGTGGCCCGGTTGGTGCAGTCGACGCAAGTGCCTCAGCTGATCTTCGACGGGGAAATTCGAGCCGGGAGGGGTGACGATGTCAGGTGAGCGCTACACGGATGCTGCTCTCCACGCAAGGACGCCATCCCGAAAGGCACAGCCGTCGGTGCTCATCACGAGACTTTTCTGCGCTGTGTGCAGGCTGGTGTGCACTCAGCCGCGCAGGATCGCGGCGATATCGCTGGCTGAGCGCGTCGCAGAGGAGCGCGGAGGGCCTCTGCCGTCCGACGCGGCATGGGAAGGCCCCAGGGACAGAGAGTCGCCACCCATCGATGGACGTGCCGTCGGGTACCACGTTCGACTCGAGAGCCGGCGGAACTCGGACACCCGCATCCTGTTCTGCACGACGGGCGTGCTGCTGCGAATGCTGCTCGGCGACCCGCGGCTGGACGCCGTGTCCCACGTGGTGATCGACGAAGTGCACGAGCGTTCGATGCAGTCCGACTTCCTGCTATCGATCGCAAGAGGAGTGATGCGGAGCAGGTGCGACCGTTTTTGTGTTTGTCCTGGCCAAATCATGTCTGACGGGCGTACGCTGCTGGATAAGCAGTTACCACGCCCGCAGATGGGGTTGCGTAGCCGTGTCCTTGACACGGAACGAGCGATCACCACGCGATGACGCTCTGATCACCATCAGAGCAACGGTCGTTATCGCTGCAGGAGGGAGGCTGGACACCCTCTGAAGCTGATCCTGATGTCGGCGACAGTGGACGCGCAGCTGTTCTCCGGTTACTTCGGTGGCTGTCCGGTGCTGCAGTCAGAGGGCCGCACGCACCCCGTCGAGGTCAAGTACCTGGAAGACGTGTACGAAGCAACAGGTGACCCTCCGTCGCGCAGGGCGCACGCCGAGTGGGCGGCCATGAACGCCCTCTGGCGAACCGCAGGCACGAACCGCCATCGATGCCCGCTCGCCGGCCCACCGCTGCGCAGGCTACCGGCTCCAGGAGGACAGCCCGGCTGCTATTCGCGCCGACCGCTCGGGGTCGCTGCGCGAGAGCCACGTACAGAAGATTCACAGTGCGAAGAAGAAGGCGCTCGTCGCGAGCGGCTGGGGAGAGGACGTCGGCAAGGGCGCGGAGATGACCATTTTGAACCCGCACTACGACCCGGACCACATCCCGCAGGGACACAGCTCCTTCGTGCACCGCAACCTGGCCCGTCTCAGCGAGACCGCGATCGACTACGACCTCCTCGAGGCGCTCGTGTGCCACATCGACGACGAGCAGGCCCCCGGGAGCATCCTGGTGTTCCTCCCCGGCATGGCGGAGATCTCCAAGCTGTACGCGCGGCTCGCCGCCACGCAGCGCTTCGGCGCCGGGGAGTGGCTCCTCCCGCTGCACTCGCAGATCGCCAGCGCCGAGCAGCGCCGCGTGTTCCGCCGCCCCCCCGGCGGCGCGCGCAAGTGCGTCCTGGCGACCAACATCGCGGAGACGTCGCTCACGATCGAGGACGTCGTCTACGTCGTTGACACGGGCAAGGTCAAGGAGACGCGCCACGACCCCTCCCGCGGCATCTCGCTCCTCGTCGAGGACTTCGTCTCGCAGGCCTCGGCCAAGCAGCGCACGGGGCGCGCCGGGCGCGTCCGGCCGGGGCTGTGCTTCCGCGTCTTCCCCCGCGCGCGCCACGACCTCCGCATGCGCCCGCAGGCCGTCCCGGAGATCGCCCGCGTCCCCCTGCACGAGCTCGTCCTGCAGGTCCACCTCCTGCAGCTCGCCGACTCAGCGGCCACCTTCCTCGCCAGCGTGATCGAGCCGCCGCCGGAGCGCTCGGTGCGCCGGTCCGTGCAGGACCTGCGCGAGATCGGCGCCGTCGTCCCGGAGAGCGAGGGCGAGGCGCTCACCCCGCTCGGGTGGCACCTGGCGCAGCTCCCGGCAGAGCCCCGGGTCGCCAAGCTGCTCGTGCTCGGCTCGCTCCTCGGGTGCGCGGACGAGGCCGCGTCCATCGCCGCGTGCCTCAGCGGGAAGTCGCCCTTCCTCCCGGGCGGTCTCATGGGCGGCGACGGGCCGCGCGCCAGCAAGGCGCGGCTGACCGCGGAGGACGCCGGCACGCTGGCCGCCGGACAGCAGTCCGACCTGCTCGCCCTCCTCGCGGGATTTGAGGGCTGGCGCGCCGCGGTGCGCGGCCCGGGCGGGCGCAAGCGCGCGCGGGAGTACGCCAAGCGAGTGGGCATGGACAACGAGGCCCTCGACACCGCGGAGCGCCTGCGCAGGCAGCTGCTGGACCTGCTGCGCGACGCGGGGCTCTCGGGTGCGCGCGCCGGTGCGGCGGGGGAGCGCGCGCCGGTCGCGGAGATGATGCGTGCGGCGGTGGTGTCTGCACTGTACCCGAGCGTGGCGGCGCTGGCCGAGGACGACCCGGGGCGCGACGACCCGGCGTTCTTCGACGGGCAGGTGAGCGAGACGTGGCAGCTGCGCGCGCCCGCGACCCGTGCCGGCCGTTCGTGAGCCGTGCTCCACGCTTTCCGTGCCCGTGCAGACGACGTGCCACGTGCACTCGCAGTCGATCGTGTCGCGGCTGCGGCCGGCGCAGCTCCAGCGTCCGTTCCTCGCCTTCCTGGAACGCTCGCGGGCGGGCCGGACGTGGATCCGGGAGTGCACGGTTGCGTCCCCGGTGGCGCTGATGCTGCTGAGCGGCGCGGAGCCCGAGGTGGACCACTACGCGGGCGTCGTGACGCTGGGGTGGCTGCAGGTGAGCCGCCCACATACGCCGGCGCGTCATTGCGCCCCGCCCGAGCCCCCCCGAAGCGTCCTGTTCATGACCGACAACAACGCGCGGCGGGGTGCGTGAGCGCAGATGCGGGCAAGTGCACAGGTCGCCGTCCTGCTGAAGGAGCTGCGGTCGGCCATGGGCGGCGTCCTCGCCTCTCACCTGCGGCACTCCGACGCGGGCTTCGACCGCGAGTGCACTGTGGCGCTGGTGTGTGCCGTCGGGGACGCGCTGCGGGACGAGCAGACGCAGCTCAAAATCGCAATGTGAGAGCGGGAGACTGTTGGCAGCGATGGGACCCGCTCGACGAGTTCACAGCTTCGACGGCCGCCGTTCACGCGCGTGGCGCGTCGCCAGGTGTGCACGCTACTGCTGCTGGCTGCTTTGGAGCATCTGCCCGACGATCTGCACCACCTGCGTGCACCGAACGTGGTCGAGTGGCGGTGCTTCTCGTTGTGCCGCCGCTGAAGCCCTCAGCGCTCGGCGAGCAGCTAGGGCAAGGGTGGGTTGCAGAGGGCCGTCGGGCCGCACGCCGTCAGGCGACGAGCCCGGCAGGTCTTGCCCGCGCCGCAGGGATGCGTTACGGCCAAGCGCGGCACGGGTCGTGGTGCCAGCATCGGGGTGGCGTGCAGCGCGCCAGCACTGCCGTGGTGGTGGCCAGGCAACGATTGCGGCCGCTGTGCGCCGCTGCGGCCGTCTCCGCAGGTGCAGAGGCACGCAACGAGATAGTCGGGCACTGTACCTGCCAGTACTTTGAGGAACACCGGTCGACGCAGGCGCTTTCGCCGATGTTCAGGTCGCCCTCCTTGTACTGCTTGTTCACGCACTTGTCGAAGCACGAGCGCCCCATGCGGTTGAACAGCGCGACCCGGAACTCCATCTCCATCTCAGCGGCCTGGAGGGCCGCCTCCGGGCTAGGCGCCATGGCGGACGAGGCAGGACACGCGAGGGGACCCTTGCGCAAGCGTTCGACACCTGGAAGTGCGCTGTTTCAGGGTGGGGCGGACTGGCCTATCCTCCCTGCTACCTCCGATGCACGGCACGCGCCTCGCAGCCCCGCCCGCCCGTTGTAGGCCCCTGGTTCGGCGGGTAGGGCGACCTGACGGCATTGCACCTGACCAGAGGCGCCATGACGTGAGGGCCGGAGCCAGCGCCGCTCGCAGGGCCGCGTCGGTATGCGCGTCGCACATTTCCGCATCCGCCCGCCATCGACGTGCGCCACCGTTTGCCTGGCGGCGCCGCGAGCGGGAAACTCGGATACGACTGCGTTCTCGTCGAGCTGCGGCCGGACCTGCGGCGGTTTCGGACGCCGATCCCCTGCTTCGCCGCGTGCTCACTTTGTATTCTGATCGACCACCGAGCGCGAATACCGTCTTGTCCGGCCTAGGCTGCGCGTCACGGCTCTGACCGTGCCCCCTTGCCCCTCGGCACCGTCCAGCAGCTAGACACGGTCCGGCCCGGGGGCAGGTCGCGAGCGCGCGCCAGGAGGATGTCCGGACAGACGGTCGTCAACTCCTCGCGCGACCGGGTCCACTCCGGATGGAGTCGCGTGCGCCTTTTCCACCTGGACGGGGAGCACTGGCGAGTGCGGGGGACGGGCCGCGTGGCCATCACGACCTCGGACGAGGTGCGAGCGGCGCCCTGATCCTCCGCTGCATGCGCCGGCGCCTGCTTTGTCCTCGCGCGCACCCTCGCGCAGCGGGGCCGCGCGGTGCACCCGCGGCGCCCAGTGGAGGTGCACGGCGGCTGTTGCCGCGCGGCCAACGGTCGGCGCCGCAGCGGAGTGTTCACCATGCCGATTCGCGCTCATGGCGGGCGGAATATGGCGCCGGATCCCCCTGACGGGACGTGCTGCCGGCCGCACGTTGCACTGTGCCTGCACTCTCCGCACGCGTCGTGCCCCGAGGGGCTGCGCGCGGAGTGTTGATTGCGGCTCGCGCTTGGTGCGACGTCTCACGTGTCCGTCGCCCAACCTCGACGCCGCGCAGGATCCGCTGGAGCAGAGGCTGGTCGTTGAGGGGGACGGCGGAGATACCCTCGTGAATCGAGCGGTTCCCGCCCGAGGGCGCGTGAAGCAGCAGTGCGGGCTGCTTATATCATGGCAGGAGGAGGGCCAGGAGACCGTTCTGTCGTTCGCGGTGCGTGCGGACACCCCAGCGCACACCCTGCCCCAGTGAAGGGCACCAGCATCGGCGCAGCACGAAGCCGCCCGGTGTACAGGGATACTGCCGTCACGCCCGCTGGCTCGGTTTCACCTCGCGTGCCCTCTCCGGCCTCCTCGCAGAGCCCCGTCGACTGCGAACGGACCTGGTATCAGCTGACGGGGCAGACGCGCAAGGTCTACCGCGACGCGGACGCCTCGTCGTCGACGTCGCGCGTCGACACGCACGACATCGACGCAGGTCCGCACGCGCGCCCTGACGCCCGCCCGCCGCCTCGCCGCCGCGAGACGGACCATCTGTCGCCGTGTGTCCCGTGATCAGGTCCCGCTCAACGGTCGCGCGTGGCCGCCCTCGGGTGCTCGCAGAGTGCCGCGACGCACCGACGCCGACGCGCGGCGGCGACGGCTGGGAAAGCGCCACGTCCTGCGACCCCCTGCGGCGCATGGAGAGCCGCGAGGCGACGGGCGGGGCCCCGCCGCAGGCCGATCCGCTCGCGCTCGACCAAGGCATGTGCTGGTGAGTGCGCCGCGTTCCGCCGCCGCCGACGCCCGCCCCCGCCCCGGCGTCCCCGCCCGAGCACCCTTCCCAACGCCGCCGGCCCCCCCCGCGCGCCCCCCGCCGCAGCACGCACAAGCTGCGGTGGTGCCCGACGTCGGTCAAGTGCGCGCTCAAGTGGCAGGAGCGTCTCCTGGACGACTGCGGGCACTTCCTCCCGGAGTCGCAGTTCGTGCTCATCGGCCCCTCGCAGCCCGACTACATCCACACGCTGGTCGCCGGGAAGCCGAGCGCCCCGCCGCTGGTCATCCTGCCCGGGTACGGCGCGGCGGCGGGGTACTTCTTCAAGGCCATCCCGTACCTCGCGCGCAACTGGCGCGTGTACATCGTGGACTGGCTGGGGACAGGGCTCTCGGGGCGGCCGCGGTTCCCCGTGCGGCCCAAGGACGCCATCGACGAGCGCGCGCGCGTCAAGGCGGAGGGGTTCTTCATCGACTCACTCGAGAAGGTGCGCCGCCCGACCCGCGCGCGCGCAACACTGACAACTGGCTGGCTCGTGCGCGCGCCCATGACGTGGCCCCGCCCCCCCGCCGCCCCGCAGTGGCGCAAGGTGATGGGCATCGCGAAGATGGTTCTCGTCGGGCACTCGCTCGGCGGCTACCTCGTCGGCCGGTACGCCCTCAAGTACCCCGCGGCGGTGGTGCACGCCATCCTGGCCTCCCCGCCGGGGCTCAAGGACAGGCCCGAGGGGTTCAGCGACGAGGAGTACCTGGAGGCGACCAACGAGCACCACTCGAAGCTGACCGGCATCGTCATCAAGGTGGGCCGCCGCCGCACGCGTCGACCTCCCGCGCGCGCACGCTGCCAGGGCGCTGCGGCCGCCCTCGCGCGTCGCCGACCGCGCGCGGCCGCGTGCACGTGACCCGCAGATCTGTAGCAAGCTCTGGAACAAGGGGCTGACGCCCGGCGCGCTGACCCGCGCGATGGGCCCGCTGGGCAAGCTGGTGGTGTACAGCTACACGCAGAAGCGCTTCCACGACCAGCCGGACGGCGGGGTCCCGCTGGAGAAGGAGGAGCTGCACCACTTCAAGCGCTACATCTACCACGTCACCGCGCAGCCCAAGTGCGGCGACGCGGCGCTCCGGTTCATCCTCGCGCCCTACGCGTGGCCGCGCAACGCGCTCGGGCCGCACCTGCGGCACCGCAAGGTGCGCGGAGCCGCGCCGCGCCGCGTCGCAGGACCGCCCCGCTGTCTGCGTGCGCGTGACCCCCGCGGACCGCGTGCGTCGCGCGCAGGTGCCGATGACGGTGTTGTTTGGCGACAAGGACTGGCTCGACTCGACGGGGCTGGACGAGATGATCGCCGACCTGCGGCGGGAGGCGGGGCAGCACTGCGCGCTCGACATGGACCTCGTGACGATGCACAACGCCGGCCACTTCCTCTTCATGGACCAGCCGGGGGAGTTCGACCGCTTCCTGGGCACCGTCGCCAAGGTGCGCCGCGGCCCGCGGGACGCCCCCCGCGCCCCGCCCCGCACTGCGCGCCGAACCCCTCCCCACGGCCGCCCCGCGCGCCCCGCTTGCGACGCAGATGCACGGCATCCCGTGGTCGGGCGGCGAGGAGGGGGCGGAGTTCTTCGCTGCGCCGCGGCCCGTGAAGAACGAAGTGCACCTCAACCCCGCCAAGCCCGCCGACCTGGTGCGCGCACATGCCCCGCTCCGCCAGCGCCCGCGCGCCCAGCCCCGCCTGCTCGGAGGCTCAGGCCGCCGCTGCGTGTGTGCTCGCAGGTCGAAACGATGGAGTAGGCGGGCCGGCCGCGGGCCAGGAACGCCCGGTCCGGGCGTCGCTGTGCGATCGATGCCCAGAGAGTCGCTCTGCGGCTCCACCGCTGCGCTGCCCCCCTGCACTGCACACCGTTGCTCTGCCATAGCGATGCACGCATATATAACAGCTCGTGCAGCGGGGCCGCATGTGGGCTCGACGGCGTACGCGGCCGTGCTGTCGTGGCCCGTTGCGCACCCGCGCGCACACAGCCCTCCTCATGTGACACAGCCGTGACGTCTGTTGAACAAAGAGCCTCTTGTGTGGAGCCGCGCACGCTCGCCGGGCGCGACGCAGCTCTCGTGCGCGGGTCAGGGGGCTGCGCCCGCCGCCCGCTTTCGTCCGCGGGGGAGCTTGTCGCGGTCCGGGGGCCGCAGCGCCCTCCCGTCGCCCCACATGGGTGACCAGCAGACCTCTCATACCTGTTGGACCCGCCGTGCACCGGGGCGACGCGGGCGTCTCTGGTGCGCCGCTCGCGAAGGCAGCTGCAGACGGCTCACCCGATTCCTAGGTACAAGGCAAATTTCTTCGGCGCGTGTCGCGGAGACCGCGCACGGACGGACAGCACCAGGAGTGCGATACCGCCGCCCCTGTGCGGCCGCACGGAACGCTCCACGCGGACTCGCCACCCCGCTGGCAGAATAAACCTGCTGCGATTGCGGTCGCCGGCGCGTCGGCACCTGCCGCCTGCGGGCCGCCCACGGGATGTGCTAGAGTCGTGCAGGGAGCGGCTTCCCCGTCGTAGGGCCTCCTGGCGCCCGAGGAGGCGTGGCCGGGCCAACAGGTAGCGGCTGCTGCGGCCATGGTGCGGCCGACGCCGGAGGGCGGGCACCAGGGCCTGGAGGGCAGCATGCAGAGAGTGAAAGTTTACAGACTCAACGAATACGGGCAGTGGGACGATAAGGGCACGGGACATGTGTCCCTCCAGTTTTTCCAGGTACGACGCCTTCACGCAGCGGCGCGCACAGGCGTCGCCCTTCGCTGAGGGCCCCGCGGGTCCCCGGAGCAGCAGGCACGGGGGGGCGGGCCCGGAGCGCCCGCACGGTGCACGCGCTCGGCCCCGCGCATCGGTACGCGCACGGCGATGCCAGCCGCGCATCCCTCATCGGCCAGACTCGCGGCGCGCCCCCGAAACGCCCGCCGCGCCGACCCTAGGCAGAGCACCAGCACACGAATCGGGCAGCCACGCGCGGCACCGCGGCCCGCGGGGCGCGTCCAATTTTCGTCGTTCGCGCCCACACCGTGGCAAGACATCCCGTGGCGGGGCGTTCTGCCGCGCGCGCACCGCCCAGCGCGGCCCGCGTCGCCCCGCTGCCCTGGGCCCGCGGCGCGCAGCGCCCGCCCCGGCGTGGACACCCTGGCCGCTGCCAGCGCGCAGAACCAGGTCCACCGGGCAGTACAGCCCCCGCGACCTCGCCCTGCCGCCCGGCGCGGTCTCGCGCCCGCTGTGCCGCGCGTTCACGCCCGCCTGCCCGCCCGTGCGCAGGCCGCTGGCGCCCACGGCCTCGTGGTGGTTGGGGACGACTGCAAGGAGCTCCTGTTGCATCGCATTGCCGGGGAGGAGGTCTACCAGAAGCAGTCTGACTCGATTATCACGTGGACCGACCAGGACGTGGGCATCGACATTGCCCTGTCCTTCCAGGTGCGCGCCCCGCTCGCACGCGCCGCCGGTCCCGCCGCGCGACGCGGCCTCCCCGCGCTTGTGTCATCAGGTGCGCCGCCGCGCGGTCCGGCGCGCGTGCCCCGCGACAGGCCGCGCACCCTCCCTCTCCCCCCCGCGTGGTGCGCAGGAGCCGATGGGCTGCCAGGCGGTGTGGGACTCCATCGCCTCGGTCCACCGGCGACGCTCCGGCGCCGACCGGGACGCGCCGCCGTCCCAGCAGCCGATCGGCCTCTCGCAGCCAGGTGCGCCGCCCCGCGCGACCGACGCGCACACGCAGCCCGCGTCCTGCCCGCGCCCGCGCCCCCACCGCCCGCGTCCGCCCGGCCGCCTTGTCCGCAGGGATGCACCAGCGCGCGCCGCACGGTCTGGACGACTACGGCGGGCTGCTGAGTCCGTCGGGCGACATGGACCTGGACGGGTTTGGCGGGCACCCGGCGGCGGACCTGCCGCAGCAGCCGGAGCTGGGCAACCTGGGGGACGTGGCGCGCGTGCTGTCGGAGCTGTCGCCGTTCGCCCGGGAGCGCGTGGCGTCCAAGCTGGTGCACGGGGGGTGGCCGTCGCGCGTGCTGGACCTGTTTCACCAGTGCGAGGACCTGGAGGACGCCGAGGGGCTGGCGAACTGCGCGCGCGTGGTGCGGGCGATGATCATGCTGAACGACTCGCGGCTGCTGGACGTGCTGCTGCGGCCGGCGTGCATCATGGACGTGGTGGGGGCGCTGGAGTGGGACCCGGAGGGGGGCGTGCGGCAGCGGCACCGCAAGTACCTGGAGGAGGAGGTGGTGTTCAAGGAGGTCGTGCCGATCCGGGACGAGGAGACGCGCGCGCGGATCCACCAGACGTACCGCATCGGGTACATCAAGGACGTGATCCTCCCGCGCGCGCTGGACGACGCGGTGTTCGCCAGCCTGTCCTCGCTCATCCTGTTCAACAACGTCGAGGTCGTCACGGCGCTCGCCGAGGACAGCAACTTCCTCCCGGAGCTGTTCGAGCGCCTCAAGAGCGTGGACAAGGCCTCGCCCGAGTGGGAGGACCTGGTGGCCTTTTTGCAGGAGCTGTGCGCGCTGAGCAAGCACCTCCAGGCGGGCACACGCGGGAAGCTGTTCGCGAGCCTGCAGGCGCTGGGGCTGTTCCAGGTGCTCGGCGAGGTGATGCGCGGGTCGGGCCTGGGCCCGCGGCTGAAGGCGACGGACATCATGATGTCGTGCACGGGGAGCGACCCGCTGCCGCTGCGGAACCACCTGATCTCGCTCGAGGGGCGCGGGCTGCTGTCGTCGCTCGTGGACTGCCTGACGCACGGGGACGAGGGCGGGCTGCAGGAGCAGGTGCTGGACCTGGTGCGCGTGCTGCTGGACCCGGAGACCATGGAGTCGTCCGACGCGACGAAGAGCCAGTTCCTGGACGTGTTCTACGACCTCCACATGCAGAAGCTCATCTGGACGCTCTCGGGGCACCCGTGCGGGAAGGAGGAGGCCGGCACCGTGTCGGCGTCGACCATGGGCCTCATCGTGGACCTGCTGTGCTTCTGCGTGCAGCAGCACACGTACCGCATGAAGTACTACATCCTGCGCAACAACGTCGTCGAGAAGGTCATGCGCCACCTCCTCAAGCGCCGCGAGCGCTGGCTCGTCCTCGCGGCCGTGCGCTTCGTGCGCTCCGTCGTGGGCCTCAAGGACGAGTTCTACCTGCGCTACATCACGCGCAACAACCTCCTCGAACCCCTCGTCGAGCTCTTCCTCCAGAACGGCGAGCGCTACAACCTCCTCAACTCGGCCATCCTCGAACTGTTCGACTTCATCCGCAAGGAGAACATCAAGACCCTCCTCATGGTGCGCGCCCCGCGCCGCCGCGACCGCAGCGACGCCGCACACACGCAGCGACGCCGCACACACGCAGCGACGCCGCACACACGCAGCGACGCCGCACACACGCAGCGACGCCCCTGACACCCCCCCCTGCCCCCCCGCCCCCCCCGGCCGCAGCACATCGGCCAGACGTTCCTCCCGCAGCTGGAGCAAGTGTCGTACGTGGAGACCTTCACGCAGCTCCGGAACAAGCTCGAGCAGCTGAACTACACCGAGAGCCGCACCGCCCCGGGGCAGGGCGCGCCCGCGGACGCGGCCCTGGCGCTGGAGCGGCGGCGGCGCGACGACCGGGCGCTGGACAAGGACGAGGAGGACTACTTCGAGGGCGGCGACGACGAGCCCGCGGGGGGCGAGGGGGCGCGGCTGGTGACGCCCGCCGGGCTCGTGGACTACCCGGACGACGACGAGCAGCTGGTGGACGACGGGCGGTCGATGCCCGTGCGAGGCCTCGACGCGCATGAGATGCGGCGCGGGGCTGAGGACGGCGACAACGACATGAACGCGAAGCGGCTGCGGCCATAGGGGCGCGGACGGGGGGCGTGTCGCGCGTGCATGTAACACGCACGCGCAGTGACTCGAAACGAGTGCCTGCGTCGAGTGCCTGCGAGGCAGAGGCTGACGGCGGCGGCGACGCCGAGCTCTCCAGGGTCGCCGCCGGACAGCTGCGCTGGGCGTGACGCGGCCACGGCCCGTCCCGCGGTGCTGCCTAGCGCTCCAGGTCGTGGGCCCTCGAGCGCGCACCAGGGCGTGCACGAGCCTCTGAGTCGCGCTGTGGATGCTGACGAGGCGGACCGCAGCTCGTGGCCGTCACAGCACCCCGCGGGCGTCACTGCTTGCCCCCGCGCGCGAGCTCTGCGTCGTCGTCCTCCCACTCGGCCTCCCACAGCTCCTCCTCGACCGGCTCCTTGTTCCCGCGGTTGCGCTCTGCGACAAGCGATGTAAGCGCGCTCTCCACGTCGCGACCACGAGCGGGCATGCGGCGGGTAGCGCGAGGTGGCCGCCCGAGGACCGCCTGGGAGACGCGCCTGTCTCAAACTCCTCGAACGTGTCATCCTCCTCCAGCGACACCTCCTCCGTGGGCTTCCGCTCTTCCTGCTTGCTCATCCTGCCGCGATATCCTCCCGGATCCCCCCCGGACGTGCCAGGCACGGCGCTCTGCCAAGCTCGAGGTCTTTGAAGCGCCTGTTCTGTCCCGGAGATACAGTACCGCTGCTGGCGTTGCACTCTCGAGCACACAACTGCGACGTGCTTCGTCGCCCGACCGCTCATGGCGCCACAAGCGGCCCGTGCGCCGCGCGTCAGGGCCAGACACAGCACCCCGGGTCGTGATACCACGTCTCGGAGACGCTCCGCGCGCCCCGCCGCACCTGCGACATGTGATTTCGGGCCGCTCACGTCGGGCACTTCGTGTCGTCAGCTCGTGGAGTCATTTCGCGTCGGCACAGTGCGTTCAGCGGTGCAGCGCAGGTGTTTCACACACATTCCTTGCGTCGCCCTGCGAGCTCTGGTGTGGATTACGCTTCGCACACGTGAGGCAAGAAGGCGTGGTCCTGCTGGGCACGGCAGCGCGCCCAGAGGCACCATGGACGGCAAGAAGCCGGCAGCAGGAGTAGACAACACAGCCAGGCGCACGTGGGACAAGGAGGAATATGCCGAGCGCGCGGCGAAGCGGGACAAGGAGGAACAGGAAATCGCGGACCTGGTGAGAGGCGGCCCCACATGCGTCGAGCACCCCACGGCGACGCCCGTGCATGGCGCTGCTGCAGAGACGCGCCGGCCACGACGCCGCATCGTCCGCGTTCGGTGTCTTTGCGAGCGTACCGTGCAGAGTTTCGGTCCGACCGCATCACGCGCGCGAGGCCGTGCCAGCGAGGGTCCCGCGGCGCGTCGGCGTCGCACTGTGAGGCACACGGCACGCGTCCCGGGCGTGCATTGCAGGACCCGCGCGAGGTGAAGCGCCAGAAGCGTCTGGCCCGCGACCCGCTGCACCAGGGTCTGATCGCCGAGCGCTCGCTGCTCAAGTCGCGCAGCTACAAGCTCGACCTGGAGCGGAAGCTGGGCAAGACGCAAGTGGTGGGCCTCAACACGGCGCTCTCGCAGCAGCCGGGCTACTACTGCTCCGTGTGCGACTGCGTGCTGCGGGACTCCACCTCGTACCTCGACCACATCAACGGCAAGTACCACCAGCGCGCGCTCGGCAGTTCGATGGTGGTGGAGAAGTCCAGCGGTGCGCCCCCCCGCCCCCGCGCCGCGCCGCCTCGCGGCCGCCCTCGTGCGCGACCCCCGCGCGTCCGCGGCCCCTCCGACCCGTCCGGCCGTCCGCGCCCCCCCCGTTCCCCCGCAGTGGATCAGGTGCGCGCGCGGATGCAGCTGCACAAGGAGCGCAAGGAGAAGAAGGGCAAGGACGAGGACGCGCTGGACGAGATGAAGGCGCGCATCGTGGAGCGGCGGGAGGAGGAGGAGGAGCGGGAGCGGGAGCGGCGCGAGGAGGCGCGGCGCAAGAAGGAGCAGCGCAAGAAGGAGGAGGAGTCCGCGGCCGCGGAGCTGGGCGCGGACCCGGAAATCGCCAAGCTGATGGGGTTCGGCGGGTTCGGGTGACGGGGGCGCCGGTGGGCGGCGTGTGACGTCGCGCGGGTCACACGCCGGACGCGTCCATGAGGACGTACTCCCGCGACGAGTTGCCCATTTTGACGACGTCGCGTTCGAGGAGCTGGTAGTAGCGGCGCTCCTCGATGCGCTCCCCGTTGAGGTACGTGCCGTTGGTGGAGCCCAGGTCCATGACGTACGGCCGCACCTCCGCGCGCTCCATGCCGTCCGCGCCCTCCACCGTCACCTCCCGGTACTGCAGCACCGCGTGGCTCTTGCTGCACGACGGGTGGTCCGTCGGGATGTCCACCACCTTGCGGTCCCGCCCAAAGAGGTACCACGACGAGCTCTGCACCTCCAGCGGGTCGCCCAGGATCTCCCCGCCCTTGAACACGTAGAACCGCCACCGCCGCGTCGGCTTCTTCGCCTCGGGCGGCTCCGCGTACGCCACCGCCGACCCCGCAACCTCGTGTGTCTCCTGCACACGCGCACACACACACGCGGCCGTCAAGCGTCACGCGCGACGGGCGGACGCTGCCGGTGCGTGACGGAGACACGCGACGCAGCACGCGCGCCAGCAGCGCGAGCCGCACCTGCGCCAGCGCGCCGGACAGGCCGAAGTTGGGCTCCTCCGGGGGTCTCTGTGGCTGCGCGGGGGCGTCGTCCTGCGGAGGCGGCGCGGCGCGCGCCCCGTCGTCCGCTGCGTGCGGGCAGTCCCGCGCGATGTGGCCTGGCTGCTTGCACTTGTGGCACGTCCGCGTCGGGCAGTTGACGCCAATGTGCCCCTCCTGCCCGCACACACGGCACGTGCGCGTGTCCGGCCGGTCGTCGCGCGGCCCGTACCTGCACATCGTGCGCGCGGCGGTGCGGGCCCGTTCGCTCGCTGAGGGGGCGGCGTGGGACCGAGCAAGTCGAGGGTGCAACAACGTGCGCCGCGGCAGGGCCGTCCGCGCACCTGGGACGGGCTCCCTCGGGCGACGCACTCCTGTGCTCGCGGGGCCCTGGCGACGGGCTCCTGCGCTCCCGCCGCTCGGAGGGGCGCTGCCGGTCCCCGTCGTCGCGACGGTGTCGGTCCCGCCCGTCGCGCGCGTCCTCGCGCCGCTCCCGGTGCGTGTCACGATCTCGCCGGTGCCTGTCGCTCCTCTCTCCGCGCCGGTCGCGATCCCTGCTGCTGCTTCGTCGGCGCCGGTCCCGCTCCGCACTCCTGCTTCTCCTCCTGTGCCTGCGGTGGTCGTGGCGGTCCATCCTCCTGCGCAATCGCCGCAAGAAGAGCCTACGTGGAACGAGTCATCGCCGGGAGCCGTCGCACAGCCCGTGCGCGCCGCGGCTCGGATGCAGCGGGTGAGGATTGGTCTGCTTGGGGTCGCGACGGTCACTCCCACCTGTCGTCGTCCTCGCGCCCTCTGTGCCCCTCGCGACGACCGGGAGAGCGTCTGGGCGACAGGTCACGCATTCAGCCCCCCCTCGCACCCCAGCATCGGCGCAACGTCCCCCCAGTCAGTGCCGTCGCAGTGCACGTCGATCTCCCGCAGCGCCGGCGCAAAGAGGCGAGAACCGTCCGCGCAAAAGTACGACGCAGCCTTGTGGCGGTGGCTTCCGCCGCCCGCTGGCGATGATTCCAGCCCGTCCCGGCCTGTGGCGCGTGCCCGCCATCACAGCCCCGCCGGGCACTGACGTCGCGAGAGGCCCCCTGCAGCGTCCGCGCTCCGAATTTGGCCGCCCGAGCGGGACGCGTCGGCCAGTTCCACTTCGTCGGAGTTCACGTTGGTAGTAGAATAGCACGCGACGGCGAGCACACCGCCACGTTCATAGCGCGCACTCGAGGGCTCTCCTGGCCTCGCCGCCCGTCACCCGAAGACTGACATACGTGGCCGGAATTGCGGACGTCGCGAGTGCCGTGCGGGAGCGAGGCCCACGGCACCTCCCCTCCGTCTCGCGCACCAGGGAGAAGGAGGCGGGAGGCAAGATGAGCAACCAGCGACAGCCCGCTGTTCAGGAGATGATCGATGATGACGAGTTCGAGGACTTCGAGAACGAAGGTGACCGGCGCTAGCGACGTCGCCCGTGCATCAGTGTGACGCCTGCCAGCCAGGCCAGGCCGCATGAAGGTTGCTCCCAGCTCTGTGCGGGCAGCGAGCCGTGCCGCGCCAACCGTGCCTCGTCGCCGCGTCGCCCGCAGACGAGGTGGTCAAGGTGGGTGACATGGGCACGGGCGTCTGGGAGGCTGGCTGGGAGGAGCGGGGCCTCGCTGTGCAGGTGCGCCACGTTCCATGCTGCGCCCGTTGTTGCGTCATCCTGCCAGGCGACGATTCCGCTGCCGTACGCGGCCGCACGCCAGCCCCTTCTCGATCGCTCTCCCGCCCGCGCGAGGTGCAGAACGAGTTCTCGGAGCAGCTGCGGTCGAACCTGGAACAGCAGCACAAGCAGCTGGAGCAGCAGAAGAAACAACAGCAGCAGCAACAGCAGCAGTGAACGCGCGCGAGCCGCAGCGCCGCGCGTGCAGCACGCCGTCCCAGGACCGCGCCCAGGCCAGGCAGCCCGCCCCCTGCATGACTGACTGACGACGCTGCTGCGCACCGCCCGGTCCTCGGGCCCCGGGGAGCGCCGCCTGGGCTGCCGGGCCCAGCTTGGAGAGCGCGGCGCGAGGAGAGTCGAAATCCGCGGTACCTGGGAGTGTCGAGTGGAGTGCCCGGGTGGCGGGGCAAGTTTCGACGGCGGTCAGCGGCTGCCGGCCGACTCTAGGCGCGGCGCGGGGGCCTGCCGGCTCTAGGCTGCGGTGGCGTCCCACCCGCGTGCACCTGGGCCGCTCCTTTCCGCGGGCCCGTCTACGGCGCGGTGCGGACATTGTGAGCGACGCTGATGACATGACCTCATGGCGGCGCGCCCCGTGGCAGTGCGGCTCCACGGTGCGGTCTCGGGGGGGCCTTTCTTCACAGATGATTCACCAACGCCCGTCCGAGCGGGGCATCCGGACGCGCGGGACGTGGGCCGCGCTCCCCCGCAGCAGTTGAGCGGGCAGGACGCCGTCCTCGCGGGGCGGTGCGATTTCGAGCGACTTACGCTGCCGACCCTGACGTCTGCCGCGGGAGCGAGCGAGCGTCCCGGCCGTCGCCGCGCCGCAGCGCCGTGGGCGGTGCGACCGTTGTACGCAACCGCTGCGCCGCCGATGGCTGCCATCCGAAATCGCACGGCCAGGCGCGCGAGCTGCGAGGCGCCGCCGCACGGGCGGGTGGCCTGGCAGCGGAGGAGGCGCCCGCGGTGCAACGAGCGCGTCGTGCGGCCCCCCACGGCGGTCCAGCGCCGTAGACCTACGTGAGTCACCCCATCCTCCCGACGGGCCCCCCTTTGTCACCGCCTGACGCCGCGCTGCGCCCGGCCGCCGCTACAGGGGGCCGGCGGCGTTGCTAGAGGGCATACCAGCACCACGCAACCGGGCGTGTGCGGACAGGGAGGGTCAGCAGACCGCAAGCCAGGGTCCTGGCCAGGGCTCGCACCGTCTGCGCAAATGTTCAAGAACGACACCAATTCGGCGGCGGGTGCGACTCCCTGACCTTGCAAAATATCGCGAAGTTGCGCCGTGCGGGGCGTGCGAAACGGTCGCAGGGCGCCCGCGCGCCGAACAGGGCCGGGGACACGGCCGCGGCGACGCGCCCTGTGCCGGCCACGGCCGTCCCGACCAGGCGTTGCCCTGCATCTTTCGCGTATTGCCGCCACCGGGTAGTGCGATGCCAGCCTCGCGAGGCCTTTCTAGGCCGCCGACGGGCTGGGTAGCCCGTGGAGGTTGGTCCTTTGCGCTTGGAGTGCGCCCGGGAGCCGTGGCGCCTCCGTCGCGCTGGGAACGCTCCGGCACGCACACAGCGTGGTCCAGGCGCGATGCTTCGGAGCTCTGATTCGGCCGCAGTAGGCCTGGGCAGCGGCCTGCCCTGTGCGCAGCGACCCCCGCGCGCGGGCGCCCGCGCCGCCTAGAACTTGCCCCCTGGCCGGTCCGCGCAGTCGAGGCACTGGCGCGCGCGGCTCGCGCCGCGACGTGCAGCGTCTGTGCGACGCGTACCGCGCCTCCAAGGAGGTGCACACCAGCGCTGGCCCCCTCACGACGGAGCCCCGCGCGCTGCCTCCCCGTGCAGGCCGCCCGCTGCTCGTCCCGCCAGTCGAGGCGGCGCCGCCTGGTTACTTCGATTCCAACGAGGTGCGCGTCCTGGCGGTGACGAAGAAGTGCCCTCCAGCGATGAAACCGCCCAAGGGCGGCTCGTTCCGCATGGAGGACTTCCAGGTCTGGAAGACGCTTGGAGAGGGGTATGCGTCGGTCGTCTACCACGGTGAGTCCCCTCAGACGGCGTCTAGGGCGCCCCGCACGCGCCGCTCAGTGTACCTGCCCCAAGTCGCTCCAGTCGTTGGCACCCCGGCGCGCCTGCGCCGCTGCCGCCGACGCCGCCGTGCGTCCGCCCCCGTCGCCGGCCCAGGCCAACGTTCGGCACCAGCCCGCCCGCCCTCCCCCGGCCCGCGCGGCCGCCGCGCGCACGCTGTCGTAACTGCTGGAGCAACCCTACCCAGAGCGGGGCCCCTGCGCGCGCGCCGGCTTGTATGCGCGGCCCCGGGACCGCCCGCCCGCCGTCCGGTGTCCCGCCGTCGCCGTCGCGCGTCCGGCCCGCGAGAGCCCGCCGTTTTTGCGCGCGCGACCGCAGGGTTTTGCAAGCGGTCGTGCATCCCGGTGGCGATCAAGGCGTACAAGAAGGTCCGGCTGTCGAAGCTGAACGACTTCCAGGTTCGGCGCGAGATCGCGATCCACAGCCGGCTGGAGCACCCGAACGTGATCGACCTGCTGGTGGCGTTTGAGGACTCGCGGGCCTACTACTTGATCCAGGAGCTGGCGGCCAAGGGCGACCTGTTCGTCAAGGTCCGGTCGAGCAGCGCGCAGCTGACGGAGAAGGAGGTGGTGACGATCATGCTGCCCGTGATGCAGGCGCTGCAGTACATGCACGAGCAGGGCCTCATACACCGCGACATCAAGCCGGAGAACATCTTCGTGGCGCACAACAACCAGCCCAAGCTGGGCGACTTCGGGCTCGCGATCAACTACCACGACGAGCGGCCCGTGACGCGCCTCGGCACGCTGGACTACATGGCCCCGGAGATCCTGCTGTGCCACACCAAGGAGAAGCCGACGGACTACAAGGACGACCCCGTGGCGACGTACGGCGCCAACGTGGACTGCTGGGCGATGGGCGTCCTCGCGTATGAGCTCCTCACCGGCCGCCCGCCCTTCCGCGGCGAGTCGCGCCAGGCCATCTCGCAGTCCATCATGTCGACGCAGCCCAAGCACCCGCTCTGGGTGTCCTCCGCCGCCGTCGAGTTCATGTCCAAGGCGCTCCTCAAGTCGTCCGCCAAGCGCCCCTCGATGCTCGACCTCATCCGCCACCCCTGGATCACCACCTACATGGACGAAGAGTCCCTCTGCAAGTTCCACGGCATCGGACAGAAGGCCGCCGCCAAGGGACCCGCCGGGCAGCTCGCGGACGAGCTCACCGTCGACGCCGGGTCCAAGTCGTTCTCCGTCGGGCGCCTCGGCAAGGCCGCCGACGCAGACCTCAAGGACGCCCACCGCCGCGCCAACCCGGGCCGCCCCACGGCCGCCATGCAGTCCGGATCCGGGCCCCCGACCGAGGGCGGCAGCGGGCCCGGCAAGGTCGAGGCGTCGTCCAAGTCGTTCGCGCCCGGCAGCAGCGGCATGCAGCGGCCCGCGCTCGGGTCCCTCATGGGCCCGCAGTTCGGCACGACGTCGTCCAACACGCAGCAGAACACGTCGCCGTCCAACTCGGTGGGCAAGTCGGTGCAGTTCGCCGCCGTGCAGCAGGACGACGGCCTGCGCACCGTGTCGTTCACCGCGGGCGCGCAGGCGGCCAACCGGAGCGCCACGCAGCGCGTCAGCCGCCTGGCCAACACCACCACGCGCACCAACAACGGCGCCATGGCCGCCATCACGGAGGACGCCGAGGGCGACGACAAGCCCAAGAAGGTCGGCATCATGTCGAGGCTCAAGAACGCCATGACGCGCAAGAACAAGAAGGAGGTGCGCGCCCACGCCCCGCGCGAGACGCCGCTGCACACGCGCCGCCGCCTCGCGTTGCCCCCCGGACAGCCGCGCTGTCCGGTCGTCCCGAGGCGCTGCCCCACCCTCACTGCTGTGCCGCTTGCCGCGCAGGACGCACTCGGCGACGACATGGCGGGGCTCGCGATCGAGGACAAGGCCAGCCCGGTGGCGCGAATTCACGCCCAGCGGCTGGTGCAGGGGTCGGCCAAGTCGTACAGCGTCGGTCCGCGGAGGATGTAGGGCGGGCAGCCGGCCGCCCGGGCGTTGCGCCGCGCCCGACCCTGCACCGCCCGCGAGAGCGACCGCGGCGCCCACCGTCCCCGGCCCACGTGCCCTCGCGCGCGTGCCCCGCTGAAAGATATTTGCATCTTCTTCCATGCGTCCCCGGGGGGCATCAACAGCCCTTCTCCGACACGGCAGGTTTCATCGCTTCCCCCACCCCCCATCCCCCACGGTCCCCGTCCCTCGTTTCATTCCCCCCTCACGCTGTCGCGACGAGGCAGCCGGATCCACCTCGCGGCCGCAGGTTGCGTACCCCACCCGCACGCACAAGCTGGCCACGCCCCGAAACCGTCGCGCCTGGCATCGCACCACGAGCGCGCATCGCAGCAGTGTTGTCCCAGTTGGGCCACCGGCTCGACGAGCCCCTGGTGTGCGCCGCCTGTCGTGGTTCTCGGCTCGCAGGCCCCGAGTCTCTAGTCGCCGCCCCGTTCGAGAGGCCTCCCCGGCCGGGTCGCCAGTGCGCCCGCCCGCAAGGGCAGTCCCATAGGTGTAATCTGTCAATCATGATCACGACGGTGGTTGTGCGCGCGTCGCCACGTGGGTCAGCGAATTTTCATCAAACACTGTTGTAGGTGGCACGTGCGGCGACTATCACGTCGCGGCGCGCCACTCGGCCACAAGGCCCAACAGCGACACCGTCGTGGGCCAGCGGCAGCCACCGGAGCGCGTGTTCGCCCCGCGATCGGCAAGGGCAACGGGACCCTCTGTCCACGGGTGATGCGGCGCGCTGGGAGCGGTGGTGAGCGTGACGGTGCTCACAACACGGCGCGGGCCGTCGAGCGCCGGTCCGCGCCGCCTACGCCATGACCTGCGGCCGCGTCACGACGGCGTCGACGATGCCGTACTCGACGGCCTCCTGCGACGACATGAAGAAGTCCCGGTCCGTGTCGATGGTGATCTGCTCCATCGACTGGCCCGTGAACTCGCTCAGGTACCCGTTCAGGACCAGCTTGTGGTGCAGGATCTCGTTCGCCTGGATCTCGATGTCCGCGGCCTGCCCCTGCGCGCCGCCGAGCGGCTGGTGGATCATGATGCGCGAGTTGGGCAGCGAGTACCGCTTGCCCTGCTGGCCCGAGGCGAGCAGGAACGCGCCCATCGACGCGGCCATGCCCACGCACACCGTCGACACGTCTGGCCGCACGTGGCGCATCGTGTCGAAGATCGCCATGCCTGCATGCGGGGGCAAGTGTGGCGGACCCGTCAGAGCTGGCTCGACCGTCGCGCGGGGCGGCGCAGCGAGCAGCGGGCCGCACGCGATCCCGAGATAAACGCGGGAGGGGAGCGGTCACGTGTGCGGCACAGCAGGCGCGCCATCGCCGGGCGGGACGCACCGGCGGTCACGGAGCCACCGGGGGAGTTGATGTAGAGCGTCACGTCCTTCTTCTGGTCCGCGGAGTCCAGGTACAGGAGCTGGGCCACGATCAGGTTGGCCATGTCGTCGTCGACCTGCCCGCCCATGCGGATGATGCGCTGCGACGCAAGGGGGGTTGCCGGGGTCCGTCAGCGAGTGTCAGTCGAGCGCCGCGGTCGAGCGCGGACGGGGGGCTCGCGCCGTGGCGTCGCGGGCCACGCGGTGCGCGCTGCCGCCGGCCACGTGGTGCGCACCTGCGTGAAGAGCTGCGAGATGACGCCCTGGAACTTCTCCACCAACATCGGGTTCGGGGGGGACGGACCCTGCCCGGCGACGATCGTGGGCATCTCCTCCTTGCTCACCATGTCCAGCTTACGCGAGTTCTCGGGGACCCACACACGCCTGCGACGACCACGGCCGGGCGCACAGGAGGTGAGCGCCGCGCACTGCGCCATGCCGCGATCGCGGCGCGGCTCGCGAGCCGTGATGCCGTGCAACAGCTGTGAGCGTGATGTGTCGACCACACGCAGGGCTCGCGGGCGTGGACGGGCGGCGCTGCTGCGATGCCACCAACGCCGCACGGATGCCCCGCACAACGGCGAGGAACGGTGCCCAGCAGGACCAGAACGAGCGGCGACAGAAAGAATAGGATCGAGACATGGAGGTTCGGGGCGCGGAAAGCGCAGGAAACGTCCTTCTGTGGGCGCCCGGGAGATGCAACAGCCTGATCCACAGAGTGACACCGCGTGCCGAGCACGTACGGATCGCCGCGCAGGGACTGCTCGCTGATCTCGTGACTGAACTGGACAGAAACGCGTATATGGATCGCGGGGTGCACGCGACGCCCCTGCGCGTGCTCGCGGTCGGCTGCCGGTCGTTCGGACCGCTCGTGTGCCGCGACAAAGGGGCGGGGGCTGACTGTGCGCGTGGAGAACGGAACCTCTGAACACAAGTGGTCGGTATCCGCGAGGATTAGGCGTCGCAGGGCTCCCCCCCGCATGGTGGGGAGCATACTCACTTGCTGGACCCAGAAGCAGCGGCCACGGTGCGACGCGCCTGCCTCCGCGCCGTCGCGGGCTTGCATCCCAGCGAGGAGGCCAGCTTGAACGAGCTCATCTTCCGGCGAGGCCCCACTCGGCGCTGAACGGGCCGTGAGGCGTGGGAACTACTGGCGCGCCCTGCTTCCAGTGCGTGGCAGCGTTGACGGGCTGGGTCCGACCGTGACAGTGCGCGCTGGGTGCCCGCGCCGAGCCGCTGCCCCGCCCAACGTGCCCGTGGCCACGCAGCTCGGAATCCCGCCCGACGGGCGGCGGACGCACGTCGCCCCTGTGCGCGGGAGGGGCGTCAACGCGCCGAGACCCCCCCGGCGCGGCGCGCGGGTTCCGACCGGTCCAAGGGACGGCGGTGGCTGCCGGCCGCGACACAGCCTCGTCGGGCTCGCGGACCGCGCCTGGCACGACGCTCGCACGCGGTGCACTGCGCCCTCCCTTAGACGCGCCGCGAACCGACCGCCCGACCGGCAAGCGAACGGCCCGGAGCGACTCCCCGAGCAGCCGCTCGCACAGCGTAGACCCGCTGCTTCCGAGCGCGGCGTTTCCCTGCCGCGGCGCAGCAGACGTGCGGGGCGCCTGGAAGCGGCGCTGCGAGCAGACCGGGCCCAGCGCCTGTGCAGCGAGGTTGAGGAGTAGCGAGGCGGCGCAATGACGGGTCTGGACCTCGACAAGTGGATTGAGCAGCTCATCAACTGCGAGCCGCTGCGGGAGTCGGAGGTCAAGCTCCTGTGCCAAAAGGCCATGGAGATTTTGGTGGAGGAGAGCAACGTGCAGCGCGTCGACGCCCCCGTCACGATATGTGCGTGGCCCGCCGCAAAGACGCGCCGTGACGCGCGGGGGAGCGCGCGAGTGCCGCGTCTCTGCACGCCGCGCTTGAAATCCCAGCCCCATGGACCTCCCGTGCGCGCGCTGTGCCCGGGCGGCGACACGAGCCAGCGCACATCGCCCCCGGGCGGAGCGTGCGTCCGCCTTCGCGCGGGCCCCGCCAGGCGCAGGTTGTGGCCGCCCACGCGCGGCGCGCGGGCCGTTGTCTCCAGCTCCAGGCGCCCGCCTCGAACGCGGCTGCGCGGGGCCCGCGGGGCGTCGCGCGCCAGCGCGAGCCCCCCCGTTACTTCTCCTCGTGCATCGGCACCGCGTGCGCGGGGATGCCCTCCGAACGACGACGCAGGCGTTCCTGTGGCGGCCCCCCCTCCCCAGTTGCTCCGTTGCCGACTCGCCGGCTCCCATCGTTCCGGGCGCAGGCGGCGACATCCACGGGCAGTTCTACGACCTGGTGGAGCTCTTCAAGGTCGGCGGCGAGTGTCCGGCGACGAACTACGTGTTCATGGGCGACTTCGTGGACCGCGGGTTCTACTCGGTGGAGTCCTTCCTGCTGCTGCTCTGCCTCAAGGTGCGCGCGGGCGCGCGGCCGCCCAGGGCGGTGCACGCCGGGCCGCGGTCGGCCGGCGTGGCGCGCAGCGCGCCGCCCCGCCGCGTCCGCCGCTCACCACCGCCTGCGCGCTCCGCTCCTGCTGCAGGTGCGGTATCCGGACCGCATCACGCTGATCCGGGGCAACCACGAGTCCCGGCAGATCACCCAGGTGTACGGCTTCTACGACGAGTGTCTGCGGAAGTACGGGAGCGTCAACGTGTGGCGGTACTGCACCGACATCTTTGACTACCTGTCGCTCTCCGCCCTCGTCGACGACTCCATCCTCTGCGTGCACGGCGGCCTCTCGCCCGCCATCAACACCCTCGACCAGGTCAGGGCCATCGACCGCAAGCAGGAGGTCCCCCACGGTCAGTGACGCCCCCCCTCGCCCCCACGCACGCGTCCGTCCTCGCTCGCCGCCGCACGCCCCTCGCTGGCTTCCCGCGCCGAACCGCAACCCTTCCGATCCGTTTCTCGTGCCCGCAGACGGTGAGCCAGCCCTCAAGGGAGCCTGCGGGGGTCGCAGAAGCGCACAGCCTCACTCACTCGCACTCGAGGCCCGGGTGCTCGCTCGCGCGTGCACGGCGCCCACGCCCCCTGTTTCGTTCGTGCGTGCTCCGCAGGGCCGATGTGCGACCTGCTGTGGAGCGACCCCGAGGACCTGGAGGGGTGGGGTCTGTCGCCGCGCGGGGCGGGGTACCTGTTCGGCGGGGACGTGTGCTCGACGTTCAACCACACGAACAAGATCAACGTGATCGCGAGGGCGCACCAGCTGGTGATGGAGGGCTACAAGTGGATGTTCAACGAGCAGCTGGTGACTGTGTGGTCGGCGCCAAATTACTGCTACCGCTGCGGCAACGTCGCCGCCATCCTCGAGGTGCGCGCGCACGAGCCCTTCCCCCGCGCCCTGCCTCGTTCGCGCCTTCGTGCCGCGGCCCCGAGTCGCCACGCACCTGACCTCTGCTGCGGCCCGCCGCTTGTTGTTCCGTGCAGCTGGACGAGCACCTCTCCAAGGCCTTCAAGGTGTTCGACGCAGCCCCACAGGACGTCCTCGGGACTGCGCCGAACCGGAAGACCACCCCGGACTATTTCCGTACGTGCCCGCGCCGTCCACGCGCTGGTGCCGCGCCGTCACACGTGCCCCCGTGCGTGTGCTGCACGCACGCGCGCCCGCGCCCGCGCCCGTGCCCGTGCCCTCGCTCGCTCACCGTCACCCTCGCCGCCGCTCGATGCCTCGCAGTTTGAGCACCTCTCGGGACCCGGCCGCACGACAATCTCGCAGAGACCAGCATGTGTGGGAGCTGTATCATGCCTGGTCGTTCACCAGGCCGCTGTGACAGGAAATCAGGCATCTCGCGGAGCACTACGCGTCTCGCAGTGACACCCTGAGCGGCCAGAGCGACGTTCGTCCCGCACCGCAACAACTCGACCTCAGGGCGCGACCCTGAAACTCGCAGTGGCCCCCCCTCGGCGCCTGCATGGGCTCGTCGCGCCGCGACAGGCTCCATCGAGGTGGGCGCGGCCCGTGGTGCTCGTGACGACGACCGCGGCCTGGCGGCCGACGTTCCCTCGCTCGTGGCTCTCGGACAAGCTTGTTGCGGCCCTGCCGCCCTCCCTCGCTGCCATCAGCCGTGCGAGTGCCGGCACGCGACGGCGCGGTCCGTCTCATGGTCGTGCGTGTGCAGCATCCGTCGCGGGCGGTGCGACAGGACGGCAAGTACCCGCGTGCGCATCGACCCCGCTCCGTGCACGATCTGTTCGCGACACCGGCCCTGGTGCAACGCCGCCCTTCAGACAGGCGACGTCGCTGCGGCACCCCGGCGGTGCCGCATCTTGGCCGTGGCTGTCTTCCTCGGCGCCGATGGTACCGAACGTTGCGCTCCTCCTCGTGGTGCGATGGGGCGATTCCTCCGTGTCCAACGCCCCGCCCAGCTCGCTCGCACAATGACGGTGTTTCCCAAGTAGAACTCATGCTAGGGCGACCCCTGTCTCGGTTTTTTTGTCCTGCGTCGGCAGCATGTGTGGAGACCCCCGCGTGCGGGCGCTGCACGAGGAGCCCGCAGGCCGTGTGTAAAGGCCGGGAGGCGCGCGGACGCGCTGCACACGCGCAACGATAAAGGTAGATGCGCTGCATACAACGGAGCGCCTCGCTGATCCCCGTGCTTGGCTGGGGAGCGGCCCTGCTTTGCATCAGCAGTTGAACGCTCGCGTGAGGGACATCTGACGCTACCGCGACACCTCTTTTTGAGCTTGTCACATCAGTGAAGCGAATCTTCCCCAGTCAGCCGTACAAGCGGCCCCCGCGGGCGTCACAGGATCCGCGATGCCCAGCTTCAACCTGGAGGTGGAGCGGCAGGTGGCCCCGATCCGGTCAGCATGCTGGTCGCCCGCCATGGACCTTGTGGCGGTCCACTTCGAGGACGACATGCTCGCGGTGCACCGCATGAACTTCCAGAGGCTGTGGAGCCGGCCAGAGTCCAAGGTGCGATGCTGTGTTCCAGCGAAACGCCCGCGCTCGCCCAAGACGTGCTGCCAAGGCCGCCTTGCGGCGACACTCGCCGCGAACGCGGCCATGTAGTTTCATTTGACGTGGTTCTGCCCGCCAGCGCGGCGTGCGTTCGACCCGGCACGTGAAGCAGAGCTCGCAGGAACACGTGTGTGAAGCGGCGGGCGACACGCGGCGAGATGTCCCGCAGGCACCAGCGCCCACGTCAGGCGCCCATGCGTGATGCGCAGGTGGCGGGGATGTGCTGGTCCCCGGGCGGCCGCGTGCTGGCGTGCGCGCTCGAGGGCGGCGGGACGTTGCTCCTCGACGCCGAGTCGCAGCAGGTGCTGGCGACCCTGCCGCCGCTCCAGGTCGGGGGCGTCACCGAGCAGCTCTCGTGGACGCAGGGCCCGGAGCTCGGCCCAGGCAAGTGCACGGCGGCCCATCCGTTGTGCTGTCGGTGCCGACTGCTGCTTCGCCCCGCCACGACGTCCGCAGCGGTTGTTGCGCTACCAACACCGTCGCGCGTGGAATCCATCTACCGCAGGGCGCGTCGGCGGCTCCGGTCTCCCGGCCGCTCCCCCGCTCGAGGTCCCGCTGTCGAACAACGGCGCGTCCGGACCCGGGGGGCCGTACGACGACCCGCAGGAGCAGTGGGCGCCCAGCGAGCCGCCGCGCTCCGTGTCGGACGTCCCGGACGCTCTCACGGTGCTCGTGCGCGCCGCCGCGTCGGCCCCGTCGGGCGCGCAGGCGGCCCCCGCGATGGTGGAGCTTCGTGCGTGGGGGCTGGGGCGGATGTGCGTGGTGCGGCAGGGGGATGACGGGGCGCGCGGGGCGACGGGGCGGATCACGGCGCAGGTGTCGCGGTCGATCGACTCGGTCGCCGCGCTGTGCGGGTCGCAGCGCGCGGTGTGGGTGTGGGGGGCGCGCACGGGGCTGGACAGCAACGACGTGGCGGCGGTCGGGCGGGTGGCTCTGGACCTGATCGAGATCCAGCGGCGCGTGGACGCGGTGGTGGCGACGCTGCGGGAGTCTCACCGCGCGTGGAAGGGCGCTGCGGACGAGTTCGCCACCGACGTGCAGCGCTGGGAGCGGCTGCTGGTCGACAACGGCGAGGAGGTGCGGCGAGCGACGCGCGCGCCTACCGTGGGCCTGCTCGTTGCGCCGTGCAGTCCCTCACGCCCACCGCTCCACCCACCCGCGTCGCTGCAGTGTGGGATGTTGCAAACGGTGCTTCGTCGGATGCTCGAGGAGGGATACCACACGCCCGGCGTCCAGCAGGCGCTCACGACGTTCCTCGGCGACCAGCGGCTGAAGAAGCACGCGCGCGCGATGGAGGTCGCGGCGGGCAGGGTGCACCAGGACCTGGTGACGCGCGTGCGCCCGCTGGTGCAGGACTGCCTCCTCAGGGCCTCGCGCGCGCAGGGCCTCGCGTGTGCGGCGCTCAGGATGGACAAGGGCTTCCTGGCCCAGGTGCGAGCGCTCCGTGCGGCGCCCGCGCGCGCCAATACACGCATGACGATGTACTTGACACCCTGCTCGATGTGGTGCCTGGCGCGGCGGTGGATCGGCCCCGGCTGCAGCGTGATGCAGCGTGCGGGAGCGTGTCGTGGTTGCAGGAGCAGGGCCTGTTGGCCGGCATGTTGGTTCGGTGCGAGCAGCAGCAGGCCCACGTGGCGGAGGCGGCGCGCTCGTGGACGGCGTTCTTCTCGTGGCTGCTCGGCGCGGCGATGAGCCTCAACCTCGAGGCGGACGTCGGCGTCCCGGCGATGGACCTCCCGCGCGTGCACGCGATCATCGAGCGCATCCACGACGCGGACACGCTGTGCGCGGAGCTGGACGTGGACGGCGCGCGGCAGCCTGCGGGCGGGGCGCGGGGCGCCAGCGTGCGGCTCGCCGAGGATCTGCCGTTGGAGGAAGCGCTGCTCAGGGCGGCGGGGTGCGGCACGCGGGGCGGGGGCACGCTCGCGAGGCACGCGCACAAGCTGGCGGACGCGCTGCAAACGGCGGAGGGGTGCCTGACGGTGAGCGCCCGGGCCACGTCGCACGCACGGGCGATCGATCTGTTCGCACGACCGCTGCGTCGCGTGCGGCGCCCGTTGCGTTTTGACTGCGACGGTGCGCGCACACAGCTCGTGCCCTCGCAGGGGATGTTCGAGGCGCGCATGGCCAGGGTCGTCGCGGACCACAACGTCGCCATCGCGGCAAAACCGGCGCTGCGATCCCCCGTGTTCCGCCTGCACGTGCCGCGGCATCCAAAGCACGACGCGAGCACAGCGACGCAGGTGCTGGTCTCGTTCGACGACAGCGACCGGGAGGTCCTGATCGCCCGCGGCCGCGAGCATCTCACCACGGACTTGCGGGCGGCGGCGGTCGCGTGGAAGGGCGGCGCTGCGGCGGGCGCGGAGATCTACAGGGAGGGCGCGGTGTGCCTCGCGACCGTCGACGGAGACCAGGGCGCGCTGCAGGTGCTCGCGGTGCCGGACGCGTGTCTCAACGAGCATCAGCACCCGGGGGCATCGTTGGAGGAGAGCTGCAGGTCGCAGGGGCCCCTCCAGCTGGCGGACATCGTGTTGCAAGGTGCGCCGGCACGCGCCGCGGGGACGCGCTGCGCGCCTATGCAGCCGCACGCAGCTCTGGATGCTAACCCTGCGACTGTGGACGTGCGACTGCCTCCGCAGAGTCGGGCGCTGCGCTGTCGCGACGGGAGCTGCGAGGCACGATCGCGCATGTGGCGGTCGGTAGCGAGCGCGGCCTGTGTCTCGTGTACGCTGCGCCCCGCCACCTGTACGTTCTCGACCTGGAGGACGACGAGGACGACGATGCGTCGGACGCGGACGAGGACTGATCGGTGACGTGTGTGTTTTTCGGCGACGCGCCTGGCTGTTGGCGCCTCTGCAGCGCGCCCTGGTCGCCGCGGACGCGTGGACCGCTGCATCCGAATGACACGGCGGAGGAGCTGCCTGGAGCGTGCCGCACAGCACATGGCGTGAGCGGCGCGGCTGCCTGTCTTCGCGAGGCGCACGCGGCCGGCTGTCGGCCGCCGGCAAGCTCCCGGATGCGGCTGACGAGGTCAGTCGCGTGCGTCAGCGGCGGTCCGTTTCGCGAACGTGTCGACGACGGGAGCATGTGGCTCCTGGCGGCAGGCGCTTGCGACGACAGGTTCGTCTGGTGGGCGACGGGATGTTCGTCGGGGCGCGGCTGGTGCGCTCGGGCGACACGAGCGTCGTTACCGGCAGGGGCAAGGAGCGGCCCGACCCAGCGCGGCCCTGCGCGGCGGGGGCGCCACCGCAACGATGGCGACTGGGGCAGGGCGACACTTGGCCGCGTACGCGCTGGGCGGCGGCGGTGGGGCGGTGTTCGTACGGGCCGATACAGTACGACTCGTTGGGTGCGTCGAGTGCTCACGCTCGAGCCGCCCTGGCAATGCGCGCCGGTGTCGCTGGTGCGCACATGGGCATGCGCTGGTGCGCGACGAGGGGGTCCCTGCGGCGTGGCTCGTGCGCTTCGACGGTGCGCGTGGACCGACAGCCTCGACGCCTGCGCTGGCAGCGGGCGAAACGTCACGGCGTCGCGGCACGACGCGGAGGCACCTGCGCATTTTGGGCACTTTCGCGGCACGGCAGGAGCGCCGTGCACGCGCTGGCAGCTGGCCCGTGGATGGACACATCATCGCTGCAGGCGGCGAGGCGAATTCCGGAGGAAGTGGCACCGATCGGAGCGGGCGGCGCGCAGCGACGTGTGTCGCGACGCATCACCG